TTTGAACTTAAAGCTAGTCAGGAAAGGACGATCAATTACAACAAAACACCTGAAACGATTTTGAAAGGACTCGGCTAACTGAGTTAGCAGTTAGCGGTATGTCCTTTAGAAGATGAGATGCAAGCATGCCTACTTTATAGGGATCTCTACGGATAGCTGGGAATACTCTTTTTTGGTATCATTGCGTAACTCAGCTTCCCAAAAATGGTGTGATTAACGATGCTCTATGGTAAAGAATAGACTACTTAATTGAAAGAACTTACGAAGAAGAGATGTTATGCACTAAAGTACCAGTTCCACAAGCCCTTGTCACAAGGAGAATAGGGGCTGCGGGAGCAAGAGGGTAAGAAGGATCCAAAAGGCATTGCTAAAGTCAGGTGCGTAGATCAAGGTCCAGAGAGCATGAGGAAAAAATGTTACCATTGTTTTGGTAAAGTAGGGGTCATCTTAAAAAAAAATTTGATCGTTCACTCAAACAGGATAATTGCCAGAACCGAAGATTAGGAGAATGACAGAAATACATCTGCCTACAGTCTCAGGAGAAGATGGTGAGGTGAACTTTAGGGCTCACTCATGATGCAGATTGCTGTCATTGTTGGAGGACTGCAGATACCGAGTTGGATAGTAGACTCCAGTTGCTTCTTACCACTGTGTTTTCCAAAAAAGGGAATATTTTTTCCACTTTATAAAGGCAGTGAGACTTTTTGGCTACCATTAAAATGCGGGAAATAATTTAAATGTCTCGCAAGTGGTGGCGAATCGGTGATATATGCATAAAACAAGGTGTAGGCGTCCACAATTAACACTTACAAAATGTGCGGAACATATTCCCAATCTTCGGTTGAACCTGTTGTCTTGTGGAGTGTACTAAACAAGGAAGGCTAATCACATCATACACGGTGGCGGTTAATTTGGAAAAACTTCACCAAAGCGGTCTTGGTCGGTGGCCGAGAAGAAAAATTACATAATTGCTGGCTGTATAAGACGCACACAATAATTATGTTGCCGGGTGTCAAACTGCAATACAATTGAAGATGATGCTTCACCAAATTTTTGTGGCATAGGCGACTTATGCCGCACGTTAGTGAGAAAGGTTGAATATGTTGGCTAAGAAAGTTCCCCATCCCATTAGCCAAAGGTAAAAAAAAACCCTTGTGATTATTGTTTATTTTTGGAAGCAAAACATTCGGGTCTCATTTTTTGAAAAGCTCTAGAAGCGAGAACAACAAGTTGGAGTTGTACAACTCTGACGTATGTTGGTCCCATGGAGGGGGGGGGTTTAGAATCACTTGGAGGAAGTATATTTTCTTAACCTTCATTTTTTGATGATTTCTCAAGAAAAACATGGATATATTTGCTTTTGGCGGCACAAAAAGACCAAGTATTCAAAGCACTTTCAGCAATTTCATGCTATTGCGTGGAAAAGGAGACTGGATTGGCCTTGAAGTGTTTGTGCACGGATAATGGTGGTTGAGTATATCTCTTAAAGGAGTTATAGAGATTATTGTAGTCAGCACGGCTATTCAGGTTATTGAAAAGACAAGTTTTCCTGTACGGCCTCAACACAACGCTTGCTGAACGGATTGAATCGCACCATTTTATTGAGAGAGTCAGATCCCTATTGCTCAAAAAAAATGACCAACTTACCTAAGCCATTTTGGGGAGAGGAAGTTGTCAATACTGCTGTCTACCTAATCAACCGACTACCTTCAGCGACCATTGCGATTTTGATATCCCGGAGAAGTCCTGGAACAGGTAGAAATATTCATACTCTCACCTTGAGGGGTTATTTGCTGCAAGTGCATTTATTGCACATGCACGCTGTTCCAACAGGATTCAGACGATTTAAAGCTTTGATGAACAAGTCAGTTCCTGTGCACTTTTGTTGGTTTATGGAGGACCGAAAGAGTTGGGGCTACAGGTTATGGGCACCCAGTGAAAAGAAAGTTTGTTCTGGAGCCGAGGACGTTAGTATTCCACGCAGAATGATGATCGTGCGGAGATACAACTTGTGAAGCAATCCACAAAGTTGATGGTGTTGTTGATATTTACACAGGAAGCATTCCTAACAGAAGATGTCACAGGAGGAAGGGAATTGCCAGAATCAGAACAAGAAGGAAGAAGCAAGAGCCAGTCGTAAGGGCATCAAGAGACAATTGTAGATGATAACAGGTGATGCAGAGCAGGTGTTTGAGCCTAGGGGGAGCCAGAGAACCCCATTCCCACCAGAAGGAGATTGAACCTCAGTTAAGAAGGGGTCAACCAGAGAACGCCAAACCATCTACCAAGGTATCCCTAGTTTCTGATTACATTTTTAATTTCATGATGAGAGGGAGCCAGAGAGACTTCCAAGATGCTGCAATCTTGCAAAGATAGAGATTGCTGGAGAAAGGCCATGCAAGAAGAGATGAATTCTTTTGAAAAAGCAATGACACGTATGAGCTTGCGTGAATGAAACTTCCAAAAGGGGAAGAGAAACCACTGAAGAATAAAATGGGGTGTTTACAAACTTTTGAAGAAAGAGTGACAAGCAACCTAGTAAAGATACCAAAGCTCGAATTTGCGTCGTCAAAGGCTTTACTTCAAAAGAAAATTGTATTGACTTTGATGAGATTTTTCCACCAGTTGTGAAAATTGGAGTTCTATTCGAGTTGTGCTAGGTTCTAGGGTAGCCAGTTTTGAATCTTGAGTTGGAGCAGCTTGATGTAAAAGGACCGCATTCTTGGCATGCGGGATCTAAGAGGAAGAAATCTATATGGAACAAACACAGAAGGTTTCAAGCGTCCAAGGAAAAGAGGACATGGTTGGTCGCTTGCAAGAAGAGCTTGTACGGGTTGAAACAACACCGCGGACAGTGCGTATAAAAAGGTTTTTGAATTTTTTATGGTGAATCCAAGGCTACAAAAGGACAGATGCAAGATCCTTGTGTATATGTTCAGAAAATTTCCCTGATGTAAATTTATCATTCCTTCTCTTATATTCGTTGATTTGAATATTTGCTAATTTCATTTTGGACCAGATGCACACATTGGATTAGCCAAGCTTAAAGAGTGATTTGTTTCAAAAGCATTTGAACATGAAGGATTTGGGATCGGCAAGGCGATCTCGAAATGGAGATTATTTCGAGACAGAAAGTTCCTGGCAGGTTTATGGTTATTTGCAGGAAAAATATATTGAACGAGTTCTAGAGAGGTTCCAATATGAATAATGCTAAACCAGGTTAGCACTCCGGCTTGCCGCTCACTTCAAAGTTGATAAGAGCATCCTACTCATTCACAGGCACAGTAAAAAGGAGATATGCTCAAATTGTTCCATATTCTTCAGCGGTCGGAAGGTTTAATGTACGCAATGGCAAACATCCGATGTACGCAGACCAGACTTTATCGCTCATGCCAGGTTGGGCCGGTTTGTTGAGCGATTTTCTATCAAATTCCCCCAGAAGGACACATTTGGGAAGCAGTTGGAAAGTGGATGTCTTCCATATACCTGAGAGGAACTTCAAAATTTTTATGTTTTAATTTTAGAGGTGAAAAGTATCTGCACTTATGGTTACACAGGGATGCAATATGGCCGGTTGAACTTGAATTAAAGAAAATCTTACATCAGGATACCTATTTACATTCTCAGAGGGAGAATATTTCATGGCAGTCAAGATTGCAGAAAGTTGTTTTCATTATTCAACGACTGAAGCAGAAGTACGTTGCAGCAACAGAAGCAGCGAAAGGAAATGTTTTGGTTTAAAGAGATTCTTTTCAACAGAACTTTGGGGTGTGCCAGCAGGAAGCAATTATAATAGTTTTATTGTCATAGTTTCAAAGCTGCGTATAGACTTGAGCAAAAATAATTAAGCAAAAATACTATGTATCATACACGGACGAAGCACATTGATGTAAGATATCATTGGCTTAGACTTACCATTGAAGAGAAGCAGTTCCAGATGCGGAAAATCCATACAGACAGAAATGCTGTAGATATATTAACAAAGGTCGTTCTGAAGGAGAAGTTCGAGCTATGTGTCAAAGCAGCAGGGATGGAGAGTCTCACCATATAGTCGAGAGGGAGAGAATTGTTGTGGGGTCCCTCCAACATGTGGGATCCACACACATTTGAAAAGAAAAAAAAAAAGGGAAATTCAAAACGTGTTTCGCAGCTTTATTTGAACAACAGGAAAAACGTGCTTTCCTTTTTTTTTTTTTTCTTCATTCAAACGTGTGTGGGACCCACACACGTTTGAATGAAGAAAAAAAAAAAAAAGGAAGAAAAAAAAGTGGACGCGTGATTAACGCGTCCACTGCGTCCTCAGGGTTTCCTTCATTAAGGCGTACAAAAACAAAACAAAAAAATAAAGATTATAATTTTAGGAAAGGGTTTCTAAAATTGGGAAAGAGAGAAAATAGTAACTAAACACTTGGGAAAGAGAGAAAAATACGTAAGGATTCGTAAATATTTCTGGGGTGTTTTGTTTAAACACTTAGAGTCGCCACTATTCTATTGTAATCTCTTTATGTACCTACTATTTTTTTAGTCAGAAGAATTATTTCAAAGTTTTGTTCCCCGTGGAACGTAGCCCCATAACAATATGAATGGGTGACCACGTAAAATCTCTGAGTGTTTCTTAATATTTCATCCTGGCATTTCACGATAATTATTTAATTTTTTATCGTGGCTTATTATTTCTGGTTGGATTCGATCATCAAATATACCACATAATTTAACTTATTGCGAGGTAAATCATGTGGTAAAGTAATTTTAATTCTCTCAATATCCAATATTTAATTATTGGAGGTATATGTGGTAATAGTAATTTTATTTTACTTTTACCACCGGTATTTTTCCACGGGCCCCACTCGGATAAGTTATAATCCCAACAACTACATTGGAGTTTCACATGTCCTGGAAAAAAAAAAAAAAAGAATTGATGATGTATCTACCTTTTCTCCACTATCACAAGTGGAAGGAGTGTCCCATGAACTCTATAAAATGGCAACTCCATCCTCATTACAAACATGCATAACTACTAACGTAGCAAATTAAACTTATCAAAATGAACTTCTTTAAAGAAACTCCCACGATTCTCTTTATTTTAATTGCTCTCAATTTCATTTCAGCTCATGCAGCCAATTTTGCTATCACAAACAACTGCCCTTACACCGTCTGGGCAGCCGCTGTGCCTGGCGGTGGCCGACAACTTGACTCTCAACAAACCTGGTCCCTCGATGTCAATCCTGGTACACAAGGAGCTCGCATATGGGCTCGAACCAACTGCGGTTTTGACGGAGCCGGCAGAGGCCAATGCCAAACCGGTGATTGCGGCGGTCTACTTGAATGCCAAGCCTACGGTCAACCGCCAAATACATTAGCCGAATATGCTCTAAACCAATTCAATGATATGGATTTCTTCGACATATCTCTTGTTGATGGATTTAACGTCCCGATGGACTTTAGTCCAACATCTGGTGGTTGTAGCCGAGGGATTAGATGTAGTGCTGATATAAATGGACAGTGTCCTGATGTGTTAAGGGCACCTGGAGGGTGCAATAACCCTTGTACTGTGTTTAAAACCGACGAGTATTGTTGCAACAGTGGGAGCTGTGGACCTACAGATTATTCAAGGTTTTTCAAGGATAGATGTGGAGATGCTTATAGTTATCCCAAAGATGATCAGACAAGCACCTTTACTTGTCCTGGAGGTACTAATTATAAGGTTGTCTTCTGCCCTTGAACACTATAATTAAGGAGCTGCATGTTAACAAAGTCATCTTCTGCCCTTCAGGTGTTAAGGATGTCAAAAATATATAATATATGGTGTAATAAGTGCATCACTTGGATGCGAGCGTTATAAAGGGAGAATTATTTTCTTTCTGTTTTATTTACAGTGTTTTAAACGTTTTATCTTTTGAATGTATTGGGTGATATTAATATATGAAATATTTTAATTTTTCTCTCATGTTTAACACAGAAAATTTTCTTTAATTTAAACAGAATGATTAAATAATTAATTTTTTTCAAATTTTGGATACTAAATAATATATTTTTGAAAATATAACAATAAATTAGCATATAAAATCAAACATAACAGTTTGTTTTTTTAAACAAAGAGAGAGAAAAACTCAAAGAAACACTTGACAACTACTAAAATATGTATAAACTAGTAAAAAAAAAAAAAAAAACTATACAGAGCAGAGACAAACTCAAGAAACACTTGACAACTACATAAAATATGTAATACAACCTAGTAAAAAAAAAAAAAAAAAAAACTATGCGAGGGTTGATATGAAACCAATACAGGGGTTTATTCGGTAAATGTAGTTATTGTTAACCATTTTCAGTTTGTTTTCAAGTGACCATAAAAAAAAAAAAAAAAAAACTATGAGAGGGTTGATATGAACCAATAAGGGTTTATTCGGTAAAATTAGTTATTTTAACAGTTGTTAGTTGTTTTAGTGACATGTTTAACTTTTAGTTGTTCAAATAAAATTTCATAAAATGCTGAAAGTCAAACGTTACATAAGTTAAATTTTCACAAAATGCTATTTTAACCTCTAAAATCTAATTCAGACGTTATATTACCGAACACTATAAAAATTATCGCCGGACACAGCTCAAGAGTAGCTAAAAAATCGTCGCAAAAATTGGCTTCATGAAAAATAAGCTCGAGTTTGCAAGTCCAATCCATGTTTAGATCAATAGTAGAGTGTAATTTGATTTTTGAGGGCCGTCAGATTAGGCTCTAACATATAATCCAACAACCGTTGAAACAAATGGAGTATTACCAATCCAACCTTAAAAAGAGCCCATTCGAAAAGAAATTTGAGAAGGTGGGCCTTGATTAAAATCCCAAGATCATGTAGAACTAGCTGCTCATATGCTTTGAGTTTTGACTAGTACACGAAATACATGTATCTTACAACCTTTTCAAAGAAACTTAACCAAATGAAATTATGCGCCTTCATCTTTATCTCTAAATTTAAATTCCACATACAGGCCTAACAGATAATATTGTCCAGAAACACCAAAATATTATTATATGCCTTAAGACCATGATTTGCGGGTGAATGGTAAAAGCTAGACTTGAAGTCAGTCAATACAGAAGTTCCAAGCCAGGTGGTGGTTAAGTGAAGCGGACACCGCTCTGCCTAACAGAATGGTCATAGTAATCTAGAACCATAACCAAACTTAGATTTTTTAAATGTCAAAAATTGCAAGACCATGCTAGTATAACAAATATGGTTTAAAAAATTTATTTATGGTTGCTATATCTATTTTGAAATATAAAATATTAAAATTCAGAACTATCCACTCTGACAAAATTTTTAATTATAATTTTATGAAGAATTATCTTTACTATGATATATTGAGAGATAAAATCTCTCGTATTTATAGAGAAGCTAATTTTAGTGTGGATTGGTTTGTAAATTACATTATGAATTTTTTTTTATAAGAGTTCCTCGTTTTCTCTTTGTCTGAATGACTTTTTATAATATTAATGAGTGATTCATGAGATTAAATGTATAATTTGAGTTGTTTTTTTAAGCCTCGATTATCCTATTTTATAAAAAAAACAAATTAAATTATTATAAACAATAAAAGGCAGTGTAATCTTTAACAACTCTTATCCATATGTGAAATCCACCAATGGGGAATAAAAGAAATCCATCCTAAACAATTTATTTTTCAGATTTTGAATAATCAAATTATGCTTTAATTACCAATGCCGTGATCATTCTTTAACCCAAGACGAGTAATTCCATTTCTTGACTTTACATATTTTCAAGTCAAGCCATCACTGACATCACCATTTCTGCAATTTTCCTCCTAATCAAACTTCTTTACGCAATCACAAACCTTATCTCATGAAACCAAACTTCCCAAACCCAACCCGACCTCTATATATATACATGCAATCCTTACACATTTTCATCGCCACCACACAACAAAAGTATATACATGCAATCCTTACACATTTTCATCGCCACCACACAACAAAAGAAATACTTACATTGTCCCAAAAATGAGCTTCTTTAAGTCACTTCCTGCCCTTTCATTCCTTTTTGCCACTCTTTACTTCACTTTTGCCCGTGCAGCCACATTTGACATAACCAACAAATGTACTTACACAGTCTGGGCAGCAGCCAAACCTGGTGGAGGCAGACGGCTCAACACCGGCGAAACCTGGACCATTAGTGCTAATCCAGGAACTACAGAAGCTCGCATTTGGGCTCGAACCAATTGCCAATTTGATGCTTCTGGAAAAGGCAAATGCGAGACTGGTGACTGTAACGGTCTTCTAGTTTGCCAAGGCTACGGTGCAGCACCTAACACTCTAGCCGAATACGCACTTGACCAATTTGAACATCAAGATTTTATTGATATATCTGTTATTGATGGGTTCAATGTCCCTATGGAGTTTAGTGCAGCTTCAGGAAGTTGTACACGTGTAATCAAATGTGTTGGAGATCTTGTAGGACAGTGCCCTAATCAATTGAAGGTCCCTGGCGGGTGCAATGGCCCTTGCCCTCAGTTAAAGACTGAAGAACATTGCTGCAATTCTGGTAACTGTGCTGCAATTCTGGTAACTGTGGCCCTACAGATTTGTCAAAGTACTTTAAGGAAAGGTGCCCTGATGCTTACAGTTACCCTAAAGATGATCCTACAAGTTTGTTTACTTGCCCTACTGGAACTAACTACAAGGTCATTTTCTGCCCATGAAGCTTTACTAGATACAAATATGGCAATTTGAAATAAGTAAGTGATTTAAAATAAGCGAGTGTTTGAGCACATGTAGTATTGTGCAGCTACTGTATTACTTACTGCCACTGGTCATTTGAGCCACCTTATAGGTGAACTGAAATAATATTTTTAATTAAAACTAGCTTCTCTTTTTTATTTTCAATAATAAATTTTACAAATATTACACGGACAATTTCCTATTTCTTTCAAAATATGATAGTTAATTAAATTTCATTTTCTTATAAGTTAACTTTTCACACAATGCTATTTTAACCTTTAAAAGCTAATTTAAATTTTATATTACCGAATACTATAAAAAATTATTGCCGTAAGCAGCTTAAGAGTAGCTCAATAACTTTTCACAAAAAAGTTATTCCAATCCATGTTTAGATTAGCAGTAGAGTGTAATTTGATTTTTGAGGGCCGTAGTAGAGTGTAATTTGATTTTTGAGGGCCGTCAGATTAGGCTCTAACTTATAATCCAACAACCGTTGAAACAAATCGAGTATTACCAATCCAACCTAAAAAAAGAGCCCATTCGAAAAGAAGTTTGAGAAGATGGGCCTTGATTAAAAGCCCAAGATCATGTAGAACTGGCTGCTCATATGCTTTGAGTTTTGACTACTACACGAATACAAATATCTTACAACCTTTTCAAAGAAACTTAACCAAATGAAATGATGTACCTTCCTCTTTATCTCTTAGTTTAAATTCCACATACAGGCCAAACAGATAATATTGTCCAGAAACATGAACATATTATTATATGCCTTAAGACCGTGATTTGAGGGTGAATGGTAAAAGCAAGACTTGAAGTCAATGCAATGTCAAAAAATAAAAAAGACTTGAAGTCAATGCAGAAGTTTCTGCTTCCAAGCCAGATGGTTAAGGGAAGTGAAAGCCGCTCTGCCTAACAGAATGGTCATAGTAATCTAGACCCATAACCAAACTTCGATTTTTAATGCCTAACAGAATGGTCATAGTAATCTAGACCCATAACCAAACTTCGATTTTTAAATGTCACAAATTGCGAGACCATGCTAGTATAATAAATATGGTTTAAAAAATTTATTTATCGTGAGAGTCCGTTTTCTCTTAACTTCTCCGTATTTGAATGAATGAGTTTTTATAATATTAATGAGTGATTTATGAGCGTAAATATATAATTTGAGTTTTTTTTTAAGTCTCGATTCTCCTATTTTATAAAAAATACACAAATAAATAAATAAAATTATTATAAACAATAAAAGGCAGTGTAATCCTTAACAACTCTTATCAATATGTGAAATCCACCAATGGGGAATAAAAGAAATCCATCCTAAACAATTTATTTTTCAGATTTTGACTGATCAAATTATGCTTTAATTAGCAACGTCGTGATCATTCTTTAACCCAAGACGAGTGACTCCATTTCTTGACTTGTACATATTTTCAAGTCAAGCCATCACTAACATCACCATTTCTGCAATTTTCCTACTAATCAAACTTCTTTACGCAATCACAAACCCTATCTCATGAAACCAAACTTCCCAAACCCAACCCGACCGCTATATATATACATGTAATCCTTGCACATTTTCATCGCCACCACACAACAAAAGATATACTTACATTGTCCCAAAAATGAGCTTCTTTAAGTCACTCGCTGCCCTTTCATTCCTTTTTGCCACTCTTTACTTCACTTTTGCCCGTGCAACCACATTTGACATAACCAACACATGCACTTACACAGTCTGGGCAGCAGCCGTACCTGGTGGGGGCTGTCAGCTCAACACCGGCGAAACCTGGACCATTAGTGCTAACCCAGGAACTAAAGGAGCTCGCATTTGGGCTCGAACCAATTGCCAATTTGATGCTTCTGGAAAAGGCAAATGCCAGACTGGTGACTGTAACGGTCTTCTAGCTTGCCAAGGCTTCGGTGCAGCACCTAACACTCTAGCCGAATACGCACTTGACCAATTTGAACATCGAGATTTTATTGATATATCTGTTATTGATGGGTTCAATGTCCCTATGGAGTTTAGTGCAGCTTCGGGAAATTGTACAAGTGTAATCAAATGTGTTGGAGATCTAGTAGGACAGTGCCCTAATGAATTGAAGGTCCCTGGCGGGTGCAATGGCCCTTGCCCTCAGTTAAAGACTGAAGAACATTGCTGCAATTCTGGTAACTGTGGCCCTACAAATTTGTCAAAGTACTTTAAGGAAAGGTGCCCTGATGCTTACAGTTACCCTAAAGATGACCCTACAAGTTTGTTTACTTGCCCTACTGGCAAGTTTGTTTACTTGCCCTAACTGGAACTAACTACAAGGTCATTTTTCCTGCCCCCATGCTGCAATTCTGGTAACTGTGGCCCTACAAATTTGTCAAAGTACTTTAAGGAAAGGTGCCCTGATGCTTACAGTTACCCTAAAGATGACCCTACAAGTTTGTTTACTTGCCCTACTGGAACTAACTACAAGGTCATTTTCTGCCCACCACGAAGCTTTATTAGAAACGAATGTGTCAATTTGGAATAAGCAAGTGATTAAAAATAAGAGAGTGTTTGAGCACATGTAGTATTGTGCAGCTACTGTATTACTTACTGGTCATTTGAGCCAGCTCATAGGTGAACTGAAATAATATTTTTAATTAAAACTAGCTTCTCTTTTTTATTTTCAATAATAAATTTACAAATATTACACAGACAATTTCCTATTTCTTTCAGAATATGATAGTTAAATTTCATTTTCTTATAATTAAAATCCCCATGTTCAGAAATTTCATCAGATGATATAAAATAAGTAGCCTTATCTCCACCTTTTCTTTACACTAATTTAAAGAAAAGATTTTAGAAAGAAAACCTTTTTTAAATTTTTTCTATTTGCCTTTGCCTTTGCCTAGTCCCACCTTTCACATGGCTAGACTGCATAATAAATTCTTGCTATCTCATTCTCTCTCAAATAATGATGCGTGAGAAAGATTTTTTATCTCAAGAAATATAATTATTATCCTTTAATTGAAATTTCAACATAAAAATTCAATTACATTCTTTTCTTTTATTGATTAAATAGGAAATATGTAACTATAGACGCGTATATATTAATATTAAAAGATACTCTTTATAAAGTTTGAAAATCATGGTAATCAATTATTTAAATCTAGAAAATACTCTTTCATAAGCAATCAATTACTTTAATATTATAAAGTATTATTATTTTCCAACTTTAAAACAATTCTCAAAACTACATGTGATAATTAAATTCGATTTAGGATGAGCAATATCTCGAAAAGATCGAAATTAAGTTCGATTTTATTAATTTAAAATTTCTATTTGAAAAAGATATAATTTTTAATTTGATTATTAAACTCAAAAAATAAATCTAAATTTATTCCAAATAATTAAAATTGAATCCAATCAATTTGGTTCATTTTTAATTACATGTATACTAATAATTAATTGATTTAGTGTTATTCAATTAGGAGTGGTTGGATTCGGTTCGATGGGACCCGATGCTCATCCCAATTGCCTTTCTTTACTTAACCACGAAAAAAATGTGCACTAGCCTTGAAAGGCGGGTGTCCTAACTGGTTTCTGCATGGACCTTACAGTATAAATAAACAATTGTAATAGTCTTTGTCAACAATCATTCGTTCTCCTGGTGCATACAAAGATACCCAAAAAAGATAGATCCAAGAAAAAGCTGTTTTAATTTCCATTTCTGAGATTTAAGGCTTTTGGCATTTTCTTTCTGCTCCAGAAATGCCTCGAGGAACTCTTGAAGTCCTTCTTGTTAACGCCAAGGGTCTTGAAGACACTGATTTCCTCAGTAAGCCTAACATATATCAATCAAAATCTTGGGTGTTTTTATATTTAATTTTTTGCATTTGCTGATCTTGAAAATTTGAGATATGGGTTTTCAAGAATAAGATCGTTTGTGTACATTACGGGTGATGTTATAGACAATTATGATTTACTGTTGTTATTTGATCTACATTTTTTGTGCTGATCTACATAGAATTAGGATAATTTCATTTTGAAATTGAGATTTTGTATCATTTTTTTTTCTTAACCAATCTGTACCGTAAACCCTTGGAATTTTGTGTTCCGTTCAGGTTTTCTTTTCTTTTCTTTTCTTTTTTTTCCCCCTAAATTCTTGTGTTTATATTTCTGGATTGATAATATGATACGGTTAAAATTCAAATGTCAACAGATAATATGGATCCTTATGTCATCCTCAGTTGCCGTAGCCAGGAGCAGAAAAGCAGTGTTGCTTCAGGTTTGGTCTCTACTTCATTTGAATGAATTTTCAGCTACATTTCATATTTTTACTGATTAGATTAGAAAAGGTCAAATCATATGTTGATCAAGCACAATCAATTGTTAGCAAATGCTATGCCTTCAATATGTCCATATATATTTGCCATTGCACTTGTAGTTCATTGGAGGAATGTCTCTTCATAATGCAGGAGATCATATTCTTTCATGTTTAATTAAGATTCCTTATGTAGTAAAAAAAAATAATGTTTATGATTTTGCGTTAATAAATTGACAAACAAGAAATGATGCAGGGAAAGGAAGCAATCCAGAATGGAATGAAAGTTTTGTATTTACTATATCAGATACTGTGACAGATATTAGACTGAAAATCATGGATAGTGATGTTGGTACTGCAGATGATTTCGTCGGAGAAGCAATGTGAGTATATAATTTCCCTTATCTTAATTGCATAAATATAGATTTGATTGGTTAAATAGAAAATACACAAGACACACACATAGTTTAGGGACAGGAAAACCTGAACCACTGCTTATAATTCTTTGGTTGTTGCAGCATTCCACTTGAACCACTGTTTATGGAAGGAAGCTTGCCAACAACATCATACAATGTAGTCAAAGATCAAGAATACAAGGGAGAGATTAGACTTGGTCTCAACTTCATACCACAGGTATTTGCTACCGCCTCCAATAGTTTTCACTTTGGTTGATGGAAAGGCAGAGAATGTAAGATTCTTGAAGAGAATGTCAGTTAATGAGTGCCTGATTCCAATTAGTAAAACATGTTCATCACTCCATGTCAATTTATGCTTTTATAGACGGCATTAAATGTAATATAAATGAAGAACATTTTTTTTTTTTTTTTGATATATTATTCAGCCAACTCAAGATCTTGTTTATTGTTTCTATTCCTCACTGTAGGAACGCACAAACCGTGGCTTCCAGGCAGAAGAGGAAAACTGGGGAGGATACAAGCAGTCGTCAATATCTTATTAAGTAGCTTGGTGCGGGGATGGCATGGTGGCATGAATAGGCTTTTTGGTTTGTTGATGTTTTTGGGTCAATGTATTGTGAGGATCTATATTGATGTGTTAATGTCAATGTGTTTCAGATAACGTATTAATGTTGAGATAGACTTGGCTTTATGTCTGGCTTTAATAATAATATGTTTCTCATTTGCCTATTTACAGAATTCAAGGTGAATGTCTTTTCTTGCTCACACACACACACACACACACACAAGCATTCAGAAGTACATTTTGAATCTTGAGACACAATGAGACAACAGATAACTTCAAGTATTGCGGAGGCTGTAATAGATTGGAAAAGCAACTCCCATTGTATTATCTAATCTATAGCATAAAAAATTAAAACGTTATAGAAATAAAATAAAATTTAAGAAAGATCTACCATGGATTTCTTTTCATCCTATGTCATGTTTTAATTTCAACATGTCACTGTCTATTATTTTATACTTGAAAATATGAAACAACTGGAGAGCAAAATGCATAGAGGCAAAATAATTCTCCACTACAATTAATCTCACCTTTTATGTTTCAATTCGCTTGAATCCCTAGACTGCACAGTGACATCAAGGCCAGGCGCTCAACAAATAAATTATCTATGTACAAGCGCACATGGACTAACCAGGATCATCTCAAAAGCTTTCTAGCTTTCACTCATCAAAATAAGGATAGAGGGAGGGAAAAAAAACAGAGAAAAAATGGTGAAAAAACCTTCATTTTCTATTCATTAATGAGGGATGGAAAGAAAATACAACACCTTACAAGTTTCGCTCCTACATCTTCTGAATAAACTATCAAGTTAAAAGACTACCTTACAACAGTTTAAAATGCACTTCCGGGTAAATTACAAAGCCATTATACAACATGAAAGGCTATTGATGGAAAAAGCTGCATATTATCGCTGATAATTATAATAATACAACTAGTAAGAGGTAATTCAACTCTAGGAGTTCACCTTCCCGCGCAGTCCCTTGTTCTCCTTCAAACGTTCCGGTTGTTGAGAACCAATGCTACTGCAGGTTGGTAAGCTCACATTCCCAGAAGGCAGGAAGCAAGGATTATTTAGGGGCACTTGTGGTTGGGATGTAAGTTGCTTCTCTGGAGCATCAAAGTGAACTGATATATCTGTTTGAAAAAAGCTGGGTAGGCCATAATCTGGAAGTGCCAAACTACCATCCGTAAATGTTTGAGAAGAATCAACTCGTTGCGGGAAGTAACCATCCCTCTGAGTTTGAGAAGTGTCAACTTGCTGCTGCAAGTAATTCTGGACTGGCAAATTATCCTCTATTGGTATTGCACCTGTAAGAGTCTTGAATGCGAATTCAAAGCAAGGGTCTGACCAATAATCTGCAAAGGAAAAGATAGGCTGCTGCTCCGGCTTGTTAACATTCTTCTCAATTTCCAGCTTTCGTGAATGCTCTTCATTTGCAATGTCATTGAGGTGATCTACCCTGTTACTTGATGGCTCAATTTGTGGTACAGAATTTACATTTGCAGATTGATGATGTACACATTCTGCTTTTGTCCCATCCTTGAACTGCTGATAAGCACCCATTGCTAAGTTGTCTGCAGCCAAACCCATATCTAGAAAAGCTTCAGTTTTACTAGACTTTCTACCTTTAGTTTTGAAAGCAAGTTGGTTGGAGATTAAGCTGGCTGTTGGCTCCTGTTCAAGCCCTAAAAGTTGTTCTGGAGATTGATGAGGCAAATGAAGCTTCTTATTTTTTTTGTATTTGCCTGAGTTTTTCAGAATTTTCCCATTGACGCTTTTATCTGTCTTTTTTACGAGGAATTTCCTCTCATCAATGATATCAGCTGCAGGAGTTGAAACCTGCCCATTATCAGCAGCTATCTCAACTGGTATTTCACCTGTAAGAGTCTTAAATGCAAATTCAAGACATGGGTCTGACAAGAACTCCCCAAATGGAGGGATGAGCTGTGGTTCTGACTTCTCATTATTGGTTTTGTCTGTTTTCAGCACTTGTGATTGGTCCTTGGAAAAAGCTTGGCCATGAATGGACACTTGATTCTGGCTTGACAGTTCTCCAGTTAATGAATTACTGAAGTCAGTCAAAGCATGAGGGGTAAAATCAGTTCTAGGTTCAGCCTTGAGTGGCTGAGATGGTTTGTTTGCCAAAGCATCTGAAGTCAAACTCGCAGCTTGAATGGATTCACTTCTACAGGATGTTTTTGCATTTTGAACAGCTTGTGCACTGGACTCTGAGTTTGCTGCCAGCTCAGGTTCAAGACCTGCAAGTCGTTTTGAAGAACGACGAGGTAAATTTATCCCTTTCTTATTGCTGGTTCTGATCAAAATATTTTGAATTTTTCCTTGGCCCCTCCCTTTGGCCCCACTCTCAAGAGAATTCTCCTCTTCCCTGGTATCAGCTGTAGGAGTCAAAACAGGTTTGTCAACAGCACTAACCATTTCACATTGGTTTCTCTTGGAGACATTGGCCTCAGACAATACAGAGCAGGTTGTATCATACTTTGGGTTCTTCTTTGATGTATCTTCAAGTAAAGGATTGTCAGCATTAGAGGAACTATGATCCAAAATCTGTGTAATGGATTCAGCCTGGATTTGGTCGCATTTTTTATCTGCTAAAACATCTGATTTCAATCCCACAGCTAGAATGGCTTCAATTTTAGGAGACTTGATTGTTTTTGGAAGAGCTTGCACAATGGATACTGAGTTGGCCACCAGCTCAGGTTCAATCCCAGCAAGTCGCTTTGAAGACCGGCAAGGCAATAGCCCTCTCTTATTATCAGCTTTACTTGTATGAGTTCTTCTTTTGTAGCTTTCATCCCCCTTGATTGCACTCTCATAAGAGTTCTGCCCTTGCTTGTTGTCAGCTTCAGAATTTGCTTGCACAAGCAGTGAGTTGTCCACCAGCTCAGGCTCAATACCAGCAAGTCTCCTTGAAGATCGACGAGGCAAGTTAAACCATTTCTTGCCACTGGATTTGCACAAACTATTCTCAGTTTTTCTTTTCGAGCTTTCGTCTCTGCTTATCTCACTCTCAAGAGACTGCCCTTGCTCATTATTACCCTTGGGAATTAAAAGCCCATATCCATCACAGACATTGGTCCTTTTGTCTTGATTTCTCCTGGAAACTTCAGCCTTTGTTGGTGCTGAGAAGTTTCTGTTAGAGTTTTCCTTGTATTTAACATCATTATCCATCACATTGTCCCTTGGACTCTTCTGTGAAGGTCTATCAAGTGTGCCAACCACAGGCAGCATAGTCACACTGGTTACACTCTTGCCTCTGCTTTTCCTTAAGGAGTCAGCTTCTGAAGATGTTCTGCTGTCCACATCAGATCTCCCTTTACCTGCATCAAGGCATTAGTGAATTCCTCCACATCAGAGCAATGGAGTTTTAAATATATCCCTGCCCTCGTGGCTTTGATTATTTTTTGATCTAATTCATTAATCACAGTTATTAAACTTCCTCACCTGTAAGAAGCTGTTGACCATGAGCAGGGTGCTTTACTTTCTGCCTTTTAGCTGCAGGTGATGGCTAACAAAAGGAGAAAAACACCATATTATTTAAAAATGTGCACTAAATGCCACAACAGAAGAAAACAAACATTAATAAGAAAACTGAATATGGTTGCTAAAATATTCTGCACCAGCACCACGTTTTTCTGGTTAATTGTTAAAGTAGATGAGGCACAATGCTTGATTAATACGTTCCTGAAGTTATGTAGGTTAAAATTTGACTTGAGAACAAATCAATGAAATTAAAACCCTTTTTAATGAATACTCTTATGAAATTTTATAACCAATAATTTAAAATTCATCAGTGAGGGAGGAGGGTGAACAAAAAATTCTAAAGGAGAAAAGGTGATGATGAATACAATTGCAATAGACTATCTGAATAAATTTTTTTTTGACTTAGTGTCGCCTGCTGCTTTTAGCTTTTACATTAAGGTATGTAAAAGCTACGTAAGAAAATACTGATGGTTTGATGTGAGTTGTTATGTAAAAGGTAAATTATGCTGTTGTTTTGATCAGTTATCTAGAAGGACTGCTCTAGCAACTTTCTCTCTCTTCCCACCCCGCTTCAACAGTATGCATAAAAATGTTACATGTTTAGGATTCTTGCAATATGCTGTATGTGATCATAAGACAACAATGTTCTTCCAAATTGTCAAGTTACGAAAACTTCATACTTATTTGACTTTGAATACCTGATACTGAAAGATTAAGTCAACAATAATTTTCATGCTTGTTGGATGTGATTACACATTTACAAATCATGACTATTATGATGATTTATGGAATGTGTTTTTCCTTTCTTTTTTTTTTTTTTTTTTTTTTTTTTTTTTTTTTTTTTTTTTTTGAATACCTGATACTGAAAAGATTAAGTCATAACAATAATTTTCCAATGCTGTTGGATGTATACACATTACAAATCATGACTATTATGATGATTTAATGGAATGTGTTTTACTTTCTTTTTTTTTTTTTTTTTTTTTTTTTTTTTTTTTTTTTTTTTTGAGAATATGACTCGGTAACATTGAAACACTTTCGTAAACATTTTTAAAGTTCATTTAATTTTAAATCAATGTCTTCAGATTAAAAGTCTACTGTTTTGTTTCCAGGTGCCAACTCCTGGCAATCAACTTGGCACAAACCTAAGTTCAGTATTTTTTTTTTTTTTTTTTTTTTTTTTTTTTTTTTTTTTTTTTTTGAGAATATGACTCTGTAACATTGAAACACTTTCGTACATTTTTAAAAGTTCATTTAATTTTAATCATGTCTTCAGATTAAAGTTCTACTGTTTTGTTCCAGGGTTGCCAACTCTGCAATCAACTTGCACAAACCCTAAGTTGCAGTCCCACAAAGAAGCAATCCACTAGATTTCATAGTATTTTATCACAAAAAATGGTTAAGTGGCTTTCACTTTATTTGAGAAAATGTAACAAATATTTGATGGTTCAAGTATTTTATCCTTTAACTATACCCTCAGTGTATATATAAAGTGAAGCATTCCCATTGGTAACAACATAACTAGCATATACAAAATGTTTGGTTTGTATTTTCTTCATTTTGAAAAAAAAATTTCAATTGGATTGCAAAATGTTTTTACTACAAGTAAGATTCACATAATTTTTCTAATAGGGTGACCCCAAGTTATTGTGACTCCATTATAAGCTAAATTTTGCTCTACAAGACTGTCATGGAGCTGCTGTATTTAGGGTAGTTTATATAGCATTCTTGTGGAAATCAGTCTCTTTATAAGTGGATGATAGTTAAGCAAGTTCTTTATTGTAGTGGGTAGTTAATCATCTTTAGCTTTTCATTTAGTTTTTTAAAAGATTGTAGATTAATGAAAGATGTAAACAAACTCTTAACAAAAGTTTGAGTTCCTAATACTCAGAGATTGAAGGATTCTCTCAAACAAGCTCCAAGAGATCGTAGGGTTCTCTCTTAATGAGCCCTAAGAAATCGTGGGGTCCTCTCCTAACAAAACCCAATTCTATCTTTGAATTCAATCATATAGACCCGTAACTAGATCCAAACTTGGAACCGTAACAAGAAGTCTCTTAATGAGCCCTAAGAAATTGTGGGGTCTACAAGTATCATTTCGACGTTTTAGGATTCATTTAAGGGTATTAGAACACATTACCAATATATATTTAATTTAACATAAACACCCCATAGACCAAACATGTAGCTATCAAATTCATCACACATGGTATATAAATTCCAAAAGGTAATGAACAGCAACACTAACTATAACACATCACTTAACTAGGAAGTAACAGGTGAGATTCACATGTACCAATATTCTTTCACCGGTGTGCCTTTTCTTTGGTAAAAATGCATGTTTACTAATCTTTCCAGTCTCTAGGTAGCGTTCGACATCCCTTTTGGAGCGGAATACATATCCTTTTATTGGATCTATGTAATACTGTGGCGAAAAGTGCTCATCAACATCAATTTATCCTCCTCATTACGAATGGTAAGATATATTCATCCCTTGAAAAACTTACATAAAAATAACATATAAAAATTCTCACAAGTTCTTACTGGGTCTTTTCTGATTCCATTTGCATTAGCTGTAATTTTGATCTCTTTGATCCACCCTGGAGGTAAATCGTCCACTGTAGACTTCTCAAACTTAACCTATATTAAGCACAGGAATGCAGGTTTAGAACTAGAATACAAAATATTTGATCAAATAAATTTAATAGAGTAAAAATTGTTAATATAAGTTCATTATAAATGAGAAATCACATTTCATAACACTTTTTCTTTTCTTTGCACGAGCCTCCTGTGCACTTAGATTGGATTGCTAAAAGTCAACCGATGGATTAATGTACAATCTTACAAAAAAACAAAGATAAGAAAAAATTTATAGAAAAAACATCCCTCTAAGATTATGATCCAGTGTCGAAAACACCTTAAACTTTCAGAGGTGCAGATTGTCCTCTTCCCGAACATCCAAAATGTTTTGGAATCTAGTATGAAGCTGTACTAAGGCTTAGTTATTGTTGTTGTTGTACTGGGAAACTGCATCCCTGTTCTATATCATTTATGGAGGTTCCTCCCATATGATTCAACACACATAAAAGATTTTATATCTCTTGATTCTATTTTATGATTAATGCTAATAATAGGGTATTTACCTAAATCAGTATCCCTCTTCTAATTATTTGCCAAAATAGTGCACATGATTTCATGCAAACAAGTATTGATACATATATCACATAGTTGACATCAAAGCAAAATGACATGACTTAAATGAAGTTTTTGGCAAAGAAGGAAAAAGGCATTAGGACATCACGAACAGACTTCGCTCGTGGGGAGTGCACTCTTCAGTGTCTCCTTCTGTTTCGGTGTGTAACTTCTCTGCTTTATGGTTTCCAGATATCTAACCACCGCCGGCTTGGAATAGAATTTACACCCAGTAGACGGGTCAACATAACACTGCAACCAAAAAATGCAATCATAAATACAAGATAACAGCATTGAAAATACCATCAATTGATTTTGGGTAAAAAAGATATTCAAATGTTAATAGTAAAAGCACAAAATGTTATTATTCAAATGCAATCAAATAATCTTCCGCAATGATACTGTCTAAAACAGTTTAGCATCTGGTACTCATCTAATCATCAAAAAATTTGATTCATATGAAAAAGAGTTATCCAAGCAAATATCTTTGCCTACAGCATTCTAGGAAAGAAATTCTACGTGTTCAAGAAAATATTTAGTCTAAAAGGCATTTATTTATTTAGTACTATATATTAGGTCGGAATCAAGTCACTAAAACAAGTAATTATGGGGAATATTTTGAAATCTCACGCACATATCATGAGCATGTAAAATGCTAATGATGCTATCAGAAATTGTAGTCATTAATGTTTGGTAGCCTCCAAGATAACAAGTAAATATCCATAAAAGAAAAGAAAAGTTCCATCCGAAAATGTTAGAAGCAAAACCACAAATTCATTTAAATTTAAAAACCACTCTTAAATAAATGCATTTGATACCTTGTACACTTTTCCGCTGGCATCACCACTTTTTCTGGTTTTTAATTCCACAACCCAACCATTAGGTAACCATTCAGGACGTTCATTTGCATATTCTATAAGCTGCTAATGTTAAAAATGACCAATTAGATAAAGAGAAATGAAGGAAGCAAAAGAGCAGGTAGGAATAAGGTTTCACATCCATCATAATCATATGCACCTGCTTTTTTTTTGAGGGCAGTCCGATGAGACTTTTAGATGGGTGATGTTGGTCAAGTTGAGTCCCTTGTCCTCTAAAATAGCGTATGAAATCATCCGTGGAGAAGTATTTTTGACCAGTTCCAGAGTTCAAATAATACTACAAAGGCCAAATATATGGTGGTGACTATAAAAGCAGATAATTTAATTTAAAGTTCTTATATTTATATATATATATAATTCTTTTTTTAGGTATTATAAATCTCCAATTTTCATAATTTTCTTATGCTGTCGGTAAATCATTGAATTGAAGGTTGTATGAGCCAAGTTCTTTCCTGACTAACAAAATCATGGAATTGACAGGAACTCCAAAGAAAATATAGCAAGCGACAAGGTAGTGATTTCTTATCTTGATTAAAGAAATACTTTGAGGCCATACTGATAACCAAGCAACAAAATTTCAATTATTTTTCCACTGAAATTAATTGTAAATTGCAATTTCAACTGCCTTCACTAACAAATTTTATTGCCAATTTCATTTGTCATAATAAAAAAATGTCCACAATAATGTCCTTGACTTGAAAAATGCCAAGATTAAGTTTTATCATCGCCTTTCGACATTACCAGTTACCATAAATAAGCATGAAACTTGCAATTAAACCAACATTGTGACAGTTAAATGATTTTATATTTAGTGTTGTGTTTAATACAGTAATCTTTAAAATTCCATTTTAACGTGAATTCTCCAAAACAGCTCAAAAATATTAACGACAACTTGCCAGTTAGCTTCGGCAACAAAATTGACCAGAATCTTCTTTTATTTTAACAGTCTTAATACGCTAATGAACACAATAACTTGATAAGCAAACTAAGTACTTTTCGCGGGGCCATAGCATTTACCATTTATAAATAAAATTGAAAAAACAAAGCATAACATCATTTACTTTTACTCCAACAACGAGTCATCATAACCACAAATGTGACATTTGATTCCCCAAAAGTCAAAATACAGTGATGTTGCCTTTGAACTGATCTATGTAAGATTCATCTCAACATGTAATTGAACAGCGAGGTATACTATCCATAATGCCTTCTCAAAGCATTTTATGGAATATAAGACAAATTCCAAATATATCATCAAATCTTCTTCACATGCAGGCTGACAGAGAGATTATGACCTTTCATTCAAATGGCACGTCCCTTTTCTACTGGTAAGAAACACTAGCCCCGATATTGGCACTTTAACTGATTTTATGAAATCAAACTAAAATGTTAATAAATAATCCTCTAAATTTTAAATACTAACCCTAAAATCAAAGCTTCACCTAAGATGAGTGGTGCCAGCTCACATGCAACCTTTTCCTACCCTCAAGCACAAATTCGTCATATAATTTTCTTTCTTTGAAAAATAATTAACTCAAAATATTTTTTTTTTTTTTTTTTTTTTTTCCTACCCTCAAGCACAAATTCCCGTCATATAATTTTCTTTCTTTGAAAAAATAATTAACTCAAAAATATTTTTTTTTTTTTTTTTTTTGGGGGGGGGGGGGGGGGGGGGGGGGATGAAGGGCCATAAGAAGGCTTTAATCTAACATGCAAATAGCTTATGCTGTCAATATGAACAAAGCAAAAGCCAATCGCGAATCAAAGTTTCCAACTCCCCCGGTGGGGGGGGGGGGGATGAAGGGCATAAGAAGGCTTATCTAACATGCAAATAGCTTATGCTGTCAATATGAACAAAGCAAAGCATCGCGATCAAGTTTCCAACTCCCGTGCACTTACCTTTAATATAAGGAGAATAACCAAATTAGTTTATTCATCAATAATAAAGTACGTAGGTCAGAAGTTAAGAATTTTGTTTAAAAACACAGAATTTGCCCCAAAATTCTCTGAATAACAAGAGTTGTGTGGCCCCTAAAGAAGTCCTTGGATTGAGAAAGAATTTTCTAATCATTGCTAGACAGCATTTCAAGTGGTTTCACATGGCTGGTAAAATAAATGTAAATCCAATATAATAAGCATTGTGCCAGCCAACATGCAAACCATTTTCTTCCACTAAAAGCACCATCTTCCTACACACGCAGACACAAAAAAAAGAAAAAAGCAAAATAATGCAACATGCAGATAAATTATCGAAACCAATGCCAGTATATGAACTATCCAAAGCACGGTGGCCCATTTGATCACGTAAAACCCTTCAATTTTCCTTCTAAACATCAACCTATCAAATTAAACCACTAGCAGCGTTATACAATTGCCAAGTTCAGGCATTCAACAGCCTCAACCCACAAGCTTAAAATTCATTACTTTATGAATCCATGCACTTGCACCTGCTCTTAAAAAATTTTAAAAATACAATCTTTCCAGCTAAAACATTTAAAGATAAGAGTTCCAGAGCATAAAAAAACCCTAAATTAGGAAACCGCTAACTTTTAGCTGTACCTTAATTTTGCGACCCGTTTTTAGAACATTGAATTGCACAGTCCAGCCATGAGGAAGCTCCTCCGGCGAGTATTCAGCCGTCATTTGAAGAATCCGGCGTAGCTCCGGCAATCAGTATTGTCCTATACCTACTTTCTATTTGTCGTGTCGCTCTCTCTGTGAGCATGTAGAGGTCTGAAGTGAAGAACGAAATGTCCAAGACTCGACTATAATAAATAATAATGCGAGTTTGAGGCCACGTGTTTTTTTTTTTTTTTTATTATTATTGGAACAGAGAGGCTAGGCGTTACTGTGTAGTGTAGGGTGGGAAGGTAAAAAGATTTTTGCGTATTTACTTAGATTATCCTCCCGCTGGATATTAATGTAATAATATACGCATTCTCTTCCCTCCCAAGTAGACAGAATTTCCTTTTTCACTTTGTTTCAAATTATAGTTTAATTTCTTTTTTTGAAAAATAATAAAATTTATAGTTTTTTATTCTATTTTTATTTAATATGCATCTCTATTCTAGATATATTACTATTTTTATTACAGAATTTTTGAAGTGAATAAATTTTTACTCTTATCACCTTAACAATTCCATAATTTAGATCACATAACAAAAAAAAAAAAAAAGAGAAAAATTGAAAGGAAACAACCAATAGCTTCAATTTGCAACATAAAATCGTAGACTAACAATTAGGATAAAGAAAATAACAGATAAATTTTAAAAATGTGCAGGTACGAAAGAGGCGATCTCTAGCTTAAATTTCATCTCACCTCGTTACCATTATAAATGTTTTCATTCAATTAATTGGTTATATCTAATCATGAAAGGAGTGTATTTATTTAGTCTCTATAATTTAATGAAATTTATAAATTAAGATATATGTTTTCAGAAATTATTAAATATTTCATTTATTTTTTCCCTTCAACTAAATAAAAGTTTTGTTGATTTTTTTTAGTCAATTTAAAAAAAAAAGATAAATAAGACACTTTTGTCTGATCTTACTTGGTGAAAGAATGAAATTATTATTTAATAATTTAATCCAACATGTAAGTTGTTTATTATTTTCAATGAGTTCAAATTTATGGATTATGGTGATGTTTACAGTAAATAAAATTTTGAAAACAGAAGCCTTTTGACTTGTAAATTTTATAAACTATAGGGAAAAGATCATAATTTACTCTTATAAGAAACACTAATCCAGTGGACCCTATTTAATTGGGCTTGGGTTTTATGGCGTCCGACCCATGTCAAAGGCCTGAAATTATTCTTTTCGCACGGCTTATAATTGCACTTTAATCGGCACGAAAACCAGGTTGGGGCGGTTGTTGTATTGGTAGGCGCGATATTTGCAGCGCTGGAGTGGAAACAAACGACACAGTAAAGGCATAAGGAGGAGTTGCATCGTCGAAGGTTTTCCGTCTGCTTTCTTGATAAATCCTCTTGGGTGCCGCGATCCAAACGTATAGGTAGCTACGTATCTATACGCATATGAATCTCCGTATTATCAGTTGATTTTGCATATTTTGTGATTGACATTTGAAGTTAGGGTTTCTGGGATTGATTTACTTGAATCGGACATTTTGAATCCACAATCAATACAGAGGTAGAATTAGGAGTCGATCTACTATGAGTTGGATTTAAGTGTTTATTCAAAGCAGAAGTTCACCTATATCATACTTGTTTCTATTAAAATAGCTTTTATAATTGGACAAGGAAGACCACTTTCTTAATATCGGATGTTGAAGTAGATGTTTCTGTTCATAGATGGCGCTGCAAGAAAAATTAGATAGATTCAAGAAGCAGCAAGAGAAGTGCCAAACGACTCTTACCAGCATTGCGTCCAGGCCTTCTAAACCCGCTGCAGCTCAAAAACATGTACCTTTAGCTGCACCAACAAATCCAAGGACTCCAGGTCCACCTGTCAAATTTTCAAATGACACGGAGAGACTCCAACACATCAACAGCATTCGAAAAGCGCCTGTTGGTGCTCAAATCAAGCGTGTTATAGACTTGCTGTTAGAGGTTCGACTCTAAGTTCCTCTTCTTATTTTTATTTTTCAGATGTCTATTCTTAAACTTTAGGCTTTATGTCACATCATAAATGCTCATAATGGCCAACTTATTTTGTTGGCGTATTGAGTCTTGAAAACAGTATTAGTTCATGTTGCTCCTGCTGTCTGTTGATTCTTCATAATGTTTGGATTTGTCTGAGGATTATAAAGCAGATTGAACTTTTCATCTTGTTATTCTTTTCATTTTTATCGGTACACTTTTGGTATCACTTTATGAAAAATAATAAACACATATGAAAAATAGAACACATTGGATATGTTGTGCGGGTGATTTTATTGTGAATAACATTTTAATTCTTCTGAAAATTTTAAATAAAACAACTTTTCAATCCTTAACAAGTTAAAAAAAGCTAAGAGACTAAAATGTTGATTAATCTAAGAGCTAAGAGACAAAAATTTAGTTCACCTGAGCGAATGAGGTACTAAAATATATATTTAAAAAAATGGACTATTTTTAATTCCCTTTAAAAAAGGGGGCATAAGTGTATTTTGACAAACCTTGTGGGGATTTTCATAATTTACCATAGTGTTTTTACTTGCTTGTTCTTTGGAGTTTCCCTTTTCTGTGTTAGTTAACCTTTAATCACACGAGGATTGTTACAAATGACGGGCTTCGCTATCCTTGCGGCTCGCCAGTCTCCCTGTTTATTACTCTCCTTTTTTATTCTCAGCTTCTTTTATGAAATTTTAGGCTTTGTTAAAAATGTGTTTTGACCTTTCTGCAACAAGTTGAGAAGCAGCAAGCCATTAACTGTCTCCTGGCATGTGTTTTTTCATGTTTGCAGACAAGGCTAGCTTATACACCAGAACAAATAAATGAGGCATGTTATGTTGATGTGACCTCAAACAAGGCAGTTTTTGACAGTTTGAGGAACAATCCAAAAGTGACTTATGATGGAAAGCGCTTTTCTTACAAGGTAAAACATTGCGCTCACAAATCATGATAGGTTTGTACAGGTTTGGGTCAGTCTTTAAATCCTTGTCACTGTTTTAATATCTACCTTCTTTTCCCCAAGTAAGATAATATTCTGGTTTTGAATGTTTATAGTCCAAGCATGATTTAAAGGACAAGAGTCAACTACTTGTCTTGATACGGAAATATCCTGAGGGCATTGCTGTCATTGATCTCAAGGATGCATACCCAACAGTTATGGAGGATTTACAGGTATATCTAATCACTGAATACAGCTGTTGCATTTGGTGAATTTTATCCTTATTCACTCAATCTTCCATGTTTCCCTAAATCTGCTGAAGCAAAATCTATTTTCATAAACATCATATGAAGTAAAGTTGGTCTTGGTGATTCCAAACTGATATCTATGATTTGAATGATTGTTCTGAAATCTTTACCCTTTGTTATCCAGCTATCTTAAAAGTTGATTTACTTGGGAAAAAATGGCTGGTCTTTTTGAGAGAAGAGAAAGAGTCCTGCTGGCTGTTGACTCTGCAAATTATTTTCTTTAATCCTGGAGTTTAGGTTTTATGTTTTCCTTTGTGTTTGTCAAAGAAAATCTTTTCCTCTATTTTTTCAACTGGTCTTTTTCTGTCACCTAAATTTTTTTTTTTTTTGTCACCTAATAAGTTGTGTATTCTCCTACAAGTACTTTTATCTTCACTCGGATTTCCGCTCTCTGTCTCTAAACCAGATAATGGTGGGTGACCCCATCACGTTGATCAAATTAAAAAAAAAAAAAAAAAAAAAAAAAAAAAAAAAGAGAAATCTATAGCTGGCATGGCATTATCTAGGACAACTACAAAGCATACATCTATAGATTGGTGGAACTCAATGGCTGCCTAAACAAGCTTCAAATTTTTTATCAGTTAAATCATTTTGTCTATCTGCCCACTAGGATGAAAATGTTTTCCTGGTCAGTGAAAATGCATTCTTGATGAGTGTTTGGTACTGTTTTTATTTTTTTTGGAGAATAGTTGCTGATTTTTAAATCACAAGTTTGTCAATGATTTAAGTATTATTTACTGTGATTACTCTTTAGCATTGTAAGGCAGTGAGCCTTACAATGGATGATTTGCCTTTGCAAACTTAAAATGTGTAGAAATGGATGACATTTCTTTGACCCTCACAAGGCAGCGACCTTCTGAATTGAGAATACCCTCAATTCTTAGTTACTTTGTTTTGTCTTCTCTGCATGGTACTACATATCGTTAGCCACTGGTGCTATCATAACTAAATTTTTTTGTATTCTGGCATGAACAATTGGATCGATTTTTTTTTTTTTTTTTTTTTTTTTTTTTTTTTTTTTTTTTTTTTTTTTTTTTTTTTTTTTTTTTTTTTTTTTTTTTTTTTTTTTTTTTTTTTTTTTTTTGGTAGGCTTTGAAAGCTGCTGGTTTTTTTTTTTTTTTTTTTTTTTTTTTTTTTTTTTTTTTTTTTTTTTTTTTTTTTTTTTGGTAGGCTTTGAAAGCTGCTGGACAAATTTGGTTGCTATCAAACTTTGATTCACAGGAGGACATTGCATATCCTAACGACCCTAGGGCTGTTATTAAGGTGGATGATGATCTTAAGCAGCTCTTTAGGGGGATTGAATTGCCTCGTGATATGCTTGACATTGAAAAGGATCTACAGAAGAATGGCATGAAGCCTGCCACAAACACAGCAAAGAGGAGAGCAGCAGCCCAGGTACAGGGCGTTTCCTCCAAGCCAAAGACCAAGAAGAAGAAGCATGAAATCAGCAAGAGGACTAAGCTTACAAATGCACATCTTCCGGAACTTTTTCAAAATCTTGGTTCATAGAACTTGTCAGAAAAATGAAGTTGTTGACCTAACCACTTGCAAATCATCAAATATGGACTGAGGTGGAATATGTCACTGAGATACAAAGACAAGCTTCAAGAGTATACAGTTAAATGTTAAGTTGCCCTATTCGTATATGATGAGCTTACAGAGCTACAGAGATATAATGTGTTTCGAGTTCATAACGTCCTTCCTCAATCAGATTTCTTTTTTTCAACAGTGATCATGTTTCTGAAAGCCAGTGTGATTCAATCATGTAACTTAAAATGCAGAGCGGTGAACCTTTGTCATCATAGTGGTGGATATATATAATTTTCTTCCTTTTGCAGGATTTCAGTTTGCAAATGATATTGATTTGATTTTGTAAGCAGTTGCCATTTATTGGCACAATTAATTACTCATGACCGCTATTCGAGCAAAGTTAGCTTAGTTACTTCCCTCTGTGTTGCGCACGCCTTAAGGTTTTGAATTCAGCAAATTAAGGATTTGAGTTATTCATGACTAGCTGTCGTTATCTTTTGGGGAGCATAAACGATAACAATGTTTAAAACCATTTTGAGCGTTTCCTCGAAATGATCTCATATCAAACATAGCATCAAGAAGTCTGCCTATTGATATTACATTAATTGAGCACATCATCTCTCAAAGGTGAAGAAAAGAGATGGCGTCACATATATTGCCAAATTAAAGTTTTGGTAACAGAAGCTCATGAAGTATTCTTATTTCATTTATTGATCATCTGGGGACAGTTACAAAAGTTATATTGAAGATATTCTATTGTGTATTTGTGAGTCTCGAAGGATTTTAAATCATATTTTCCTTCCTCCAACTTTTTCTTCTTTGTTTCCAAACAAGGGAAAGTTGATTCTTGTATCATTTTCCCTTCAGTTTTCTTTCCTTATAAAATTTCATTCCAAGTGTAAGAATGCTATATATTTCAGCAGAAAATGCATGCGGAAACTCCAGGATGAAACGCTGTTTCTTGATTGAAGTAAATACGCATCTTGCCTTGAGCGTCTTTCTCACAAAAATCTCACAAGAAAGCAACATTTCTTCATAAATCAAACATTTCTAAGAATCCATTCTAATGATTGAGAAAAGATGTGCACCATACGATACCATACACTTTCTTCCCCTTTTAGGGACCCATTGAATGTTCATTCTGATCTGTCCGTATATATATATATATATATATATATTTATACATGGCCCATTTCTGTCACAGTTTCCTGACTTCAGCCTCTCGCTTGCTTGCTTACTCAAAACAGAGGAGATATAAATTGTATATAGAAAGAAGTTGCAGAGCAATAAAATCCTTCACGTTCCTCATTTAATATTTTAATCTAATATTTTAATCATGGAAGTTACATTTTGGAATGCTTACAAAAAGCATAGTTTGACCCCTTGAGGAAAAAAACAATTAAGAAGCATTCAAAAGAAACCAAAACATTTTTTTAAAAAACAAAAAGGTTCTCTGGCTGCACAATATAGCATGCTAAACTCCAACCCCACCTCAAGCTTATTGACAACAATTTATAATAAATCCAAACCCAATGACCCAATTGTTGATCTATGACACTTGACTTCTTCTGCAAACCCACTAAAGTACTTACAGATGTTAATTACGATTAGTCGGTGTTTGAACCCTTTAATCTTTTTTTTTATTAGGTTCTGTTCATAAACTTTGACCTTTCTAATCTGTTAGTGATAATTTATTAACTAATCTAATCTAATCTAATCTGCAGCTCTACCAGAGGAAACAAGAAATAGGAAAGGCAACTGATCAAGAAAATTACACAGGTCAAGTTTTTGCATTGTTTCAGAAATTCAATTTATATATCTAGATTTTACAATTTCTAGAATTCAATCAAAAATTTACAACTATGTAGAAACTATCAAATTTGCTTCCTTGTTCAACTATGTCATACATCAAAAAAAAAGGAAAAGAAAGAGAAAGAGAGGAAAGAACTATAAACTGCAAAAAGAAAAAGAAAAAAAAAAATCAAGAAACTGTCTATGACTGAGAAAAACATATCAATAAATAAAGATTGGCATTTGGAAATAAAACTATATAATTCAGTTGTGAAGTGGGTTTGGTCCCCCTGGAACTTTTCTAAAAGAAACTCCATAAACAGGGTCGATCTCATCTTTGACAGATCCTTGAGGAGCTTGAGCAGGAAAATGCCAAGAAATTTCTGGAGATAATACAGGTTTTGGTGTTTCTTTGGTTTGATCATCTATTTCTCTTTGCAGTTTCAGGTGGCGGCAACTTGAGAGCTGGCTATCAGAAAGGATGATTATCAAGACAAGAAATGTGAGATTTGGACTAGGAATCCGCATGGTTCTTGGTTTTCAGAAGCAGAAAGAAAAGGTAGCACTAAAAATAAGGCAAAGGGAGATGGTTAGAGTTGAGGTATATAAATAGAGGTGGGTGTGTTCTACTGTTCTGTCTTAACCTGTGGCAAGCATAGAGCCAGAACTCACAATTAAGCTTCTGAAGTGGCTGAAATGCCCTTCTCATTTCATCACATTACTATCATAGTATTGAGCAGGCCAAACTGCATGTCAATTTTGAAAGGAAAAGGAATTCTATTAGACTTTTTTGGTAGCTCTTGTTTCTTTCAATAATTTGATTTCTTGTGGATTTTAGATTTACCTAATTTATACTTTGAACTTATGGGTATTAATTTCTATTATATATAAACCATTCATTTTATTTTGTAGCACAAAATTGTACTTATATTGATCTATGGTTCAAATTCAGATTTCAAATATCAAAATTTTGATTTTACCGGAACTAATCATAGCGTTACAGTTTAAATGATGTTAATAATTTTTTATCATAAATGATTAATGTTATATGAATTGAATACTTTTATCAAAAGGACATTCTAGTCTTTTTGATAAGAACCCAATTGAGTGCTAATTTGGAAAACAGTATAGGTGAGGAGCGTTGACTTCATACATATAAAATAGATCTCTCTTATTTCATTTGCTGATTAGGGTTCTGATACTTACATGTATAGATATAAATATATATATATATATATATAGGCTTCTAAGATTTTTATTGTTACAAGTATTATTATTTGTCAACACTTTGGGGTAACATTTCTACAGACACGTGAGACACGTGCTGCACAGACATTGAGATCTAGTGGTTCACACGTTCTTTGTATTCGAATTCTTAGCTTCCCTCACATGTTCTTGCTTCCAAGTTTATAATACAAAATCTCATGCAACAATAAAAGATGGTACCACATAATTAGGATCTTATTAAATACTTGATTGGACTATTTAATTAAGCACGTTTCAATAGTTTAAATATGATTATTAAATAGTGGGAAATCTTTTAATTTTTTAATTAAATAGTTTAGCATCATGAAATATGCAAGAAAATGAGGTAATGGGTTTAGATTATCAGGAGATAATACTAGCTTTTGGTCAATAAAGGATGGATGAGACATTTGGTGTCATTAATATAAATAATAAATTATTTTCAATCCAAGTGAAATAAATTTGGTGCCCAAAATTTTCATGCCACATCAGCTACAGGGTGTTTTTTTTTATTATTATTTCTGAGTTAGTTTTCCCGATTGAGAATCTGTTCGGCAAAATCAGCTGTTTTGATAGTTGTTAGTTATTTGAATAGCGTTTTATGTGTTAAATGTTATGTGAATTAACTTTTTATAAAACGCTATTTTAACCTCTAAAATCTAGTTCAAACATTGAGTTATTGAACACCATAAAAATTAATTTTACCATTTTAATTGATCAAAACGTTAAAAATTACTTAAAAAACTGTTGCCGAACATGGTATGAGTGAAAAATTTGTGTTAGTGTATAACTATAGCTGAGTAATGGTGGTTTTGGAGATTGGCTTGTTTGGGCAGGGTATTTATTTGCCTATTTGGTGAATCCATGTTAAAAAATGTCACCTTCAAGAGGATTTGATTTGGGTAGGGTTTGGTCCACATTGACCCAACGTGCCATTTTTGTCAAAATGCCAAGAGTGTACATTTTGTATTTTATTTTATTGTTTAGGTTAAAAGTAAATTATTTTATATAAGAATCAAATTTAATAATTTCAAATGGTTTCTTCTGAATCAATAGCTTAGTTGTTGCAACATTCCTTAATTTGTAGTTGTTGCCTCCTAAATAGGTACTAATGGGGCCTCAATCAGAAGGTTGGTCCAAAAATCAGATTTGATAATGACAAGATAAACATATCTGCAGACACATTCTTTCCTTACAATGGTTAGGTAAGTTTTTTTATTATATAGAACATTATTTCCAAAACCTAGAATGTTGTGTTTCTTGAAGGATTTTTGCCACTAAGCATTATTGAGAAAGTAGGATAAGAGCAACTAGACCAGATCATGGATCGAACTAATGAAAAAGAATTTTTTTTATTGAAATAAAAGTATTTTTGGCTATAACAAAAAAAAAAAAAAAAGAACACTAAAGCAATTATCTGAGAAAGTAGGAATAAGAGCAACTAGACCAGATCATGGATCGAACTAATGAAAAGAAATTTTTTTTATTGAATAAAAGTTATTTTTGCTAATAAAAAAAAAAAAAAAAAAAGAAGAAATAGAACAATATATAAAAAACTTTTGTTTTCGTTCTATAGACTCGATCGAGACAAGTCTAATCCAACAGCGATTTTTAACATTATGGTGACAAATGGAGGATTTAGATTAAGGAGAAGAAGTGTAGACAAGTTATTCACTACCTACCCATCTTGAACACATTATTGGCTTTGCAATTTGGATCCAAAAAGTCAAGACTAAAAAAAGAATTTAGAAAAAAAAAATTTCATCTCTGTTCACATATCAGATAGATTATCTTTATTTGGGGTAATAAAAAATTTCAAAGAAATGTATGTTTTGAAGGAAGAGTCAATGTTTTGATCATATCAAAATTCAAAGAGGTATGAATGTCAACATCTAAGAATATAAGCAAGTTATATGTAAATTATATATTTTCATTCCATAATTAATGAACTGTTGGAAACATAATTATAATATATAGAATGGTTTGACCAATAGTTATGCATTTTTTGCATATGTGGAAGCCATTACAGGGTGTGTGATAAGTTGCAGGCTGTTCATGTCTACAAGTAACCATCTTGAGCAATTCACAGAAATATTCCAATAAAAGTGCAGAAATAGTTTTAAGAAAAAAAGTTTTGAGTACTGCAAAATGAATGATGATACTGAGAAATTAAAGGGGAAAAAGTGCAGATATATTATATTTCTTGCCCTGATAGCAAGAACATTAAAATAAACAACTGTAAGGCAGAAAAATTGTTTTACTCAGACATAAGGAAAGCTCGAGGTCACCATTTTAGTACCATTGTATCAATATTTCCTCCTGGTTTTTCTTTCTTCTACGGAAGTCTAATTGCATTTCAAGTTCAAAGTTGCGGGTCAACCAAGCATAATAATGAAAATGAAAATTACAATCGTAATGTTTGACATGGAAAGTCATTCCACACGCTTGATAGTAAAAGATTCAATAGGAAATAACAGCGAAGACTTTGATCTTGTAATAGAAAATAAAAGAAAAGAAGAGAAAAAAAAAAAAAAAGAAAAAATAAAACACGAAGGCCGTAGAACAGAGAAGAAAAAAATCGTGAACAGTATTAATAATATCATTATTGTTATTATATATTTTGCATAATATATTAATTATATTATTAACTTCATCAAAATCAGTACAAAGAAAGAAAAAACCAATATCAACTTAGATACCATCGTGTCATTTACAATTATATTAATAATCTCATCGGCGGGGCCCTATCCATGTTCTTTGAATTAATAAGTGTAATATTATATATTGTAAAACACACAAAAAAAAAAACACTAAACATTTGATTAAAAATCCTTTCTCTTTTTTTTCATTATACCAAAACAACAACAACAATTTTAACTTTATTAGAGGAAATCACACGATAAAAAAAAATTTTAAGTACAACTCATATATTGCAAACTAAGGTACATGAAACACCACCCACACACCGACTGAGCCGGCATTATTGTTTTTATGGACTTTGGTTTATGCCCTTATACCACTATGGGCTGCATTTACAGGTCTGTTATCAGTAAAGAGTTTTATCTACGAAACCATAAATCAGTTGGTAAAAAAAAAAAATGCAGAAAAAAAAAAAAAAAGGGAGACAGAGAGAAAAAAATGAAAGTATTAATAATATCATTATTTTATTATTATTTTGCATAATATATTAATTATATTATTAACTTCATCAATAATCATACAAAGAAAGAAATTAAACAATATCATATACATCATTAATTATATTAATTTCAGCGCCATCAATGTCTGAATTAAAAGAATATAATTGAAAAAAAAAAAAAAAAACTAAACATTTTGATAAAATCCTTTTTTTTTTTTTCATACCAAAAACAAACATTTAACTTTATAGAGGAACTCCATAAAATTTTATACAACTCAATATTGCAAACAAGGGTACATAAACAAAAACTGGGCATTATTGTTTTTTATGGACTTTGTTTATGCCCTTTCCACTATGGGCTTTCTGTTATCATAAGAGTTTATTACAACCATAAATAGTTTAATTTCGACCTAATAACAAGCACTCTACCCGACGGTTTTCCCAGTAATCTGTATGAATCGTAAATGTGGCTTGGGATCATCCATTGAATGGTTAATAAAATAATGATATGAATATACAGGATTTCATATTAAGAAGAGATGCAACCTAATGCGACAAAAACTCTTCAAAATGGTAACAAAAAACTTGCAGGATTTCACAGTAGCAAGAAAATCAAATCCAGCAACTAGGCCTAGCATATACAAAGTTTTCAGGTTGAATAAAAGTTGAACCTGAATGATTTCACTCATTTTAAGCCAGCCAAAGACAGAAATTTGAATGCTTGAGCTCCTAATAATTATTAGGATCGGATTCGGATACCAGGTATATCTTTCAAACCCATCTTTAGTGCTGTCTTTCTGAACAGAGGAGGAGGCCTTTGCAAACCTATTGACTTGGAAAATTGGTTGGCCAGCTCAACAAGTGTGGTTTTATCCCTGCCAATTTCCCTGATTGAGTTATAATAACCTAGCCAAGCGTGGTATGCTGCTTCTTTGACACTATTGTCAAGCTTCCACATTGAATCCTCCACCTGAAAAGGTAAATAGTTTCCAAAGGTCAAGCAAGAGAAACATGCAAAACGTTATATCTCACTAAGTAGATACAAGAGACCTAAATCCTAGGAGAAATGTATCATCATCAGTCGACAAGGGCAAAATTTTGGACAAAATGTTTAGATAGTGTCAATATCAAGGTTGTATTTTACATACTCAACAGAGGAGATACAGCATATGCTGCATCTGTCAATAAAAGGGCCATCAAATCACATTATAATTCCATAGTTTCGAGTGCATCAGAAGTACGGAGTCAAACCCCCAAAAAATTACTGTTCAATCAATGGCATGACAATATAGACCATCTTTTATTGGCTTCTACATTTAACTTATAAATGTTACATTTCCTTTCAAATAAGAAACTTTTGTTTTGTTGTTAGCTTCAATTTCCACAACCTAAACATTTAAACGTTTAAACAGAATCTAGTATAAAATATACACACAAATGGAATTAAACTAAGTTCGAAATGGACCTTAAGTTTGGTTTCTGGATCTATATCAGGTAAAGGAAGTTTATCAAGAGGCAGGTCTTCCAACTCATCCAGGAAATATTCTTCCCATGGTGCAAGCAATATTATCCCTTCTCCATCTTTGCTTTCACGTCCAGTTCTTCCAAGACGGTGTATATATTGCTCCCGATCAGCAGGAATGCCAACCTGGTTATAGTTAGAATCAACACATTTAGCAGAAATTCAAAGTGAGGCATGCACAGTTAAATATACAAATACTCCTTTCATAAGTAAATTTCAATTTTAATTAGCTCAACGTGACATGAACGACATCAATATGAGTCCAGGCATCTACTTCAAATAACATGATCCATTATTCTTTACAAATTTACTTGCTTTAAGTATCAATTTTGAAGTAATTGTAACCAAAAAAAAAACAATGAGATGTTTATCTCCTGTAACTGAATAGAACTAAACCGAGCCAATTGAGCTACAATTTCATTAGGTGTCTCAGCATTGATCTAATTATGTCATTCTTCTACATCACTCTGTGATAGTACTGTTTCATATGCCAAACATATATTTAAGAAGTTCACATGCAAAACATGAATACATTTACCAAGCTTGATGAATACCTGAATGACCAAAGTAACATCAGGATAATTCATTCCACGGGCTGAAACATCAGATGTGATGAGAATTGACCGTTTCGATTCCTTGAATTCATCAGATATGCGTGTTCTATATAATTGAGGCTTTCTAGAGTGCATCTCCCTAACATTCATTTTCATTTCCCGGAGGAGTGCATACATAAGTGATGTTAACATCCCAGTTGTACAGAAAACAATGACCTGAGTGCAAGTCCAAGTTATTAGCCTCAGGGACATGCATTTTCGAATAAAACAAACTCCAAAAATCTACATCGTTTTACCTTGTAATCAGGTGTTTGTCGGATATGCTCCCTCAAGAGATGATGCACGACTTGAAAATGCAAGTTAAGTGGAACCACCAGGAAAAACTGCTTAACCTGAATTTATAAAAGACAATTCCACTTCAAAAAGGTTGGCATGTGATTTATGGTATTGAAACACCTGACAAATTTGGACATGATAGTAATTGACCAGTAATTTCCATTTGTAATTTATCCTACAATGTATATGATAGCATACCTGAGCAGGAGTTTCCACACAACCAAGTCCCACTGTATCAATGAAAGCATGTTCTCTTTTCAACACAAGCTGAGATATTCGGCGAACCTGCATAATTAAACAAAATCTAGATTTTGAGTGATGTCATGAAACATAAAAGCATATGCATATTTAAAACATCAACGAAGGCATAATGGAAACTCTGACCTCTTTTGGAATTGTTGCTGAGAACATCAGGGATTGCCTCCGACGGGGCAAACAGTCTACAATTTTTTCCACATCTTTCCGAAACCCCAAGTCTAGTAAATGGTCAGCTTCATCGAGTATAAGCATCTTCAAACCCATCAAATGCACAGATATACCACCTTTGTTCTCAACGTGATCCAGCAGCCGACCAGGAGTTGCAACAATTATCTAGAAAAAGTTCAAAGAACGAGGAAATGACTATCAGCAGGTTTTAAAGGATTTCCTCCATTGCTCATTTTGTGTCCACATTAGCACTCTCCATGAACTGGATCAAAGTTTACCCGAATATAGCTAATGGACAAACCTGGCAAGGATCTGATTCCAGGCGTTTCTGGTCATCTTTGAAGCGTGAACCTCCAACTAGTGTTTGTACACCTATGCCATCGTGATACTTCAGCATAGCAATTGCTTCAGCAGCTATTTGACTCGCTAGCTCTCTTGTGGGGCAAAGAATAAGAACGTATATTGGAGAAACCCGTGGATTGGCATTGCCACTTTTTGCTTTCAAAACTGCTTCAATTGCAGGAAGCTGTTGGTATTTAATAACAGAACAGAAAGAAAGAACCTAAAATATGACAATTTAATTCATAGGAATGTCATGGAAGTTGTAATCTACCAAAAAAGCTGCACTTTTGCCTGTTCCCGTTTTGGCTTTAACCAAAGCATCCTTGCCTGCTTCAAATTCAAATCAGAACCATAATTCATTTATTCATTAAATTGAGCAAAAAGAATATCATCCTAAGCAATTCAAATAATAAGCATGTGATCTATGAAAATTGTGATTACTAACTTTGACATACATTGAGAAATCACATATATTCTCTTCATAAAATATTTACAACTACTTATAACTACAATGAATTTTATTTTTCTAAGACAACGTGTTTTTGAAGATCATGCCACCATGACTAAGAAATTTAACATTGATAATAACAGCTTTACTTTGAGCTAATAAATTCCTGAAGTGGATAAACAGCAGGACTAAAGATCTGATTCCAGGCGTTTCTGGTCATCTTTGAAGCGTGAACCTCCAACTAGTGTTTGTACACCTATGCCATCGTGATACTTCAGCATAGCAATTGCTTCAGCAGCTATTTGACTCGCTAGCTCTCTTGTGGGGCAAAGAATAAGAACGTATATTGGAGAAACCCGTGGATTGGCATTGCCACTTTTTGCTTTCAAAACTGCTTCAATTGCAGGAAGCTGTTGGTATTTAATAACAGAACAGAAAGAAAGAACCTAAAATATGACAATTTAATTCATAGGAATGTCATGGAAGTTGTAATCTACCAAAAAAGCTGCACTTTTGCCTGTTCCCGTTTTGGCTTTAACCAAAGCATCCTTGCCTGCTTCAAATTCAAATCAGAACCATAATTCATTTATTCATTAAATTGAGCAAAAAGAATATCATCCTAAGCAATTCAAATAATAAGCATGTGATCTATGAAAATTGTGATTACTAACTTTGACATACATTGAGAAATCACATATATTCTCTTCATAAAATATTTACAACTACTTATAACTACAATGAATTTTATTTTTCTAAGACAACGTGTTTTTGAAGATCATGCCACCATGACTAAGAAATTTAACATTGATAATAACAGCTTTACTTTGAGCTAATAAATTCCTGAAGTGGATAAACAGCAGGACTAAAGATGAAACGTAAGCCAAAAACAACATACCTTCAAGGCAAGCAGACAAAGTCGCCTCTTGCACCCTGGTCATTTGAACATAGCCAGCTGCTGTAAGTGCCTTCACAGTCAAAGAAGACAATCCACATTCATCAAATCTGAGGAAAGAAAAGCAGAAAATCACCAATTAACAGTCTGACCCACAAAGTAGTTACATTATAAAATTGAGAAACCATTTTGTTTCCCAGTCTTAAATCCTAAAGCCACCGCCAGTCACAAGTTGTAAAAGTTCTTTCTTTTTCAAATTATTTTTCATATTAGCAAAGAGAAAATTTAAGTAGATGAAAACAATCAATTCTACTTCTACTTACTATTATGAAATGATCAAATCACTTACCTTCTATGACTGAGAATCGATTCTTCCTCACCTTTCTCACTATTTTCCTCCTCGTTTCTAGCCAACTTTTTCTTCCCGAGCTCACGCCTTAGCAACTCCACCTCCCTTGCGAAATTTGTCTCGTCCTCAAGCTCTTTTAGTGGCACCCTTTTCGTCATCTTCATATCATACTTCCCCAAAGCAGCTCTACTCCCGATCGCCCCCACACTTCTCCCTCGCCTTTCTCCCTCATCATCTGAATCAAACCCATAATCTTCATCCTCGTGATCACTAGAAGAACTCTCATTTCTCCAAGATCTCCTCAGTTTATGAGAAGAGAAGCTCCTGTGCTTCTTTAAATCACTCGCTTTTCTTGAATTACTTGCGTTCCCAAGCTTGTCTGCCGAGTCATCTGCGAAATTCTTTGCTGAATGATCTCCCAAACCATGACCCAATTCATTGTCGCTGGTACTCTTATTCCTCCTAAATTTCCTCTGTTCTGGCACCAAATTAGGTTGAAAGTGCTTCATCGAATCACTTTTAGAGCCAAAATCCGAACCTCTCTGCATTGAATAATCCCTTGTTTTTGTGTAATTATGACTATTAGTGAAGTTCTCGCAATTCTGAGATATGTTAACTCCCCCTGATATAAGTTTCCTCAAATCAATTGGCGAATTGATCGATGTCGGCCGTTGATTTGGCCCGCTTAGTTCAGGCCTTTCACTTGATTTCGCCAATGAAGATTTCAACGGGCCGTCGTTTTCATTCCATAAGTCTTCGGCTCCTTCTTTCATGAAACGATCAGCAAGGGCTTTGATGTGGTTCTCGGGGCTCATGGGGCTGTAACTAGTAGTGTTTGTATCCGGGTTCAAATTCGGGTCAGGTTTTCCCGCCAGTTTGGCTCGGATGTTTGAGCGGATTCGAGCTTCATAGAGTTGTTTCTCTTGATCAAGAAGTCGCTTTTCCTTCTCTTTGGCTCTTTTCTCATGGAGGCGTTTCCATTGCCACTTGTTTAGTCCACCGGGGAAAGTCCGTGGACCGCCGCCCATGAACCGGACAAATATTCGGGTATGGAGCATACCTGAGATGGTTCTTGAGTGTTGAAGGAGGATTGACGTGGACATGGTAGAAACCAGACAAGATACTGCTTTCAAGAAGATGAATTAGCAAGGTTTTAGGGTTAAGAATTAAGAAATAGCATAACAGGTTTTGCAAATACTATAAGACTTCAAATTTGAGTGATCAAAAGCACAATTTATTTTATTAACTGCTTTACCTAATTTGGTTTATCTTTCAATGTTTGACAGTTTACATGCAACTTACAATAGTATATTATGAATAATGGTTTCAATTATATAATTACAATAACCTTTGTTCTCGGTCACATGATATTACTTGTCAGATTCATGTATATGTATTCTTTATAATAAAATGCAAAGAATGTCATAATTGACCTTTCTCATAATTTTTCACAAGACTTGATGCTAAAATACATCACAGCTCATTGTAATGACTCATCACCACATCATTGGCTTCAATGTTCAACTAAAGGTAAATAAACAACCACAAAACGGTTTTGCAATCAAGTCATAAGTGTTTTCTGATCAGGTTAAGAGGCCCAAAAATATATTCGAAGCCATTATTTTGATTTACTAATTGTTTATATATAATTTTTTTCAACAACTCAATTATCTCAATTTTTTTTTTCAATTCAATCCAGAAATTTTATTTTTATCCAAATCCAAGCTAATCGAAATTTAAAAGGTCATCAATTGAATAACTGTTTGCCAAATTGTCATCAATTAAATAACTATTGACAATAATATCATAATTCATAACTCATCTAACAATGTCAAAACATTCCATAAACAGAAGTGGAAAAACATAAAAACATAAGATCAAACAGCTAAGGGTAAGGCATGAAACCACTTATAGATGCTCGTAAATAATCATTTTGATATCTGATGCTAAAAAAATAACAGTAGCATTACTGCTATAGCTCATACTGTTAACACCAAAGAAAAAAAAAAAATTTATGGACAAATTTGACCTTTGTTTACAAATTCAAACAATATCTTTTTAATGGCTAAACCGTTCCAATTACCACAAACTTTACCAGTTGTTATTGCACCCTCAATTGAACTTCAATCCCTCAAGTACCCCAAACTTTTGTCACAATGCACCCTAAAATCAAAATTGGTCAAAATTCAGCTTAAAAAATTTTAATGGGGTTCCCACATCCTCTCTCTACTCCATGAGAGGTTCTGTTTCCTCCGTTGCAATTATCGGAATTATGATCATATGCATATACATATCCATGAATATTTAGAGATGGTAATCACCAAATTTTTATCAATTTCATTAACCATTCTGTGATACAACTTCAAAATCCCCAAAAATTTTAATTCAAATCCCTAATCTTTCTACTTAGCAATTTCTTCAACAAAACTGGAAATTAGTTGATGCAAATGGACTATTAAGCTAAAAGGGATAAATGTCAACTCACCTAATCAGGCGGAGTCGCCGGAAATGGCACGCCAGGCTAGAAAACACCACCTAACCTTTCTCCTCCTTTCCTTGCTTCGCAAATAGCAGGTCTCGCAAACAAAAAACAGAGCCTGGGATGAGGAGAGGAGGTCGAGAATGAAGAGAGAGCAGCTCCTGGCGCCGGCCTTGACCTTTAATTGGCCGGAATTTGGAGGAGGATGGTGGCTACTAGCCTACTATGAACGAGTGATCACGGGTTGAGCATCTTGGGAATAACGGGTTGGGTCCGGTTTGAGACTGTTACTGGGCTGGGCTTGAGGTTGGATCTCGGGACGGAGATACGAAGAGAAGGCACCTCTCTCGTGGCGTCAAGTAACAATGGAGGAGAGAGAGAGAGAGAGAGAGGAGGGAACCCTAATAATTTAATTTAAAATTTCTAATTGAATAAAATGAAAAACATACCGTGCAAAATAAATAAATATATATATATATATATATTAAATAAAAAAGAGAGACGAAGAGAGAGGAGGGAAACCCTAATAATTTAATTAAAATTTTCTAATTGAATAAAGATGGAAAACGATTAGCCGTGCAAAATAAATAGAATAGGATATTTTTATTATTATATATTATAATAAAAAATTTTTAATTTTTGCATTACATAGCCTGTTGTTGTTAAATCGCGTTCGACAAGGGGGTATATATACAATAAATATATATTGAAAGCAATTAAAAATTATATATTACTTAATTTAATGTATTAATGTCCTCAAGCATATAATTGTAAGCTGAAGAGTGGAAAGATGCCTAAAAAGCAAAAAAGATAGGACCCGGGTCCCGACTGAATAGCAATCAACCTAGGAGAATCCAATCAATGCCGCGTTATAACATTAAAATAATTAAAAATAAAATTTATTTATTATTATATATTTAACGTTAATTAGCATTTCCAAAATTGAATAAAAAATATCTATAATCTACGCTATAAATATATATCATTTTTCTATTTAAAATTAAATTAAACTTTCTAATAGAATTTAGATTAAATAGAAATTAATATAACAATAAAAATTAAACTATATTTATTTTAACCAATATTAAAGTTTTCAATGATATTTTTGTCGATCCATACATTTAGTAGGGGCACTTTAGAAACTCAATATTCCTCATTCATATTTTTATATATATTAGTTTTTTTTTTATGACATGTGTTGCACATTAACTATGCTCGTTATAAGTTCATTATTTATAGTTGTTTATTTTTTTTATTTATATAATATTAAAGTATAAATTCTTATTTGGATTGAGTGGTTAAATTATGTTGCACTTAATATATATAGCAAATAGTTTTTTTTTTCTTATATGTCAATATATTGTTTCATATAGTTTTTATTATATATTAATTGCTTTCATTTTTATTTTCAAGAAAAATCAAATTAATTTATAAAAATCATCATATAACTTCTATTATACATTTTATAATTAATTTACATATTTTGTTAATAACTTTCACTGCAATCTCTTGTAGTAAATAAATATAAGTTAATAGAGGAATAAGAAAACAATCTAATAGATCAAATTAAATATTTATAAATAATAATTATTTTTTATTTTTTTACCCAATCAAAATCATGAAGCATTTTAAAAAATTATTAATAAAATTATTTTTACCCAATCAAAATCATGAAGCATTTTAAAAAATTATTAATAAAATTATATTCTTTAATAGAAATAGAATTTGAATTATATAAGATGTCAATATAGCTAATTAAATTTGAGATGTTTAAAAATAATAATTTTTCATCTCATTTTTTGGCTAACCAAATTAGAGTGCAATTTATAATTAAAAAAAAATTTAATCATATCATTTTTAAATCAAATCTGAATCATCCACATATATTTATTTAAAATAAATTCAAAAAATATAAAATTTTTTAAATCCCTCATTTAAATATATTATTTAAAATAATAAATTTAAAATCAATAAGTTTAAGCTAAAGATTATAAATAAATAATAATAATAAAAAATTAAATTTATTTAAAATTTAATTAACTTCTTTATTAATATTTTAGTATAAATAATATAATGAAATATGAAAACAGTTTAAATGCTCTAATTATTTATATTGTATTGTCTCTATTTAAAAAAATCTAAAAAAATAAACATTCATCAATTTAATGTATAATTATTATATATATGATATATACTAGCCATACTAAAAGTTAAAATTTTTTTAATTGATTAAACAGCTAAAATGTTATTTTTGAATATTCAAAATTTCACAAACAAATATCACAATTTTTTCATTATTTCTCATCATTTCAACTTATAGGTACACTATATATAAGTTAAAATTTTTTTTAATTGATTAAAGCTAATGTTATTTTAGAATATTTCAAATTTCACAAACATAATATCAGCAATTTCATTATTTCTCATCATTTCCACTTATATATACATATATATACACACCAAAGGTTTAATCATCTCAAAATGAATTTGAATTTAGAATTACTAATATTTTAATGTTAAAAGTTTTTTTTATTTACGGAGTGGCTCAATGGGCAAATGAAATATTTTTAGATTAGACAATACAGATAGCTCTCTCATTTACTCATCAAATTAATAAAATTTAATTATTATTATTTTACATAATTTTATATTGAAATTTACTATATATAAAGTCAATTTCACTAAGCAAATTGATCTATCTTGTCACAAAATTGTTGAAGTGACCACTAACATAGAAACAAATTAAGCAAACCATAAAACTCAATCCTCCATAAATGGAAATAAATTTTACAAATCATACCAAAATAAGTTGCAATTTTAAATTATTAATATTATTCAAATACCAAATTTATAATTTCAAATCCAATTCTGTTATCCAAATTTAATTTAGTGGAAATTTACATTTGAAATGAATAAAAAATTTGAATTTAAATTTCAATATATACATAAAATTAAAAATAAAAGAAAATACTAATATAAATGTGAAAAATTATTCTATTTAATTATTTTTATTCTTTCATCTAAATAATACAAAAGTAAGGATATTACAAAAGTAAATTCTTAGATAAATAGGTGAACTAGGTTTGAGTTAGCCACAAAATTAGCACGAATAATCCTGATGTGATGACTTGATCCATCCACCAACACACTAATAATAGTAAGTTCCTCTTTGTCCAACATAAATGTTTTGTGCTCATTTTAGACATTAAAAAGAGTTGACTCCGTGGTTATCGGTTAAAATTAATAACTGTCGATCTTAATTTTTGTCTTCACTGTCCATCTATTTAATTACAATAATGAATTTCTGACATTCAAATCATATCTTATCTTTCTTTATTTTAATTTCTTTCCAACCAAACCACCATCTGATTACCACTACCATTTTAATTTTTTAACAATCTTCTTTCCTTTTGAGAAAATAAAAATAACCTTCTTAAAACTTGGCCTTTTTATTAATTTATTTTTTAGGAGATATAAAAACTAATATTCTAATTCAAAATATAAAACCACATATTAAAAATTATTAATATTTTAAAATTGTATCTTAAAAAGAAACTTTTCAGCACATTGAATTATTTGTTAAAGTGATTTGAATCGGAACTAACGTATTATATAGTAGCTATATATAGTTTGTTTAGTAAATGGTTTCTATTATATTAAACATAGAACTTCCTTGAATGAATTGATATTTTGTTCTGAACAATCAGTTTATTAATTTCTGTAGTTCAGCAAGCAAAAACATGACACAGTCAATAGAAACCAAGTAATTACTACTTTAGATGAAGAAATGAAATAAAAGAAATCCTATAAAAAGAAAATTTTGATAAAATATCTCACTGCCTTGATGTATAAATATACAATCGGTTTTCTCTCTTCTTGCAATCTCTCCATTTGCCACCCAACGGAAAATTAACCCGAAAACTAGCTAACAAATCAGATCACACATTTGCTTCCCTGTAGATCTGAGACACACGACGATGCCAAGCTCTTTTGACTCCCGCTTGATAAACTCCACGAGCGACTGACACACCAGAGGAACAGTGACCTGCCCTTTAATCATCGATCTTCATCACCAGCTCATTATCACTTTGAAGGAGGGAAAGAAAACCACCATTCTTTGCCAGCTTCAGACCTTCATAAACGCTCCATAGTTCAGCCATAGGGACTGAACAGACCCCTAAGTTGGCAGTAAAGCCAATACCCATCTCTAATAATGCCACATCTGTATTCATTTTAAACGAATCTGAGGGTGGAGGCCACCAACTTATCCACTGCTGCAACCGCAGAGGCCGATCACGGTGACTGAGAACTTGGCCTTGCTTCACGCATGTAACTTCAAAGGCATATCGATGTCCCATAATGCTATTTGCAAGGGAAGCCACAGTTTGAGAGTGCCCAAAAAAAATTACCTTATTTCTGTACTCCACAGAAAAAATCATCTTGATCCCAGCAACTAGCCTTGCTTTATTTTCTGTTTCTTTTTTCAAATTTAACTTAGTTTTAGCTGTTTGCTACTAAAATCTATACTCTTATAACATCAACTTTTCAGCTTTTTGATATTTGCTAGCGAAGGAATACCTTATCCCTAAACTCTCCATTACAGCCTTTCTTTCAAATCTTCTTCCAAATCTCATGCAACAGAAACCTCAGATCTCTCTCATCTAAAACAAAACCAGACTGTTATAACCACCAATAGCCTCAACTCGTTTTTCTTCCTCCTCAAGGTACAAACTCTTTTCATTTTTTGTTTCTTTGTTTGGATTTCAAATAAAAATTATTTCTGAACATTTTTGGATTTTGGTTTTTCTTTTGTTTAATGGAATCAACTTAATTAGATATGGTGTTATTGATAAGGTTTTGTGTTTAGAATTTTATTAAATGAAAAGTTTGACAAGCTTATGGATTTTTATATATGTGTTTATATAAAGAAGGAGATAAACAAGTTTATATATGTGTTTATATTTACTCTTTTTATTTTTCACGAGGGTTTCTGAAATTTGAGTTACACATATATAGGGTGTAATTTTATTGGGTAATTCAAATTGTCGTAATTTGATGTGAGTTATAGAATTATTGTATGTGCAACTTTTCACTTGATATAAAATCTTACTATCTATATATATATATATATAATCCTGAAATAAAAAATAAGTTCAAGACGCTTTCTACGTCAGCATTTCTATTTATATATATATAATCCTGAAATAAAAAATAAGTTCAAGACGCTTTCTACGTCAGCATTTCTATTTATCTTTTTTCATAGAATTTTGAATTTTCTTTCAAATTTTATTTCTTTTTACTATAATTTGATTGGATGTTAATATTATATAATTATAAAACCATATTTACATATTTTCTATAACAAAACAATATATTGAATTTTAAAATTAAGAGATTATCTTTAGATGCAGAGATTTATCTGATTTTTTTTCTTCTTTATATCAATAGATTCTTTCTTTTTTCCCTTGAAGTATCTCTCTTTATGGTCTCCCGTTTTACTAATGTCATGCTTATCAATATTTATATATGCTTCAAATTTGACAAACGACCACCTGCAAACTGTTTCATGCATTAATTACGTGACTAGTCAGTTTTCAACAAATTCTTATTGGGTTTGTAAAATGTTAAGAGGGTAATAATGCAAATATGTGGAAATTAAGGTACATGAACACCGGGTCTAAGCAGCATTTTGATGATTCAAATTTGAAGCATATATTTCTGCAACTAATTTGGCTCTGAATAAGATCAACTTTAGTAACTCTCTTGATTGGAACTATACCAACTGGACAATCTTTACCGTTTTGCCATATGTCTAATTTATGTTTCAAGACTGATGAATAATTACTGTTAGATTATAGCCGATTTCGAGTGGGACCCGTGGAAAAATACCGGTGGTAAAAGTAAAATAAAATTACTATTACTACATATACCTCTAATAATTTCGTGTTGAATATTGACGATCGAATCCATCAGAAATAATAATCACGGTAAAAATTAAATAATTACCGTAAATGCCAGATGAAAAAATAAGAACACCGAGATTTACGTGTAAATGCCAGATGAAAAAGAACACCGAGATTTACGTGGTTCATCCCTTCAACTTTTGGGCTAACTTCACGGTCACAAACAAACTCCGAAATAAATCTTCTACTAACAATATGGTCAGGTATCAAAAGAGATTACTCAAAAATAGTGGCTAATCTCTACAGTGTTTTTAACAAAAAATCACCTCCAAATAGTTTCCAATCCTCACTATCTTTCTCTCTTTTCCAATTTTTAGGAACCCTTTCCTAAAATTTTCTATACACTCTATATATCTCTACTACTTCTTGTTTTTGTACGCTTTCAAATAAGCGAAAACCTTCTGCACTTTATTATAGGAAAGAAAGCGGGACGCAGTGGAAGCAGTGGACGCGTTAATCACGCGTCCACTTGTCCTTTTTTTCTTTCTTTCTTTGGCACCATCCTTTGAATAACAAAATGAACGTGTTTTTTTTTTTTCTTTCTTTCTTATTTCTTCGGCATTCTCTTTTTGACTGCCACCAAAACAAAAAACGTGTTTTATATTTTTTTCTTTTTAAATGTGTGTGGGTCCCACATGTCGGAGGGACCCCACAATAATTACTTTGCCTCCTTCATGTAGGATAGGAAGTAGGTTTCATCTGCAATATTTCAACCGTAAATACTAAATATTTAATTTAGATTAAAGAATGAAGAAGATTTAAAAGAAAGAAAGAAAAAGAAAAAAAAAAAAAAAACTGAAATGATAAGGTAAGTGAATGATCAATGCAGGTTGCTTGTAGAAGTCAACACAATCATATGTACTCCATATGTTTGTCATTGCATGTATGAAAAATATCACAAGACAGAATATTAATGATATAATCAATTATATAAAAAAGGGTTATTTTCTTGACGAGAATGGTTCTAACTGCTGGCTTCCGTAAGGCGTTTAATAGCGTCCCTCCTCCCAATTCTAAATCCATCTTCTGCCTGAAATAGTCCTTACTAGCCTACGACATCTATTAATAAAATAAGCATGTTGATTAATAAATTTTAATTTCTGACATAATAAAATTGGTAGAGATTTGTCATGAGTAAACAAAAAAAAAAAAAAAACTGAAATGATAAGGATGATCAAATGCAGGTTGCTTGTAGAAGTCAACACAATCATATGTATCTCCATATGTTGTCTGCATGTATGAAAATATCAACAAGACAGAATATTATGATATAAATCAATTATATAAAAAAGGGTTAATTTCTGACGAGAATGGTTTCTACTGCTGGCTTAGTAAGGCGTTTAAGCTCCTCCTCCAATTCTAAATCCTCTTCTGCTGATAGTCTTCTGCCTACGACTCTATTAATAAAATAACTGTTGTTAATAAAATTTAATTTTGCATTAATAAAATTTGAATTTGTCATATAACGACAAGATATAATTCCTTTTAAGTTGTGCATAAAAGGAATGAGAATCATATTTATAATAGTATGAGATAAATTCCTCTTAATTACTCCATCCATCCTAAAATTATTCCCCAAATTACTTTTTTCTGGCATTTCACGACACAATAGAAGCGACTCTCAGCCCGCTTCTTCTGTATTGGGCCAGATTTGGTATATGGGCCTAAATATTGGGCTTGGAAGTCCAGTAATTCTGCATTGGATTTGGACAGGATTGTTGTCTTCTCTCGCGTGCTCCTCTCTCTGGCCCTCTATTACTACCACATGACATCTTAAGAAAATTACTATTTGAGCATTTAAATATTAAAATTCTCCTAAAAAAAAAAAAAAAAAAACATTAAAAATTGCAGCCTTTCGGAAGTAATTATGTACAGACAAAATAACATGGTCTTTGTATTCTTCTCATCGTTTTCTAATATGAGTTTCAGATCTTATATTCATAATTTTAATTGGGAACTGCTCTTTTCTTTACTGTAGGAGTAATATGAGTTTCAGATCTTCTATTTCTGATTTTAATTTTCAAATTCAATAGTTTGTGCTCCGAGAGAGAACTCACCTACTCATGTACAGTCAAACTGAGAGGTGATTCAATAAAAAATGAAGTTGAACAGTGGTAACTGATCTGCGATGAGTTAGCCGAGGATTTACAGCTTCGGACTGGTGGAGTTGGTGTGATGGTGGAGCTGGGTGTTTCACCGCCACAGATCCATTGACGGTCTATGATAACGACGCATCGCACGCCGTTTAAAACCAATCACGTCGTCGTATTTATATTTGTTTGGTATTGTCCTCTACCTTTATCCATCAAGTAGCCTTATTACTATTGTTGTTAATAATAATTTCAAAAAAAAAAAAAATTGTTATTGATAATTATTTTCTCTGCTGCAAGCTGCAGCATCTGAAGTAAAGATCTTAACTTGGCAAAGTTAGGACATGGACTTATCAGGAATAGAGATTTAAGTAGTGCAGGAGTGGCAATTTTATTGGTGATGGATGGTGATGTGGTCAGCTCCAAACTCTAATGCAAATATGATATTCATACTCGGCCACTTGTTTCTGTCTGCCACTTGCAACCATTGCCTATCCCCTCCAAGCACCAATTTTTTAAACAACTATATAATCGAGTCCAAATAACTCAGCAACCAATACCTTCCATACAATATAACATAAAACAAAAGTGAGGGTCAGGGCAGCCATTAAAATATTTACACCAAAAGAAAATCAATATAAACAAGAATCAATATTCGGTTCAGAATAAAGAGTTTATTAGCCATTAAAAGAGTTCTTGGACCTTTGATTCTTTTTTTATCTTAACCTGACTTTGATTCTTTCTTTTATAGTTCAATAACACAGTTGTTTTTTTTTATATGGGTACGGTCATCAATCAATCAATCATCCTTCAAAGAAAAAAGTCCACACCACCACGACGCACTACCAGCCGCCCCAAAAGTAAACGCTCATGATATATACTAATATACTGCTACTTCAATATTTGGGTGGTGCATACTTTTTCTGTTCTTTAGTTTATTACTAATATTTTGTGTATTGCCTTGGTGCCATTATAATATCAATGACTAACGTCATGCCCCCCAAAAATACGTTGTCTCCTACCTCCACCTCTCTTACTTCATTTTCCATTTCTTTCTTTGGTCAATGGGTGTTCTACCGCAATCTTCATATCTCTGTTATTCTACAACTACAAGCTACCTTTGAGATCAGATAATCATGTACTTGGTCTACTTTTTCTCCTCCTCTTCTTCCCCTTCCTTATACCTTGTTCTTGCTTTTGTTCTTTTGTCCCAGTGATGGGGATGATTACGATTGATGTTAAAGACAATAACTTTCTTGGTCTTTCTTGCTTGGGTTATCCAATAATACCAAGACCAAGAATCATGGTCTTGTTGGTTCTGGTATTAATAATATTACTTTCACTGCCTTCTAGCCATGCTGCAGTTTTCTGCAATCAAGATGATCATGATTCTCTTCTGCCCTTTTTCTCTAACGTATCCTCTTCTTCTTCTCCTTTGAATTGGTCTGCTACTATTGATTGCTGCCTTTGGGAAGGAGTTGAGTGTGATGTAACTGACGGTAGAGTCACTCGTCTTTGGTTACCCTTCAAAGGCCTTACTGGCTTTCTCTCACCTTCTCTTGCCAATTTGACCCATCTATCTCAACTCAATCTCTCTCATAATAGACTTTTTGGTCCTCTTCCTCCCAGCTTTTTATCTTCTCTCGATAGTCTCCAGATTCTTGATCTCAGCAATAATCGTCTATATGGGGAAATACCGTCTTCTCATGAAAATAGCACCAATACAGCTATCCAGATAGTGGACTTATCTAGCAACCACTTTAGTGGGGTAATTCCATCCAACTCGATTCTCCAGGTAGCTAGGAATATGAGTAGCTTCAATATTAGCAACAATAGCTTCATTGGCCAAATTCCGTCCAACATCTGCATTGTTTCTTCTTACACCCTGACCATTCTCGACTTCTCTGACAATGATTTCAATGGCAGTATTCCCTTTGGAATAGGGGAATGTTCCAATCTGAGGATTTTCTCTGCAGGTTTCAATAATCTCTCAGGGACAATTCCTGAGGATATTTACAACGCTGTCTTGCTGGAACAACTCTCATTACCTCTCAACAACCTGTATGGTATCATCAGCGATTCCTTGGTCAATCTGAGGAACCTCAGAATTCTTGATCTATACTCTAATCAGTTGACTGGCTCAATACCACAAGATATTGGCAAGCTCTCTGAATTGGAACAGTTGCAGCTTCACATCAACAATCTCACAGGTTCTCTGCCTCCATCTCTAATGAATTGTACTAAACTAGTGACATTGAATTTGAGGGTCAATTTTTTAGTAGGGGAGCTCTCTGCCTTCAATTTCTCTTCATTTTTCCGACTTAGCATCCTTGATCTCGGTAACAACAACTTCACAGGTAATCTTCCTAAAAGTCTTTATGCTTGTAAATCGCTAAGAGCAGTTAGACTTGCCTATAATCAGCTGGAGGGACAGATTTCACCTGAAATACAAGCACTAGAGTCTCTGTCTTTTCTGTCTGTTTCTTACAACAACTTAACCAACCTTACTGGAGCAATCCGAATTATGATGGGCTGTAGTAACCTCACTACTCTTATACTCTCTGTGAATTTCATGCATGAAACCATACCAGATGAAGAGGCATTAAACTCAACTGGATTCGAGAACCTCCAGGTTTTTGCCCTGGGTGCTTCTCAACTGTCTGGCCAAGTACCCACTTGGCTAGCCAAGCTCAAGAACCTAGAAATCTTGGACCTGTCTGTTAATCGAATCACAGGTTTGATTCCCAGTTGGTTAGGTAGTCTGCCAAGTCTTTTCTATATAGACTTGTCTTGTAACCTCCTATTTGGAGAATTTCCAAAGGAACTCACAGGATTGCCAACACTAGCATTTAAAGGGACTAGTGAGCTAATTGGTCGGAGTTATCTTCCATTACCTGTGTTTGCACAGCCCAATAACGCTACCTATCAGCAGTACAATCAACTGTATAACTTACCACCAGCTATATACTTGGGAAACAACAGCCTTAGTGGAGATATCCCAATAGAGATTGGCCAATTAAAGTTTATCCATGTGCTGGATTTTAGTAATAACAACTTCTCTGGCAACATTCCTGATCAACTATCAAATCTCACCAACTTAGAGAAATTGAATCTCTCTGGAAACAAGCTATCTGGAGAAATCCCTGCATCACTCAATGTTCTCCATTTCTTATCTTCATTTAGTGTCAGTGATAACAATCTTCAAGGACCTATACCATCTGGAAGTCAGTTTGATACCTTTCCAGTTTCGAGCTTTATGGGAAATCTGGGATTGTGTGGTCCAATTTTACAGCGTTCGTGCTCCAATTCATCAGAACCTTCCCATCCTAGTACGCGCCATAAAAGAACAAACACAAAACTTCTTGTTGGACTTGTACTTGGAAGCTGTTTTGCAACCGGTTTATTTATTGCTGGGCTGGCTCTGTGGATATTGTCAAAGAGAAGGATCATTCCAGGAGGGGACATGGAAAACATAGAGATGGATACGCTTTCTAGCAACTCCATATTGCCTCTTGACTCTGACAAAGATACTAGCCTGGTTATATTGTTCCCTAACAATACTGATGAACTCAAGGATCTGACCATATCTGAACTCTTAAAGGCCACTGGCAATTTCAATCAAGCAAACATTATTGGCTGTGGTGGTTTTGGTTTGGTCTACAAAGCAACATTGGCAAACGGGACCAAGCTGGCTATTAAGAAACTCTCGGGAGAAATGGGTCTCATGGAAAGGGAATTCAAAGCAGAAGTAGAGGCTTTATCCACAGCACAACACGAGAATCTGGTTTCATTGCAAGGTTACTGTGTGTATGAAGGTTTTAGGCTGCTTGTGTATTCCTACATGGAAAATGGAAGTTTGGATTACTGGTTACACGAGAAGGTTGATGGTGCATCCCTGTTAGACTGGCCAACTAGACTTAAGATTGCAAGAGGAACAAGCCGTGGTCTTGCTTACATGCACCAAATATGTGAGCCACACATTGTTCATCGCGATATAAAGTCAAGCAACATCCTTCTTGATGACAAGTTCGAAGCACACGTAGCAGATTTCGGATTGTCTAGGTTGATTCTTCCCTATCATACTCATGTTACAACAGAGCTGGTTGGTACTCTAGGTTATATTCCTCCGGAATATGGGCAAGCATGGGTAGCCACATTGAGAGGAGACATGTATAGTTTTGGGGTTGTAATGCTTGAGTTGCTGACTGGAAAGAGACCTGTGGAGGTATTCAAGCCAAAAATGTCAAGAGAATTGGTCGGCTGGGTCCTGCAAATGAGGAGCGAAGGCAAACAAGACCAAATCTTTGATCCTATCTTAAAAGGAAAGGGATTTGATGATGAAATGCTGCAAGTGCTAGATGTTGCCTGTAAGTGTGTAAATCAGAACCCTACAAAGAGACCAACTATTAAGGAAGTTGTCGAGTGGCTGAAAAATGTAGGTTCAAACAGAAACCACAATAAGGATTAGGAAATGCCCTTCTGCACATATAAGAATACAGGTATATATATATATATATATATTGTTTGCACAGAATGTCTGGTTCTGATTGTATAGTTTCACATCATTTTACTGTTGTAAATGTGAATTTCACTTATCATACTAGTCTAAAGATTTAGAAAAAGAAGAAAATTTAAATCAAAGTGATATGGTTGTTTTCTTAGAATCCATATGCAGCTAAACATCACTTATCAAATTAATGCAGTAGCAGCAGGTTATGCAACATAAGTTTCCATCCAATTTCTATAATCTTCAAATTACTCTAACCCGTTTTTCGGTATAAATAAATTTACAAGTGACCATTTTCATCTATACCAAATATGAAACTTGAAATTCACGTGCATTTCATAAACATTTTGTAGAATTTTTAAATCAATTGTAAGCAAAGATTCTGATAATCCTTACTAAAGCTTCAAGTAGAATATATACATAAATTGAAGAAGGAAAACAGATTTTTGAATCATGAACCACAGTAAATCGATAATGGAAGAACAGAAGAAGCCTGCTTTGGAACAAATTCAAGTTGTTAATATGGAATGAAGTGAAATCACTGTAATATGAACCACCATTAACAATTTCAAGTATCACCATATTCATTCGTTTTTTTTTTTTTTTTTTTTTTTTGATTTTGCAATCGCATAAACCACGAATCGTTATAATGGAAGGCAAAGAAACCCTGCTTTGGAACAATTGCAAGTTGTGTGTAATATGGAATGAAGTGAAATCACTGTAATATGAACCACAATTAACCAATTTCAGTATACACAATAATTCATTGTGTTTTTTTTTTTTTTTTTTTTTTTTTTGGCTCTCCATTGATACTTTGGTGTGAGTTTTTTTTTTTTTTTTTTTTTTTTTTGGCTCTCCATTGGATACTGGGTAGGAGTCAAAACATTATGGGTTTGACCTTCCTATGTAGGCTTCAGTACCAGGTATTTTGAGGGAATGAAGTGCCTAGTGAAACATAAATATCATTTAGGGAATGAAGTTTCTGGTTGAAATTGATAATTAAAAATTTAATGCCACTATTTCAGTCTCACAGAATCAACAATAGATAAAATATCACATACAGGAGTTACATGCGATTATTAAAAATATTTGTTTAATTACTATTTTAGTATTTAGCAAACTATCCCTACAGATTAAAGGTTGTCTTCGAAATGAAGACGAGTCTATAGATCTGGATCATCAGAAATGGAGGACGTTAACACCAATTCGGCAAAACAAAGGCAAGTTTATCTAATCTTAAGATTCTACCATATCTAATATATTAAAAAATGATTATTATATTAAGCTCTTGACTTAGATATGCTGTTGTTCTTGGAGCTAATAAAGGAATTGAACTAGAAATATGTCATCAATTAGCATCAAACGGAGTTTTAGTAATATCAACGACTAGATATGAGAAGAGAGGTTTAGAAGCTACCAGAATACTTCAAGAACATGGATTATCCAATGTGATTTTTCATCAACTTGATGTCATTGATGCAGCTAGTATTGATTCACTGGCAAAGTTTATCAGAACCAAATATGGAAAACTTGATATTCTGGTGAGTAAAAAAAGAACACTTTAATTAGTTGAACAAAAGAATAAGGTGATAGATTTCTCAGTTCAATTTTAATGCAGGTAAACAATGCAGGAGTTGGAGGACTCTTCATAGACCGGAAAGCATTAGAAGCCTTCAAAGTTAAAGGAGGTGCAGTAAGTCCTCAAGCTGTTACCGAAATATATATTTCATCGTACTTTATAGACTTATTTCATTACATTCCATTGCGAGTTTATTAAATGGATGCAGTTTAACAGATGAGAATGCAGAATTGTTAAAAGGCATTGTTCAGCAGACAGACGAGATGACCGAAGAATGCCTGAAAACTAATTATTATGGAACCAAAGATGTAACTGAATCACTTATTCCACTTCTGTAACTCTCTGACTCTGCAAGAATAGTGAATATTCCATCCTTCTATGGATAACTAAAGGTAATAGAGAAAGATTCATGAAAAAGTAACAAAAATGGAATTGAAACCCTAATATCTTGAGTCTTGTACTCCTCCCTTTGCAGTTTATCAACAATGAGAATGCTAAAGTGCAGCCAGAAAATGTTGAGAGCTTAACAGTGGAAAAACTAGATGAGATTGTGCAATGGTTTTTAAAGGATTTCAAGGAGGAAAAGTTGCTGGAAAATGGCTGGCCTCTTACTGTATCTGCCTACAAAGTTTCCAAAGCTGCTAGAAATGCCTATACCAGTCATTGCAAGAAAGTTCCCTGTATTCTGGGTAAATTGCGTGCATCCTGGGTTGGTCAAGAGAGACATGACAGCAAACAGAGGAAACTTGACTCCTGAAGAATGTGCAAGAGTTCCAGTGACATTGGCTTTGCTGCCTTATACTGGTCCTTCAGGCCTCTACTTTGATCAGATGGATGTTTCCAACTTTTGATGGAAGACAATCAACGATCAATTTCATTTGGTGTAAGAACTAAGTTGCAATGTTAATTAAAAGCATGAAGGCAATGGAAATAAGATAAGAACATTAATTCATGTCAAAAAAAAAAAGCAAGAACAAGAACATTAATTGCATGATTTCCTTCTTAGTATCAGAAGAACAAATGTTTTTACATTAACTAAGGCACTGCTTACAAACAGAAGACATCGACCCAAATTTTACTTCTTTGCAGAACATAATACAGACTTCATCTTCTCTCCATTCTTTTAACACCGATAAAACCATCAACTAATGAATCAGAATAGTCAATAAAAAGGTTCTCTCTTCAGGCTTTAGATCGATTGCTAGCAGCATTTCGTCTTGCACAGCATCCCACAAAGTAAATCATTGACTGGTATTTACAGCAGATGAAAGGGGAAAAAAAAGTTAAAAAACTTTACTATCCAGAAATGAGTGTAAAATGAAGAAATAAGAACAACACAATCATAAACTTGAAAAATATGATCTCATAATGAAAGCCCTTGTGACCTTCACAACAACACACGGCAAATGGAATGTAGACACATGATGAAATGTATTAACTTACCAACACAACAAATAAAATGACATTAAATATTGCAACCACTCTCCACTCAGTTTTCATGTATTCTGCAACTCCAGCCCTAAAAACATGATTGCAAGAGTTTATTAGGAAAAATGTTATTACAGAAATAGGACAGGAAAATATGAAGTGAAAAGACCATCAAAAGTGATACTTACTTGCAGGAATCACAGTTGTAGCATTTTGTAGTCCGAGAATTTTTGTAAAGTTTGCAGTCCTTATTGGAGCTAATTGGGTGGAAGCTCAAATCGTAGTATGAAGCATTAACAGCAGGATAACCACATCTGTCAAGTAATTTAAACACAAAGTAACTTCAGTAGTCAGTAGATATCGTTATCAATTTTATCAATAGTTGTTTTGTAAGATCTGTAAATTCAAATATTCATTGGACTATCGTGTAAATCTCCAGAGCAATGAAACTTAATATGGTGCATTACCATCAACAAGGAGGAACAAGAAAACATGGCATTTCATTTCTACATTATAACAGATCGAAAAACTTAACATGAATGTGATTGAAGGAATGCAGAAAAGGGAATTCAATAAAGGCACTTACTCAGATGGTGGTCGGCAGCAACCGGCTTCAATAGGGGTTAGTTTTGCTGACTTGTACTGTTTAAGAGTCTGCATTTAAAAATAAAAAGCATCAAATTTGATGTTTCAGAAATTTGAAATTGGCAAGTTAGCATATTTGAATCTAGGAGGCAGACCTTATACTTTTTGGATAGATTATTACAGTCGTCAGACTTCACAAGACAACTCTTCAATCGCTTCCAGTTTTTGGTATTATTCAACTAAAAAAGTCCAAAGTTAGTAAAATCACATGTAATTTTTTAGTTTAAACTAATACTACAGTGTGTACCAAAAAGTAGACACTCCATTATAAATACTATATACAGCTGATAAGGTAAAGCCATTTACCTGTTTAAGAAACCATGAGCTAAAATCCTGAAGTTGATACTCCTTGTACCTGACCAGACAACAATATATCAGTAATTGACATCATACCTAGTTTAGCAGAACATCCATGAAGTATACTGTGGAAGTGAAATGCTTTACAGCAAATAAAAAGGATCAGAGGAGGGTGAAAAATACAGGGAGAGGGAGAGGATTAAGGGGACTGGACAAGATATGATATTAGCATATTCTTTGTTCATTTTTATCCTTCTTGCTTGCAGTGGGATTGGGGATAACTAGAACAAAAAGAAAGAGATGAGCACAGGTACTTTGTTTGGAAATTGCAAGTTTTCTTACCTCAAACCAGGGACGTTATGACCAGATCCATTGTTTGTCACAATAAACCTATAACAAAGTCCAACCAGTAGCAAAATATACCCATTATAAATTCCAAATAATAAGAATAATGCACAAATCACAATAAGAGATGCATGCCTCCTCTGTAGGATATACATAAAATGTTACAACCATGAAACTCCATGCTAATTCTTCAACTTCTCTTAGGCGACCTCTAAAAAGCAAATAAGGGAATCGGATAAGAAGCTAGAATCTATTACTCTTGCTAGGGGTGGCAATTCATGTTAGTGGGTTGTATTCATGTCACGTCGAGTTATACCTATAACACAATTAGGGTCAACATGAATATAACACCATCTAAACATGAAACTGATCCACTTAATAAATAAAGAACAGATTTTAAATTTCAAGCAAAAAAAAAAAGCTTAAAAATTAGCAAATTGATCATATGAAAAGATGGGCTTCACATAGAAGTTAGCCCAATTAGTACAAATATTAGTCTTTACTGCAGAGAGTGGATCTGAAAATCAACCTCATTAAAACAAGGAAAGGTTGAACAATAACATGACGATGAACTCCTGAATTAGTTGGGCGAAACTATGCGTGATAAATAAACCAATAGACAAACTAGGAAAAAAGAAACAACAATGCGTTTGCAGAAAAATGGACAAGTTCATGCACAAATTTGAACAAAATAAGGAGTTATCATGGTGAGAAAGTTGATCCATCTTATAACAAGTCTACATCTGTGTTGAAAATATATATATTATATGTCGAGCAAATCAAACTAAAGCAAAACCAAAACACTTACGCCAATACAGTGAAAACAAGTATTGCCACCAAAATTATGCACAGCATAATGAGATACTGCAAATGACCCGTCAAGGCGTATCCTTTGAATACTAGAACAAATAGACTACACTAAATTTAAAATATATATATATATGGATAACTTAAATATGAAAAGTTCCACTAGTAAGGATACAATCCACAGCAGTACGGAGTTGTTCTTCAATGCACCCAAGAAACCAATTATCGATCTGAAAATCAAGGAAAAGACTTTATCTATTAGTGTTTTTATGGAAACGGTAAAAAGTAGAAAGATAAATGGTAAAACTTACATTATAAATATGAAAGCCCCAAGGCCTAGCACAGGGAGGGTGAGAGACCTTCTGCAACTGTCATGATGCGTGCTCATCCATACCCCAAAAATTATTACAGTTATAGCTAAAAGCTACATATTAAGGAATCGAAGTAAGCATTAACCTAAAATGCTACAAGAAAGATAGCAAATTTACCTCTATTATATTGAAATTTAGCTAAGCACCAAAACTTTTGAGCAGATATTCTAGCAAGTGAAAATTTTAAGAATTTAGCTTGAAAATTTTAAAAATTTTGCTGGATTATGCAATGTACCTTGAGTATTTGTCTACAAAACCAATTAGTAAGATGTGTGAAACCTAAAATAATTATTAATGTGAAAGAAAGTATACAACTTCAAAACGAAAAAATGAAGAAAGGATAAAAATTTAAAAAAAATACAACAAAAAAAAAAAAAAAAGAAAGACACAAAACCAAAAGAAACAAACTTCAATTCAGAGTTTTCCAGGAAATGAAGCAGTCATTACTTCCCAGTAACAGAAAAACCCATTAAAGAGAAAATTGACAACACCAAAAGACAACCAAGAAAATTTGAAATGCCAATTAAGAATGTGGTATATAATCTACTAGAAAAGCTTAAAAAATAGGAGCAAAATAAACAAAAGCAAGAAAGAGAGAGAGAGAATCAGAAAGCATACCATGGTGAGTAAGTTGATCCATCTGATCACAAAGTTGCTGGTGCCTATACCCATTTTCCCTTTTCTATTTTAGCTTTCTCTGTGAGGTTTCACTTAAAGGAAGAAAGCAACAGAGAAAGGGAAAAATAACAGAATTTTAAAGATATTTTCCAAGAAACAAAGAAAGACGACAGTAGTTCCTTGTGAGCTAGCTCTTTGAAGTGGCACTTGCACTACAAGCAACGGAAAGGGGAATAGGAGGGCAAGCAGGCCGGCTGTGCGGTTGTGTGGGGATAATGCCAGAAAATTGAGGGTATTTTGGTCCACAAAATACAGCTGCACATGGATCTTGTTTCCCAGTGGTTGTATCACAGGACACGACACGATACCCTTCTAACAGAAACCGCAGCTAATCCTTAAACACAATTCATTTTCTTCTTCTTTTAAGCTGTTGTTGGTCAATGTATAATACTAATCATTGTCATGTGATGTTTTGTTGGTATGTTGATATGTAAGCAAGAAGTTAGCTTCTTTAGGACAACACTGCGTTCGAAAACTTAACCGGAAAATATCAGATGCCCATCTCTGTCTTAATCGACTTTTATTTTATTGTTCCTTCTTTTTAACTGCAGTAATGCATTAAAAGCCATGGAAGCAACAAAAAATACAAGCAAAATGGGAACTTTTAAAGTTCAAAATTTCCAAAACTAAAAGTTTTGCTACAAGCCTATCCGAATCTAGCAAGAGGCAAGAAGCCAAAACAATATAAATATATATTGTTGTTAAAGCATTTTATACAATTAATTTAATATAATTTTAAACCAATTTAACGAGCGAGGAAGACAAATTGAAAATTTTTTTTATGAAAGAAATAACTGCGAATCTCGAAATAAAACTAATTTCACATCAAATAAAATATGAAATTACTGGAGAAAAAAAAAGTTAATTATAATTATGTCTGAATAACATGATTCTGACCCCACATAATTTTTTACTTCTAGTAGTCTTAGATCAGCTTGTTTCCCTTAACAGGAGTTGATGCTCTGATGAGATTGTACTGTTATTAGCCTTTGGTCTTTCCTTTATAATCCTTTGCTTGTTGGAATGAAATCCTATTATTATCACTTGACGAAAAAAAAGGAGTACCTGTTAATTAAAATTGTAATACAAAAACTAGTCTAAAAATATATTCCGCGACCTGCAGAGATTAACCGAACTTATGGCAATGAGTTGGAGCGGGTAAAAATGAAATATCAGAGTTTAGGACTAATATTGGCTAATTTGCCAATCAGAAATAAACAACCTTATCTTGCCCCTTGATATAATGAAAAAAAGCTAATCTCTTTATGTATTTTAATCAATCAATTAGTCAATTACTAACAACTGAAAAGCCTTGATCATTGATAGCAGACTACACAACTGCTATTTAGTCTTTTGCCCTTCACAGATGTTATTGTAGTTCAGAGTACAAAGACCAATAATTATGCTTTGACTGGATATCTTGTATACACACGTGAATGTATAACACAGTGTTTGTCTAGAATTTTCCATAAAACCCTTACTTAAGAATACTGAGTCTTTCACTTAAATAAGTACACTGCTGTCATAGAGAACTGATAAACAAATGAATAATTTAGTCACAATTATCAGCGTACATCCCCCATTACCTATACTAAAAATTAAACAGTGGTAATGTGAGATTTTAGGGTAGAATAAGTTGCAGCTACAGACTCCATATATAACCATTTAACAATCCAGAGCTCTTCATTTGATTAAAGAGTGAGAATAAATTATCCAACATGAGTTGAATGCGTTATTAAATTTGAACACCAATGTAACCTGTCAATTGAACTATAGGAGGGATTACCACCAACAAAGAAGCAAAAAAATCCTAAAAAGATGAAAAAAGGAAATAATGAAAAACACTGAAACAAGATCTTGTTTTGACTATCTAGCAGACTTCAGAGTTAAACCTGGAGTCTCAATGCAGGAAAGGTCTCCCACTGACGGGATAATTAGGAGGGAATTCAAAATTTAAGATTCCGCGAACAATCATTCTACTCTACTAGCACATGATAAAATTGTAGATTTCATTTCTTCTTTACCCAGTGATGCTTCAACTATCACCTGCTCAAAAATAAATAAATAAATAAATAAGAGGAATTATCATCTGTAACTCATTCTTTAATATGTTTTATAATGTAATTAGTTCAGCTTTGAAAAGTCATTTTTTCCTCTTTGTATATGGCCACACCTCAGCCCTTGACTTCATTGGCATTTTCTTGATCAAGTAAGATTTCATTAAGAAAATTTTGTATCAGGTGAAAGTCAAGGGCTTTAAACATAACAGTATAAAAATAGCAGAATCTGTATGGTTTTAAGTTTTAACATTGAAGTCAAACTAAAAACAAGCTCTTATCATGTATTATACCTAAATATTTAAAAGAAAAAACTCATTAAGCCGCAGCAAAAAAAAAAAAAAAAAAATCAACTTTTGGAGGAAAGTCTATTAGCAACAAGCAGCAAGCCATTGAAAGTAAGCACATGCAATAATAATTAAAATACTAATCATCCGCGGTTTGGAGTCATGGAGTACGCATCTTGAGTAGGAATTTAAACATAATGGCCCTCGACTCGAAAGGGATTAGTCTCCCGTCTAACTGTTGAGAGTACACCCTTAGTAATACCAGAAAAAAAAAAAAAAAAAAAAGATGAACTTATATTCTCTAGAGGGATCATATTTTCAGTTCACAAAATTCATATCCCTGAAGGGAAGCGTAAGAGAGCATAAGCAATCTAGTTATGTTGCTTCGTGCAGCATATACAAGCAACATATATGAAATTTTTACCTCTTGCACTTTGTTTCCAGATCGAGCAAGCAACTTGTACTGGTTCTCAAACATGGACGCCATATAGACCTGCAGCAGAAGATGGATGGATGAGAATTATACTTTGAACTGATAAATGTATTTTTGGTGCACCAACAACTAGCACTTATTTGGTATAGAATGAATTTTATGACATTAATTTGCAAATCCAAATTTTCATATTTGGTATAAATGAAAATTCATTTGGAATTCAATATTTTTAATTCTATGGATTTGATTACACTTGGATCAAATTCTACTAAAACTGACATAATTTACAAATGAACTGTAAACATAAAAAAGCACAAGGTATTAATTAAAGTTAATGACTTCTAATTATAAATTAGTAAAGCTACATAGTTGAAATAAATTCTGTAGTTGATAAAAATATGAAAATTCATTTGCAAATGAACTTTTTTCTATTAAATTCATTTGCAAATCAAATGGATTCTATATAGATTTATTCCAAACACTATGTTAGCTTTGAGAATTATGATCTCTATATAAGTGAAAAAATGCCACTATTCGCATGGTTTGGCATACAAGGCTATACTAAAGATACTAATGCACATAAAACCCAGAGCTCCTTGAGACGAGGGAGGGAGAGATGGAGAAAGAAAGAAAATGAGATTGACTTGAAAGGTTAGCTAAAACTGGGGGGAAAAAGAATATGAACTTTGGGTGGGGGAATAGCCGATAAATGATAAGAAGTACCATCCTTATAGCGTGCATGTATATCATCCATGTTTTTGGTCCATGATCCATCAAATAGGATCCTAGGGTTGTACTCAAGTAAATATTAAAATCACTGACATATGCTTAAAGGGATTAATAGGAAACGTAAATCAGAAAACCCAAAATTCCCAGAGCTTAATGAGTAAACTTCATGCAAAATATGGCTTAATAGTAAATTGGCCTTGAGCTAATAATTCCATTTTACTCTTCATCAATCATTCTTAATTAAGGAAAGCATTTACCTGAAATGTTGGAGCTAGACCAGGACTTAAGAAGAAACGGCCTTTAGATACAGACTGGATTCCTTCAATTTGTTGCAGTTCTTTGATAAGTGATTCTACATCAGCCCACTATCAGAATTCCAAATCAAAGGGTCAGGAACAGCTGCCACAATACTAACTAAAGAAACAGGGAACGGAATCAAACAACAAACTAATTACAGATGCTTCAACATAAAAAAGCAGACTGGGAAGTCACCAATATGCAACAGTAACAAGCACATCACAACATGGTATTACATCACTAGCTAACAGAACCACAACGCAGGGTATCACTTCCACATTAATATATGGGTACCATATACTTTTTCAATAAGAATGGGATGCACAAAATCACATTCAAATTCTGCTAAGCTCAATACATAAATTCACCCTTGTACTTTTCATGAAGAACTTTGTGATACCCTCAACTTTTATTTTGATCAATTAACACTTCAACATAAAATTACACATATTAAATACTTTAATTTGACTCATTGAACACTTCAACTTGTAAAGTTATATCACTTTAGATAGTTGAAAATTGTGATAATTATTATTCTAAAAGTTTTACTAACCATATATGAAATCAATATTTCGCATATAAAAGTAAAAAATAGGAATTTTATTGCTAGCCTGATAAGATGTGAGATTAATATAAAGGTGAAGTTGAGGGTGTTACAAGATCAATTTTATAGTTCAGGGGGTCAAAAGCTTTTTTTTTTTTTTTTTTTTGAAGTTTGAGGGTGTTTACAAAATCAATTTTATAGTTCAGGGGGTACAAAAGCTTTTTTTTTTTTTTTTTTTTTTTGCGTCAAAAATTCGGGGTTTAAGCGCAATTCCAGCCGTAAACCATGCACTGATAGAAATTGGGAGAAGAGAGAACAAAATGTATTCAAGGTTATGAATAAATCTATTCCGTAAATCAATTTACCAGCTTTAAAACACCCTATGGTTTTTTTTTTTTTTTTTTTGGTCAAAATTCAGGGGTTTAAGCCAATTCAGCCGTAAACATCACTGATAGAATTGGAGAAGAGAGAACAAAATGTATTCAAGGTTATGAATAAAATCTATTCCGTAAATCATTCCAAGCTTTAAACATCCATGGTTGGAAACCCCTTCTTTGTGGCTGCTTTTAATCCAAAGTTCATATTTGAAGGACTATAAGTTAAATACTCTAGAACCTTTATTTATTCTCAATGTATCCACAATGATAAAACCTTTATCTTCATCTCAGAAAAGGCAAAAGCCTTATACTTCGAAGAAATGAAATAGAAAAGAGGACTAAAGTTTCTACTCATAGAGTGGGAAGGAAAACCTCAGAATCCGCCTCCGCTGCTTGTAATCTCCCATCCAAGGGATCACGATCACCAACCACAAACTCCAAGGCCTCAATCAGCGGATCAGGCTGTCATGTGAAGAAACAAGTAATACATTTAAAACATCAGTCAAATGAATGCTAAGGTTAGAATAGAAACCAGATTATGCATAAACTACTCAAAGAATAGTTACCGTAATCTCCTTTAATGATAAGAAAATACGCTCAAGTGAAAAATCCAATCGGTGGACTTTTGCCTCCACAATCTGAGACCAGAAAGACAATGTTAATTTGGAACATAACAAAGGAATAGGAAACCGAAGAAGGAAAAACAACACACAAAGTGTTTAATCATTTTCAGTACAGGTAAAGGATTGATATGAGATAGCGAATGGAAAGAAGAAATTGGAAAAAGGATCTGGAGCTTTCAAAAGCCAAGACTTATCCAACTTATTGTTCCATGTCTATGGCAGCATTAAAGTTTAAATTAAACAAACATCAATTTCTGAAATCTAATCCAAAATAAATTGATATACCTGACCAACTTTGAAATATGATGCAGGATCCAAGGTTGCATCCCATGACACCTCAGTCTGGTGAATTAACGCAGGCACACCTTCAACCTACATGAGCTTGTTTAAGTTAAGATTCTACGGAAAAAAAAAACACACTAATTGTGGGCTATTCTTAGTTATCACTCCAATTTAGGAAGTTGTATTCAGAAAATGAGATTGAGCATGGTGCTTAAATGTTACACTGGTAAACACTGATCTCCATAAAAAATTACTTAAATATCTTTGTTGTGCAAACAATTCATTAGCATCTCAAAACATGAGCTATAGTAACCTTTAACATCTTAATAGATATAAGAAAAAGATTTTACCTCAACAAAAATTCCAAAGTAGGTTATTTTCTTGATGCAGCACTTCACAACATCTCCAATTTGAAGTTTAGCCTGCAATAACAAATAGCATAAGTGCCAGAAGACCAGCAAGTTACTTGATAATCAATGAACAAGAAGTTTTTGGGCAATAGAAATTGAAGATAGTTAAGGAGTATCATGATTTCATTCAACATCAAGTCCAACAAGCAAATTCAGTTATATTTTAATACGGATTGTTATGGATCTCAAAATTCATTTCGAATGAGCGTATTGTACTGAAAATTCTAGACAGTGGCACTTTGAATACCAAACGACCTCACTCCAAATATAGTAGTTAGTGTAAAAAAGGCTAAATGTTTGTAAGAATGTAAAGTTTGCACTTTAAAGTACAATGACCATAAAAAAATATTGCAATTAGAAATGCTCCTTACCATGAGATTTCTCTTTTTCTCAATTGACTCTTCCTTTTCTTTTGGCCTCAAAGAAACTATAAGTTTCCTCAAATTCCGGTCAGCTGCTACCACGTTCACCTTAATTTTCTGCAAATAAAAGTCATCAGGATCCAAAGGAGAAGTATTTAAGGTTCAAAAGTCAAGACAATTTCTCCAAACCTGACCAACAAATGAGGACAAGAATCTGAGTTTATCTTGGTCATAAATCTTAAGAAGATCTTCCAACTTCATATCTGGTGTAATTTCTCCTCTAATGCTTCGATCACTTTCTGGATCAGCTCTCGAATCAGGAGAGAAGTTCTTGTCTACATTATCATAACTTCCAATAATTCCTAAATTTTGCTTATACATTGATGGGTCCAACCCTTTCTGTTTCAACCATGACTCAAATGCTAAGAACTTCCATTTGGCAGACAGATTTCGGTATGGCAAAAATCCTATCAATAAGCCGAAAGATACCTGTAAAATAAAGACACCAAAGCTTTAAAAACTGAAAGAACTAGTGGCATGTAAAATAGGAGAAAGATATCAAAGCTTATTTCACCATTGCTTTGAACTGTACTTACAACAAAACCCTTTGTGCTGGCGCTGACTAACTCCACATCCCCTCTATATCCCGTCCTAAGCAACTCCTCTGCCCTGGACCAATCAGCATCCTACAAGTTCATGAAACCCCCAGATAATCAGAATATTTCATATTAAACGATCTATGAGGTTTGATGATATAATATAATCCGACCTCAGATGGTGATGTAGTAGGGAGATTATTAAGCTCATCGACTTTTCCAGAACTCTCATCATTCAAAATAGCTGTCTTTTCGATATCAGAGCTTGATGTTTTTTTAACAGATTGGTCTAATCTATAACAAAGCAGCATGTTAAAAAAACGATATAAATATTTTGACAGGCAAACAGGAGATCAAATTTCAAGTAATTTTACCTCTTTGGCTTCCCTTGCAGCATAGCTTCTACTGAGGACTTCACAGCAGAATCAACAATATTTCTGTCAGAACCGTACCCAATATTGCTCACCTCAATTGGCTGTATTCCTTAAAAATCCAGCAAAAAATCATATTCTACAATTTCAGCTAAAAGGCATTTATATAGCTTCAGAGGCAAAAGGCAGGTTGTCGTAACACAGATATTAATTCAAATTTTGAATCTTCCTAGCAATTAAAATTTAAAATGATAAATTATGAAAATAAGCCTCCACATAGTCAAAGACACACAAGTGCTTAAACCAATATAGTTCATTACCTAATCTGGGTTTAGCTTCTGGCCCTGGCTCCATCACAACTGATGCACCTCCAGTCTCCGAAGATACTTCAACATTATCCTTCGTAGTTTCAGGCTTCTTTAATAAAGTAAAACCACTATAGTTATTCTCATCTTCTTCTGTCCCTGTTCTCAATTCAGTTACTTTATTGTAACCTTTGGACTCTGCATTATCCGAAGACTCTTGCTTTTCTTCAACACTCAGTATTTCTGGCCTTCTCAACAGAGTCATATCACTAAACTTCTCCTTAGCTGGATCATTCCTCATTTTCAACGTCAAATTTGGTTTAATCCTCACTTTAGACCTTGAAGAGGGCTTGTCTTCCACATCATCCTCAACAAACATAGATGGCTTTCTCAATATAACATTAGGAACACTGCTTTTAGTATTGTCCATAGCTTTTCCAACTGGTTGCCTTGGCTTCTTTATCTCTGCTCCTACTGGCCTATCATCAGCTTGAAACTTAAACCCTTCTTTAGGAACAGGTCGTGCCAAAGTCAAGCCATCCAATGAATCTGACGATTTCTTATCCTTTGAGACATCAAATGGAAGCTCTTGTATTTCTACAATTTTACCCTTATTTTTATAAAATGATTTCTCGACTTCAAGGTACGAAACATCCGGGTTTGCTTTTCTAGCCATTATCTATCAACCAAAATATATCCATGTCAGAAACATAAAACCATTATCTCATAAACGGTTGAACTTTGTAGTATTTAAGTTAAAAATTTCGATTCTGTTGGATACCCAATACATCATTAAAAGGAGAAACACTATTGTGTGTGTGTGTAGAGATATATATATATATATATATATATTAAAAATTTCGATTCTGTTGGATACCCAATACATCATTAAAAAGGAGAAACACTATGTGGATGTGTTGTGTGTAGAGATATATATATATATAATATATATATATAGAGAGAGAGAGACGAAGACAGAGAGAAGAGAGAGAGGAAACCTTAGCAAGCGGGTAAGTTGAGAGAGAGAGAGAGAGAGAGAGAGGAACCTTAGCAAGGGTAAGTTTGGGGTCTTCGCCAAGCATTCGGCCAAACTTGAGCTCCATTTGGTCCCACTGGTTAAGGTTGGGCTCTTCTTCTTTTGCCGCCAAAACAACAAATTTACCCTTTCTAGGGCAACATATTTCCCTTCTTGTACCTCTAATTCTTCTTCCTTCAACCGAAACCACAGAAAAGAGCGATTTGTTAATATACAAGGAAGAGCTAGCTGTGGCGTTGGTGGCAGTGGCGGTGGCTAGTGTAAGGCCATCCATTTTTGGCAATTGAAGAGTAATTTCATCAGATAACGTTAAATAGCATTGGAATTTTATTCAAATTCTTGATTTTGCGAACTGTATATAGTTTTAAGGTTGGGTGTAGAAGGGCTAGAGCAGGCAGTGCTGCAGAGGAAGATAGAGGAAGGAAATACAATGGGTCTACGAAGGGAGCTTTATCTGTCTGATTACTGATAATGCTTACATGTCATTTAATTGTAACTATACTTTAATTTGATATCCTCTCAAAATGTGCCACGTCGACAATGGGATTTTCTCACACGGATTCCAAATATCTTTTTTTTTTTTCACTTTTGGCCACCACATGTTTTACCAGAAAGAGAGAAAATTCTGAAATGTGTTGAGCTCAATAACAAAAAAAAAAAAAAAAAACTTTTGAGCCTCAATAACAAAAAAAAAAAAAAAACTTTATTTTGATTTTCTTGCCTAAAATGATGAAATAGATATTTTTAGGTGATGTCATAGATTCAAATTAAACCCATACTAAAGTGAAAAATCTTAAGACCATTGACCTTCATTATTTGTTTGAACCTAAAGTTTGCAACTGTATATGAACAAAATATCATGTTTTTAACAAGTTTGTTAATTCAGGTAAATTCAAAATAAATAGTTGAATTTCATTTAGAAATTGATTTTTTGCAATTTTCCAAATATAAGATGTAAAAGAAATTTCCTAATTTAGTGTTTGTAAACATATTGGAAATTAGGTTATGCATGTTTCCACCATTCTATACATTGATAAATTTAGAAGGAACTCAAAAAAAAAAAAAAAAAACTTTACTTTTGATTTTCTTGCCTAGAAATGATAAATAATATTTTTAGGTGATGTCATAATTCAAAATCTAAACCCATCTAAAGTGAAAAAAATCTTAAGAAGAAATTGAACTTCATATTTTGAACCTAAAGTTGCAACTTATATGAACAAGAAATATCATGTTTTAACAGTTTTAATCAGTAAATTCAAAATGAATAGTTGGAATTTCATTAGAAATTATTTTGCAATTTTCAAATATAGATGTAAGAAATTTCTCAAGTATGTGCAAACATATTGGAAATTAGCTTATGCTTTCCACAATTTATACATTATGATAAATTTTAGAAAGGAACCTGAGCCATTGATATGAAATTACATTCAAACAATAGAAGATAAGTACAAATGAACTAAACTTCTCATCAATTCAACAAATACAAATCATAACATCAAAATCAAACAATATCTTCTCAAATACAAGGTGCAAGTCAATATTTTGATTGGATCAACATAAGTACCATATGGAAATCTGTCCCTGATTGTGAAAATTAATATAAACTCAACTCCTTATTCTTGCCCCTGTCATATAATAATAATCAAAATAAATAAAATAAAATAAAAACATCCCCATCAGTTTTGCAACTGTAAACAACTTCCAAGCAGCCTCCTCAAACAAAAATGTTTATGGTTCAGATGGATCATAGCTAGCCAAAAATGGAAAACGAAAATCTACCCATATTTAGCTTTAGCCTAATTGAGGACAAATATATGATGCAGGACATTTTAATGGCTTAAGACTGCTCTTGTGCATGGGCTGCTTCAGGTTCATCTTCTGTTTCAGTTTCTGGTGCTGCTTTGGTTTCTTCTGGTACTGCTTTGGTTTCTTCTGATGCATCGATTTGGTGTTGCGAATTGCTCTTTCGAATATGATTATAGCTTCCTTTTTCCTTAAACAACTGAGCAAAGTGGGGCTTGCAGTAAAGAACACCATCTAGAGCAGCATAAGATGAAGGTGAGATATAGCAACCTCCATGAGAGCACCTGAAGCATGACTTGTGATAGCTTTCTCCCTCCACGCTCACCTGTGTTACAAAAAGAAAAAATATATATATGAGGGCTTTTATAAAATTAATTTCCGGTATATTTTAATTTACTATATTATTAGGCAAATAAGAAATTAAAAGGCAAAAAAATAGAGAACCTTTTCTAAAGGGTATGCAGTTTTGTTACAACGAGCACATTTGTCTTGTGTGCCACTGAACATGGAGGAAAATTTGCTAGGAGTCCTTGTCTGCAGAGAAGAGGAATATTAGTTTCAATTGCAAGGAAAAATTTGGACATTTTCAAATGAATAATAATTAGGCATTTCAAAACACGTACCAATGCATTTTTCTTTTCTCCAGCTAATATGACCATAATCAGAAGGAACAAACCATTAGAACAAAAAGGAAAAGAAGAAAAAAATGAAGGAAAGGAAAATTAAGGCTCTTACATGATGGGAATTTCTTGGCATAACTTCCAGTCTCCCTAAAGAGTTGCTCAAAGTGAGGTTTGCAGTACAAGACTCCTTCCATTGAGGAATAGCTGCCCATCTGTAAACACGATTGTAAACAACAAAATTTCAGAATCCATTGAGACCATTTCATTATAATTTGCTTCAAGGCTAAAAACCCTGTGGTCAAGTGTTTGCCTTGAAATGCAGAAGGTTTCTCTGAGAGAATTTTCAATGTCACAGAAACAGTGGAATAGAAAAATAAGAAAAAGAAGGCTATAAATGATTAGAGCTAATATGGATATATTACCACAAGAAGTCCATTACAGTGGCTGCACTTGAAGCACGTCTTATGATAATTAATTCCATCAGCTGTTACCATTTCGATGAAATGAACAGTCTTATCACAAGCCTTGCATTTCTCTAATGTTCCACTGAACCCCATTATTAACTATTTGTATTTTATTTAATTTGAATATAATATGAGCTAGAAAAAGCTTCTAAATGGGAATTGTTTTCCAACAACAAAAATAGAAGAACAATAGGGAGTTCAGGTCTCTATCTCAGAAAACTTGAGATAGAATGAACCCTCAAATTTTGGTTTTTTTTCCTGTTTTATTTTTTATTTTTTATTTTCTATGGTCTCTTGCAGATTAAAGATCAGATTATATAGTAGAATGGATTAGAATAATTCACCATATTTGAGACAGGAGATCAAAATTAATATTCTAAGAATAGAGGGTCTATATCCGCTGCAAAGACGGATCAAATTCCTGACCAAGGATATAGTCCTTAAAAAAGGGATAAATCACAACTAATTTTTCTTTAATTTTATGGTGTTTAAAATATAACCAAACTTACCACAGTGCCCTTCCTGCCAAGCCAATCTGTCCTGCCAGCTCGATGTGCGCAGTAAATTGAATCTGCAGAAAAGTGCATGTTAACAAAATAAAATTCTGGAACATTCAAGTTGAAACCCCTTATTGATAGTTTATTTGTTACAAGAACTTTCACCTTCCCATTTTTCAATCAACAAGCTCAATGCAGTTCTGTAGCTTTCTTCCCGCAAGCCTCTAGCTTCAAGACAACATCTTTTTGGTTGCCTGGTGAAGTTAGGAAAGGTCAAATTCAAAACTCAGGAAAGGAGAAATAAAAGATCAAGAACACTTAACCATTCCCCATCAAAAAAGAGAAATCTCAAAGTTACAGTTTAAAAAGCTCCAAGTCGTTGAGGCATTTCATCACACAGTTCGAAAGCACAAAAAACTTTTAATATAATTACGTGTAAAGCATGAAAATTCGCCAGAAAAAAGATTGTAACTAGTAGTGCTCATTACTTCGATAAACCATTAGAAACAAGAAATTGAGTTAACAGAATGAGTAACCATCCAGCATCAGTCCCTCATCTGTCTATGGAGAGGCGATGAAGACGGAACCAATAAATAAAACGTTGCCGTGTTCTACTTCTAGACGACAGAAAATTTTGGGTGATGTCATTTCCGATGTAAGTAATTTTTGTCCGCGCGAAATACAATTTTACTTCAACGCAACGGTTAACACAAGCGACAACATAACCAAACAAAACACCCTTTAAACTATCAAAGAAAGCAAACGACATCTTTATTTAATTTTTAGGTTCGGTCGTTCGGTCTCTCTGCACGCGATTTTACTTCCAAAATTAAACGATGACTCGTTGACCAATTGTACATTTACTATGGTGACATCACATGCTATCATTCCACAAAAACCTACCTTGGTTCCATCTCCCATCGGCGGTTTTTTTCTTCTTTGCAAAAGCTTTCTCATCCAAGCTCCATAAACAACCGCAGTCAGCTGCGGCCGCCGCTAGATCGGCCGGTCAACCATGAAGGTTTACGATATCAAAGGAAACACCCTTTCTCTCGCTCTCTTCTCCGATGTCACCAATTCCAAGTAACTCTCGCTGTATACTTTCTTTTGCTTTTTATTGTTTTTATTTTCAAATATGGATACTTTGTACAATTCTCTGGTTATTGTAGTCATTTTAGCAATGTGAATGTCTAACGGAGAATTCTTGATTTTTTATTGAAATTTTTGCTAGTTAAGACGAATTGTTGGGCTTTATTACGGTTTAGCATTAAGAGTTCCAGTGAGGCTGCTCTGAGATGGGCATAATATAAAGGTTGCTAGTTACTTGCCTGACAGAAAAAAGTTTATGTTTTTGCTGCTATAAGTTCAATAGAAAGGCAAGGCAGTTTAATATTATTGCATAGCTGGTAACAGGCTTTAGAAACTGGACATCGAGTGCGATGGGAATGCTATGTTTTTCAAGAAATTTGAAAATTTTGAATATGGAATTTGTATTTGGTGCTCTTCTTCTCTAAAATTATTGGAGATATGCAAAAAAAAAAGAAAAAAAAAAAGAAAAAAAAAAGAAAAAAAATGACAAGTAACTGCTTGAACTCAGTTTAGTGTAGCCATTTGTTTCATGTTCTAAAAATTTGAGTTTAATACTCAATTTTTTAACTGATATTTGGTCTTAACATTATAATTGATTGTAATGGAGTCATATCATTTAGTACCAATATAACATTGATGGTCAGTTGACTCTTCAAACTCAAGCCTTTCATTGATGTTAAGAACTGAATCTGTAAACTGAAGATAAACATGGAAACACTTAATTTTACCTTCACTTATTCCATAATTTACAGATTCCAACGTTCATCCTTTCACTGCTTGCTAGTAATTGCAAGTTATCTTTGTATGGTTGTATCCTCTGTAGTTTTTGGTACACATATCTCTTGAAAGAAAACCTGATATTTCTTTTAGTATGTCAATATATATGTGTCCATGGAAGAGTTTTCATGGACTATAGTTATGTCTTTTCCGTTTCCTGCATTATGTGTGTACTTTGTTTTACCTAATGTTTGGAGAGAGTATCCAGTGCATTTCACTAATTATCTTTCAAAAGCTGCAACTTGCTATAAATGTGAATCTTAAGGAGAGAATTGAGGGAACAAAAACAAACTCTTTTTTTTTTTTTTTTGCTCTTTAGCTTAGCTCCTAAAATACTTTGCCTTTATGCAGGGAACTTCTAGATTCTATGCAAGCTGGAACCCTGGAACCAGAAGTTGCACTACTCAATGCCTCACTTGTATGGTTTCTTACATACAGACTCTAATAAACCTCATTTCTTGTTCCCTTTCAGCATTCCGTCATCCTTGTATACTGTGTTAATGTTATTCTAATGCAATTCTGATAATTACTGTGATAGATTCCAGATGTGTTCCCTGTTCTAGCCGCTGCACATAAGACACTTATTGCCAAGTCTCGGGATTCATTGACGACACGGACTCTTCATTCTGAGCTTGTTTATAATTACTCAGGATCTAAACATGTAACTACCTTTCAATATCTTATACATCTTTTTTTTATCATTTATTTTCGTGTGTTGTTTAAATCAATACTTTGAACTTTTCTAGATAACAGAGTCCTTGAAAAGATGTGGAATCTCTGAAAGCTCTACATACATCTTAGCAGCTCGTTTCAATTCTTCTTTAGATGAGGTGAGGTGTTTTTATAAACATAGCACAACAGTTTAAGTATTGAATTAGTAATTCAAAGGTTTTGGCCTTTCTGGTTACATTGATTGTGTTACTCGTAGATGAAAGTTGTAGAGAAACTAATCAATGGAAAAGAAATTGATTTGGAGGAGTTGGAAGGGAGGGCAAACCAAGCTCAAATACAAAAGGTTAGTTGTGTGCTATAGTCTTAATTAATACTGTACCAGTTATGTACTTCTATGTCCTGATATTGCTTATTGCTGGTGATGATCAATATTTTTAAAATTTTTCAGCACTACAAAATTTCTGCCGTGGAAGCAGGGATATCCTCTCTTGCAGATGCCATTACCTGCCGCATAGCTGTCCGTGATGCATTGTGAGAAGGAACAATTGTGAGAAGGAACAAATGTATGTGGTTGTACTTATTTTATTGATATGATGATACTGTTGTAACATAGTTTAGGACAGGTAAGATCATTATTTATGCTTGAACAATTCTTGTCAAGAATCATAATTTGAGTTCCTGATTTAGAAACTAAAAGTTTATGTTCTTGATAACATGTGATGCATCCAATTCATATGTAGAGCGTTGCATAGGCAGAAAAATATCTTTTGGTGATTTGGATCTTTTCTTTCTCAGAGTTAGCTAATATATAGCTACAGTCATAGAAACCTTACGAGAATTACTGGAGTTCAGTATATCTTATCAGAAAAATAACTACTATTATGAAACTACCTGAAGCTCATGGAAAAATTGCCTGCCTTCTAAGAATTAGTTATTGGCAACAAGAAGTTGCTAAGACTTGAAATTGCTGCATCCCTTATCAGGTTCAAATTGGGCTGCCATGTGTGTTTGAATTGGTTATCTAATATTGGCATAGATTCTCTGTTGGGTTTTCAATAATTTTTTGTATATTTGATTTTTAATGTGTTTTCAAGCGACTGGTTAAGATTAAGTATTAGCTTTACCTTTCATTTCTTTTGATTTTTTTTAGTCTATCTCTGTTCTTTGAAACTTACTGGCCCGATATCAAAGCTACAGTTTTTAGTAGAGGCAACGGTTTGGACTTTGGAAACACGATGATCTTTCATTTTTGTTTTCTTTTTTTTCTCTCTTTTTTTTTTTTTTGAGGGTGATAATCTTTCAGTTTTTTGTTGTCTTTTAAATTTTGCCCCAAACATATTAAAAACTGTTTTAACAGTAAAGTAATCAATAGCAAAACGGCGCCGTTTGCTGCCAGACCGACAGAGAGTTTTAGTTCGTAATTCAATTTTTACATTTTTTATTTTTCAAATTTTAAAAATTTATAATAAATAAAACGCCTGAAAGTTACAAATAACTACATATTTTAATTTTGCTTGTCTAATCTTGGAAAATAATGTATTCTGTATTATTTCAGTTAAATTATTTATTTTATTTTTCATTATATCTTAAATTAAGTAAATATTTAATCTTAAATTATAGAATAACAATTATTTTTAGAGCTTGTACATACCAAATTATATTATATTTTATAAAAAAAATTTTTACACTATTCATTTATAATATTTAGATTTATATTTTATGTACTATAAATTTTTGACTCGTTGCTTGCTCTATGGATATGTAAAAGACGCAGAACCAGAATTAATTTGCTGAGACATGAAAAAATAAACTGAAGAGAGGCAAAAACAAAAATTTTTCGCAGTTAACATTTCAGGTGGCAAAGCATATAAGAGACCTTCTTGGTAGATATCCAAGAGAATGGTATCTTGCTGCATTTTCCTCTACTTTAAGAAAATCTTGGCCTCTCTTTGCTTCAATCATTGTTTTTCTCTCCTCTGCTTCTTTTTGGATCTCTGCTATTTTGTTCGTCATTTTTTCTGCAAATTCGACTTTCTTCCTTTCTAATTTTTCCTGTTATGTTTTCGAGTAGCAGGATCATAAATCAACATGTAATAAAGAAACTTTGTGATTTAAATTTATTACCTCATGTTGCCTTATTTGTGATTCTAAAACTGCTTTCTGGTTTGTTTCCCATGATCCAAGGGCAGAGAGCTTTTTGTAAGTCCTGTTTTGACATTGTATTATGTCTATTAAGTTTTTCTGACATAGATAGAAAATGGCAATAGCACAACTATTAAATACACTAATATCTTACTTGTTCTCCACTTTAGCCTTTTCAGTTTCTTCCCATGCCTTGATTAAAGCATATCTTTTATCCCATTCAATCTTTGCAAGCTCATTTTCTGAGAGAAAAATATAAGTAGTTTTATTTTTTCTTTCTTTTTTCTTAAGAAAAAAGAAAGACAAATTTCAAGATTTGATCACAATAAATTCAACTTTAGTACTCTTTACTTACCTTTGTCATTCGGTTAACATGAAGTTGCCTTAGTTGCAGCATCTGAATCTGCCCAATAACATAAGAAAATCATTAATGATTATGATTTATGAAATGCTAAAAGGAAATCGTGAATGGATGTTCATTTTTCTTTGAAAATAAAAGAATTCTGCATGAGAAATTCTCTGTAAATCTTCCTTCTGTTCTCTGTTGTAACAGACGCAGAACAGACTTAATTTATGCTGAGACAGTGAGAATAACTGAGAGAGGCAAAAACAAAAATATTTCGCGAGTTCCGTAATATTTCAGGTTGGTCCAAGCATTAAGAGACTCTTCTTGGTGATATCTAAAGAATGGTTATTCTTTTGGCATTTTCTCTATTCTTATTAGTAATAATTCTTGGCCTCTCTTTGTCTCTCTCTTTCATCTTGTTTTTCTCTCGATGCTGCTTCTTTTTTGGAATCATCTGCTATTTTTGTTCGTCACATTTTTGTCTGCAAATTCGACTTTCTCTCCTTTCCTAATTTTTACTGTATGTTTCGAGTAGCAGGATCATAAATCAACATGTAATTAAGAAACTCATTGTGATATTAAAATTTATTACCTTCACATGTTTGCCTGTTTAAATTTGTGGATTCTACACTGCTTTTGGTTTTGTTTTCCATGAAATCCAAGGGCAGAGAGACTTTTTTTGTAAGTCCTGTTTTGACAGTATTATGTCTATAAATATAATGAACACGACTACGGAAGAATGGCGCAATCAGCACAACAGACTAATTAAATTACACTAATATTCATTACTTGTTCTCCCTTTTAGCCTTTTCAAGTTTCTGTTCCAGTGCGCCTTGATTAAAGCATATCTTTAATCCCATTCATCTTTTGCAACTCATTTCTGAGAGAAAAAATATAAGTAGTTTTTACCTCTTTTTCTTTCTTTTTTCTTAAGAAAAAGAAAGACAACTTTCAAGATTTTGATCACCAAAATAAATTGCAACTTTAGTACTCTTTACTTACCTTGTCATTTCGGTTAACATGAAGTTTGCCTTAGTTGCAGCATCTGAATCTGCCCAATAACAATAAGAAAATCATTTATGATTATGATTTATGAAATGCCTAAAAGGAAACGTGAATGTGATGCTTCCATTTTGTCTTTTGAAAATAAAAGAATTCTGCACTGAAGAATTCCTGTAAATCTTTCCTTCTGTTCTCTGTAACGAATTTTCTTAGGAAGACAACAAACACGGGCAGCAGAAAGACAGAGAGCACATACTTTGACAACAATTTCTCTTTCTTCAAATCCATTTCTTTGTCGCTTCTTCAGCCTGTAAATAGTTTTACTTACCTTTGTCATTCGGTTAACATGAAGTTGCCTTAGTTGCAGCATCTGAATCTGCCCAATAACATAAGAAAATCATTAATGATTATGATTTATGAAATGCTAAAAGGAAACCGTGAATGGATGTTCATTTTTCTTTGAAAATAAAAGAATTCTGCATGAGAAATTCTCTGTAAATCTTCCTTCTGTTCTCTGTACGAATTTTCTTGAGAACCAAACACGCAGCAGAAAGACAGAGAGCACATACTTTGAGCAACAATTTCTCTTTCTTCAACCATTTCTTTCTGCTCTTCAGCTAGTATAGGCACAGAGACATCCTTAGATTCAGCTGTTTTTGGCTTCTCCTCCGCCATATAATATAGTCTTTGAATTAATTTAGGCACCAAGACTCAATTGAAAAATGGAGAAAGAAATTACTGTCCTAAAATGTCTCAAGAAAAACCTTGATAATGATAGTTAGAAACGGAAGTTTGATATATTATAAACCAAGAAAACGAAAACAAGATGTGGGTTTCTTGGGAGTTCCAAGAAATGAGATTCTTGCTTTGGTCCTGTCTATGTCAGCTATTGCAGACTATTTCCATGTGGGAATGGGTTGGTTCTATGTGGATGAAGAGACGAGATGATCGTATAAATCCCTACTCTCAAAAGAAATATTTCATAGAACTAACCGTTTCACGCATGGAGATAGTTTCAGAATTATAGAGATTACTGGAGTTTTTAAAGTGTTATTACTGACAAGAACTCGAAATTGTAGGTTATACTTTTAGGACATCCTCAAATTAATCTCAAACCACCAATATCCAGTGGTGGCCAAATAAAATTTTTTAAAGCATTCATCGATTTTGATGGTCTTACAATTTTTGCAGCATAACATTTTTTAAATCCAAATTCTTTTTTTTTTTTTTTTGAATTAATTAAGATTTTCAAAAGTAGCATCCAAGCAACAAATTATAAATCAAAAGTTCAATTAGTTTTGACCAATTTCACCTGGTTTTAACCTATTCTGACTAGTTTTGCATTAATTTCTGGTCGATTTCCTTGGGAGGAATTACAACAAAACGAGCCGGTAAGAGATTGAGCCCACTGTTAATTAAGAAAAGGGCCCTCCGTTTTCAGAACTCGTTAGCGCGCGCGCACATATATATGTACATGCTCAACAATCCACATTACTATCTTGGATTCAGAGAAAAGCTTTTCGTCGTCAATGTTATCACGTTCTTGCACTGTAGCTTCTTCATTTTATATTAATTTAACTTAACGTCGTCTGCCTCTAATCTTGGTTTCAAAGTTTGTCGGCAAGGTTATATTACTGTTTACGTACATTATCTATCTTTAATAACCAAGCAACCGACCACGGAATTCTTTCCATTTTCGACTTAACTAATAGAATTACTGAACTGAATCAGCCTTTTTGAAAAAATATCTCAAACCCAAGATTCATAATTCTCCATATCAGCAGACAAACTGCAAGAAGTAGACAGAAAGAAAAACAAAGACACACTTTGACTCTTTTAAGCACAGTTGTCTTGCCTTCTTCACATGCACTACTTCCCTTCTCCGTATGTTCCTCAATGCCTTACACGCCATCATTAAACACTTAATTACACTTTTCGGAATATTGCAACCTTTATATTTTATATATTAATTATATTTTCTAAGGGTTTCTTCATAAAATCATAGCAATTTTGTAAAGCTACACTAACTCTTTTGACAACCCATATGAGATTTCCAAAAACCAGTCTAGTGACCGGAAATGGAAACTTTGAACTCATAACGTTACAAGGTTACAATTTTAATACTTTTACCTTTTTTTTTTTCCCAAATTAGCAAGTGTTGCTTGTTTGAACAAAAAACATAGGGCACTGACGCCCATGGTATTCGTGTATCTGCTGACTATCGGGTCTTTTGAACAAGAGTCTGGAGAATGTTCAAAACCAGTCAAGGTGAACATGAGGAGGGAGAAGGAAGACAGTTATGGACTCTCTCAATGCAATCGTTAATGACAGATAGAGGGAGGCAATCAATAAGAGATTATTTTGAGAATTAGCATGTGATGATGCTGAGCACTCTATGGTTATGGATTTTATCTCTAGCACTCTCACGTAATTAAGGCTAGACGTGTTGATTAGTCGACTGTATGTTTGAACAAGAAGACGTATGGTGAACACTTGAGAGAGTAGCACGCCGTGACGCCGATTTGATGTGAGTGATACTATGCGATGATCGATAACCGAGAGGAGGCAGGAAGTTAGATGGGTGCACGGATACTTGCGTATATCTATGCGCTTCTTAGAGATCGAGTTGCGAAGGATCCTTTCATCAAGAATTAGGGAAAATTAACGCGGCTGCGCAGTCGGAGAGACATAGAAATGGACACCGTCAGCACAGAATTGTTCTCAGAGTGAGTACGAGTATGCGTGGTGGCGTGGTACAGGCTGATTTAGGAGCTGTATCCGGTCCAATCGGGATGAAGAAGAGAAAAAGAGAAAACAGCTAACCACTAGATTTGATAGAGATTAGTAGCGGATTAAGAGTCAGAGAGAAGTATTATCAAGTATAGAAGAGTGGCTACCAGTATAAGTGTTGTCTCGCGTACATGAGAACACCACAGCTATAATAAGATTTCCTCACTGTTATTATTCTCTCTGCATGTGAGACGAGATTATGGGACGATCATTCAGGAGTATGTGAGCGATAAGAAAGTAAACATATAATCCTCTTTGCTACATTTTTGTTTCTTCTTTTTTTGGCTGTGGTCGTGGTAGAGATGAGGCTGAGACCATCTCATATTTTATAGGAGAGTTGTGATGTTGAAGTAGCATGATGTGAGTCAACACACGGCTTTCCTTTAGTCAATCGGGTTGGTTGTACAATCGTGTGTGACTGTTTCAAATAACCACGTTATATGTTTTTTTTTTTTTTCTTGTCTATATTGTGATAGAGTCCCACTTGAGTGGGCTACTACCACAATAATCGTCCCCTGCCCTCAAGTGGAGCACAGTACAGTCAATCTTGCCTGCAGCTATAGATTCTATTAGATTGCCATCATCTTGTACCCAAAGTAACACCGGAGGAGTGCATACATCACCTTGTGGGGAACACGCGGCCCGAAACCTCCCTTATTGTCGGGAAAGAATTTTCGAACACACCATGCACACACCGTTGCAGTCTTTTTTTTCCGTCCTTTAGTCAATGTTGTTGCATTAGACAATCTTTGCGACGCTTCAGTAATACTTGACTGCCGCAACGATCACGGCTACCCCTTAGCAATGTGATTGAGATCTGCACCTGAAAATTCTTTCACTGTCCAGTCCACCTTCTTTCCACGAAATAAATCTATTAGATCTGCTAACCATCTTGTAACGTCGCATAACAGATGCCTCTGCGGGAACAACGCCGCCCCACCTCCTTTTTTAGGTCGGCAAGACTTTCGAGCGATCTCCATGAGCATCGTAGACGCATTGAATCGAGCCTTCGAGTGAGGCACGCAGATAGTAGAGGTGCTGCTAGAGTGATACGCTGGCAGCCGATCGTGAGAAGTAGTATACTGTGGAGCGGCATGAGCGTCACTCGAGCCTGCTCTAGCGACACTATATAGATTGTGAGCGCGTCAGTACGAGCTCGTTGCGAGATATGATACGAGAATAACTCGATCTAAGCTCTGTTGAGATTGAGCGCATGTGCACGACGATCTACTCACACAAATGATCTACGTAAAGTTTCGAACTCCTGTTCTCCTATGCCGCGAGGACGCCACTTTCTACTCGACTTGGTTCAATTCTGAGGTTGTAGCGTTAGCTACCACAAATGAACCTTTTGTGAGCTTCCACTGACCATTTCTGAAGGTGCTACAGAAACCTTCATCATCAAATCTACAACCTAGATTTGGACGCATGCTCGAAAAACACATTCATCATCAGTCTTGTCTTCTGGTTTAGTTCAACTAAACACGGGCAAATGCATTCTGATTACCATAAGGAGATATCTCATTTCTCCATATATGGTAATTCCCGCCATTTAGACTGATCATTTTGTTTCTCTATTTTGACTTGTGCAGAATATCATCACCAACATAAACCGTATACGTGAACAATAGTATACGTGAATAGTGGCCATGAATAGTAATAGTCTACTCGAATAGTAACTGTATGCATGAATAGTAACTGTACACGTGAATAGTGCTATGCGTGAATAGTGCTGGGCTTACTTGAAACGGACTTGCAATGTACTGTTCACCATCAACTTTGAGTTACTATTTTACTATTCATCACTAAGTCGATTCTGCAACATCTTTCCGAGCGGACAGCACCAATGGACTCCTCGTAATTTTCTCTTCTTCGTGGTATATTTATTTTTAAAATATATCCACGGATCTGGTACCGCTACCTGACCGGCTGGACCTGCCGAAACCTTCGGCTCTGATACCACTTGTTAGGCGGCTGGACCTGCCGAAACCTTCGGCTCTGATACCACTTGTTAGGGATCAGCTCTGATACCAGTTGTTGGGTACTTTCAAAGAATTAAGAGAAAATTAACGCAGCGAAAAATAGAAATGGACACACAGAAATTTACGCGGTTCAACCTCAACTGTTTAGGGCTACGTCCAAGGGACAAACTTCGAATCATTCTTCCACTATTAAAAGAGTAATTCAAAAATAGTGGCACATAAAGTGTTTCTCAAAAACAACTCATAATAATTTACTCACTATTTTTCTCTCTCCTAATTGTAGAAAACTCATCCTAAAAATAATAAACTCTCTTTTGCTACATTTTGTTTTTCTTTCGGCTGTGTAGAGATGAGCTCAGCCATCTCCTATTTATCGGAGAGATGATGTGAGATCCCCGTGTGAATCACACACGGCTTTCCATTTATTCAATGGTTGGTTGCCAACTTTTTTTCTGTTTCAAATAACACGTTTTTCTTTTTTTTTTTCTTTTCATTTGTGTGTGGATCTCCTTTGAGTGGGCACCAACACAACACTATAAAATTATATATCTCACCCTTCTTTACCATTACTTTAGACTCAAGTCCTTATACCCGGTGTCTCCTAAACTTCTTCTCTATTCTTATATTTTTTAAAAAAAAATTTTGAGGCGTGCAGCGTAAACTCGGGACACGATTAATGGATGTATTTATCCCCGAGGAGTATGTTATACGGCGGAGGAGTGAAAGAAGAGCGGCTGCAGTTGCCGGAAAAAGGACAGAGGAGGAGTCGAGAAAGAGGATTACTGAGGAGAAAAAGGTCCGGTCACCTGCTCCGTTTAGAGTAGAGAATCGTGAAGTATTAGTCAATAGTGGACTTATGAGTGAAAATGTAGTGTTCAGCTGTTTCTCTGCATAATTAATGAATGATACTTGGCTTTAGTGGGTAATATAATGTAATTTTTGAAAATACTCTAAATGGGTGTTCTTGTGGCCTGGATTAGTATAGGTAAACCACATTTGATATTTAACTTTCTTTTTGAATGTCTTAATTACTATGTGTTGGGTCTTTCTTATTATTGATGCACAATCGTTTCTTTTTTTTTTCTTAATAACGTATGAAAAAGAAGCATCTTACTATTGGTGAAAATTTTGGTAAAGCTCATTCTTAAGATTGTTTTATATTAGTAATAAAAATTATTCAAAACAGTCAGGATGGTCGAGTAGTCTAAGGCGCCAGATTCAAGTTCTGGTCCACATGAGAGGGGCGTGGGTTCAAATGCCACTTCTGATATTTTTAATTGTGATTAGAAAAAAAAAGCTGTAGTTATTTTATTTTATTAGCTCGATTCCACTTGGGACGTAAAATATAACAACACGGCATGCATTGGACAGTTGCTGTCTCTCTCTATACATATACATAAGGCTTTTGGCAATCTTCTATTAGGAAAAAGACAGTCTGCAACCTGTCGTTGAGTCATTTTAGTGAACGATTATTTCGTCAGTTTAATCAGTTTGCTCAAGTTACATGGTGATACTGATCGAGAAATTTACAATCAACTTCAATTAGCTCTCTCTCTCTATACATATATGTAAGGCTTTTGGCAATCTTCTTTTAGGAAAAAGACAGTCTGCAAACTGTTGTTGAGACATTTCAGTGAACGATTATTTCGTCAGTTTAATCAGTTTGCTCAAGTTATATGGTGATACTGATCGAGAAATTTACAATTCAGTTTTAATCAGTTTGCTCAGTTATACTGGTGATCTGATCGAGAAATTTACAATCTAACTTCAACTAACGCTCGCTTCTCTCTCTCTCTCTCTCTTCTCTTCTCTCTCTCTCTCTCTCTCTCTCTTCTATGACGACAGGAATGAATTCAAAATACAGTTTACTTTATGGATTCAAAATATATATGTCATTTTACAATATCAATATACTGTACATTAGGTTAAACTGCTCTTATCAGGTTAATTTCTAAAATCAATAATGCATCCTTCTTTCATTTGAAAGATACGTAAATTATAATTATTAAACTTACTTTCTTTGTTTCATTAACTATTAAGCCGCAATTGTTGAAAAGACATTGCTTGTCTATTGTATATAAACTATTGAAACACAGTGAATAATTTATGTACGTCATCTCCAAAAGCACAACCAGACAATTGCTCCTCAAACTTTTGTTTTCCTAATATTCCATAAAACATGGTTAAATTCAAATATTTAAGTACAGTTCGGATACATCACTATTGTATAGTTGGTAAGCCGCAATAAAATGTAATACAATTAAAAATATTTCTAGTGTAAATTTACACTAGAAAAATATTTTCTAAAATAGGTTTCCAGCTGTAGACGGTAAATGTTTTTCTCTCTTTGCTTCTTGGCCTCTCTTTGCTTCAATCATTGTTTTTCTCTCCTCTGCTTCTTTTTGGATCTCTGCTATTTTGTTCCTCATTTTTTCTGCAAATTCGACTTTCTTCCTTTCTAATTTTTCCTGTTATGTTTTCGAGTAGCAGGATCATAAATCAACATGTAATAAAGAAACTTTGTGATTTAAATTTATTACCTCATGTTGCCTTATTTGTGCTTCCAAAACTGCTTTCTGGTTTGTTTCCCATGAACCAAGGGCAGAGAGCTTTTTGTAAGTCCTGTTTTGACATTGTATTATGTCTATTAAGTTTTTCTGACATAGATAGAAAATGGCAATAGTTTCTGACATAGATAGAATGGCAATAGCTCAACTATTAAATACACTAATATCTTACTTGTTCTCGCACTTTAGCCTTTTCAGTTTCTTCCCATGCCTTGATTAAAGCATATCTTTTTTATTCCCATTCAATCTTTGCAAGTCTCATTTTCTGAGAGAAAAATATAAGTAGTTTTTATTTTTTTCTTTCTTTTTTTCTTAAGAAAAAAGAAAGACAATTTCAAGATTTCTGATCACAATAAATTCAACTTTAGTACTTTTACTTACTTTGTCATTCGTTAACATGAAGTTGCCTTAGTTGCAGTTTACTTACCTTTGTCATTCGGTTAACATGAAGTTGCCTTAGTTGCAGCATCTGAATCTGCCCAATAACATAAGAAAATCATTAATGATTATGATTTATGAAATGCTAAAAGGAAATCGTGAATGGATGTTCATTTTTCTTTGAAAATAAAAGAATTCTGCATGAGAAATTCTCTGTAAATCTTCCTTCTGTTCTCTGTTCGAATTTTCTTGAGAACCAAACACACAGCAGAAAGACAGAGAGCACATACTTTAAGCAACAGTTTCTCTCTCTTCAACCATTTCTTTCTGCTCTTCAGCTTGTATAGGCACAGAGACATCCTTACATTCAGCTGATTTTGGCTTCTACTCCGCCATATAATATAGTATTTGAATTAATTTAGGCACCAAGACTCAATTGAAAAATAGAGAAAGAAATGACTGTCGTAAAATGTCTCAAGAAAAACCTTGGTAATGATAGTTAGAAATGGAAGTTCGATATATTATAAACCAAGAAAACGAAAACAAGATGTGGGTTTCTTGGGAGTTCCAAGAAATGAGATTCTTGCTTTGGTCCTGTCTATGTCAGCTATTGCGGACTATTTCCATGCGGGAATGGGTTGGTTCTATGTGGATGAAGAGACGAGATGATCGTATAAATCCCTACTCTCAAAAGAAATATTTCATAGAACCAACCGTTTCACGCATGGAGATAGTTTCAGAATTATAGAGATTGTTGGAGTTTTTAAAGTGTCATTACTGACAAGAACTCGAAATTGTAGGTTCTACTTAATTTTAGGACATCCTCAAATTAATCTCAAACCACTAATATCCAGTGGTGGCCAAATAAAATTTTTTTAAAGCATTCATCTATTTTGATGGTCTTACAATTTTTGCAGCATAACATTTTTTAAATCCAAATTCTTTTTTTTTTTTTTTTGAATTAATTAAGATTTTCAAAAGTAGCATCCAATCAACAAATTATAAATCAAAAGTTCTAGCGATTTCTTTTTTAAATTCGATCCAAAATTGGTTTCTTGTGGCCAGTTCAATTAATTTTGACCAACTTCACCTGGTTTTAACCTATTCTGACTAGTTTTGTTTTAATTTCTGGTCGATTTCCTTGGGAGGAATTACAACAAAACGAGCCAGTAAGAGATTGAGCCCACTGTTAATTAAGAAAGGGGCCCTCCGTTTTCAAAACTCGTTAGCGCGCGCACCGGCGCACACATATACATATACATACTCAACAATCCACAATACTATCTTGGATTCAGAGAAAAGCTTTTCGTCGTCAATGTTATCACGTTCTTGCACTGTAGCTTCTTGATTTTATATTAATTTTAACTTAACGTCGTTTGCCTGTAATCTTGGTTTCAAAGTTTGTCGGCAAGGTTATATTACTGTTTACGTACATTATCTATCTTTAATAACCAAGCAACCGACCACGGACATTGTTTCCATTTTCGACTTAACTACTAGAATCACTGAACTGAATCAGCCTTTTTTAAAAAATTTCTCAAACCCAAAATTCATACTTCTCCATATCAGCAGACAAACTGCAAGAAGTAGACAGGAAGAAAAACAAAGACACACTTTGACTCTTTTAAGCACAGTTGTCTTGCCTTCTTCACATGCACTACTTCCCTTCTCCGTATGTTCCTCAATGCCTTACACGCCATCATTAAACACTTCATTACACTTTTCGGAATATTGCAACCTTTATATTTTATATATTAATTATATTCTCCAAGGGTTTCTTCATAAAATCATAGCAATTTTGTAAAGCTATGCTAACTCTTTTGACAACCCATGTGAGATTTCTAAAAACCAGTCTAGTGACCGGAAATGGAAATTTTGAACTCATAACGTTACAAGGTTACAATTTTAATACTTTTACCTTTTTTTTTTTAGGTTACATTTTTAATACTTTTTACCTTTTTTTTTTTTTTTTACCAAATTAGCAAGTTGTGTTGCTTGTTTGAACAAAAAACATAGGGTACTGACGCCCATGGTATTCGTGTATCTGCCTTCTATAAAATTATATATCTCACCCTTCTTTACCATTACTTTAGACTCAAGTCCTTATACCCAGTGTCTCCTAAACTTCTTCTCTATTCTTATATTTTTTTTAAAAAAATTTTGAGGCGTGCAGCATAAACTCGGGACACGATTAATGGATGTATTTATTCCCGAGGAGTATGTTATACGGCGAAGGAGTGAAAGAAGAGCAGCTGCAATTGCCGGAAAAAGGACAGAGGAGGAGTCGAGAAAGATTGCCGGAAAAAGGACAGAGGAGGAGTCGAGAAAGAGGATTACTGAGGAGAAAAAGGTCCGGTCACCTGCTCCGTTTAGAGTAGAGAATCGTGAAGTATTAGTCAATAGTGGGCTTATGAGTGAAAATGTAGTGTTCAGCTGTTTCTCTGCATAATTAATGAATGATACTTGGCTTTAGTGGGTAATATAATGTAATTTTTGAAAATACTCTAAATGGGTGTTCTTGTGGCCTGGATTAGTATAGGTAAACCACATTTGATATTTAACTTTCTTTTTGAATGTCTTAATTACTATGTGTTGGGTCTTTCTTATTATTGATGCACAATCGTTTCTTTTTTTTTTTCTTAATAACGTATGAAAAAGAATCTTACAATGGGCGAAATTTTTGGTAAAACTCATTCTTAGGTTTTGTATTTTAGTAATAAAACTTGTTTAAAACAGTCAGGATGGCCGAGTGGTCTAAGGCGCCAGACTCAAGTTCTGGTCTTCGTGAGAGGGCGTGGGTTCAAATCCCACTTCTGACATTTTTGGGCCATATTAATAGTTGTGATTAAGAAAAAAAAGCTGTTGTTATTTTGTTAGCTCGTATTCCACTTGGGACGTAAATATAACAACACGGCATGCATTGGACAGTTGCTGTTGCTGTCTCTCTCTATACATATATGTAAGGCTTTTGGCAATCTTCTTGTAGGAAAAAGACAGTCTGCAAACTGTTGTTGAGACATTTCAGTGAACGATTATTTCGTCAGTTTAATCAGTTTGCTCAAGTTATATGGTGATACTGATCGAGAAATTTACAATCTAACTTCAACTAGCTCGCTCCTTCAACTAGCTCGCTCGCTCTCTCATCTCTCTCTCTCTCTTCTCTCTCTCTCTCTCTCTCTCTCTTCTATGACGACAGGAATGAATTCAAAATACAGTTTACTTTATGGATTCAAAATATATATGTCATTTTACAATATCAATATACTGTACATTAGGTTAAACTGCTCTTATCAGGTTAATTTCTAAAATCAATAATGCATCCTTCTTTCATTTGAAAGATACGTAAATTATAATTATTAAACTTACTTTCTTTGTTTCATTAACTATTAAGCCGCAATTGTTGAAAAGACATTGCTTGTCTATTGTATATAAACTATTGAAACACAGTGAATAATTTATGTACGTCATCTCCAAAAGCACAACCAGACAATTGCTCCTCAAACTTTTGTTTTCCTAATATTCCATAAAACATGGTTAAATTCAAATATTTAAGTACAGTTCGGATACATCACTATTTAAACTTACTTTCTTTGTTTCATTAACTATTAAGCCGCAATTGTTGAAAAGACATTGCTTGTCTATTGTATATAAACTATTGAAACATAGTGAATAATTTATGTACGTCATCTCCAAAAGTACAACCAGACAATTGCTCCTCAAACATTTGTTTTCCTAATATTCCATAAAACATGGTTAAATTCAAATATTTAAGTACAGTTCGGATACATCACTATTGTATAGTTGGTAAGCCGTAAGAAAATGTAATACAATTAAAAATATTTCTAGCGTAAATTTACACTAGAAAAATATTTTCTAAAATAGGTATTCAGTTGTAGATGGTAAATGCATTACTACGTCATTAATGGATTCTATTTCTTGAGGCTTGTCCATGGAAGAATTATTATTGGTGGAATGATTATTATCCACCAAATTAACAAGAAAATCAAAAATATCGGTAGCGATAACAGCAGAAGCAACATCTTCTTTATGAAGAGTCCTTCTCTTGCCTTGCATAGTCACCATCCAAGACCTTTGTGTAAGCTCTTTAATGAAGAGCTCACATGCTTTAGAGAACACAATCGGTGCCTCACCAGATATCATCTTCACATCATCTCCCGATTTCTTCATGATCTTCTTAATCCTTGCCAATGGCAGAGAGTGGGGGCCAGTTCTTCCGGATAATCCACCACAGAGTAATCCTGAGTAAGTCCCAGCTTGCCTCATCTTCTTTATGTAAACGATTATAATGAAGACACAGAGAATATCTTTCAGAGAAGAGAAGTTAATTATAAGGATTGCGAGGAGAGAGTACGTATATATATATAGAGAAAGGTTTTCACTTTTAGTCATGCATGACATGAGGCGGTGCTCAAGCTTAAGGCCGGCAGCCTGATTAGGCCGGCTAGCAAAAGTCATGTATTTTTATAAGTTATTATTTATTTTCTAAAATTTTTTTTTAATTCTAAAATAGAAGAGTGCTAAAAGGGGAAATTGCAAATTGTTTGTGTTCTCATTAATCTTTTTCCATACATTTTCATGAATCTTTTTTCCTTCAATTATACATATGAAAAGTGATTTAAATGATAAGATTTCAAAGAACCATCTCTGTAAGATCAGGTGGAAAATTCTTTTCATTTTAGAGAGGCGAATCAAGCAATTAGCTTCATGATGTTGTTAATCCCATGTTTGCAAGTTGGGAGAAAATGGGAGATGGATAGAATATAGTTCTACTGTTGCAACCGTCAGCCTTTCAAGCAATAATAACCCTAAACTGTTTGAGTGTCGTTGTGGATGATCGACAAGGACAAATTACTACTCTTTGACGAAGCATATTAAAACAAACCTAGTCTTGAATTTAATATGGGGAAATCATTGGCAGCCGTAGCTTCAATACAAAAAGAATTAGTCGGTTGAGATTTGATCTGACCTACATAAAAAAAATAAAAATAAAAATACTACTACCTAAGGTTCAGTCTATTGCAATGCTTCTAATTGTAAACATGTAAGTTTTGTTGAGATATGGTCAAAATTAAAATTAAATTACTTAAACAATATTTTTTAGTCAAAATTAAGTTGTTTAATAGATTAGTTTACATTTCAGATGTGATTGATTATATTTTTAATCCCCCAATTAGTCATGCACACTCATTTTCACCAACTATTCACTAATTAATTAACTAATGGGCCATCAACAATTCTAAAGTACGTGGATTTGATAAAATTGGTCAATTTCAAAATTTTTTTAGTTTATTAGCTTTGCAATTCAAAGCAGAAAATCCTGAGGGAGCTGTGACCATTTTGACATGTTGAAAAGGCCAATCAGAAATCTGCATTGAAGTGCTGCTTTTAGGGTTTGGTCGCAGTTTAGGTGTTGCAGATCTTTTATAGCTTTTTCGACTGTAAAATTAGGCTTTTGGGAAATACTACCCACCCCTAGTAAGAAGGCAAGGCAAGGCAGATAGAAATGGACTGATTGGTACCGTACCATCTAGGAAGGAACCCAAGATAGCAACAAAAAGCCCAAATTTGTATTAACAGCATTTAAAGATCTCTAGATTCAGAAATTCTTAAACTACAGTCAGAATCGACCGCTTGGATATAGTGTGTCATTCCTACATTGGAATTCTCACATTAGCTTAGATATATATAAACTCCCACTGTCCATATTTTTAAGAACATGTTTATATGCCACCATCTTCCATGTAGTATCGTAGTAGATACCAATACCACACTTATATCCCGTATTACTGCTTGGCAAGGCAGGCAAAGCAAATCCAAAAATGGCAATGAAAAGTTTACAGGCCGAGGCTGTGTTGGTGACATAGTCTATAGATTAAAACAGCATTTTATGAAAAATTACGAAAATAGACAGCTAAATACTACTAAAACTACTAATTTTGCCGAACAAAACTGTAATCTCTCTACTTCTATCTACCCCTGTTTTCAATCTATTAAAAACTAAATACTTGAATTGAAAGATATTACTCTCAACAAGCAGTTCATACACTCTGTAGTGTCCCGGGTAATTGGTCCTTCTATGAAGCTCAAAAAACTAAAGAATATGTAACATGCAATTAGAGAGCCCTGCAGAGTTGGAAGAAAGATCAATATAAAGTGGTATCTAAGTAAGTGGTGTCTGTTATTTATTTACAAACAAAAGGGAAAACATTACATACTCAATCTTCTTAACATATTCATAAACCAAGTATATCTTACTACAGTTTGAAACAAGGTCAAGGCAATAACTCAATCCACATGAGTGGACTGAGATATGCACAATTATTTGCAAAACTTCTCTCAATTCTCCCAGTCTGCATATTATAGATACCCAAATTCTTCTCCCTACCAACCCTATAACGACTTGCAGCTTCAGTATCAATGAAGTATATACGATTGGCCATATACCCAGTCCTAAACGATCTCCTCTTGACATCAACACACAAACTTGAATTCTGACCCAAAAACAATGCTTTATTGTCCAATCTCTCAACCTCTTCACACTTACCATTCTCAAAGTTCAATTTAAAAACTTCAAATGCTTCTGTGTGAGAAAAATCTCGCTTTCTCTGCAAAACTAGCATCAATGACTTTGATTTTGATAATTCCATTTCGACTAGATGATAACACTTTTGGAATTCATAAACCGCATGAATAAACACAGCATAGGGTAATTGAAGGATAACTCTAGTCTTAAAATCATCTTCAACCTCCAAAACTAAAATCCTTCCTCTATTATCAAGAAAATAAAACTGATCTTTGAAAAATATAACATCAAGAATGCGAGTAACACCATCTACAACTAAATATGTCCAATTTGAGTGGCCTGATTTATAAAAAGCCAATCCACGATGATAAGTAACCACAACAGAAAAATTTTCAGTACAAGTTGGACTAGAAGACAAGGCAGCCTTAAAGCTGAGCTCAATCGTGAAGTGAATAAGTTCCACACTCTTTTTGATCACCTCCGGAAGGAGAATCTTTCGACGAGTTAAAGGATGCAAAAGAAAGATTTGGCTAGTTTGAATCAAGAGCCAGCCATGGGAAGCAAAAGAAAAACAAGGATCGTACCTTGAATTGGCTTCAGGTAAATAAGGTTTATGAAATTTCCGTTTTGAATTGTTGAACAGTACAGGGCTACAACCGTTTGTTCGAAGTAATAGCCAAGGAATTTGAGGAGATCTGTTGAAATTTTCGTTGATCGCAGCGGATCGCCATGACGGACAGACTGCGCCAAAAGAAATAAAATCATCGTAAGAGTTTATCCGTTTCGCGATCTCACACAAAAGATCGGAAGGAAGTTGTAACCACGAAGAAGATGAAGTCCTTGCTTTATTATTTTCTTCGCGTTGAATCATGGTTGCCATCTAGATCTTTGTGTTTCGAAGGCGTCAAGCCAGTCTTCTGTGGCTGGTGAGAAAGTCAATCAACAGGAGGATTTTGCATTGTTGAAAGATTCCGAAGAAAGCACAATTACTTCACATGTATTTATTAATAGGGCCGGTGTACCACACATTCTAGGCCCAGCCCAAATTGCGGCAGATTGCTTAGCCCGCCCGTTCATCTTGAGCTCATCAATGAGCTATCATGTGCACTCTTCCAAGGATGGCAACTTCGATTGGTTTACATTTCTAATTTCTAATTCGGTTCGGATTAGGATATTGTATTTTAAACGGGTACTTGGCCGGCTGCCATTGCTGCTCGGGTATACTTCCAACTCCTAAGGAGCATAAGCTTCTTAAAATTAATGGATTAATTTTACGATTATCATATTTTCTTTTCTCCATAATCGCAATCGGAAAATTCAACCAAAAGAAAATCTTTCAACAACATTCAACGGATAGCAGAAATAATCATCCATGTCATTAGAGACCATAAAATATTTCAAATCCATGAAATTTAATTCTATTTAAAATTAATGAATTCAACTTTCCCTATTCATACCTTTTATTTATCCTTTCCAAACAAAATGGGATACCTATTTGATCACACGCGGGGCACAAATTTGAAAGTATTATATTGATTCAGACACACAAGCCTAAACGTAGGTTGAGTAGAAAAATTAGCCTAAAGGAAGAAGGTCAAAGTCATCAAATTACCTAAGATTTGTCTTGATGCCTTTATAAAATAAGTAATCGGAAAAGTACAAAAACGATAAACTAAATTAAACGAGGGAAACAAGTGGGTCTATGAGGTATTATTGTTTTTCGTCTTCCTAGTCTTCAATACAAGAATGGGATATTAAGGTAGTTTGCCTAGAGCGAGGGGAAGCAAATCACTTAGATTTTTCAAGTAAACTCAAGTTAAGATAAAATTTTTTTCGAATGATCACAATCTTCTTGAAAAGAGAGTTGAATCATTCAGTTTGAAACATTCAATGTGAAATAATCTTATAATCGTGGAATCCTGATTTAATTATAGAGCAAAAATAAAAATGAATTTTTGAGTCGGGCGATGAGACCAGATTGACATAACCCGCAGCTCCCACTTGGAGATCCAGCTAAAGCTTCAAGGTGCACATGTGAGTTGTGGATAAAACTCTCTCCCGCCATGACCCACACAACACAAGATTTTCTAGTAGCCAGTTTCCACCCATTCCCATAAAGCAGATACATGTGGACTGCGGGATAACTCGTTCGATCACATGAGATTTGTAGGCTTTTAGGTTGTCTTGGCACGTGATGATTTCTTTCTTGGCACTAACACTACATATCTTTGCATCTATTCTTTCTTGCCTCGTCTTTTCCCAAACAAAACCCTAAATGGGATAAAAATTGGAACAAAACAAAATCAAGAAATGTGATAAAACCCTTCTAAAGAAAGTCGTAGGCTCTCAATTGGGAGGGACCCCTTAAAACGTAGGGCACATTGTGACACTAAATGGGATCCACCACCAACCATCACGTGAGCACCTTCTGTTGTCTCTCATGTGGAGAGATAGCTCATCATTGCTCTCACTTTCTCTTTTCTCTCTTTGTGACAATGTCTTCTTTTTCTTCTTTTCTAAACACAGATTTATGACATTTTCAACTTTTTTATGTGTGTGCGTGATGTTATAGTGTTGCCTAAATATCTTCAGACTCATTGATTATTATAGATTTATATTACTTACATCCTAAAATAATTAATTATTAAAAATAAATCACCTGAATGAAACATTGCTTAAAGTTTATAAATTTTATATTTATTTACACTCCAAATGTAAGATGGAATTATAACTGTTCCTTATTTCTTAACCAAAGTTTTTAAATATTTTACGTCCTTTATGGGTTTGTCAGGTGCGAAACCAATTAGTCTGAGCGCCATAAAAATTTATGCTTATCCATAATTTTAGCAGAAAATGCGGCCAAAAATAATAGTGAATTAAATTATTTGGAAGATATTATAGATGAAATGACTTTTTAATACGTTGATTTTTAGCTAAAACAAAGTGACAGATGTTAAAAATTTAGATATTTTAATCAATTATTCTGATGAAAACTTTTATCAAATTGATGATGTGGAAAAAATTATTTTTAATTGCATAATTCATAGTAGTTTAATCGATTATCAGGTAAAAAAAAAGTAAAATAATTATAAAATAAACAAAAATTTATGGCTTCTACCTTGTGAAATTCATTTGCATTTGCAATACTTTGAAGACTAATATCAAATTCAATTTCTTTACAAATCCAGACTTTTGTGAACCTGAAGCTTCTTATTGCATTCAGTGTGTTTGGCAAAAGTTGACAAAGAGAGTGTTCATCATTTTCCTTTATCAAAATTTGATGAGACGTCCCCCTCTTTCTCCAAATCCATCTACTATTTCTTTTCAACTTTTTCGCCGTTAATCAAGACTTTGATTTGACTAATTAACCAACTTCAATTTAACGTAAATCGAGTTTTAAAAAAATTGCAAAAATAAAAAAAAAAAAAAAAAAAAGTCAAAAGTTTCCAAATTGTTATGAAAGGTTAAGGAGAAGTATATGCCAGATAATTTTCATCTTGCATGTTAAATGGGGATTTAAGGCGAAAAAAAAAAAAAAAAAAAAAAAAAGTTCCAATTTTATGAAAGGTTAGGAAGAAGATATGCAGATAATTTTCTCTTGCATGTTAATTGGGATTAGCGAAACTAAAAAGTAATTATAACCCTAAAAAGGTCCCTCTCTTTGTTTGCAATTTGATAGTAACAATTAAACGTACTTAGAATGGGAACCCGACCAATAATTTTAATCCATTAATGTAATTTTTATGGTAGCACAGGGTAGTGGATGGAAGTCATGATGAAGCAGAGGATTAAGAGTCCTTCTCTAAAATAACGTGTAAAGGTTGAAGGGGACCATCTCATGATTTTCATTTTCTCACTGGTCTGTACATTATCTAATAATTTTATTCGTATAATTATTTTAGAAATATTATTTTTCGAGTTTATTTTCAATTGAATATAAAAATATATAATTTAAATTTTTAAAAGACAATAGAAACTAGAATTTGGTAGTCCAAGTGGACCCCAATAGAAAAGGGTCGTTAAGAGTGGCAGGCAGTTGTGGAAGTCTTGGGAAGGAGATTAGTGATTAGATGGAGCGTCGCCAAATGTAAAATCCATAAGAACGGTATTAATTGGGTATACGCGCACGCATGGAGTCACGGAGACTCTTTTTTGATATCAGCCTGTGACCCTCACGCTCTGCCCATGACCAGCTTTAAAGCCAAGCAACTAAGTAAATATGAAGAAAGCAACCACTTCTATTTTTTTCTTCAATAAGCTTTTTTTCTTTGCCACAAATACCCATCTAACTTTAATTTTTCATTTATCTTTTCGGGTCATTTTACCTCTTTTCTCTAATCATAAAAAAATACAAATACAAATGCGATGTAAACATCTAAAATTTAAAATGAGATTAGTTAAAATTAAGTGTTTAAAATCAAATTTCACTAAAATAAACGCAGTTGATCAACAAGAGTAAACTGTATTTATATTTACAAAGCATCATCGTTGCCACTTTTACTGACTCGAGATTGAAACTAGGGCCACATTCCAAGTCTTGTTCTAACTTATGATTTGAATCGAGAATGATATCAGGACTACATTCAAAGTCCTCTTCTAACTAATGATTTGAAAGAACTTTTCAAAAAAAAAAAAAAAAATTCCGATAAAAGAATCAACCATTTTGTTAGACGACCTAACAAAAATGTTGAATAGTTGTTGTCGTATGCCTTCAAATGATATGCCTGTCAGTAATCATTTACCAGCTTTATACTTCAGTAACATATTTTGCTGAGTTTGCCGTTTGAAGGATATACATTTCTGTTCACAATACCAAACGGCAGGTACATATACGTACTATAAATATTTACAGGCTCTGGTGTCTCTTCTGTTGATAAATAATCTGCCAAATTTAAAATATTGGTATTTTATTTATTTATTTATTTTTGTTAATTAACTTTGTAGAAAAAATATTCTACTTTATATATATAAATGTCTCTATCAATTGTACAAGTATCCAAAGTTGAATGAGTTTAAACTAAGAAATGATCAGAGGTGAGAATCCAAAATCTAAATAAATGTGCGGTAAGAGTGCGTTTGCGTTAAGCATTGTCTTTACTTTATGTGCCTACAAAATATGCAACTACCTAAAAAACAAAAATCTCAGGAAACATATGTTTCACTTAACAAATATCGACAAATTCAATGTTAATTGCTCCTCAATCCAATTTTAATTTGTCCGTCCTTACCACGGTCGGATCTATAAAAATATATTACATCTCCAAAACAGTTTTATTTATAAAATTAAAAATAAATGAATATCGTCTCGGTCTGAACATGAAAGCACGAAAAAAAAAAAATTCAAATAGTGTATTCAATGTAAAATGACCCTTTTTTTTCTAAGTATATATTCAATTTAATAGATATTTAAATTTAAATTTGTAATGCTTAAATAAAAGAGATATGGTATGAATCAATTATTCAATGCATAAAAGGAAATAAAGTTTACATTTATAAAAGAATTTTCCATCACAGCTTTATTAAAGCCAAAATTATTGAAACCCCAGTCAAAATAATTGAACAATAATTTTATTTCTATTTCTCTTTTTCTTAAAATTATTCAAAGGATAAATTATAACAACTTAAACATCTGAATTATTATTAACTCAATGCACTAATTCAGAAATTCTCTAGCAAGATTGAGATTAATTAAATGCTTAAATATCAGCAATTTTTTTAAAAATAATAAATTAGTTTATTTAGTGTTTGTCCAACAACATTATATGAATTATGTCGTTACAAAATTAAAGCATAGATACGTTATTTGGTAAAATTATATTAAGGGCTAAACAAGAATTTATTTTCGTTAAATTAGCACTAAAAAAAGTAAAATTGTCAAACAAATATTAATAAGTCAGACCTGACCGTTGGCCTTTGCTTTTTTTTTTTTTTTTTTTTTTTTTTTTTTTTTTTTTTTTTTTTTTTTTTTTTTTTTTTTACTTTTTTTGGCCGTCCACTTGTCTCAGCATTTGGCATTTTGCTTTTGGCCACTCGGCGGTATAAAATGTCTATTTACAAGTCCATAAGTATTCAAAATGACTACAATACCCTTTAAATATAAACAATGCCGGCTGCCAAGCCTTTTTTTTTTTTTTTTTTTTTTTTTTAACGGCATGGATTTATTTTAGCCATTGCACACTCAAATATATAACAGTGATTAGGAAATGATCCCAGCTGAGCAAGCCAAAGTCACTTGAATAGTGCACGAGACCGAGCAACTAGTTAAGCTCCGGACAGTAACTAATCTCATGTTAACATAAGTTTGTTAACGCTCAATGTAACGCAGTGAGCAAGAATTCATTTAAAAGTTTTTTTTTTTTTTTTTTTTTTTTTTACGGCATGGATTTATTTTACATTGCACTCAAATATAATAACAAGTGATAGGAAAATGATCCCAGCTGAGCAAGCCAAAGTCTGAATAGTGCAAGAGACCGAGCAACTAGTTAAGCTCCGGACAGTAACTAAATCTCATTTAAATAAGTGTAACGCTCAATGTAACGTACAGTGAGCAGAATCATTAAAAGTTATTAAATGATTGAGATTCTTGTTCGGTATTTATTATTAAAATTCTTATCATAAAAGTTATTTGTTCAGTCATAGTCTAATTATACTATAATAACAAACGCATCTGTTAAGTATTTTCTCAATTTACTCTCATCAATAAGTAAAAAGAAAAATATAATTATTTTTATAAAATTCTTGTATAATAGTTTGATGAAAAATCTCAATAAATAAACATTAGTCATTCAACCAAAATGATTGAGTTGTACATATCGTGCTATGGTCCTAGCTAGGGTCTTTTCGTCATTGCAAGCGAAATAATTATTAAGGACCATATCATAGTTTTGACCTTTTTCATGTACCACATTTAATGAAACATTACTTCTTAATCACTCGACAAACGAGGACAGGATAATAATGAATTTATGCAAGGACTATGGCTTAAGTAGCTAGATTAATGAACACCTACTCATTCACCATTTTAGGCAGAAAAATTGTACATGGGGTCTTATTAATTTGTAATTAGTACCCCTAAGCTTACATTATAATGATAATGGCACCACCTAACTATAATTTAAATTTAAGAAACCAATAATTCAAGATTTATAAATTGATTTATCAAATTCAAAATATATGAATATTCCCTCCGTCCACAAATAAGTGTCATATTTATGAATTTTAAAATAATAAATTTTTTCTCATTTTTACCATTTGCAAATGACCAATATTAATTATTACAATTTAAAAAAAAAATCTATTTTTTATTGTAAATAAAGTAATATAATCAATTTACTCAATAATTGATTATAAATTAAATGGTTTTATTAAGAGATAAGAAAAATATAAATGTGACGCTTGTTTGTGGACAGAAGAGTAATTTTTCATGATTCATCCCCTAATTACAATGGACAAAGATAATTAGGCAAAGTAAATAATAAAATCAGTACATTAATTACTGATTAATAAATAAGTGCAACAAAGGCAACTTGAGCTTGGTCATCTATGGAAGCAAAGCAAGATTGTATATGTAAAATACAAAAATTAGATTTGTAGTTTCCTCCATGTAAAAAGCATCTTCTTTTTTGTATTAGTCTCAGTAAACTTATTTCTGAATTTGTTGTATTTTTTTTCCTTTTCTGGCCTTGTTCAGAAGCTTTTTAGAAGCTTACAATAGAATTTTGCCCCACTCCTAGCTGGATGACACGTGGGAAACATTAAAATGAAAGCTACATTAATTATATTTATATATTTATTTTTTTGTTATTTTATTAAATCTACAAACTACAGGCACCATTGGGCATTGGGTGAAGAATGGAAATATATATTTTTTTTAATTTAAGGAAAAAAAGGAAAAAAAAAAACAAAAGAAAAGAAGAGGGATCATATCATCTGTTAAAAGTAGAAGGGTAAATATGTCAAAAGCCAAAATGAAGGAACTAAGCTATACTTACTGTTCCCTTGACCCGAAGCATACTATATAGCTGCTCTAATACAATATTAATAATTTATTTATTTATTTATTTAAATTTAAATAATTAATAAAGGAGAAGCTTCTCTCTCCCCTTTTTATTTTTTTTTTCCAGCTTTAAAATAAAACATGCGTCATCATCTGAAATACTGTTGCAAAGGAAGAAATCCTTAGAAGTTGAAGAGCACACAGCTGAGAGCAGCTTCACATCAGATCTGCTCTGTTGATTATTCACCCGTCTTCTTAACTCGCTCTCTCACCCGCTCTTCTACTTCGCATTCGTCCACTCAGTCGACTCGCTTCTCTAACTCTAACTTTAACATTTATTTATCATATGTACACAGTCTGTCTGTGGATGTGCATTTTGAGATAGTGCCCGGAGGCTGATTGGTTTGGCTGCATTGGATGGACTGATCGTGGAAATGGTGATTTTCTGGTTAGTTAAGCCGGAGTTCGTGTGACTGGCTGGATTTTCCGGCGAATTCGCCGGTGGAGAAGATGTTTCGGTCCACGAGATGGAGGAACGAGAAGAATAAGATCAAAGCAGTCTTCAAACTTCAGTTCCATGCAACTCAGGTACTCTCGCTTTCAAATTCAGTATAAAGATGTAGTGACACATTTCCTTTTAATCTATAATTGAAGTTAAGTTCAGCTAGGTCCTATTTGAATGCTTAAAATTTCAGGGAAAAGTAAGAAATACGATTTCTAAAATTTTGGATGTGTTAAGTGGAATCTCACAAACCAGAGAGTTCCTCACTTGAGTCTTAACCTAGTGATTTGATTTGGTTCACTGACTCAAAACCATCTATTCCCTCTTGGATGTGTACCATTTTGTGTCAAATCGATGTAATCGAGTAATCAGAGGAATTAAAATTTTCTGGTGATCTGATAGGTAACCCAGCTGAATGTGGATGCATTGGTGATATCTGTGGTCCCTGGGGACGTTGGAAAGCCAACAGCAAGATTAGAGAAGGGTATATTCCGAGATGGAACCTGTGGGTGGGAATATCCCGTCTATGAAACTGTGAAATTCACCCGGGACTCAAGAACTGGGAAGATCAATGAGAGAACATACCATTTCATTGTCTCAACTGTAAGAAACTTATTAGCATGAATTGGATTATTTTCTGATACTTGTTGAGTGTTTCTTTGTGTAATTCGATCTTTTTGGATTGTTATAGGGATCGTCAAAGAATAGTTTGGTTGGGGAAGTTTCAATTGATCTTGCTAATTATGCAGAGGCTACAAAATCTTCCACTGTTTCTCTGCCCCTGAAGAATTCAAAATCCAATGGGTTTTTGCACGTGAGTGTCTGCCTGTTTCTTTCTAGCATTTAGGAATTAGTCTCAGACCTCCAGGTTCCATAGCAAATTGCGACTTCAATTGATTTCTTTAATTTAACTCAAGTTATTGGTTTTCAATAGGTTTCAATTCAGAAGCTGCACAGAAATGTTGACCAAAGGTAACAATTATATCGTAGTTATTATAATGGCACTTTTCCAATTTTTGGAGTTTGCTTGGACTGACTTTAACCGTGCTTTTTGCGTTCTCTGGAGAGCTTTACAGAGATGGGGAGGAAACTGAAGATGCAAACATCAAAATTGCGAACAGTACTCTGAACACCCTCTTAAGCAATAGTGACGTGGAAAAAGGCATTAAGAGTAATTCTAATGAAGTTAGTTTCCAACTAGTGCTAGAAGTCATTTCATTTTTGGTTCGCATGATTGAGAAAATTAAAGAGTGCAGGATAAAAATTGACAACAAAAATATGAATCCTAACTTTCCTTTCTTCTATCTTACAAATCTATAAGTGTCAAAATGATTGATGAAAATCTATTTGTCCATTTTTTTATTTTTCAGGTCAGACCACTTAACAACGCCAGCCACAATTCAGAAGTTAATGGGGACTGCAGAACATCCAGTGGTTCTGACATTACAATGTCAAGTTCTGAGAGCAGCTCTGGGCTTAACACTCCACGTGAACTTGGATTAAGAAATAATACCGTCCTGCAGGAACCGACTACCTTCCTATCATCTCGGAGCCTCAACTCAGCTCCTCATAAACCGAGCACAAAAGCTTCAGCAACAATCTATGAAGAGCATCAGCAATCACAGTGGGAGTGGTCAGTAGATTCTGATCATGGAGTAATCACTGATGACTCGATGAACAGTTCAGGCAACCTTGCAAGAGAAAGGTCTCAACACACTTCAGATATTGAGATTGAAAAGCTCAAGGCTGAAATCGTTACTTTGACTAGACAAGTAGATATGTCAGATTTGGAATTGCAGACCCTTCGAAAGCAGATTGTAAAAGAAAGCAAAAGGGGGCAGGATCTCTCAAGAGAAGTCACAGTCTTGAAAGAGGAGAGAGATGTTCTTAAGGCAGAATGTGAGAAACTCAAGGCCTTTCAGAAACGCATAGAGGAGACAAAGAGCAAAAACAAATCACAATTTGATTGTGGGGATCCTCGGGCTCTTCTTGATGAAATCAGACAAGAACTTAATTATGAGAAGGAACTGAATGTTAATCTTCGATTACAGCTACGGAAGACCCAGGAATCAAACGCTGAGCTGATACTTGCTGTAAAAGACTTGGAAGAAATTGTGGAACAGAAAAATAAGGAGATGTCCGATTTTTCAAACAAATCAAGATCCTCTTACAATGCCATATCAAGAAGTGACACTGATGATGATGAGGAGCAGAAGGCGTTGGAAGAGCTTGTTAAGGAGCATCGAGATGCTAAGGAAACATACCTGCTAGAGCAAAAGGTCATGGATCTCGTCAGTGAGATAGAGATCTACAGGAGAGATAAAGATGAACTAGAGATACAAATAGAGCAGCTTGCTCTCGACTATGAGATATTGAAGCAGGAGAACCATGACATGTCATATAAATTAGAGCAAAGTCAGCTGCAAGAACAACTGAAGATGCAGTATGAATGCTCTTCTTTTACAAATATAAATGAACTAGAAAGCCAGATAGAGAGCCTTGAAAATGAACTCGAGAAGCAGTCCAAAGAATATTCTGATTCTTTGTTGACCATAAAAGAACTTGAAACCCATATCAAGAGCTTGGAAGACGAACTGGAGAAACAATTCCAAGGATTTGAAGCTGATCTTGAAGCTGTAACTTCTGCAAAAATTATGCAGGAGCAAAGAGCCATCAAAGCAGAGGAGGCCTTGAGAAAGACAAGATGGAAGAATGCTAATACAGCTGAGAGGCTACAGGAGGAATTTAAAAAGCTGTCCATGCAAATGGCCTCTACATTTGATGCAAACGAGAGGGTGGCTATGAAAGCACTGGCAGAAGCTGATGAACTACGATTGCAGAAAAGTCAATTTGAAGAAATGCTTCAGCAAACTAATAAAGATCTTCTATCAGTTAGGGATGATTATGAGACAAAACTGCACAACATTTCCAGCCAATTAAAATTGAAAATGGACAAGATAGAGCAAATGTCGATGGAAATTGATGACAAATCGAAGCAGCTGGAAAGTCAAAAGAAACATGAGGAAGAACTTGTTGGATCTTTCTCTCAGGAAATATCAAATTTAAAAAGTGAGCTTGAGAAATTAACAATAGACAACAGAATGCTTTCTGAACAAGCAGAACAAAAAGAAAATATGAGAGTTGAATTGGAACAGTTGAAGGCTTCAGTTAAGCACACTGAAGAGCTGGTACAAAAAGGCAATATAGAGAGAAATGAACTAGAGAGTACACTTGCTTTGATGAAGAAAGAAGCACAAAAGTTGACGGAGGAGCTAACTAGAATGAAATCTCTTAAGGATGAGAAGGAGACCACGGTGAATATCTTACAGACGGAGGTAGAAACACTAAAAGCCCAGTATAATGACATGAAGGATTCTCATTTTGAGGATGAGTTGGAGAAAGAAAAACTTAGAAAGCAAGTATTCCAGTTAAAGGGTGATGTTAAGAAGAAGGAAGATACCATCATCACTATTGAGAAGAAACTCAAAGAAAGCAACAAACGTACGACAGTTTCTGACAACACAAAAACTACTCTGAGAAACAATAAATCTGCTTTAGCTCCTAATGGTTCTAAAGAGGCTGCAAATCTGAGGGAGAAAATAAAAGTGCTTGAGGTAATTCTATAACTCCAAATTATGCAGTAATTTAAAAGCTTTGACTAGAATATTCTCCGGTGGACGCATGTAGATGACAACAATAATCACTAAAATTAAAACCTTAAATACTAGATTACTCAGAAGGAAAAATGCATAGTTATTTTCACAAGAGATTTATGGCTTTTGAAGTGCATTTTGATCTTCATACAATATCTCACGTTTTGCGACCTGTAGTTGCATGATGGTTAAGTACTCATTATTTATAATTTTGTCTGACAGGGGCAGGTAAAACTAAAGGAAACTGCTTTAGAAAACTCAGCAAATTCGTTTTTGGAGAAAGAAAGGGATCTTCTAAACAAAATTGAAGAATTAGAGAGCAGAGTGGAGGAACTCAATCTAAGCAGCATTTTCCATGACAACTCATGCCAAAAGGTTACAATGCTTTTTTAAGTGTCCAAGCAATTTCGTTTGCACCATGTTGATTGTCCAACTTTGATATACCCTCAAATATATGACTACATTTTAGCATTGCTTCTTGAATCATTGCTCCCTATAGAACAGTATTACTTGGCCATCTCTGCTCTTTCCTTTAATGCGTAGACATAGATGAGTTTTTTATCAACAGTTTTCAGCGTTCCATTTTCCCTATTCTCAAGTGCTTATCTAGGTATAAGTATCTATATTTGCTTCTAGATGGCATGATCGGCATCAAATTGCATATTATTCCATCATTTCTGATTGATTAAGTTTGGGATGCAGTTACCTGAGGACACCAGTGACTTTACTTTAAATGGTGGTTTAACTGAAAATGGAAATGCAAAATCATCATTCAAGAGGTAATTTTTTATTTTTTTAAAACAAGAAGGTTTTAAGTCATGTGAATTCTGCTCTGGCTTTGCACATAGTTATCAGTATTTCATTATGACCATTGCAATAGATATAACTTTAGCGCATTGCTAGCAATTTATTGATTTCTCTGTATCTCACCTTTTTCCAGCAATTGTGCAAATGGGTCAAAGAAAGAACTGAAGACTTGCATCATCAGCAATGTCGATTACAATGCTAATGAGTTATTGAGTGAATTAGAATCATTGAAGGAGAAAAACAAATCAATGGAAAATGAACTTAAGGAGATGCAAGAAAGATATTCAGAAATAAGTCTCAAGTTTGCAGAGGTAGAAGGTGAAAGGCAACAGCTTGTGATGACGGTAAGAAACTTAAAGAATGCCAAGAAGTGAACATACAGAAAACCTTATATACTTTTGTATAGCTTAAATGGTTGGTTGTGCCCAAATGGAAATTCTAAACACTGACAGTCCTATCGGAGTGAATAATTAGTTTGTACAAAATTAATACCAAAAAAAAAAAAAAAAAAATATTACTGGCAATCTAAATGTAGGTAAGATTTCTTTAATTCATGCTATTTTTGTAATTCTTTCACATCTTGTCAAGTTGTTATATATGGTGATGTTTTCTATTTTCTACTAATGAATTCTTTGCAATTTTTACTCTGTTGAAACATTAAGAAGAAGGGATTTTGGTTTCTTTTCTGTAACTTTGTACCATTACAGGAAATTTTGATAACAAATGAAGGTTCTTTTGCCTTAATCAGGCTCAAGAGACATAAGATTTCTTCATGAATTGCTTCTTACTTTAGGGAATAAACAGCAGAGAATACAGAATCCTGAATGAGATTCTCGTGATTCCCAAAGAAAATTGGAAAGACAATGCAATAATAATTAATATGAAATGTCAGGTCAGGGCAACAATTCTGGATTTGCATGCTATGTTTAAACAAATAATGTTTAATCTATACATTTTCATTAGCATGTGATGCAAAATATTCAATTATGATTTAATTAATATATGCAAAAAAATAGGGAAGAACAATCAACAATCTTTGTCTTCTCACAGAGCCTTCCCTCTATCTCTTCAAGTATGGTATATTATTCTATTCTGATTTTATTTATTTTTTTAAGAACACCTACCAACTATTCTCTTCGGAACTTCTGACAATTGACACCAATCTTAAGGATTCACGAGCTATAATTCAAAACACTCAAGATTTTGATTTTTTTTTTCTAAAAAAAAAATAATTAGCCATGTTTTGTTTGATGAGATTCCAACACGTTTATAGTACGCATCTGGCTATATGTTTATGTTTATCATACTTATGCACGTTTCTCTTCTATAATTGTTTTTTATATATATATTATTAAAGGTGTTCTCCCATCTCTCGACTATCGAATTCTACACTTACGTGGATAAGATCTAATTCGCTCACCGATTAGACTAAATTATTTTGGGTTATTAATCTATTGTTTTTGACTTGTTATTCGACCGCAAATACTAAAAAACAATTACTGTAATAAACTAAAATGAGGTATTGTTGAATTTTTGGAGGATGGTTTGAGGACGGAGACAGAGACATTTAATTATATTTAATATTTATAGGTTCCAGTTATAACTTACAAGAGTCAAATCCTTTTTAAGTTCCAAGGTTTAATCAAATTCAAATATTTTAACTCTTTCCAAAGCGTTTCTGCTTGTCATGTTATGACTTATGAGAGTATTAAAATCATTAAACATCGGGATTTGCTAACTAATCTGACACTTTGAAGTTTAAAAAAAAATGATAGTAATTAACAATTGAGTGTGGTTAAAGTTATACGTAATTAAGCCAATATTATATTTACTAGTATTTAAAAATTTTGATTAATTTTTTTCAATTTTACCTTTATATCTACTAAACATAATAATTTAATTTTAGGGAAAGATTAATGGAGAGAAAATTATTAAAATTAGAATAATTAAGTGAGATTAATTATAATTTGAGTGGTTTAATTATTTCTTTAAACACCCAACTAAAATCTTAAACAACAAGGTCTAAGTGGACGAGGATTATATGTTTTGATACAAAGGGTAATCGATTTCATCAAGATTAATAGTTTATATATTTCATTTTTGACATTCTTAATTGAAATTAAATAATTATTTGACACTACTAATGATCTGCAAGAGTAATTCCTGAGGGGGAACTCAACGAAATATTTCAATAGGAACTGAAACTTGATCGAATTGTAATATAATTTTAAATTTTAATACAAAATTGGAGCCATATATATTTGAACTCTGTATTACACAAGAAAATGGGAAAAAAAACATTAACTCTTCGAGAAAAATGAGAAAAATCTATCAAATAACCTAAGATTAGTTAAAATTTGATAGTCAAAACAAGAAGATGGGAAAAAAAAAAAAAAAATTCTTTGTCTACATCGTTGTATACACAGGAACTATGGAGGAATGCTCTCTGCTCAGAGTCTGTGATGTATTAATCCGTAAACAGTCACTAAAGCCATAATAAAGGAGTGATCAACTTGAGGCTCTACCACCAATTTTAGTACATCATCTCCTAATACTACTCCTGTTGATGTTTGCTTTCTTGTGGCCTGCACGCAAATTAAACAAAATCTGATTAATTATTTATAATTAAAAGATAATCTTGAATCTTGAATTAAAATAAAAATTTTTTAAAGAAAAGAATAAGAAGTTAATGTTCACCTTAGCCATTAATCCTCCATTTCTGTTTATAATCTTGAAAGCTGACTTTCCAGTAGAAGCTTCTAACTTGTAGCAACCATTACTAGATCTAATAGAAATTTCACAGGATGAACTTCCTTTTAAAATTCTTGAATTTTTTCTAACTTGAAAGCAAGGCTTTTGAGCTTTTAATTTCAACCCATCGCTTTTATAACCCTTCCATTGTCTAAAGAGCCATAATTTCTGCAAAAGAACAGTTAAAGAAAATCAGTTTCTGCGACTAAGTATGATAACAATTAGTCTTATTAACATGTAATTAAAAAGCTACAAAAAAAAAAAAAAAAAAAAAAAAAAAAAAAAAAAAAATAAAAAAATTTTTTAAAGAAAAAGAATAAGAAGTTACATGTTCAACCTAGCACATTACATCCTCCATTTCTGTTTATTAATCTTGAAAGCTGACCTTTCCAGTAAGACAGCCTTCTAACTTGTAAGCAAACCATTATAGATTTCTAATAGAAATTTCACAGGATGAACTTCCTTTTAAAATTCTTTGAAAATTTTTTCTAAACTTGAAAGCAAGGCTTTTGAAGCTTTTTAATTTCAAACCATCGCTTTTAATAAACCCTTCCAATTGTCTAAACGAGCCATACAATTTCTGCACAAAGAACAGTTAAGAAAACTCAAGTTTCTTGCGACTAAGTATGATCAATTAGTCTTATTACATGTAATTAAAAAAGCTAACAAAAAAAAAAAAAAAAAAAAAAAAAAAAAAAAAATCAATCACAAAAAAAAAAAAAAAAAAAAAAAAAAAAAAAAAAAATCAATCACAAATACAAACATACCCTAATAGTAAAGAGAACTGTGCCTTTAAGATCCATGAGATAGACCTCGCTGCTTCCTTTCTTATCATAATTATCAACCCTATAAACGATCTCACCATTTTCATTATAAACAGTGCATCCATTAGTTTGCATAACAAGAGATTTCATCCATATGGTAAAAGTTTCTTTCTTTGAAGTTGTGTAGTAATTATCAGAGGAGTTAGAGCAACAACAAGAAGGAGAAGAAGAAGTAGATTCAGTAGATAGAGGCAGAGGGTGAACTTTGGCCATTCTTGAAGCTGATGAGGGAGAAAGAGTTAGGTTGCTTTGGATTCTTGGAGAGAGAGAGAGAGAGAGGTAATCAATTATAGCTTTGGTGATGTTTTTGAATGGTTGTGGTTTGTCCAAATATATATGGTGAAGCCGTAAACAAGGGAGAATAAAAAAAAGGTGAGTCAGTTCATTCATTTTATTATTATTATTATTTATTATTATTTATATTACTTTACAGGAGAACTTCATTAACTCATTTTAATAGTTCTCATTAGATATAATTAAGTAATTAGTTCATCTGACTTTATTGATATGATTCTTATCTACATGTTTTTTTTTTTTTTTTTTTTTTTTTTTTTTTTTTTTTTTTTTTTTTTTAAGTTTCTTTTTAACATATGTACGGGTGCAATATATCCAATGTGCGTAATTTGAAATTACTTTATTCAATTAATTTCTTCATTTCATTTCTTTTAATTAATTTTTTTTTTTTTTTTTTTTTTTTTTTTTTTTTTAAGTTTCTTTTTAACATAATGTAGGTGCATATATCCAATGTGCGTAAATTTGAAATTACTTTATTCATATTAATTTCTTCATTTCATTTCTTTTAATTAATTCTCACTCTTTTATATATCTAATATGGTTGAAAGATAAGTCTTAGATATTAATTATTAGATGATTATAATAATATTTCCTCTATCTATAATACTTGTTTTGGTTTGATTTATACACATAAATTAATAAATTTTAGTTAATATAATTAAATTATAGTTTTTGTTTAATTTTTTTCTGATATAGTACTGATATTCATTAAAACGAAATGATCCATATTTATTTATTGTTATTATTGAGATCAATCAAACTATAATTATTTTTTCAATAATCAAGCCAATTGACTAATTTATAAGGTGATGATTAAACGTTGATATTATAATTTTATTTATATTAAAATTTAACTATTAGCAGTGTAGTAAATTTTTTTTTTTAAGAAAAAAAGTATATTAAATAAAAAAATAAACTTTAAATGTTATTTATTTCTAAAAAAAGCAAATAAAACTATAAATTAAGACAAATAAAAGAAAAGTAAGAAGTATTAAAAAAAAAAAATCACTTTATGCCTTTTTCCGTTTGAAACTGCTTTTCACTCGTAGGAAGATGTAAGAAAGCCACATGGCTGACTAGACCCACCCAGCCACCAAGCAGCCTCTCCTCTTGGAACTTAATTTGTTTTTGACCACAAAGCTGCTTTATTTTCTATATATATATATATATATAGATTCAGTAACTCAGAGCTTACGATCGCTTTTGCTTTTACAATTGTATAAACACACAGACACAGACAAGATTGTGTCATCTTCTAGATAAAATTGAGTACGCAATTACATTGATATGTTAGTACAATTAGGCATTACAGAAAATTAATGAAAAAGGATATATATGTGCTACACAATGTTCAAACATTTTGTTTGAGGGTAATGTGATATGTCCACATATACCCAAAAAACATTGGAATGATTTTTTTTTTTTTTTATATCGACCGGATAAATATTCTCGATCTAATATGTTAGGATTAAATTTTATTCTTGTCGAATCGGTTTTATTAAGAGTTAGAACAAATGCTTCAGTAAATATTATTAAAATGAAAGTAACTAATAGTTTAATTTCAAATTTCTAAACAATAAGAGTCAACCTCTTTGAAATACAAATTAGTAGCAGCATTAACTAACTAAACGAGGATTATAGGACTTTTGTGTATACACAAGAGTTATAATTAACGTGGGTGCCACTACGCAATAATAGCTTCACCAAATTCCTATTGGCTAGAAAGAATTATATAGCATACAGCTGTGGATGATGGCACTTAAAATTGAAGCCTGCCCGTGAAAAAGAGAGGAAGCAAATTGTCGAGTAGACTGTAGTAGTAGTTGGCATGTTGGGCTAAATGGGAAACATTTATTTAATGCTATGTCTAAAAATTCTACAGATGGACTGGTATTTCTTTTCAATGGCCTTTCTTGCTGCCTTTGTTTGTGACAAGTGGAAGTGTATTTGTCACATACATTATTTTTCTGGGTAAATGAATTTTTGTGTTGCTTTAGCTTTATATTTATTGCAAATAGAGAACAGACCACCTGCTATTGGATTGATGTCCAAACACAACTAAAGTTTGTCTTTTCTTGAAACTTGGCCTCATCTCTACGACACAATATGTGTGAGATTGTTGGAAATTATCATGTTCTTGATTATACACCTCTCTGCTTTCTTGCCTGCTATTTATTTGCCAAGGAGTCACTTCCCGATTTATTAGCCACGGTGTCGATGAAAGTTAAGTTTAGCTACCAAGTCAAAGACTCTCGATCAACGACTTAACATCTCGCATTCAAATCCCCAATCTATTAACTTTTACAACGTAATAGAAACCATATTTTCCAATCCCAAGTGCCAACATAAGAATAAACTGTTACCAATAGAGTATTATATTTGTTCCAAAAATTTTGCTAGAAATAGAAATAAGTAATAAATTAATTAATAATGTCGAACAAAAATTTAGTATAGATGTACAAAAGGAGACAAATTAATGAAGCTGCCGATAGTTAAAACTCCTGGAAAAATCGATATATATATAATATCTACAATTTGTAATTAATTAATCCATATACAGTGACTATTGCCATGATTAGACAATGATCAATATGAGATTCCACTATCAAACTTAACACATCATCTCCTAATGTAATTCCTGAAGATGATTGCTTCTGCTTCACCTGCAAATATATATATTAACCATCTCAAAATCAGAAAATCCAATTAATTAATATTAATTATGTATAGCTATTAATAATAATTACCTCTGCAACGACATCTCCATCTATGTCTACAATCCTGAAAGCTTCTGCTGCTTTATGTCCCAATTTCACAACCCAGTACTTCTGAAACCCTACTGTAACTTTAAAATAAACTGAATTTCCAATACATACTCTGCAATATTTTTTTACTTGAAACCATGGCTTCTCTTTATTTATATTTGAAGGATTCCATCTGTAGCCATACCAACGTCCAAAAACTAGTAATCTCTGCAAAAATATCAAGAAACAAGAAAACCCATTTCGTCATTTATACTTTTATATAGCCATTTCCAAAGAAAATGAAATGGAATTTTGTAAGATATATATGTAAATAACTAAATATATACCTTTCTTCTTATGGTTACAAGAACTCTGCCTCGAAGATCCATCAAATATACTTCATTGCTGCACTTTTGATCATAGTTTTCGACGCGATAAATAATCTCACCATTAGAATCAAAGACAGTGCAGCCATTTGTATGGCAAACTAAAGATTTCATCCATACTGTAAATGTTTCTCTTTTAAATGTCATGAAAGATGAAAATATGGGTTTTTGAGGGAAAACTTTGGCCATTAACAAGAGAAAAGGAAACTTGAGTTTCTGAAGACGAAGAAGATGACTTATTTATGTTCGTACGCTAATATGGTGTGTGCACGACTTCAAGGATATTTTATGTGTATATATATAATATATATAATTGTGCATTAATAAGAGATAATTGGGGGTTAATTATATTATATAATATAAATTAACAGCAAATCTATAATTTTATTATCAAAATAAGTAATATTAAAATTAAGCTTCTGGATTAGTAAGCTCTTTTTTTATTGAAAATAAATAAATAAATTGGATTAATTGATTTTTATTTGCACCATGCTTTTTGGACCACGTTAGAGTATGGTAGGCCACTTCTTATGCTTCTCCTTTTTATTTTTTTTTTTTTTTTTGATAAAACAAAGAAATAAAGCGAAAGGGCAATTATAAAGATGACGTGGAGCAAATCGATTGGCAGAGAAGTGAGTCAACTGGAGGCAGCATACCAGCTTTGATTACGGCTTCAGCTAGCGTGTGAAAGGCATGTTGTCGTTTAGGAAATTGACTTGTGTTGAAGAGAGCATATAGTTATCCTTCTTGCCTTCTTTCTATCTACTTTTTCAATTAACCACTTTTAAAAGGTGACGTTTATGCATACAGTCACAAACCATTTATTTACATTTTGAATGTCGTTTGGTCCTCATGTACAAATTATGCAATCTTATCCATTAATCTAAGGAAATAATTTATATAATTATAAGATGGTTTAGATAGTGAAATTTGAGCGATAAAATTTAAACATTTTATAAAATTATTTGATATTTTCATTTGATTTAACAAAAATAGATTAAACTCCAAGAAATTGAAAAATTTTTATTATAACTTCAATTTCACCGTTTCAGAATTGAGAAAAATTCCACCTTAGAGGTAAAATTTCTTAATTCAATATATATTTTTGTTTGTTAATATGAAATTTAAACCACTTTGTTATATTCAATCCAAACTACCACATTATTAATTTTTGTTTTAATTATCTAATCTTGAATTTCTTAGTTGTATATTTTTGACATTAATTGCAATTAGTATTAATTCTACAAACAATTATTTGTTTCTAAGGTCTAATTAATACAAATGATTTGCTTGTATATCCTTATTTAAGGAAAATAGAACAAAAATTATAGGACAGAAAAAATATCCTTACTCGCGTTTGCTATGGTTAGTTGTGATGGCCATTTAATATGTAAATCATGACTTAATGCGATTTAATTTATAATCATTCATATGATTATGGACTTTGAAAAATGAAAAATGAAAAACCACGTGCAGCTATTTAATTTGTTTACAGTCACGTGTCATTTTATTACCATTAATTTAGTAGGAAAATGAGTATATTAAACAATATATTACCTATAAGAAGGTCAATTAGACATGAATGGTAGGAGAAACTCCATCGAGAAGGAATTTGGGCTCGCAAGTTGCAAATCGGCCCACTCTCTCCCAAAGCGAAAGACAAGCCTTCAACTGGTCCATTTCATTTCCTCCAATAAAGATAGATTGGGCCTGAATCTTGGGCTCTGTAGTCCAGTAATTCATTGTCGGACACATTTGCATTTGCCTTGCTTCCTGTGGACAATAAATAGGTGTGACCAAACAGTTAAGAAGCCAACCGACCAACCAAACCAAATTCTGGGGACCAGTAGTGTTAATTGAGTCAAGAACTTGTGACTGTGAGCTTTATCACCGTTGAAATATCACATGATTCAATGATTTGGTCTCTTATGTTTCAAATCTGGATGAATGAATGAAAATGACCATTTCTACCTTACCACGTGTGATATGATGAGATAGAATGCAATAGAAAGAAAGATACAGTGAACGGATTACCTAATCTTAACGGTCAAAATGAACTCTTTCATTCCGAATTAAAGAATTCAGAATGAATCAAATCCCTCCAACTAGGATTCGAAAATAGATTTACAACTTGTTCTCATTCTATCTTATATAGTTCTGTATGTTTTTAAAATATTGAAACGATATACAAATGCAATTCAGTGTAATACGTCAATTATCAAACTACAACGTTAGAGCTATATAAAACATCATCTCAAATTTTAAATTACCAAACAAGGCTCCTAAAAACAAATAGTATCAAACGAGAATTTTCTTTTTCTTTTTCTTTTTTTTTTTATTATTTTTTGCCAGGAAGGAACATCATTATTGATAGTCATAATTCGAATTCAGACATACAAATATTGATTTACATTTGTAATTAGTAGGAGACGTTGATAAGAAACAGCTTAATCAATGATGTTTAGCCATTTTAGTACGCTAGGTTTGGCTCTACCAAATCTTTTATACTTGTTCACGTCTAACCAAACTTTGAAAAATCCATTTTTGACAATGAAGGGAACAACCTATCTAATCCCCACTCTATTTTAAACTAATAAATAAAAGAGATTAAACGCAATATTGTTCACAAATTGTAGTATGTCTGTTACAAGGTCAAATTAAAAGTTACCCTTCAAGATAATTTCATCCAATGCTTAGTCCAAATCTAATATTTATGTTACTTGAACATTTTTTTTAACGTAATCATATATATATATATAATTAATACAAAGAAAATTAGATAAAATTACGGATATAAGCTACACCTAATTTATTATAAATGAGATAACATCGAATGCCAAAATGATGAAAATTGGAATAATAAAAACACGTAAAACCAATATGATGGAGCTTAACGTTCCAATCCATAGCTGAAAGAGCTCCGACAGCCTAGATTAAAAGAAGGGATGATGATAATAACTAATTTGGAGCAACAAAAGCTAAGAGGAAGGTCCGAAAAAATAAAAACAAATAAGTCGTTATTTTTCGCATTTTGCAAATAATTTGCATCAACTAAAAAGACAAAGAGGGTCCTTGTCAAAGCGAAAGCGCAGGACGGTATTCATGGCAATTGGCAACCATTGAAAACCCAGCCCAAATCATGGGGCCCAACTTGTCTCATCCTTCAAATTTAAAGTGAAGTGAACAATTCAACCCATCAATCAATTTCTAAGTTTTTTTTTTTTTTTTTTTTTTTTTTTTTTTCAAAGAGGGCCCTTGTCAAAGCGAAAGCGCAGGACGGTATTCATGGCAATTGGCAACCATTCTGAAAACCCAGCTCCAAATCATGGGGCCCAACTTGTCTCAATCCTTCAACATTTAAAAGTTAAGTGAACAATTCAACCATCAAATCAATTTCAATGTTTTTTTTTTTTTTTTTTTTTTTTTTTTTTTTTTTTTTTTTTTTTTAACCTGGAGCTGTAATCCTCTCCGGGTATAGTGGAAAGTGTTTTTTTTTTTTATTCTCTTAATAAAGTGTGTTTTTTAAAAATTGAATTTATATTCTTGCAATAAACACATCTTTTATCCTCTTAACTCTATTTTTAATATTATATTTATTTGTCTTGCTATCTTGGCAGAATCGATGGGAGCCAAATGCTTTCAGTATACTCGTAACCGTATTTTCAATATTACACTTATTTGTCTTGCTATTTAGTGGAATTGATAAGAGCCAAATACTTTCAATATAAGCCGAACAGAGGAATAGAAATTACTTACCACCCAAATCAACACTTGTTGATAATTTTAAAATTTTTTTTGGACCAATGAAATTTTGACAACTAGCCAAGTCCATGGGATTGAACATATTCTATGACAATGGATAAAAAAAGAATATAAAACTATAAAGATGAAGGATCATTGCTTTAAAACTACTCTAATAACTTTTTTGGGGGGGGGGGGGGGGGGGGGGGGGGGTATTTGGCTTGGAAGGCTTTGGGTGAGTGATGCTTTTTTATTTAATAAATTATGTTGTGTTGTGGTCACTTAAACAAAATAAACAATAGGAACTTAACTCTCATGCCAAACAGAAAAAGGTCCATCAAGGGGGGGGGGGGGTATTGCTTGGAAGCTTTGTGAGTGATGCTTTTTTATTTATAATTATGTTGTGTTGTGTCACTAAACAAATAAACAATAGGAACTTACTCTCATGCCAAAACAGAAAAAGGTCATCAACAACAACTCTATTAAATTAAATATTATGGTCTCCATATGTAACAACTTTGCCTCTTCACTAATGTTCATTTTATTTAGTAGACATGTGTTAATGTTGTTATTAGTCAAATTTGTCCAATTTTGTGTATTATTTTTATGGGAATTTTTCCTTCTCTTTTTGAAATTAAAACACAAAAGAAAGGAGTGGTTGCTCATGGATCTAATAGTCACTCACATTTTTTCCCCCTTTTGGATAACAACTGTAATGTGGAAATTTCGATCTTTTTATCCGTCTTTTATTCTTTTAAAGCATAAAATAACTTTAGATTATTACGGTGGAGAGAATTAAAACTTAAAATTTCTCACTCTTTACGTTTTCTACAAGAGATAGGAAGACCAACTAAATGACGATAATAAATAAAATTCTTTTATTCTCTTAAAGCATAGAATTAACTGTTTAAATAGCTCTCAATTATTAGAGTAGAGACGACTAAAACTCAAAATTTCTCACTCTCTATGATTTTTATAAGAGGTAGAAAGACTAACCAAATTAGGACAATAAATAAAATTAAGTTGGTACTAAGAAAAACTAATAATCACATTAATATACATGAACATGAATTTTTAGGCATACCTTCCCATAATAGCATTGACTCCAAAAAAAGATATTCTCGCAATGAAAACGAAGTCATTGTCACAGACCTACTGTGAGAGTGTTAGCCAGAGGATGAATGACTGTAGAAGAAGACTCCTAGACGGTGAAATGTCAAATACTAACGTCTTTGACTCGCATGATATCGTGATATTTTCACTATAAGATATATTAATATTTATATCGTAGACCATAATGATAATAAATTAATAATTAACCGGGTGACACTAACGTGCGCTAAGAACGCGGGTGCATGATTACTGGCGCAAATAACGCTTAAGGGCCCATAAGCTGCTTTGGTGCTTACTGCTAAAGCTTACGTTCCAAAAACTTCTAATCCAATACATAATTACACATTCTTCTCAAAATAATAATAATAATAATAATAATAATAATTCCCACTTTCAATTATCTCCAATTTATTTAATATAATATGGAATTAGCCAATTTTAGAATTTATTGAATTTTCAATTTCGATTCTTTTAAATAAAAAATCGGATTTAGAGATTTTTTTTCCAATATGATTTTAGTTCATTTTAACTCGAAATATAAAATTATTTTTTATTTAATTTTTTAGATGATTTTAAATTGGCCTGAAATGATCATAGAATTTAATATAATTAACTAATAAAGGATTAACATGGTTAATATAATCCAAAAATATTATTGACCTAATTAAAAAATAAAAAAACACTTTTCTTTTTCAAATATACTTTGCATTAAAAAAAAAAAAATGAAATCATCATCGCCAAGAGAAGAGGAAGGACCCATCTTAGTTCTGCCCGCTCGATCAGCAAGCCTAAAAACTTAAAATGTTCTGACTCGCACAATAACAAAAACCCAAAGGTGAAAGATAGCTTTCAATTTCTCATCTCACGATATTTATGATAACTCTTGATGGACAGTTTAGGCCTCTGTTTTAATGCAATCATTAGCAGTAAACATAAAAAAGTTCCACTAAATCTAAAACGTATAGTATAAATTTTTAAATGATAAGAAAAAGATAAAGGAGGTTTAAAAAAAAAAAGGGGAAAGAAAAATGGAACCGCCAACGCCATCTTTAACATCAATGAACAGAACAACATTCTCTTTATCGTCCTTTTCTTTTCTTTAAATTTTTTTTAACCAGTAAGTAGTAACAAAACCTCTCTTTGAATCCAAGTTTCCCTCAAATCTGGGTTTCTGTTCTTTAAGCTTCACAGCTCCACATTTCTTCTTTATTCATCATTCAAGTGAGTTTGCTTTCACGGGTAGTTGCAAATTCTTGGATTTATACTCACACAAGTATTGTTTAAGGATTAACAGACCAACCCTTTTTTTTATTACACCATCTAAAGATTAGTTTCTTTCCCTAGTTCAGAACCTGTATCTTCAAGAAGCTACTTCTTTTTTCTTCTCTTATCTTCATCCATTTTTCTTTTCAACATTTTGCTCTTTCTTGGGTTTCCCATTTCTTGGTGGATCCTTGGTGCTGGGTTAATGAGTTCTTGTGGGTCTTCTTCGTTAAGTTTGAAAGAAGGTAGTGATAATTAGAGACTGGTGGAGATTTTTTGCGGAGAAAATGAAATTACATACTTCATTACGACTTCTCTTTGTGATTTTTCTTGTTCTTTTTGTGACCTGTGAGTCATTTTCGAGAGATGAAGGTATGTGTTGCTTTTTTTTTTTTTTTCAGATCTTGATTCTTCATGGGTTTAAATAGCTGTTTGCTTCCTGGGAAAATAGGGGAAAATTAAAGTAGCTAGGATTCTTAATCTTATATCATTTGCAGTTTTGGATTTCCTTGTAGGACATACTCTTTTTCTGCCCAGTTAACTAATTTCATATGGCTAAATCGAGTGTTACTAGATTTATGTCTCCTGAGCATATGACAAATATGAAGTCTCAAGGTTTAAGTTTTTGCATTCTAGTCGTTTTCTTGGCGACTAAACAGAGCATGTGTGATACTGATGTCTAAAACAATGTGCTGATGCTAGGATTTACTAATTTAGAAAAATTCTAGATTTTGATGTCATTTGTAGCCAGTTCCTGCAGTCCTATTTCTTCTTTTACCGACTAGGTCTTTTCTCAGTTTCGGCGCTTACAACCTTCAAAGAAGCTATATATGAAGACCCACTTCTGGTTTTGTCTGATTGGAACACCCTAGACGCAGATCCTTGTGACTGGTCTGGCATTTCCTGCAATGTTTCTCGAGACCATGTTTTAAAAATGTAAGATGTGATTATCAATTTTACTAGGTTCAAGATAAGCTGCATTCGAGTTTTCCTGCAGTATAGGTGAATGATGTTATGCTTTTATGTCTTTCTTCTTCTTCTCCTCTCTCTCTCTCTCTCTCTCTCTCTTGCAGAAACATATCTGGGTCATCTATGAGGGGATTTCTTCCCCCCGAATTGGGTCGGATCACATACCTGCAAGAACTGTATGTTTCTTCTTGCATATGATACTGAATCTACAGTGTATTTTAGCTTTATACATTGTTTTTGAACTTTGGTTTCTCGTGTTTGATGTTTGTAGAATCTTGCATGGTAATAATCTGATCGGGTCAATCCCAAAAGAGCTGGGAATGCTCAAGTACCTCAAGGTTTTGGATTTGGGAATGAATCGATTAACGGGTCCTATTCCTCCAGAGATAGCTAATCTAAACAGTGTTATGAGAATGTAATAGTTTTTTCTTATTTGGTTTAGTGATTGTTACTTTAGTGCCCGGCACTGTTGAGTTCCTCTTACTTCCTAGTTTATTTCATTGTAGAAACCTTGAGTCCAATGGGTTTACAGGACATCTGCCTGCTGAATTGGGCAATTTGAAGTACCTTGAGGAGCTTCGGCTGGATAGGAATAGACTTCAAGGAGCCGTTCCTGCAGGTGTCAATTCAGATTTCCCTTCTAATGCACACGGAATGTAAGTAGAATATCCAATTAGAAACATTCTATCGAGTCCGGAATTTGTTCATGCAAAATTAGTTGATTATGGTTATTTAGAGAATGATTTACATGTAAAATATCATAGATTGCATATAAATATGAGAAAAACAGTTTCTATCTCAATTTGGAAAGCTCATCATGGCTGAGACTCAGAATAGTTGATGAACTAACGACAATGTATTGATTGCGTAACTCCTAACCCATTTTGACTTTTTGGCTACATGTTCAGTGCATATATGTCACTTTATCAGTCTGGCAGATGATGTGGTATCTGTCAATTTTAGTCCATAATCTCATGGCATATTTTCCCTTTTGAATAGGATTATTATAATGATTCTTGCATCTACGAATTCTTGTAAACATAAAATCACAAGTTTAAAACTGGATCATACTAGAAACTAAAGTAGGTGAATTACATGGAACATAAAGTCATATAAGACCTTAAATTTGTTGCTCATATTCCATACCTGCTTCAGGTACGCATCAAGCGCAAATTCAACTGGCCTGTGTCAAGCATCACAGTTAAAAGTGATAGATTTATCGTATAACTTCTTTGTTGGGAGCATACCTAAATGCTTGAATTATATTCCAAGGTATGCTTCTGTTTCTTTCTCTTGAATTCTTTTTCTTTTTCTTATTTTTTTATGTTCTATAAACTCATGTTTTCCTTGATTTATGTCATGCATGCAGCATAAGCTTCCAGGGAAACTGCCTCCAAAACAGAGATCCTAAACAGCGTTCGGCTGCACAATGTGGTGTGTATAACGAGCTTTCTTTTTGGTATTATTTCCTTACATTTCAGAACCGTGGAGTGGATTACATGAATTCATTAATATTTTAATGGTCATTTAAGGATTTGAAGGGAAGAACAATCCTCTTGGATATGGAAACATGAGTATGAGATTCCTTAGTGCTTAACTTCTTCTATTAATTAGTCTGACTCTTATCTGTCTGATTTGGTCCACGCCAGAAATAAATATTACGTTTCAAGATCTTGGTTCATTCCTACTTTGTTAATCAATGTTTCCCTTCAGAGGCTCCATGTTTTGAAAGAAAAATTCATTTGTATGCTTTTGGTCTGTATTTAATCAGGGAAGATTTTCAAAGGTAAATACTAATTGCATGAGGAATTATACTTCTCCCTGCTCCTCAGTATTTCTGTGACAGTCAACTTGACCCTCAATTTGGAGTAATTTGAGATTCATGGCCCTTTATCAAACTGAACTTGATAATACTAGCTGTATCTTGTGGGTGGCAATAATTTAGTACCAGCTATGGTAATTAAAATGAATGAGACTCTTTTTGTAGGTCACAAATCACTCGCCAAAACCCATCAAACATTTAACCCAAAGCACCGGCCTGCTGAAAGTGCATCCAAGCAGCATCCAGGGGCATCAAAACCTGCCTGGCTTTTGGCTCTAGAAATCATAACAGGAACCATGGTTGGCTCTCTTTTCCTTGTTGCTGTTTTAACAGCATTTCAAAGATGTAATAACAAATCTTCTATAATAATCCCTTGGAAGAAATCAGTGAGTCAGAATGACCAAATGGCAGTATACACAGGTTTACTTCCTTGTTTCTCTGTGCTACTGAAGTTTCGACGATGTTTGTTTTAGAGCAGTACATTACTTGAATTGTTAGTGCTGATTCTGCACAGATTCAGAGCTGTTGAAAGATGTAGTGAGATTCAGTAGACAAGAGCTTGAAGTTGCTTGTGAAGACTTCAGCAACATTATTGGCTCTTCTCCAGACAGTGTGGTTTACAAGGGAACCATGAAAGGTGGTTCTGAGATTGCTGTTATATCCCTCTGCATCAAAGAAGAACACTGGACAGGCTATCTTGAGCTCTATTTTCAGAAAGAGGTAAATGATCATTACTACTGTTGCTGCATCAACTTTGAGCTTCTGTAAAAGGAACCAAATATGAAAAATGCAAGAGCTGAAAAGTTCAAGACTGGTCTTGACATTTTACGTTCAAACAACATTCAGGTGGCAGATTTGGCAAGATTAAACCATGATAATACAGGAAAATTACTGGGCTACTGTAGAGAGAGCACTCCGTTTACGAGGATGCTGATTTTTGAATACGCATCAAATGGAACACTGTATGAGCACCTCCATTGTAAGTCAAGTTTCTTTGTAAGGTCATTAGTTTTGGGTTTAATTAGCTCAAAGCTGAGCAGTCACCTTACTGCATATACAGATGGAGAAGAATGCCAGTTATCTTGGTCGAGACGTATGAGAATTGTTATAGGCATTGCCCGTGGACTCAAATACCTTCATACAGAACTTGATCCGCCATTTACCATATCAGAGCTGAATTCTAGTGCTGTGTATCTCACAGAAGACTTTTCTGCCAAGGTACACCCGATGCCTTTTTTCATTCTCATGAAGAAGTGCCCTTGAGTAATGAAATCTTTCAGAACTGCAAATATAAAACTATCTGTAAGGCATGTCAGATAAATGGCAAATAAAAATGCTGATCAGCTTACTAGAGCAGCTAGAATAGATTGTCGTCCTCTATTATCTTTCTGAATAACAAAATTGTAAACGCCATAGAGATTTGTGATCTTGAGAAAAATCTCTACTGTCTATGACAGCTGGTTGATTTTGAAAGTTGGAAGAGTATCCTTGCAAGATCGGAGAAGAACTCAGGATCCATAGGCAGCCAAGGTGCTATGTGTATACTTCCAAATTCTCTAGAGGGGCGCCATCTTGACGTGCAAGGCAATCTATATGCTTTCGGTGTGCTTTTGCTGGAAATAATCAGCGGGAGACCTCCCTACTCTAAGGACAAAGGATGCCTGGTAGATTGGGTAAGAAATCCTTAACAAATTTAAAAACATATCTCAGTTTTCCTTTCTGGGAATAATTGAAGTGATCAAATTTACATTGATTATGTATCTTGATCGTATTACATGAATGCCAAAAAACTATTTCTGCAGGCCAGGGAGTATCTTGAAATGCCAGAAGTAATGTCTTATGTGGTGGATCCTGAGTTGAAACATTTTGGATACGAGGACCTCAAAGTTATATGTGAAGTGATAAGCCTCTGCATCCATCCGGATCCTGCCAAGCGACCATCCATGGAGGAAGTAAGCAACATGTTGGAGAGCAAAATTGACACATCCATGTCCCTCGAGTTTAAGGCATCTTCTTTAGCCTGGGCTGAGCTAGCACTGTCATCGTGATGATCAAGTGGAAGGAACACATTGTAAATAGATATATAGAGAGCTGTAATATTCATTTTTCTTTTATCACAGTTTGAGCTTTTTTTAATCTGTGACTGTGGCCCTTGTAATAGTCATTTTTCTTTTCTTTTATCATTATTCATCAACAATAAATTACCACTAATGCACTACTTGGTCTCTATTCCTGATAAGACCAACCACGTCTAACTCTGGCAATGATATGAACTTTGCAGAGAGAAAATAACAAAACCATAATGCTCATTTGGAAAAATATAAGTGGTATTCTTTTATTTAACAAAGTATTTACAATTCTATATATTTCTAACGGTTCTATAGTTATGACGACAATTTGGGCACCTAGTATATGTTTTTCCCCCATTCTTTAATACAACCAGGATGAAAAATATGGTTACACTCGGGGAGAGTTCTTACATCTTCTCCTTCTGTGTAATCTACTAGGCAGATGGAACAATTTTATGGCCGTCCTCGTTGTGAAAGGGATGAACAGGGAATGATTCAAAAACAGATACTGAGTGTACAAGCTCGATATCATTTAACAACAACGAGAACCCAATTAATCGGGACACTTAAAGTCGGGTGAATTTACTTTTGTACTCCCACCACTGGTAATAAACTCGATACGATCACTATACGTATCCACCTCATACTGTAGGAAAAAAAAAATACATAAATGAGTAGCAGCTTAAACAAAAACTAAATAAATAAATTATTGTTAATAATATAAAAATTTTCTAGGATATTAATTCGTCAATCATTAATATCTGTTTAAATTATAAGGAAATTGATGATATTAATTATTATATTTAAAAATTTTTCCCATTTTGAAAATTTGCTTTTTTTTTTTTTTTAATTCTAACGGAATATTAATTCTCGTCAAATCATTATATCTGTTTAAATTATAAGGAAATTGGAATGATAATTATTATTATATTTAAAAATTTTTTCCCCCATTTTGAAAATTGCTTTTTTTTTTTTTTAAAATTTTCTTTTTTTTTTTTTTTTAATATCCATACCTTGTTTTTCGAAAGGTATGTATATCTATATCTATAAATGATGTCATTAATATCTATTTAATTAATTTATTTTTTAAGCAAGAGAGAGATCTGTTGATAATTCCTGACAAACAGTGCAAAATAAACCAAGCCTACTGTCTGAATTGGAAGTGATAAAAAAAAAAGCAACTCATAAAATTTGATGAACTATTTGAAGTTTCAAAAAAGTAAATATTATTGACAGAATTGCCAAGAAATAGGCACGCATCAATCCAGCCACCAAGCATGAGTGTATTTACTGTCAGAATGTGTTCTAGGTAGTTTCAACCTGAAAACTTCATTATTTCAAGAAACTAGAGTTTTGAATCTTTTTCATGGGAAAGAAGAAAGGAGAATGAGAAATAAAAGATGGGAAATTTCTTAAAGTTTCACAAATTCACAATTTTAAAACATGAAACTGTTCAATATGACAAAGTGAATGAAAAGTTTATCTTTATATAGAATGATGGCAAATGAGAATATGAATAATTTCATTGATTCTGTGATGCAAAACACAGCCATGTCAACCTAAATTGTAATCAAAAGATTCGCCAGTAGACTCAATATTAATTACGACAAACCGCTTTGGTTAAATAACGTGCATAGCAACAAACAATAAGAATCTCCGGATAGCAAACTGTTTAAGTTACCAAAAGCGGTTTACTCAAGCAAACTTCAAAGAACAACAAACCCCACAAACTATAATGAACCTTGTTTTCAAAACTCTCAATATTTTATCTTTGTCATTCTGGTTTGAAGTTGGAACGAAAGCCAAAGATAATAATAATAATAGTAAACTCGTTTTAGTTTCTGGAGATTTCTTAAAGCAAAACAATAATAATGGTGGAATTAGAAACTCAGTTCCTTTTGGACTATTGGTCCATTTACTGGTTATGCAATGCATCTCCTTGCAAATTCTCTTAAATGGGCGCCATCTTAACGTGCAAGGCAATGTATATGCCTTTCGATGTGCTTTTGCTGGAAATGATCAGCGGGAGACAAAGGCTGCTTCATAGATTGAGTAACGAGATCAAATTTACTTAGATTTTGTATATATCTTCATCAAATTACATGAACGTCAAAAAACTAAGAAACTTTCTGCATGCCCGCAGTCCGCTTGTATCTTGAAATGCCAGAAGTAATCTTGGGATGAATGGAGTAATTAAGAGGAATTATCTTGTCGTTATATGACAAATTCAAATTTCATTAACGCAAAATTAAATTTTATTAACAACAGTTACCATTTATCACTTGTTTTCACTTATTCAGTTTTATTTTAGCTAATATAACGTTAAGATCTTCTTTTTCCTAACGAAAAATTAACCTATTCTACATCCATATATATAAAAATCGTTATCATTCATCTTCATCAACAAATAAACATAAACCATCTAATTTCTTAGAGTTATTATGGCTCTGAAGTTTGCTCTAATAATTTTGTTTTCGCGGTGTTTATTACAAAGATGGAACGGAGTTGTAGGTAGAAGACTATCAGCAGAAGAGGATTTAGAATGTGAGGAGCTTAAACATCTAACTACATGAGATGAGAGCCAAATCAGCTGCAGAAATATATGCTTCAAATTTGAATCCTCAAAATGCTAATAGACCTGGTGTTCATGTAAGTTTATGTCTACATATTTGCATTAATACCCTCTTAACATTTTGCTGAAATCTGACTAGTCTAGTAATTAATGCATGAAACAGTTTGCAGGTGATCGTTTGTCAAATGGGAAGTACTATGGAGCTGGAACTACTAGCTTGCACAATCCAAAGTTGGTTGATATTAAATCTCAGTACAGTTCAAGTCAAATTAAAATCCAAAATGGTCCTTATAGTCTTATTTTTGGGTGGACTGAAAGTAAACTATTTGTTATTCCTTTTTTCTAAATGTAAATTTCATTTTATCTTGTGATGTTATGATATTCTTAGGTCAATCCTATGGTATATGGAGATACTCGGACTCGCCTATTTTTATATACAAACGTAAGCCTTATGTGTTTTATGTCTTATAACTTTAAATTATTTTAATTGTATTTATTCCATATTAACAACTATTTTTCTATTACTTTGTCTCATAATAGGCCCGAAACAGTCAGTGCTTCAATATTTTATGCAATGGATTTATGTTAATAGAGCATATATACCTCTTGATTTTGCTTTCCCTGATCTTTTCTACAAAAGGTGGACCAACATATATGGAACACTTCTTTGTTTAGTAAGCTATTGTCTTAAACTTCAATCTTACATTTTCAAAGTATTTTAGGCTGATATATTACACAATTTTTATTCTCTTATGTATAGGATGCAGATACGGAGATTGGATTTTTCAAATTGAATTCGGGTCAGAGTACAGCACGCAAGTTGGATGGTGGTGGCCGCAAAAAATTTTCACTGGATCGGCAGATTCAGCTACATACATAGAATGAGATGGAGAAGTATATGGTCCTCCACCCGAGACCTCAGATGAGCACACTATATAATTCATTTTGTGCACGATTGATAATTGTTAACGAGGGTCATGAAACTGTTAACGCTCCAAAAGTTGAGATATATTTAGATACTCCGGTTATCAAGCTTATGAGTCAGGATATGATGCATCAAATTTCAGACATTTGATGTGGTTCGGTGGTCCAAAAGAAAATTGATCTCCAATAATAATTGTAGCATTATCAAATAAATAAAAAGTTTAAATTTAATTAGCTCTTCCATCAAAATTATAATGGAAATTGCTTCCGACGTTAATTTTACATATTTCAAGAGTATTACTAGTTTACATATTTCAAGAGCATTAATGCTAATTTTCTACAGGGCCCAATACAGTAGAGCTCCACTTTGTAAGAGTGCACAGGGTCACAACTCCCACTCCCTGGAAAAGAAGATGGTGAAAGATGATTTATTGCAGTCATTTTATTTTAGCTTGGACCTGGATAATTGGTGCAGCTGCTAATTATTTCCCTTGAGAAATTCTCTCAAATTTTTTTTTTCCCTGATTTTACAAAAACAGTAGACAAGAACCATCCCTGCAATTTCTTTTGTCCTACAAGCATCGAGAGTTTATCTTAGTTAAACCAATTGCACAAAAGTGACATTGAACTCAAATTTTCATTTTCATCTTCTCTCTCACGTGCAGCCTCACCACATTAACAAAAGATTCGATAAGAGGGAATCGGAATAAAGAAAGCAGAAGGCTCAGAGTTTCTTCAGATTGAAGAAATTTCCCTATTATTCATTTGCATATCACAAGTGAGTACATGAACGACGGCAGACAACCATACCAAAATTGTGCTCATTTGATCAGCAATCTTACATACAAGACATGGGCTTAGGTCCCCAAGTTACTATAATGTAATTGCTATCACAAGCAACAGACGGAGATAATAAACAATCAAGAAAAAATTAACGAAATTACAGAAACTACCATCAATGCTTAGGACGCGAGTAGTGATTGTCATTGGGATTCCTCTTTCCACTGAAAACTGCTAATGCTTTTCGCATTGGAGGCTGAAAAGGGGCCTTTTTATCATTATGGTGGCTGAAGACATTGTCTGGAATAAAGAAATCATCTCCCTGGATTAATTTTAAATACATCAGCATCAGTTGTTTAAACACAATTATGTTTTTTTGAAAGGAAAAAGCGCAAACAAATCTAGTGATGCAAAAACAGACCAAAACGACGATAACAAGACACAAAAAGAAAAAAACGGAAGCCAACCTGTTTATTCACTTTCTTCTTTGTCTTGGGGTAAAGGAACTTTTGTGGAAGTTGATCTTCACGCAGAACAAGGTTTTTAGCAATGGCATCTCTTCCACCTTGCGGTAAAGGTAATGAAAACTGAATGGAATAAATGTTAATGAGTAAGTGCTCAGTAAAGAAAAAACAAATCAGAGTATTCACATTCATGTGTATGGCCAAGAACACAAATGATGCAAAAATTAAGACATGGTGGACTGACTATCCAGATTGGCTTTCAATGCCACGACCAATCAACAGGAATGCACTTTCCTCCAATTCTATCCATTTAGGAGTATGTAAATGTAAAATGCACATTCTTTCATGAGTTCTACATTTTGTAAAATGGACTGAAGTATAAAACTATTGCTCGCCCAATAATTGGATAATTTCACTCAACAAACATCATAATCTAGTAAAAGATAGTATTGGACAAGGCAAAAAATTGGAAAACATGAGAAGAGGTCTACAAACAAGTAATAATATAAATCGAAACCAATACACAAAGAATAAGTAGAAATTCCTGCTATTTGCTCATAGATTGTTCCCATCTTTTTAGTTAGAAATAGACTTACCTTTGTTCCACGCAGAGTGAACCGTGGCCGACGATCTGCCAATACTATCCCATTCTCACCTACTGTAACAGCTACCTTTCGTAACGTACCACCATTTCCACACTTCGGACAGAAAATTCTTCCAATTTCAGCAGTAACAGTATAGCATGCATGGCATTTCAATATCCACCTAAAAGTACAAGTATCTTAAAGATAAGCAAATAAAATATGACAATTTCTTATTATCATATTTTACTTCGGATGAAAGCAAAACTTTATAAAAAAAATAGTTTTTGGAATACAAAACCTTAACTTATGAACCACCCATATAAGCTTAACTTTAATTTTATACCTGTGCAGCTGGCGGATTTGCATTCCTCCCGGTGCCAGCAGTCGTAATCCCATTTGCACAAGTACATTCTGCATTGCAAAATCACTAGTTACACAAGCTACACTAGACTCTGATAAGGATCTAAGAATCCAGCTCTGCTCACTAGAATCATCATCTGCATGTGATGCATCGACAGTTTCATTGGTCTGGGTTAAGTTCCCTTGGTCATCTAATTCTGCATTATCAATATCATCTTCTGAAGCTTCAAGAACATTACTTGCATTGTTGTCAGAAGAAGGTTCCATCACCTCAGAATCAGTAATCTCAAGCCCTGCAGAAGTGTTGTTCTCTTCTTCCCCTTCTTGATGAGCCTCCAGTGAATCTTCTTCTAGTCTCATTTGTTGTAGGATTGATGTGAGATCTTCATTATCATTCTTTACCTTGCTCTCCTCAGAAATACCATTTCCAGCATCTACTGTTCCAGAATTTTGATGCAAAAGTGAACCTGGGATATTAGTTTCATTAATATTGTTGTTATCCATATTGTTCTCCAGATCTTGCTGACTATCTTTTTCAGATAACGCCCCATAATATTCACGCCTAGCTTTCCTTCTAAGATATCTTCTATGAGTACTTCGACTGACAGCGGGTCTCCAATCACCAGCATTATCATCCAATTCCCCTTGAGATGCATCGATGCCATCTGCTACCATCTTCCCTTCAATGCTTATCTCACTTTTTTTTGGTGGATATCTCCTATAGTTCCTTAAACCGTTCTCAACATTCTCATGGTTCTCAGAATGTGCTTCACTTCCAGCAACCGTTGACCCGTTTTCAGATTGATTATCTCCAGGGACAACATTCAAGCTCATCTCTTTCAAGGGAAGGATCCGCGAATGAGTATTTGATCCATCCCCACCTTCATGTTCCAACGCTTCCCACTCCTCCAAATTAGGCACATTATTACCCCATCCAGGCAAGTCCTTCTCAGGAAGCCTCTTCACATTAACTGTATGTATAGGAGGAGGAGCATCCCTAACACGTTTAGTTCCATGAATCTGTGCCTCTAATGTGTAAGTTAAGGCAATAAGTTTAAGGTCAACATCTGACAGAGTCTGCAAATCACCAGTTGCTCTTGCAAATTTGATAACTGCCATATGATACACAAATTTGTAACCAAACCACTACCTTTTCGAGGATCAACTTTATATAGCATCCACCCCAACTAAATACTAATCATTTCAAGCACAAATTTTTCAATTAAACTATAAAATGCAATAAAATAGAAATCAATAAGTTTAATGCTTCCAATAGTATCATATAAAATTCTGAATAAAATTAACAATAATAGCAATACACTAAAACGACAATGCAAATTTGATAAAAACAGAAAAAAGTTTGAACCTTTATTGAGAGCTTCAGGTGTGGGCTCTATGGAGTCGATAGAAAAGGGAATGAAGGAGAGACGGTGGCGCGAAACGGGGTCACGAATCTCAGCGAGAACTTCGGGAACAGTAACGAACTTGTCGGCCAAATCATGGAGTTTTTCACCGCCCTGGATAACGGCGTTAGCATCAATAACTGCCATTGATATGCCCTTCATAGACTTGCAGCTCTCAACCAATATTTGATTTGTTGTGTTTGAAATTTCCTTGTTTTGCGGTGGCTGCTGAGTCTTTACTATGTTGCTCCAACATGGAGCTGTTGAGGATGGAGACGATGAGGCCTCCATTGTTTTGGCTCAGTGTGCGGTAAGAGACGAAGCAAGAGGCGAGTATGTCCTATGATTTATGAGTATAAAACCCTAGCAACTAGCAAGGGAGATTAATCAAATAAGAAGGAGTAAAACGACGTCGTATTTTTGAAACGTGCATTTGTTCCTTGATATATATATATATATATATATAAAGCAAGAGGCGAGTATGTCCTATGATTTATGAGTATAAAACCCTAGCAACTAGCAAGGGAGATTAATCAAATAAGAAGGAGTAAAACGACGTCGTATTTTTGAAACGTGCATTTGTTCCTTGATATATATATATATATATATATATATATATTAGTGGTTATTGATAAATGGTAAACTAATGGTTACAATTATGTCAAAATTCAAAAATAAATTATTGAAAATACAAATTTAATTACTTAAAATCACTTAAATTTTTCATTAATTAAAAAAATATTTTAATTAACTTTTCCTAATTACTTCATAATATAAAATATGAAAAATATTTTTTAAAACAAAGAAACATACATAAATAATTAAAATATAAAATCAATTTCATCTAATAAAAATACAATTAAAGTGAATATAAATAAGAGAAAAATGCCATGGTTTGTAATCAATAATTGAATCGTGCATTTGGAAAAAAAAATTGATGATATAGAAATCTGAATCGGTTATTTATTTCATTTTCTATATTTTATATTTTTACAACCATTTAAAAATAATAAATAACTATTAAATATTATTATAAAATTAAATAAAAAATTTTTATATAACATATTTATAACATATTAAAATATAAAATATCATATTCGCTTTAAAAATAAGAAAAATATTATAATAAAAAAATATTTCTATAAAAATAATTATATCACTTTACATTTTAAGCAGCTACTATATAATTCAATTGAAATTGTACCATTTGGCCATAGAACTTAGTTCATAATCATAAAATCCAATTAAAAAAATCATCATGCTTGAATTGCTATGGAAGCCTTTTTTTTTTTTTTTTTTTTTTTTTTGCGGGGGGGGGGGGTGGGGGGGGGGGGGTTAAAATTGGAAGTATCACCACATAAAATCAGCAATTATTAATTTCTATTTGGTTGCTTTGGTAACATTGTTCTATAAAACCCAAGTATGAAAAATTATTAATATTCAAATAAATATATATGAGAAACTATTTACTAAAAAGGGAAAAAACAGAAAAAATAAAATGATCCCATGCAATAAAATTAAGGAATTTTTTTGGGTCAATTGCCAATGAATTATATAACTATACAAATACATAATTCATCCTATTTGTTTATTGGAAAATAAATAAAGCATTACAAAAAAAAAAAAAAAAAAAAAAAAAAAAAAAAAAAAAAAAAAAGAAAAAAAAGAAAAAGGAAATCCACCCCAGCAGTAAAAACCAATTAAGGGGCAGTAAAATAATCACATTGGCAAGTGGGACAAGGATGATATATATAGTCCCTTAGCTAGTCCCTACCCATCATCATAATCTAAAAATTCAATTCTACTAATAGCAATTTAAGTGAGCTCTTCATAGTAATATATATAATAATTAAATGTGAGAGGCCCCTCCAAAGCATCAAGATTGAACTTTTTGAAGGATAATGTTCTTAATGGGCTCTGCCTTGAACAATGTCAAAGCTCATCTCACTTGGGTCTGTTGCTTGCAATTCAACTTGAACCCCATCAAGCTCTCTCCTAAATCTGTCTTTTGAACTTGCATACAGCATTTTACTTCTCACCCTTGATGTATCAGGAGACCTGAAAATTCCAAACAATTATTATTATTTAAAAGAGAAACAATGCAATTGAAATTATACGTTCACGTCGAACATTTTCCTGACATAACATAATACAGTTCTGTTACGTATGTCATGTACTATTTGTTATGTGTTTTCTTGATATTACCATGCAATGAAGAAAATTTTGCTCTTTTGAACATTCTCATTAGTTGTGAAATCGAAATCAAAGACAGCATATCGACACTCATTGGCTGGCAAACTAGCAGTAAAATCTTCGTAGCTCTGTTGAGGTTTTCCTAGCTTTTCGACAGTCACTTGTTGAATCCCTTCCTCGATCTTGAACACAATAAACCGGTAGCTTCTTTTCGCCTTTAGTTCTTGAAACTTCAGCTTACAGTCATCATGAACAGCCATTCCAGATGCAGAATTAGCCTATTCCAAAACAAATAAAAAATGTTGGTAGATCTCTTTAATTCCATTATTTGAGTCAAATTCATAAGAAAATGAAATATAGATAAGGTAGGAAGGAAAAACATACCATCTTGCCAGAAAAGAAAGGAGGGGCCTGTTGTGAAATGTGTAAGAAGAAAGCAGAGGAAGGAAGGTAAGAATAATGGTGGTAAGAGAGTGGTGAGAATTAATAAAAAAGAGAATAGAGATCCTTGTTGTTAGGAGCTACTAATGGTGGAAGTTTTGGAAGGTGGAAAATGAAAGAATTTAGTGGACAAGATGAACGATGCCCGCAATTCTTGTTTTCATTGCACATTATGGAACTTCTAATGCTTAGCCATACATATATGTCCGTTTTAAATTAAATTGTCTATTTTTGGTCATGACCATGCATATGTCTTTCGTGAACTATAGAGGCAAAAGTAATATTTTTTTTTATTAAAAAATAAACGGACAAAATAATAATAAATTAATTAATATTTTAGATGATAATTAATTATTGACTTGGAATATAGGTAAGTAGAGAGTGATAGATAAGTCTGGTCTCGAATGATGAAACCTTTGCATCTTTTAACAGCTTTGGGTTAGGTGTGACCATCTGCAATTTTGGTGGGCGACCCCCAGTTCATCCATGAGTAAAATCCAAGTTTCCACCCATCTCTGTGACTCTGAATCTGTTTTTATCGTATAGAACCCACAAGTTCGGTTGCTTCGAAACCACAAAATCCCCCATCACGTGCCTTCTGATTCCGTCATGGCGGATAGGTTCCAATGCGAGCCATCATTTTCATGGATGATGAATCGTCATTTTTCTTTCCCATTTTTTCTAATCATCACACCAATATGAGGTTTTTCAAGAAAGTACATTTTCAACTTCCATTGAATGTTATATTCATTCCAAGACTAATAGTTAGTTAATTTGTAAAATAATTAGCCTTGTGGTGAACATGCATCACTAGCTAATTATATGATTTTGTGATTATTGATAAAGATTAATGACCGATAAAATATGATAATTGATTTTCTTTTCTAAACTAAAAGTCTCATTTTTTTATATTAAAAATCGATGTTTTATCGTAATTTAACAAAATAAAGTAATTAACAAAATTTATAAATATTATTTACTTTCTTTCTACTAAATTTGATGACCCTTTTAAAAAATTATAAAAGTATCAATTATTTTATTTCAATTTTACTTTTATCTACATATTTATCTAAAAATTGTTTCAATTCAATGTGCATTAATTAAAGGATATCTTAGTCAATTATTTTTAATTTTTTAAAAATTGAAGTGATATAATATTTTTATAATATTTGTAAAAAGTAAAAAATTATTAAATTTGACGGAACGGAAGAAAGGAGAAAGGAGTAGACTATATAACTAAATGATAAGATTAAAATCACCGTTTAATTAATATGGAAATATAAATCTTGATTTGTAAATTTTATTAAGTTATAAGGATTAAACAATAATTCATTATTTTTATTATTCATAAATTTGGTAAAAGTCGACACTTGTATCTTATTAGAAAAACACACGTAATCACTAAGCCAATATTTTCTCGCCAAGTGTCCAAGTGCAGCATCTTAAAGTAATGCCACAAGCCTGCAATGAAAACCAATTTCAAAAATTTCGAGTTCCCACTGAAACCAAACGGTCGTAACTCCCTTAACGGAAACCGTCAGCTCTTCCTCTATAAGATCCCCCCTCACCACCACTCTTTCACTTCACTCCTAGCCCCAAAGCTTAATTTTCCGTCATTTTCCCCAGAAAGAGTAAAACAACAGAATGAGGGAAATTCTTCACGTCCAAGGAGGCCAGTGCGGAAACCAGATCGGAGCCAAGTTCTGGGAAGTAGTATGCGCCGAGCACGGGATCGACTCGACAGGTCGGTATCAGGGGGACTCGGATCTCCAGCTGGAGCGGGTCAATGTCTACTACAACGAGGCGAGCTGTGGCCGTTTTGTTCCTCGGGCTGTGCTGATGGATCTGGAACCGGGCACGATGGACAGCCTTAGATCTGGCCCTTGCGGGCAGATATTCAGACCCGATAACTTCGTGTTTGGGCAGTCCGGTGCGGGTAATAACTGGGCCAAGGGGCATTATACAGAGGGAGCTGAATTGATTGACTCCGTCCTTGATGTTGTGAGGAAGGAGGCTGAGAACTGTGACTGCTTGCAAGGTAATTTTGACTTTTAGGGTTTTCTATTTTCTTTTTCTGTTTGTTTCTGGGGAAAGTGAGGGCAACTTATTTAAATGTTTTAGGGGGTGTTTGGTGCTGCTTTTGGTATTTTGGTTTCCTATTCTGTTTGATTCTCTGCGAAACTTCGATGAGGTCTGTTTGGTTGGTGGGGAAACAAGAGTAATGTAGAGAATATAAATCGAAGCATTTTCTTACTTGTCCACTCTATTTGCTACTTGTTTGTTTCTCGGGTAAATGTGGGAAAGGAAGAGAAAATATGAGCAGAAGAACAAATAAATACAGTTCTCTCTGATTCTTTGCTTATTTATCTTAAACATGCTTTCTCACTGTGAATGTTTTTGTTTGGTTTCAGGGTTTCAGGTTTGCCATTCCTTGGGCGGTGGTACTGGATCTGGAATGGGAACTCTATTGATCTCAAAGATAAGGGAGGAGTATCCTGATCGAATGATGCTTACATTCTCTGTTTTCCCATCTCCAAAGGTGTCTGATACTGTTGTTGAGCCCTACAACGCCACTCTCTCTGTTCATCAGCTCGTTGAAAACGCAGATGAGTGTATGGTTCTTGACAACGAGGCTCTTTATGATATCTGCTTCCGCACTTTGAAGCTCACTACTCCTAGTTGTAAGTCCTTTCTTTCTTTCTGCTCTTTGTTTATATATATATATTTTTAATTGTTCTTGATCTGTACTTCATTTGTTCAATAAAGAAGTAAAATGGCCGATTAATGAGCTTTTTTGTAGTTTAGTTTAGTTTGTGCGTTCGTTTATGAGAGTTGATGGGTGTTTGCCACTGATAATTGAATGTTCTGATGCAACAATATTCAATAATGCATCTGTAAGTGTGAATAAACAGTTGTATTCTCTTGGTAAAAGCAAAAGTGGTAAACTTTTCTGTGTTCTAGGTGTGGGCCGCTTGGGTCACATGGCTTTAAGATTATTTTCTTATTATCTTCGCACGAACAATGCTGCGTTTGCACGTGGGTTTCATTACCTGAGCTTTATTCCTAGAAATATATCAGATTATTAGCATACGTGTTGCCGAGTAAATTTATGTAACAACTCTATCCTTGCTTGTATGCATTTTAAACAGCCATGAGTAGCTGCTTGTCCGGTACTCATTGTTTACAAACACATTTAAGAAATTTCATTAGGAGATATTCTTTCCTCTTTTGTGCTTTTGGCTCTGCACTAAAATGCAATGATGCAAACTCCCTCCCCTATGGACAAATGCATGGATTCTTCATGTCAACTAATTGGCAAAACTTGTTTTTTCAGTTGGGGATTTAAACCACCTGATTTCAGCCACCATGAGCGGTGTTACATGCTGTCTTCGATTCCCTGGTCAGCTCAACTCAGACCTCCGCAAGCTTGCTGTCAACCTCATTCCGTTTCCTAGGCTTCACTTTTTCATGGTTGGCTTTGCACCTCTCACATCCCGTGGATCTCAGCAATATCGTGCCCTCACGGTACCAGAACTGACCCAACAAATGTGGGATGCCAAGAACATGATGTGTGCTGCTGATCCTCGCCATGGCAGATATCTGACAGCATCAGCAATGTTCCGTGGTAAAATGAGCACGAAGGAAGTGGATGAGCAGATGATCAATGTCCAAAACAAGAACTCTTCCTACTTTGTTGAATGGATCCCCAACAATGTCAAGTCCACTGTCTGTGACATCCCTCCAACAGGCTTGAAAATGGCTTCCACTTTTATTGGCAACTCCACATCAATTCAAGAGATGTTCAGAAGGGTGAGTGAGCAGTTCACTGCTATGTTCCGCAGGAAAGCTTTCTTGCATTGGTACACTGGAGAAGGAATGGACGAAATGGAGTTCACAGAGGCTGAGAGCAACATGAATGATTTGGTGTCAGAATACCAGCAGTACCAGGATGCAACAGCGGATGAGGAAGGAGATGAGTATGAGGATGAAGAAGAATATCAAGAAGAGGTCTAGAGACATGGAATATTGGGATTTCTGTTATACCCTTTCTAATATTGGTACTAAGAGTTTACTGTATGTGGAGTTATTTCCAGCAATGTTGTATTGCTTGTTTCCTTGATGTGCATCTTTCAGAAAATCGTATCAACAATTCGCAAAGTGCTGGTTTAATGATTTCCTATTGAGTTTCAAACTGGGAAATTCTCTTTGCTTCACACTTGTGCCAGAATTCTGCTTGTCATGTTAGGTTTTTGCTTTCACTGCCTTTTTTTTCTAAAATCTGATTAGATCCAAATTAAATGCATAATTTGTCTGCTAACAAAAATTAAATAGCATTATTATTGGCTCTTGCAAGAGTAACCTATCTATGATAGTAGACATAAATAAAAAGGTTGACTAGGTCTGTCTTTAACTTTAGTCATCAATATAGCAAGCTTGACGGAAAAGAAATGGTTAAGTGGACCAATAACTAGTTTGACAATCGCCAGGGTCATTACCTCCTGCTTCCTGACTACGTTATACCTTTCCGGGCTTCAATCCTTCCAACTTGGATATTCCTAGAAACTATGGGCACCTTAATATTAGCTTTAACTGTTTTAGTAGAGACAACATTAGATTAACTGTTTAAGTACCTTTATCTGTTTTACTAGAGACAATATTAGATTAACTTCATTGCACAAATAACACAGTCTAGGTAGGGAAAAATAAAATATATTTTCGAGAAACCAAATATGCATTGATGGTGAAAATATAAAAAGCTTGAATTCCTCTCTAAACTCACAGTAGAGTGAAGTAGGGAGTGATAATTTTTGTAATTACTGCCTAAACTCAGTCAGTGAAGAGTGTGAAAAATTAATGACTCTTACCCTTTTTCAGTTTGGGTAGATATGGTCACTTCCATACCAAAACAAGAAACTTAACTTGGTTGGACATATGCATAGATCATGATTGGTTGGCTAATTATGATATTTATAGAAAGACTACTGTTGACATTAGGCATATTTTGGATAAGGGTATCACAAAATTAACCACATTCTTTCATCCAATGATTAATCAATGACCTTTGTTTTATGAGAGAAATTGGTCAAATAATTGAGTAAAAATCACTTAAACAAGTAGGTATAGTTCATGATTGTTCAATCATTACAACCATACTGAAGCAAAACACTGATGAAATTAATAGCAGCTTTTTGTTTGGCCAAAAATCCCAATATTATCCGTATTACAATTATTAACAACTCATCACTATACGAGAAATTACAGAATAATTCAATATTTTAAAAAGGTCTTTTTGGTGGAAATTTTTTTATTTACCGAATATTCTACCTCCATCTTATTTAAGAGATTTGAGTCATTTTTGTTCATATCAATTTTCTTTGATATGATAATCTTATGGTCTTATGATTATTAAAATCTAATTACACTTGTACAATTTAGATTAAGGAAAAGGGTGGCCTGGTGGGTAGTGGTTAGTAACAGTGGGTGGAATGTGCTTGTGTGAGTTGTGAGTAATGGTCAAGTCTGGTCTCGCTCTCGCATGATGAACTCTTTGCATCCTTAGCTGTCCATTTTAACAGCTTTCGTTAGGTGATCCTCTACAATCTTGTCCCTGGTGGGCGCCACTTTTTACAGCAAGTGCCATCAATGAGTAAAATCCAAGTTTCCTTTCATCTCCGTGAGTCTGTTTGTACCGTATTTAAGCCACAAGAAGGTTGCTTCAAAACCACAAAATCTTCTTCCATCATGTGTCTTCTGATTCCCTCATAGTGGACAGTTTCCAATGCGAGCGACCATACCATAGGCAATGAATCTTTTCTTCCCCATTTTTTGCTAATCATCATGGTCTTATTAATATCATGGCAAAATAATTACACTTAAAGAGAGGTTTTTCAAATAAAAAATTATCTTCAAATTAGAGGGACCATTTAATTAATTTTACAAAGCAGAAAATTTCGTTTTGTCAGTTTTATTAAAATATAAGAATTAAACTGTAATTCGTTCTATTTATTATGCATAAATTTAGCAAAAGTGGATTTGTCACTATCTATTCTGAATGAACCTTTCCTCTTGTGTATTGCACCTTACCTTCATCACAAGCAACTTATGATTCATGAATCTTGAGGCCAGTATTTCGTCGCCAAGTGTCAAAGTGCAGTATCTCAAAATAGTTTCACCAGCATGCAATAAAAACCAATTTCAAAAATTTCAAGTTCCCACTAAAAACCAAACGTTCGTCACTCCCTCAACGGAAACCGTCAACTCTTCCTTTATAAGTGTCTCTCTCACCAACCTTTCACTCCACTCCCAGCTCCAAAGCTTTCCCTCAAAATTTCCCATTATTTTACCCAGAAAAAGGAACTAGAAAGGAAAACAAGAAAATGAGGGAAATTCTCCACATACAGGGAGGCCAATGCGGAAACCAAATCGGAGCCAAGTTCTGGGAAGTAGTCTGCGCCGAACACGGGATCGACTCAACGGGTCGGTATCAGGGGGACTCAGATCTCCAGCTGGAGCGGGTCAATGTCTACTACAACGAGGCGAGCTGCGGTCGGTTTGTGCCTCGGGCCGTTCTGATGGATCTGGAACCGGGCACGATGGACAGCCTTAGATCTGGCCCTTGCGGGCAGATATTCAGACCCGATAACTTCGTGTTTGGGCAGTCCGGTGCTGGTAATAACTGGGCCAAGGGCCATTATACAGAGGGAGCTGAATTGATTGACTCCGTCCTTGATGTTGTGAGAAAGGAGGCTGAGAACTGTGACTGCTTGCAAGGTAATTTTGACTTTTGAGTTTTCTATTTTCTTTCTTTCTTTGTTTCTTTCTGGGGAAAGTGAGGGAGGCTAATTTAAATATTATATGCAGTGTTTGGTGCTGCGTTTTTGTTTTTCCTTCTCCTGCTATATTTGATTCCTTGTGAAACTTGAATGGGTCAGTTTTTTGTCTACTCTGTCGCTTGTTTGTTTCTTTGGAAAAGGATGAGAAAGTACAGCGTCGTTCTGTTTGCTTTTCTTCCGTATTTGACAGATAGGGCATACTAAATTTTTTCTTACAGTAAATTTCTCTCTGTTTGCTCTGTTAGGTTTGCTAGAAAATATGTTACTGGTACTCTTACTCTCCCTCTCTTAAACATACGGACACACAAATTTTATGCTTATTTGCCTATCATTAATAAATTGAAAGCTAGTTCGTTCATACTGACTGGAGCTACCAGCTTGATACATGTTTAAGCTCTGAAATATGAGCAGAAGAACAAAATAAATGCAGTTCTCTCCATTTCGATGGTTGCTTTCTTTTTTTTTTCTTACTCGAATGTTTTTGTTTGGTTACAGGGTTTCAGGTATGCCACTCCTTGGGAGGCGGCACCGGGTCTGGAATGGGAACTCTATTGATCTCGAAGATAAGGGAGGAGTATCCTGACCGAATGATGCTTACATTCTCTGTTTTCCCATCTCCAAAGGTGTCTGATACTGTTGTTGAGCCCTACAACGCCACTCTCTCTGTTCATCAGCTCGTTGAAAACGCAGATGAGTGTATGGTTCTTGACAACGAGGCTCTTTATGATATCTGCTTCCGCACTTTGAAGCTCACTACTCCTAGTTGTAAGTCCTTTCTTTCTTTCTGCTCTTTGTTTATATATATATATTTTTAATTGTTCTTGATCTGTACTTCATTTGTTCAATAAAGAAGTAAAATGGCCGATTAATGAGCTTTTTTGTAGTTTAGTTTAGTTTGTGCGTTCGTTTATGAGAGTTGATGGGTGTTTGCCACTGATAATTGAATGTTCTGATGCAACAATATTCAATAATGCATCTGTAAGTGTGAATAAACAGCTGTATTCTCTTGGTAAAAGCAAAAGTGGTAAACTTTTCTGTGTTCTAGGTGTGGGCCGCTTGGGTCACATGGCTTTAAGATTTGGGGGTAAAAGCAAAAAAGTGGTAAAACTTTTCGTGGCGAGGTGTGGGGCCCCGGCTTGGGTCACATGGCGTTAAATTCTTTTCTTATTTTTATTTTATCTTCGGCACGAACAAATGCTGCGTTTGCACGTGGGTTTTCATTCACCTGAGCCTATTATTTCCTAGAAAATATCAGATTATTTAGCAGTACGGTGTTGCCGAGTAGTAAATTTACTGTAACAACTCTATCCTTGCTGTATGCATTCTTAAACAGCCATGAGTAGCTGGCTTGTTCCGGTACTCATTGTTACAAACACAGTTAAGAAATTTCATTAGGAGATATTCTTTCTCCTTTTTGTGCTTTGGCGTTCTGCACTTAAAATGCAATGATGCAAACTCCCTCCCCTATGGACAAATTGCATGGATCTTCATGTCAACTATTGGCAAACTTGTTTTTTCAGTTGGGGAATTTTAAACCACCTGAATTTCAGCCACCATGAAGCTGTTTTTACATGCTTTCCTTCGATTCCCTGGTCACGGCTCAACTCAGACCTCCGCAAGCTTGCGTGTCAACCCTCATTTCCGTTCCTAGGCTTCACCTTTTTCATGGTTGGCTTGCACCTCTCACATCCCGTGGATCTCAGCAGTCATCGTGCCCTCACCGGACCAGAAACTCACCCAAACAAATGTGGGATGCCAAGAACCATGATTTGCTCTGATCCTCGCCCATGCAGAATTCTGACAGCATCAGCAATGTTCCGGTGATCAGCAATGTTCCGTGGTAAAATGAGCACAAAGGAAGTGGATGAGCAGATGATCAATGTCCAAAACAAGAACTCTTCGTACTTTGTTGAATGGATCCCCAACAATGTCAAGTCCACTGTCTGTGACATCCCTCCAACAGGCTTGAAAATGGCTTCCACTTTTATTGGCAACTCCACATCAATTCAAGAGATGTTCAGAAGGGTGAGTGAGCAGTTCACTGCTATGTTCCGCAGGAAAGCTTTCTTGCATTGGTACACTGGAGAAGGAATGGACGAAATGGAGTTCACAGAGGCTGAGAGCAACATGAATGATTTGGTGTCAGAATACCAGCAGTACCAGGATGCAACAGCGGATGAGGAAGGAGATGAGTATGAGGATGAAGAAGAATATCAAGAAGAGGTCTAGAGACATGGAAAAAACCTTTCCTTTTAGATTTTGGGATTTACTTCTTTTATACCCTTTCTAATATTGGTGCTAAGAGTTTACTGTATGTGGAGTTATTTCCTGCAATGTTGTATTGCTTGTTTCCGTTGTGTGCATCTTTCAGATTATTGTATCAACAATTCACAAAGTACTGGTTTAATGATTTTCTGTTGAGTTTCTAGCTTGGAAATTCTCTATTCTTTATACTTTGCCAGAATCCTGCAATGTCATCTCCGAAATCTCGTACTATTGGCCTCATCATAAGTTATAGTATACAATATATGACAGCAGAACTGAGTACATAAATATAAACACATTTGCCATCCATGCATAGCAGCAACTAAGTCTAACCATCCAATTGGGCAACTTAATTTCACCAAAAACCTCATCTTTCATATCAAAAACCAGAATATCAGTTCTGAAACAACCATCATTATTTTCTAACAGAGGCATTCCAGAAATCGAGTTTGTCTTCGTACCGAAAGCCACATGTCTATCGCAGAGGCATAACAAGCCATTAGAATGACCCACTGCGTGTAATGATCTGGAATCAGCCTTGAATGGGAAATGCAGTGACATGTACTCCTCGAACTCTTGATTATCAAAACCCAAAGACTATTGATCGGCATAGAAGTGAAATAGAAGTAATGGGTTAGGCTCAGTTTTGATGTTAATTGATGGGGTTTTGAAAATTTGGGTGGAAATGAATTTGAGGGCCTTCCATTAGGGTTGAAAACTTGCAAACACTAGTACATAGAATAAAGGAGTTAACGGATAGCTTGTGAAGTATTTGTATTATCACTAATTCAGGCAAATAGTCCGACATTTCTTGGGTTGTTAATGTTTTCCTCTCCGACCTCACAGATAACGAAGTATAATCCTAAATCAGGTGAAATAGGACGGAGAAAGAAGCCAAGGGCAAATATTAAAATAGAAAAGAGAGCAGACTTGCAATTGCAAGCAACTGAAGATGCAGTAGCTAATACTGGAAGGTAGGTAGAGCTTGAAGTGGACAGATTTGAAACAACCAGAAAAGGGCCCATCTGATAGAGGTGTACAATAATTAAAAGCAGAGTAAATCAACCAAATTGGTTCAAAATAAATGCTTTATGATAATATTGAGTTGAATTTAGATTGGAAACATTAAACAGTAAGATCATTCGTCCTTGCCGGAGTCCCGTATACAAGATATATGAAATGAAATAAAATAAAAAGTTGAGAGTGTCTGTCTTTAATCGTCAATGGAGCTTGCTCCATTAAAAAGAAATGGTTGAGTAGACCAGTAACTAGTTTGACTATCACCTTTTGAATGAATCCCAAAGAACACCAAGATCAACATTACCTCCTTTTGAATGAATCCCAAAGAACACCAAGATCAACATTACCTCCTTTTGAATGAATCCCAAAGAACACCAAGATCAACATTACCTCCTTTTGAATGAATCCCAAAGAACACCAAGATCAACATTACCTCCTTTTGAATGAATCCCAAAGAACACCAAGATCAACATTACCTCCAGCTGCAAGGCCAGATGGGCTCCGCTAGTTGCTAGGGGCAACTTCAGAATTCATAACAGGTTTCATGGCTTCCAAAGAACACCAAGATCAACATTACCTCCTTTTGAATGAATCCCAAAGAACACCAAGATCAACATTACCTCCTGACAGTATGATACCTATGTGGTTACAATCCTTCAAACTTGGGTTTTTCTGGAAACTATCAGACAAAACAGCTGCAAGGCCAATGGCTCCGCTAGGTTCTATGGCAACTTTCAGAATCTCATAACAGAGTTTCATGGCTTCTACAATCTCCTCATCTTCCACAGTTATAACATCATCTACAAAATCCCGTACTATTGGCCTGCAGCATTATAACGTATTGAGTGAGTCGGAAGTCTAAGGCAGAGTCAGTAACACAGTCTAGACACGTATTAACAAATAAAGGCAAGTGGGATTAAGAGCAAGGAAAAAAACCAGTACACATACAAGTCTTGGGTAGGAAGAAAATAAATTATTGAGAAATGAAATATACATTCACAACGCAGATGTAAAAAGCATGTAATTGCATTTACCATGTCAGATTTCCAAGAAAAGCTCGGAGTCCATCAGCAATAGTGTTGGTTTCAGGCAATATTATAATCTCACCAGCTGCTTTGGATTGAGCTGCATCATTAGCTCCCTTAGGTTCAGCAGCCAAAACTCGAATAGAAGGGTTTATGGACTTAGCAGCCAATGCCACTCCTGATATTAAACCGCCTCCTATAATTTAAGAAGTAACTAGGCTTAATAATGAAGATGTACACATAAATTAAAGTAATGTGGGGTGAAAATATCAAAATGAATGGGAAAATAGCAAAGCAGACCACTTATTGGAGCTATTATAGTGTCAATTTGTGGCGCTTGCTCCAGAAGCTCTAATGATATGGTACCCTGTCCACTGCAAAGACAATTATACTTTCATGCTGCATGCACGTTAACGGTTCAAGTCATCGTCTTTAGAGGCAAATATATCTTTTCATAAACTGTAAATAGAATTACTCATAGCTGCTTAAGGTCACTTTACTCATGTAAGGCCTTAAAAACATGGTTATGATATATTTTCTTTTTGCATGAGTAGACAGTAGAACCAGCAATGAGGCAACACCATCATAAACCAAGCAAAAATTTTAAAATTTTTAGGTTTCATAAAACCTTTCAGAATTGATAATAATGCAAATTTACCCCACAAGAAGGCACTCTTACATATCAAATTTATCTAACCAAATTAAAACTATTGATGAAATCTAAAGTTTTGCTGCGTCATGTTTATAGAACATAATTGTCTTTTAAAAAATATTTTTTCCTCAATTAAGGCAGAGGTAAACAGAAACTCAAAGACTTAGTCCAAAAGAAGAAGAAAAAGAAACTAATTTAAAGCTGGAAGAAATAAGAACTTGGAGATCTATATTTCAGTCAGTCAGACTGGAAAATCATAGTGTACTGCATCTTTGCTAGGATAACAAGATGCCAATCTCTAGGACATCCATAGTTTCAAACCCAACACAGGTATGTGATAAAAATAGATGACAATATAGTACCTTATAATGCGCCCATCATTAAATGGATGAACAAGGACTGCACCAGTTTCTCGTAATACCTTTGTTGCAGTGCTTTCCCTCGACTGTATCGTAGGCTCACTCCATATAATCTTACCACCATAACGAACAACATTCTCTACTTTGCATTTTGGAGCATTTTTTGGTATAACAACATATGCCGGGATCCCCCTTAATTTTGCAGCCAAAGCCAATGCTGCAGCATGGTTGCCGCTATTTATGGAGGACACAATCAAGAAGTCAGACAAACCGATGAATTGTAGTCTATAGAGCACATACAACATGGAATAATAAATTTGCTGCCCGTTACAAATGAATGCTTTAGCACACATAACCTGGAGCAAACCTGCTGTGTGTTACTACCCCTTTAGCTGCCCTGTCCCCATCAAGTGAAAATATAGCATTGCAGGCCCCTCTGAATTTGAATGCTCCACTAAAAAGACATAAGAATTCAAGGGACTTTACTTTTCAGGAAAAGGCGGTAGATTGGAAAAGCATTGATGAATTAATCACCATGAATATAAAGACCAAATATGATATGAAATATGCCAAGATCTAAAACGATAATCACGCAGCAATGGAATTGTTTCTCACCCCTTCTGAAAACATTCACATTTAAAGAACAACTCCCTTCCAGATATGGCATTTAGAGATTCTGAGATAAGGACTGGTGTTTTATGAACAAAGGAGTTGATGCGTAGCTGTGCTTCTCTTATGGAAGATATATCAGCAGCATACTTTTCTGTGCTTATCTGGTTTTTTGTTTCCATCTTTGCAGTGCCAAAATAGGTTAACTATTTTAGTACTGGACTTAAAACAGATAAAACCAACTTCACTTTTGATATATGAACATAATAAATATATTGTACAATATTATTGCATTATCCATAATCATGCAAATAATAACATTTTGAGATTTTCAATTGCAGTTTCTTGAGGGATGTGGCAATAAATATGCAACAAAAGCTTTAAAGAACCAAACCAAAAGTTAAAGAGATATCTGATTGCTTACTCTACACTGCAAAATGTAACTTTGACAAGGTACTATCCCATGTCACCTATAGAAAGCATGGAGGAGTTGAATACCATAGTTATGTTGTACATATGATTGAGAATCTAGTATTCTAGACTTAATCCACGCAGCACGGTTTTCTGAAATGATGTAGCCTGTCATTTCCTTATGGGTTCTATGGCAGTAACTACATTTACCAATATAGCCAACAAGCTTTTTTCTAATCATTGAAATGAAAACCCTGATCATATTGCAATGCTTCTTCTTAACTCAAGCTACTAGAATATACAAATGGCAACGAAAAAGAATTCAGAATCTCATCTTTAGACACGAGATCAATCGAGCTATAAACAAAATAAAAATTTCCTAACTTTAGCCCTCGGCGTTCAGATAAAACTCTAGAATGCATCTAAAAGGAACTAATCCTGGTAGTTCTATCTCAGTTTTACTAAACCAAGTCAATTAAGATTAGAAGTTTCTATTAAAATTCAAATTCCTCATAGCTGAACCGAAGCCAAGAAGCAGCTAACATATAATAAACAATACAACCATGTGGGTTTCCAAAAGTATGAGGAAGAAATAGGTAATTGAACCAAGTTTGCACAGTTCAATTTAAAAATTAATGGGTTAAGCATATCAAAAGTTAAAGCAGTACTTAGTAATTGGAAGTTGAAACCAAGAGTGTAAATGGTGAAGTCGTAAAGAAAAAAAAAACTATAAATCAGAAGACTAAAACTGAAAACTGAAAACTGAAAAAGAACTTACACTAGCTGGGTGTGATCACAAAAATGTTTTAGTAGTTGAAATTTTGATCTTCAGTTCAGTTGGGTTGTTTGGTGTTGGGTTCACTCGCTCACTGATAAACCAAAGTGGAGCATTGGGAATTTCGGAATTCTCGGTGCCGTTTTAGAATTAGCTTGGGATATAAAACGTTTCCTAATTTTAGATTTAGATTGAGTTTGTGTTAACCTACCATCAGTATATCTATATACTAATAATAGAAGTAAATCCGCTTACATTTTGTAATATCAAAAATATGTTATTTTTTTTATTATTTTTAATTTAGACATAACTTGAATTAATATTAATATTAATATCATTAATTAATTAATAATATTAAATATTTTTCAATTTTTTCAATAATTAATTAAATAATTATAACATCATTAATATTATTTAAACAATGAACTTTTTAAATTTTAGTAAAATTAAATAAAAACAAATAAACTTAAACAGTAAGACATAATTAAATTCATCGAACAATAAATTAAAGTAATAAGTAAATAAAAATTGCGGAGATACTGGACGAAAAATTATAAAGAAAAAAATTTATACTCTTATGTTTTGAAATCTTTTTAAAATATTTCTTCTTTTAATATTATATATTTTTAAAAGTTATTCAAAAAAAAAGTATTAAATAAATCTTCTAGTCGCTGTCATTTTGAATTAGGAAAGAAAAATCTTCATTTTGTTCAAAATTTCTAGATGATATTATTGATTTAAAAAAACGAGAATAGTTACTTTTGTGATGAGAAAAAGAAATGTCCAAAGACTTGGAACATACTGCCCAAAAAGCCAACAAAAAAAGTCAAGTTTGGTTGCTGTTTTGAACCATTTTTTACGTCAAAAACAGAAGCTGTGAGGCAGGTCAGATGGGTCAGTGTCACTATCAGAAGAACAACTGCGTTCTTAGAGCATGAACGTGAATGGTTTGGTTCATTCAAAACACAAAACATGGCTCAAAAATGTCGCAACTGGATCACATTACCATAATAATGGTCAAAAACCTCAATAGTATAACACTACTCATCAACTCAAATTTGAGTATTTAGGCTACCAACTTCCTAACCAAAATTCAACTATTGACTTATAAAGAAAATTTTAGCCATAGAATTTGACTTTGAATCCATTAAAAAAATCAATTATACTAACATTTCCATTTGACATATAATCAGCTCGAAAAATTATGCTGCTGATTTGTGTAAAATATACAGGGCGAATGAGCCTGTGACAGTAACTTTTTTTTTTTTTTCAAATAATAATAATCTTGTCTAGGCAGGCAATAGCCGATGATGCGAGGTAAAAATGGGAGATTAAGCTCCAAACTTGGGAACTTTAGCAGTGGAGATTTGAGCAAGAAAATGCTCTGCTACAATCCTGCGCTGAATTTTCCCAGTAGCTGTTTTTGGGACAGAATCAGTAATGAAAACCTTCTTTGGGACTTTGAAACCTGCAAGATTTTTCTTGCAGTAGCCAAGCACCTCTGCCTCATCAATCTCCGATCCTTCCCTTGGAATTATAGCACAATTTATCTGCAATTTTAAACAATAAAGAACGTTTAATTACATGTCAACAGCAATCACCCATATTAAACATTCAATTAAACAATGGTTTGGTTTCTCATTCTCACCTCTTCCCCATATTTCTCATCTGGAACTCCAAAAGCAACAGCCTGAGCAATGTCCGGATGAGCTAAAAGTACTGCGTCCACTTCAATAGGCGATATTTTCTCTCCTCCACGGTTGATCAGCTCCTTGATGCGACCCACTAGACGCAAGTACCCTTCTGAGTCGAAAAATCCGACATCACCAGTATGGAACCATCCGAATTGAAATGCGGATTTATTAGCCTCAGAATTATTCTTATACCCTTTTGTCACGTTCGCTCCTCTAATACATACTTCTCCACTAACGCCAGCCGGCTGCACCACTCCATTTTCATCCAAAATCGCCATTTCTTGACCCACGGGTTTCCCAACCGACCCGGATTTGTGCCCACCATCTTCGGGTAACGGGTTAGAAGCCATCAAATGAGATGCCTCCGTCATCGCATAAGCTTCCAACACTGGCGCTCCAAACGCCTCCTCAAGCCGATCCAATATAGACGGCGCCAATGACGCGCTGCAGCTCCTAATAAACCTTAGCTCAGGGTAAGCCGGCTCTGGCTTGCTCACGTGACGGTCGAGTATGATTTGATGAATTGTAGGTACAGCAGTGTACCACGTGGCGTTATATATAATCATGTCTTGCCAGAAAGTCGACGCCGAGAATCTCCCTGCAGCTGGAAGAGCCACGGAGGCTCCAGATATGAGTGAGCTCAGGAGTCCGGCGAGCAAGCCATGAACGTGAAACAAAGGCAACACCAGAACAGTCGAGTCAGACTCAGAGAGTCTGTACACAGATTTGATGTTCAAAACCGAGGAGGCGAGATTAAGCTGAGTCAAAGGCACGCCTTTGGGCCGACTGGTCGTCCCAGAAGTGTGGAGGAAGAGAGCCACGTCAGACGAGTCATTTACGATTTCGGCGACGGAGTCAAACTTTGACTCTGTATTTAACGAGGACAGGGATATTGCTTTGGTTTCTACGTCGAGCGTGGCAGCCACGTGAGGAATTTTGAGTTTGGAAGCGGCGGCTTGAGCCGATTGGATTCCTACTTGTGATGTAATGAGGAGCTTTGATTCGGAGTCGGACAAGTAGAACTCGAACTCCTCAGCTGTGTAAGCGGGGTTTAACGGCGCGGCGGTGGCTCGGCACCTTATGACGGCCAAAAACATAATAACGTACTGCATAAAACAGAGCTCAAAAGATTATTATATAGAAAACATAGATTTTTTGTTTTGTTTTTTAATGAAAATTCTCAAATACGTTATTTCACCAAACTCTCAAATAATTTATTAAGGAATTCTAAAATAATAATAATATCAATACTGATTTTAAGGGAAAATCAAAAGAAAAATTCTGATCTCCCCCGCCCTTTTCTTGTTTCTGTTGTTTTCTGTTTGGCTACATAGAAATTGACGGATAAATGAACACTATTTTATGAATTACGTAAAAATAAAGCGTTTTCGATATCTTTTTTTGACATAAATAAAGCGTTTATGAATTATATTTTTTCTTATTCTGAATTTTCTCCACATCCAAACAGCAGCTGTTTCATGAATAAAAGATAAGAGAGAGAGGAAGAACATATACATACCTCGACGGTGTTGGGGAAAGTGAGTGCAACGACATCACCAGGAGCGACACCGGCGGCGACAAGGAGAGAAGCGGCATGATCAATAAGATCTTGCAATTCAGCGTGAGTCAAATCAAGCTTACCAGAAACCGAAAGAGCACGACTATTAGGGAATTCTGCTGCAGATTTCTTCAGCAATCCAGTCAAGGTAAGATTCTCCATTTTCTAAATCTAACAAATCAAATTCAAAAAATCTAGGTAGAAATTGTTTTAAAATATGTGCAGAGAAAAAAATGGCGAGATTATCTGAATATTTGTCTTTGTTGTTAGAGATAAGTGCGGAGTTAGAAGAAAAAGTAGATTCGGATTTATAGGTGCAGGAGAATTGGGTAAAGCGATTTAGGGGAGGTTATAGCTGGGAAGGTGAAGGTGAAGGTGAGGTGAGGAAGGAGAGGGTATGCCATGTCATCTAAAACCCGACGGTCAGTTAGAGCGTGCCTGACAGATGTCATTGCAATGAATCTGTGTTCTGTCTTTTATTGACACGTGGATTTTTATTTTATAATTACTTTGGAATTTTTTGGGTTGCGCTCTGGGAGGTTACGTCTGAGCCAGTAAAATGAGTTAGTTAATTTAATTTTTTATTTTTAAAAATAAAATAGATAGAACGTAGTGAATGAAGGAAAGGTTTGCAACACGCTACCAGATATATGGATCCACTTGGTCCTAAAATTTTTTTTTTTTAAGAAAATTATAATCCAACCGTTTATTTAATATTTCAGAAGGATATGAATTTATAGAGACTCTTTTTCTTAGCGAATTTACTGTTTGGTTATAGTTGGCAATTGCAAAATAAGATCTGCTGGCAACCCCTTTAACTAACAACCGGTAAATCTTTATATAAAAAAGAAAAAAAAAAAAAAAAAAAAATTTATACATAAAAGAAAAAAAAAAAAAAAAAAAACGGAAAGAAAGAGTGTCATGGGATACTTTGGGAAGGTGGGACCAATCGCGGGGTCGCACAGGAAAAAAAAAAAAAAAAAAAAAAAACGGAAAGAAAAGAGTGGATGGAACTTGGAAGGTGGGCCAACGCGGGGGCGCAGGGGGTTCTTGGCACCGCAGCTTTGTTACAGAAACGTAAGCGCTTACGCATCGTAACAATAGCAAACGCTGGTTCCATGAAAACTGCGTTGCGATATGGATGACGGCTAATTGGCTCCCAAGGCCATGGAGATATTATTGGCAAACTGACTCAAGTTGGCAACTTGCTCATCCACTTCGATTTCCACGCCCAATCCACATAAATATGGTTAGGCCCAAAGCCCAAAATTTTATAAGAGAGCTGACAGTGTAGGTGAGTGGACCTAGACCCAAAAAAGATTCCAAGTCCGGCTTAGTTTCAAGTTTGTCGTGGGAAAAGTACATTTGCACCCCTAAATTATATTCTAATTAACATTTTCATCTCTCTATTTTTAAAATGGGTATCCTTAACGTCCCTAACTCCGGAACATTCTGTCCGAAAGTCAACATTCATGGTCAGTTTAACTCGCTTTTTAAACAGGATATGTTCAGTTTTTAAATTGATACCCAACAGTGAGTTTGTAGCAAAAAAAATTAAAGATTTTATAGTAATTTTTTAAAAATATGGAGATGAAAGTATTAATTATAATATAATTTAGTGATCTAAGTATATTTTAATTTAATTTTAATTTTGTCAAGTTTCAGCTTCAACAATAAGTTTAGTAGACTTCCACTATTATAATATTTGAACTTGCAATACGAGAAGCACCCAACGTAGCTGGATTTTTATTCTCCAATCCATTTCATTTATATATATTTAAAAAGAAAGTTTGGAATCTTCATTTTTTTATTATTTTCTTTTGGATAAATGACTGTTTATTTCTTAGAATTTGATGTAAATTAATAAATTTATTTCTTTTTTTTAAGAAAAAATTATACAATTCTTATGTTTGTTTTGTTGAAAATTTTTAGTTTTTTTTGTGAAAATTTAAGTAGAAAAATTCAAACATTTAATGGCTAGCTAGTGTAAACTTTAATTAAAAAAATATAAAAGAAGAGAAATGGTTATTTAAAAAAAAAAAAGAAGGGGGGAGGGGATTTGAGTATGAGTATGGCGGGAAGGGATTGGGTCAAAAAAGTCAAGACGGAAGTGGGCCCCTTTACTTTTCTCATCCTTATAAACAAGATTTTGTCCTAATCTAATAATTATTAGTACTATATATTTCTAGAATTTAATCCAATGGTTTATCAATATTATAAGATATTTGTATAATAAAATCCATAAAATGCCTACTTAACCTTGACTTATTGTTAATAATATATTAATTAATTAAACATGGGTTAATTTTCAACACTCAACTACTTCTTTACCGATCAAAATGGATTGACGGAACGAATTTTGGAGATAAATTTTATTTTCTTTTCTTTTTCTCCTTCAAAAAAAAATATTTATATTACTCATCAAAAATATATTTTCAACCTAGAATTTTAACTCCCTTAGGCATAGCCTACAGATTGAAAATCACTTCTCTTACAGAAAATAATAAATAAATAAATAAATAAAGACACATCAATGAGGTGTGAATAAATATAATTAATTTGTTTTTATTTAGTAATATGGCTATTTTATAGAGTCCAACAACATCAAATCCTGGTCATGAGTCATGCCTACTAAGCTTTTCATTTTAGTGCCACACCCCTACATTAATTAGAAAAGAGAAAAAAAAAATTTTATAACAAAGATAAATATATATATATATTAATATATATATATATATGATATTCGATTTTAATTAAAATTTTTAAGACTCTAGTAACAATGCCATCGTCAGTCCACCGATTTAAATTAAAATTTAGACTCTATAACAATGCCATCGTCAGTCACCGAATATAAAATTGACCAGCATTATCATTAAAAAGTCAAAAGTTAATAGTATTATTATTAATTAATTAATCTTGAACATCATAGCGTGTATAAGCAAAACATAATGGAAGGACCCAGTAATCTTCACCGTTAGATTGTCAATCATTTAAAAAGCGAAAACCTGTTGCTTAATAACTACTTAATTGCTGTTTTTAAATAATCTCTCCAATTTCTCAAACCTCATTTCAACTATTTTTCCATTACGAACCAATTTTATTTGTAGGGCCCTCTGCCCACTAACATAATTTCAGGTATACTATTTTAATTAATTTAATCAAATATTTTAAAATTAAAATTTCATTTCACGAGCCAACCAGATGTATATATATAATATATCTAGGTGCTGTCTCAGGAAACTGAACCCTATAAATTTGTGGAGAGACAGAAACTTACAGAGACCGATCACAAACGCTTCATCATGGCGACTAAATTGCTGGCTTTAGCTTGCATACGTAACGAGAATAGTAGCTATGGCGATTTGTCTCCTAAACCACGTTACCCTTCGATGCCAAAATATCCAAAAGGCGTTTCGGAGCAAGAAACTAACGTCCAAGGTTCCGAAGCTAAGGCTGTTTTTTCCGTTATCGGAATGACATGCGCTGCTTGTGCTGGATCCGTCGAGAAAGCAGTCAAACGGCTACCCGGTATACGTGAGGCCGCCGTCGATGTGTTGAATAGTCGGGCTCAAGTTTTATTCTATCCGAGTTTCGTTAACGTAAGTTGGCGATTACGGGTTTTCTTTATCTTCTTAATTATTTTATTATTCTGGTTTGGTTCGTTAGAGAATTGGTTGTATTATGCTCCAAGGAAACGAAAATAATTTGGTGCACTTTTTTATTAAAGATAAATGCTTTATAGTTTTTTCTGTTGATAGTGGAATGGACGTGGAAGTAAATTAAGATGGTCATGGTCCCAGACTATTTGATGTTTGACAAATTTCTGTTGTCTATGTTTCTTTCTGGTTTTCTCTTTAAATGAGAAATTTTAAATTAGCAACTGATTAATGAGCAGATGGTTTTCATGTCAGCACTTGTACAATGCAAGAAGAAATGATCTATTTTTGGGTGGGTTTAAGTTTAAACCGGAAGAATTTGATTCCTTCACTTCTTATTTTTCTTTTAAAATAGTATAAAGTAATATATAATTCTGTTTTGAAAGGCTGTAAAGTATTACAATGATATAAACAAACTTGCTCTTTTTTTCCTTGATTGAGATACATAAACTACCTTTGGCATCACAGTGACGTAGTCCATATCTTGTCTTCAAAGAATAGAAATCGGTTTTTGGTTTGTTTGTGTTTCTTGACTATGCTATTCCATCCTGGGTTTCAGGAATTCTAAGGGTTTGGCATAAAAATCCAATCTTTGGGCCTAGCTGAGCCCGGATATCGCTTGTACTGAACAAACTATCAATTTTAACTTCTTGTGGCTAGGAATACTTTGTTCTATTATGGAAGATGCTTTACTTCTTTAAATTTTCGTAACTTCTTGGATTCTGAGGGGAAGGCAAAGACTGAATCTCAAGTGAGCCATATAATATTTGACCTAGAATTAATCATCTATGAACACATTACTAATGCAGAATGTAATTTCTAAGTTGAACACTATATATATATATATATATATAACACTATATATATATATATAATAATATATAATACAATATTACAATTCGTTATATATATATATATATATATATAAAATATTACATTCGGTTTCATTAGTCTGCAGTCTTATGCCAAGCTGACCTGTTGAAGTTTTGTACAAATTGTTGGAGGCAGTTTATCAGCGAGAAATAATTCCATTTTTTATTTGCTTAGTTATATTATGTGCAAATGGCTAACTGAAGAAGGGTAACATGTATGTTAATGAACACCAGTGTCAAATGCTGAGTTTCTAGTTCCATCGGCTTTTCTTTTCTCATTTTATGAATTTGATTATTTAACATATGATAGGAAGAAACTATTCGTAAGACTATTGAAGATGATGCAGGATTTGAGGCCACATTGATTCAAGATGAGATCAGTGATAAATCCACTCAGGTATGCCGAATACGCATTAATGGAATGACTTGCACTTCTTGCTCCTCGACAGTTGAGCAAGCTCTGCAAGCAATTCACGGTGTGCAAAAAGCCCAGGTGGCCTTAGCAACTGAAGAAGCAGAAGTTCACTATGATCCAAATATATTGAGCTACAACCAGCTCTTAAAAACCATTGAAGATACAGGATTTGAAGCCATACTTATCAGTACTGGTGAAGACATGGACAAGATACAGCTTAAAGTTGATGGTATAAGGACAGAAAATTCAATGAGAATGATTGAAAATTCTCTTCGAGCACTACCTGGTGTTCAAACCATAAACATAGACCCTGAACTCAACAAAATTTCTCTTTCTTACAAACCAGAAATGACAGGTCCTAGAAATTTTATCAAAGTGATTGAATCAACTGGGACTGGTCGATTCAAGGCGATGATATTTCCTGAAAGTGCAGGACGAAGAGAAAGTCATAGAAAAGAGGAAATTCAGCAATATTAGAGAAAGTCATAGAAAAGAGGAAATTCAGCAATATTACAGATCCTTTCTATGGAGTTTGGTTTTCACAGTTCCTGTATTTTTAATATCCATGGTTTTTATGTATATCCCTGGAACAAAGCATGGATTAGACACCAAAATAGTCAATATGCTGACTATTGGAGCAATTCTGAGGTGGGCTTTATCCACTCCTGTGCAGTTCATTATTGGCAGGCGATTCTATGCAGGGTCCTACAAAGCATTGAAGCATGGTTCTGCTAATATGGATGTGCTGATCGCCTTGGGAACAAATGCTGCCTACTTCTATTCAGTCTATTCTGTGTTAAGAGCTGCTAGCTCTCCAGTTTTTATGGGGACAGATTTCTTTGAAACTAGCTCCATGCTTATATCATTTATTCTTCTTGGCAAGTATCTAGAAGTTTTGGCTAAAGGAAAGACGTCTGAGGCTATTGCTAAGCTTACGGACTTAGCACCTGATACAGCAATATTACTGACTCTAGATGACGAGGGAAATGTGGTTAGTGAAGAAGAAATTGATAGCCGGTTGACACAAAAGAATGATGTGATTAAAATCATTCCTGGTGCAAAAGTAGCTTCAGATGGTTTTGTTATAAGGGGTCAGAGCCATGTCAATGAAAGCATGATAACAGGAGAAGCGCGGCCACAGGAGAAGCGCGGCCAGTGGCAAAAAGGAAGGGTGACCCTGTGATTGGAGGTACTGTGAATGAGAATGGCGTATTGCATATTAAGGCAACTAGGGTTGGATCAGAGAGTGCTCTTTCACAGATTGTTCGTCTTGTTGAGTCAGCTCAGATGGCTAAAGCTCCCGTACAGAAATTTGCTGATCGTATTTCCAAGTTATTTGTGCCTCTAGTAAGTAAATTATTTCATTAGTTGACTCAAAATTATGTGACAAGTATTAATATATGATAATGGCCTTTGTCAATAGTAAGCTATTCTTTTTGCAGGTCATCATTCTATCATTCTCAACTTGGCTTGCCTGGTTTTTAGCTGCAATTTAGCTGCAAAGTTCCATGGCTACCCAGAGTCTTGGATACCAAGTTCCATGGACAGCTTTGAGCTTGCACTCCAATTTGGAATCTCTGTCATGGTCATAGCCTGTCCATGTGCTCTTGGATTAGCCACCCCAACTGCTGTCATGGTTGGTACCGGCGTTGGTGCATCTCAGGGTGTCCTAATCAAAGGTGGTCAAGCATTAGAAAGTGCACACAAGGTTAGTCATAAGTTCATTCTTCCTTGTACAAATTCATTTTGAGAATTTATGTGCATGAGCCTGTAAATACTAAATGTGTAACACCCCAAAAATTTTCGAATCTTGTATGGTATTATAATTAGTGAACAGTGAATTATGGTATTATATTAATTAAGGAAATTAGAGACAATATTTTTATGGAGTAAATTTGAGATGGTGTAATATTAATTAAGGAAATTAGAGGAATTATTTTTAAGGATTAAATTTGAGAATTTTGTAGAGAGAAATAATATTTTGAAGGAAATTAATTGGAGAATAATTTTTAGCCATTGGATGAGATTTAGCCATTGGATGAAGATTAACCAATGACTTAATCTTAGCCACCCAGATTTTGAGAAAATACCAACAGACCCTTTTAGTTGCTTTATAAGGGTCAACTCTAATAATTGAGCCAAACACTTTCTTTCTTCTCTTCCCTTTCTTCTTCTTTCTCCTCTCCATTTCCAACCAATTTCTCTCTTCTTCTCTTCTATTTCCAACGCCAACTTTCTCTCTTCTTCTCTTCTTTGTTTTTTCTTCACTTCTACTCACTAAATCCACCAAATTTACACCATTAAACTTGATTTAAATAATTAATCTTAGAGAATTAAGCTTGAGAAATGATTTGTAATTATCAATTGTGTTGGTGTATATATATTTAGAGATAAACATAAGATTTATTAAATGATTTAATATAAAATATTTTAAGATAGTTGGTATGATTAGTTTATTAAGACTTGACTTATGTAATGAATGCAATTAATTGATGAATATTAAATGCTATTGAGGATTTATGTAGTTATGAAGATACAGAAGTGTTGTTGTGTTATGATAATTATTTGGTTCTGATGATTATTTAGTTCCATGGACAGCTTTGAGCTTGCACTCCAATTTGGAATCTCTGTCATGGTCATAGCCTGTCCATGTGCTCTTGGATTAGCCACCCCAACTGCTGTCATGGTTGGTACCGGCGTTGGTGCATCTCAGGGTGTCCTAATCAAAGGTGGTCAAGCATTAGAAAGTGCACACAAGGTTAGCCATAAGTTCATTCTTCCTGTACAAATTCATTTTGAGAATTTATGTGCATGAGCCTGTCAATACTAAATGTGCCTCTAATTGGTCTGGTTATTGATCTTGCAGGTGAACTGCATTGTGTTTGACAAGACAGGAACTCTAACAGTGGGAAAGCCAGTTGTTGTTAACACGAAACTCTTCAAAAATATGGTGCTTAGAGATTTTTATGAACTTGTTGCTGCAGCTGAGGTATGATTTTCTCCCCAAAAACTTGCTATTAAATGAACTTGTCATTATAGCCATACCTGAGTAAATCTTAGTATTCTTGCTAGACTTTGAGAAACAGAACTTCTAAAAATCTGTTGATTTTATGATGACTATTGACAGTTTATGCTACATATCCTTATTAGGTAAATAGTGGACATCCTTTAGCCAAAGCCATTGTAGAATACGCCAAGAAATTCAGAGAAAATGAAGAGAACCCAGTCTGGCCAGAGGCACAAGATTTTGTCTCTATCACTGGCCATGGAGTGAAAGTTATTGTTCGTGACAAGGAAATAATAGTAGGAAACAGAAGCTTGATGTTTGACCACAACATTGCCATTCCAGTTGATGCTGAAGAAATGCTAACAGAAACTGAAGGGATGGCTCAAACAGGGATTTTAATTGCAATAGATAGAGAAGTGACTGGAGTTCTAGCCATATCGGATCCTCTAAAACCAGGAGCACGTGAAGTCATTTCAATTCTCAAGTCTATGAAAGTTAGAAGCATTATGGCGACAGGTGACAATTGGGGAACAGCCAGTTCTGTTGCTGGAGACGTTGGGATCGTAACTGTTATTGCAGAAGCAAAGCCCGAGCAGAAAGCAGAGAAAGTAAAGGAACTACAGGTTTATTATCTGCACCTCTGCCCACCATTTTTGTTTTTATTTTTGCTATAGGCTATTAAAACTCACAAATTGGACAATTTTTTGAAACTATAACCTCATATTTGCAGGTCTGGGCAGGTCCCATATAGTGGGGCAATGGTGGGTGATGGCAATAAATGATTCTCCAGCACTTGTAGCAGCAGATGTTGGAATGGCAATTGGTGCAGGCACAGATATTGCAATAGCAAGCAGCTGAATAGTTTTCTAATGGAAAAGCAACTTGGGGAGGATGGATCACTTGCTATAAGTTGTCAAGGAAGCGCTTTTCGCGTGATGTTGGCTTAACTACATTCTGGGCTCTGGGTTATAACCCGGCTTAACTACATTTGGGCTCTGGGTTATAACCTGCTTGGTATTCCAATAGCTGCTGGAGCACTTTTCCCTGGCACTGGATTCCGTTTGCCTCCCTGGATTGCTGGAGCCGCCATGGCAGCTTCTTCAGTTAGTGTGGTTGTGTGCTCCCTCCTGTTAAAAAATTACAAGAGACCAAAAATGCTTGAAAATCTTGAGATTCGTGGGATTAGGATTGAGTGAATTCATGATCTTGGTTATCAAAACAAGTATTTGTTTATATTTGTCAAGTCATAGGAAAAATCAAGTGTGAAAGCTTGTTGCTTGATGTTTTTTATTTTATTTTTTGTTATATACAAGCTGAAGCTGTTTTATGATCACCTGTATATATAATATATGGCTGTTTTATGATAAGCTGTTAGAAATTTAAAGTTATGTTTATTATGGAATAAACAATAATGTAATCTTTGTTTTGTTGATAATATGGATGTCTAAAATAAATATAATTAACAATATGTTTGGATTTGGGAGGAAAGAAAATAAGGAGGGACAAAAATTGTTCATTATCTTACATTGGTTATGTTCCTCTCTTTTACTTTGTTCTGATAGGCTGATAGCTATAAATTTACAATTGAATGGGAGGAAACATTTTGAAAGGGAAAAACTTTTCCTTTGAAGACGGCAACTTTTCTTGTGTTTCAAACATTGAAAACTTAGCAAATCAGCAGAAAAATTACAATGTTTTGCAGAGATGCATAATTTTTGCTAGTTCATTTTTGATAAATTTTCCTTATGTATGAAAGAATGCAATTTTTTTTTTCAGTGAGGCAAAAAGATTGTAGTAAAAAATTAATATTTGCCCAAATACATCAGTAAAAAGAGAAAGAAATGAATTATAAGCAAAGGATAAACGACATCTCTTTATTTGAGAAGAGGATATCTAAACCAGTCGTTTTACAGAGAATTACATTATTTTTTACATATTAGCTTTGAAATTTCAATGATCTTTGGCTCAGAGTCAGGCCTATACCCATACAGGATAAAGATAAACCCAGAAATGTTTATTCATTTATCAATGAATTGCTATATCTTAGAGTGCAATGTTATTTTCGAGCTTGATTCGGTCTCATTAATAGCTCTCTTTGATCGCTGTTTTTCCAGTTTTGCTTTAACTTTAAAGAGGATTTGGTGCACTTCATTAAAGTGAGGCCTTGTTGCATTTCTTGTATCCTCTATCCATTGTTGAACTTTCCTACGAGGACCGAGTATTCGATTTCTATCCTTCTCGTCCAAAACCTAAATCCAAAAGTAATTCAAATTAACTTTTAAGCAAAGAAACACATTAAGTCGATAAAAATGGTTATGCTGCTTTATAGAACCACCACTGCACAAGATTATAAAAAGAAGGTCAAGGGTTCTCACACATGCAGAGGCGGGGGAAGGTCCAAGCATCGCCAACAGAAACCCACTAATTGAAAAATCTAATTGAAACTCTCACATACGCATGCACACAGAGACTTTGTTCCTTGTTATCCTAGCAATACAAGTGATAACAAAAAAAGAAAAAACACTGGGTTTTTATCTGCGTACCTCCAGTTGCATTATTTCACAGACAAGGCTTAGATGCTTTGGCAGCAGCTCGTGGATTCAGGGGTAGGCCAAGTGCAGGCGCCAGTGCAGTATTCACAACATATTTACCTATTGAAGAACTTTCTGGGTTACTAGCATGTTATAAAACCCAAATAAACATTGTAATTATACGTATATAATAGATGTTCAAGATCAAATTAACTATGACGCACGTGCTCCCTCTCGTAAATTCGAGTGATGCCAATCCAACACCGATTGAATCTTAGCTCTCTTGGAAAGATCGGCCGGATACCTTAAAGCGTGATGCAGTAAAAATTGTTAAGAACTGATTTGCAGCATACAAACATGACACAGAAGGCAAAGTACATTTATCCTTTACATAAACTAGAGATCTTTTAATTGGAAGTATGTAAATGACAAAAATACTCAGGAATGGGTCAGACACTGCCTGCACGGAAACAAGCATGCAAGTAAAAGTGATATTGGCTTCGTGTTGAGGTACCAGATTCATCAAATCCGTGGTTTTTAGATATAGAAGCACAGCTCTGTACCATTGAATTTCTCCATCTTCTTAATTTATGCCCTAAAAGCAAAGTAAAGTTTGACAAATTATGACCTGGAGTAGCAAAAGATAATAGATCAAGAACTTAGCCAGGAGATCTTCATGATCTTAAGGAGCTTTCTGTGCCCTTATTCTACTCATCTTTTGGTACTAACTATATCACATCAGTATCAATAACATTTCATCTTGTTTCCAGCTAAAATACTTCATACAAGTTAAACTATTCATGCCACATAAACACGTAATCAAGAGATTGAATTAACCATAAGCAGCTGTACTTACCAATGGTCAGCAACTCCACGAAATGCACAAGCCAGATAGGTAAGGATTGCGTGGCTGCAAAAAACAATTAAGAAGTTCAATTGCAAAGAGGGGGGAAAAAGTGATTTAAGATTCTCAAAAAAAAGTAACCATAATTTATAATTTACGAAGCACATACAACTAAATAACAAAATAAAAATTGCTAGCATTGCCATTCAATTGGAGTTTCAGAACCTAGAAAGAGAGCGCACGACACCTTTCAAACAGCTTGAATCTTCCGTCACACGACACCTTTCAAACAGCTTGAATCTTCCGTCAACTATGGCTGGCACTTTTCCCATAGGGTTTATCTCTAAAAATACAAGACAGAAAAAGTAAGAACAAGCTGTTACTGGTTTTTTTGTGTCGGTAAAACTCAACTGCTTTGTAAAATTAGCTAAACCAAAAAAGAAACGAAAAATTAAAACAAGAATAAGGAAGAAAGGAGATACCTTTGAATTCAGGAGATAACTGTTGACGCTTGGATATGTCGATTTTCACCTCCTCAAAGTCTATCCCGTTTACCCTGTATATAAACACCCAAATCAAAAATAATCAAGAAAAACAAAAACCCAGCTTTAAATTTGCAGTAAAAAACCATTAAATTAAATTACTTGCAGAAGATAAGAACTGCCCGTGATGGCTGGGACATTCGATCTGCGTATATCTTCAGCTTCATTTTCTTGCTTCTCTCTCTTTCTAAACTGCGATCTATGTAGAGAGTGTGATGTTTGTTTCTTCAAGACTGTTGTTTACCAGTTTTCGGTTTCGGGCTTTTAAACAGCTTATCTTGTTGGATTGACTACCGGAGTCCAACTTTCACGCTTCTCAGGTGCATTTCCTACAGTTTGTAAGGTTTGAAACTGGGCCAAGTAGAAATGGTGGTAAAGATGTTAGTAGCAGCGACAAGCCCGCATACCAAGACTAATTAATTCCAGTTTTGCCCATGAAAAAATAACCGTACAAGTCTGCTTTCCAGTTAAAATACAAGTCTGCTTTTCCAGTTAAAATTTTCCAGGAAATTGATTTGGTGAAACCTAATATGAGTGCTAAAGAATATGCTGTTCCTTCTTTGTAATTTATTTGCATTATGATACTGAAGAAGAATTAAGAAAGTACCCAAATCATTGAAGCAAATAATGAGATTAATAAATTTCTTTAAAAAAATTTGCTTGAAATTGGGTTTTCTCAGGCCTGAAAAGCAAATTAGCACTATAATAAACATAAAGATACCTTTCATTCCATAGGCCAGATACCTAAATATCCCGTCACAGAAAACACCAGATAATAACATAAACAATCTATTTAATTCCAACAAGGGTTCTCATCAATTTTGGCACAATATCAGGAAATATATCCCAAACGTTTGATACATAGCAAGCAAACAATTTACACTGCTTGACAAGTCCCTTAAATCTCTGAAATGTCGTCGAACAATCTTATTGCAGATTTTTAAATACAAGGCTACAACACTCTTCCTCAAATATTGCATTTGAGATTAAACCTCACTCTTCCCTCCTGCTTACTGCTGCTTGTTCAGCATTGCACCGAATTGAAAAACAGCACCGTGGAGTTCATCAAAATGAGGGTTCGTTGTAGTTTTTGTATCTTCAATCCACTGTTGAACTTTCTTGTATGGGCCCAGTAAACGATTGCGATCATTTTCTTCCAATAGCTGTATCCAACAAACAAGTTTACATATGAATGTCATGTCCACCTCAGGGAACTAACATGTGACTGTGTGTTTGTAATTCCAACTGTGTGTTTTGTAATTTCCAAAGTTAAAACAAAAGAAAAGCAAGGAAACAAAAAGTATTACATGAAGTTGCATGATTTCAACAGACAAGGCTAAGAATTCCGCTACGATGGTTGAATCTGCTCCAAGCCAAGAAATTTTCCCACTGTCCTGAAGCCAACTTTCGGGGGACAAAAATCTGTGTTAGTGTGCTTGTCCCACGCGCCCCTATTTTGACAGAGCACAAAGTCAAAATTTTTTCTCAACCTTCAGCTGCTGCCTGTGGGTTAAGGGGCTGGCCAAATACAGGTGCCAGTTTAGCATTTAATCAACATAGGTAACTGGAAGAAGGCAAATAAATCAGTATCCTGCGCAACTGAACATAATATAACCAAGCAACTCCTGGAGTATTTCAAAAGCAACAGATACATATGAAGAAAATTGATTATTAATGGTTCAGCATTTATACTACAAATTAAGAAATGGAACTTTTTTAAGTTTGGCAATACCCCAGTACTAAGATGACAAAAAAAAAAGGAATGAACGAACATCTTCAAATTTTGGATTTGTAATTAGGTTATTGTTAAACGCCATGCCTCTCTAGGACATGTTAGATAATTGCCATGAGATGTCAAGGCCAAAGCACAGTCACCAAATAGGGCAGCCTTTAAGGTCTAATCTATTTTATGCAAGTTAAAACCCCCATCATACAGGTTGTTTTAAACCTATCAAACAGGTTACGAATTCCTCTTCATTGCTACTACAACGTGGTCTTCGAAGCTTGAAGGTTAGTCATATTTTAACATCAAAGAAAGAAGTAACAACGCTCTCGGTCACTACAAAGTATCACAGTTAGCAAGGTGTGTGTGTATGTATATATATATTTATTAGAGAGAGAGAGATAAAAATTAATATTTAATATTTCAGAAGGATATGAATTTTGATTTTTAAAAATTAAAGGCATGTCAGTGGATTCTGAACTTTCAAGTCCAACACTTTAGATATTTAGTTGTATGAAACTAATATAATAAAAATAAAATATAGAGACTCTTTTTCATAGGGAATTTACTGTTTGGTTATAGTTGGCAATTGCAAAATAGGATTTGCTGGCAACCCCTTTAACTAACAACCAGTAAATCTTTATATTAAAAAAAAAAAAAAAAAAAAAAAAAAAAAAAAAAAGGGAAAGAAAAAGAGTGGATGGAAGGTTGGGGCCAATGGAAGGTGGGCCAACGCGGGGGCGCAGGGGGTTCTTGGCACCGCAGCTTTGTTACAGAAACGTAAGCGCTTACGCATCGTAACAATAGCAAACGCTGGTTCCATGAAAACTGCGTTGCGATATGGTTGACGGCTAATTGGCTCCCAAGACCGTGGAGTTATTATTGGCAAACTGGCACAAGTTGGCAACTTGCTCATCCACTTAGATTTCCACACCCAATCCACATAAATATGGTTAGGCCCAAAGCCCAAAATTTCATAAGATAACTGGCAGTGTAGGTGAGTGGACCTAGGCCCAAAAAAGATTCCTAGTCCGACTTAGTTTCAAGTTTGTCGTGGGAAAAGTACATTTGCACCCCTAAATTATATTCTAATTAACATTTTCATCTATCTATTTTTAAAATGGGTATCATAACATCCCTAACTTCGGAACATTCTGTCCAAAGTCAACATTCATGGTCAGTTAAACTCAGATTTTTAAACAGGATATGTTCAGTTTTTAAATTGATACCCAATAGTGAGATTGTAGCAAAAAAATTAAAGATATTATAGTAATTTTAAAAAAATAGGAGATAAAAATTTTAATTATGATATAATTTAGTGATCTCAATATATTTTAATCTAATTTTAATTTTGTCAAGTTTCAGCTTCAACAATAAATTTATTGAACTTCAACTATTATAATATTTGAACTTGTAATAGGAGAAGCACCCAACGTAGATGGATTTTTATTGTCCAATCCATTTCATTTATACATATTTAAAAAGAAAGTTCGGAATCTTCATTCTTTCTATTATTTTCTTTTGGATAAATCACGGTTTACGTTTTAGAATTTGATGTTAATTAATAAATCTATTCTTTTTTTTAAAGAATAAATTATACAATTCTTATGTTTGTTTTGTTGAAAATTTTTAGTTTTTTTTTTTGGTGAAAATTTAAGTAGAAACATTCAAACATTTAATGGCTAGCTATGATACGTGATTCTTTCATCTTAGGTAATTAATTTTACTAAAACTTATAATTTACGTATACCCTTTAACTATCTAAATTTTATGAAAGCTTTTACGCTAATTTTATCACATAAAAAAAAATTTAACATCCTACTAATGTGTATGAAAACGTTTCAACTAAAGATTTGGTCGTTTTGTTGGTGCATTTACTAAGTTAATATGTAATTAATTTTTAAGAGAAAAATAGGTATTAATGTGGAATAATAATAATAATAATTATTATTATTATTCTTTAAGTGATTTTCAATCTGTCGGCTATGCAAGGAGTTGAAAGTCTAGGTTGAAAGTCTAGGTCAATTCATTTTGTACGGTAAAGAAATAGTTGAGTGTTGAAAATTAACCCACGTTTAACTAATTAATATATTATTAACAAAAAGTCTAGGTTGATTAGGCATTTGATGGACTTTATTTTACAAATATCTTATCATATTGATAAACTATTGGATTAAATTCTACAAATATATAATACTAATAATTATTAAATTAGGACAAATTTTTGTTTATAAGCACGAGAAAAGTAAAGGGGCCCACTTCCGTCTTGACTTTTTGACCCAATTCCTTCCCGCCATACGCATGCTCAAATATCTTATCTTATCATATTGATTTTTTTTTAATTAGATGTTTGATTAATTTGTGATATTCGTATAGAAATTAAATAAATAAAGACATATCAATGATGTGTGATTAAATTAATTTATTTTAATTTAGTAATATGGCTATTTTATAGAGTCCAACAACGTCAAATCCTGGTCATGAATCATGCCGCACCCCTATATTAATTAGAAAAGAATAGCACCCCTATATTAATTAGAAAAGAATATATATATATTATATATATAATATATAATATTTTATATATATATATATATACTATATATATATTATATATATAATATATATATATTCTCGAATAAGTAGCTCATAAGATATGAGAATTAATTAATCTATTTCATTATATTCATTTAAATTAAAATTTAGATTCTAGAACAATGCTATCTTCGTCACCGAACGTAAAATTTACCAGCATTATCATTAAAAAGTCAAAAGTTAATAGTATTATTATTAATTAATTGACAGCGTGAACATCATCGCGTGTATAAGCAAATGGAAGGAGCCAGTAATCACCGTTAGATTGTCAATCATTTAAAAAGCAAAAACCTGTTGCTTAATAACTACTTAATTGCTATATTTAAATAATCCCTCCATTTTCTCAAACCTAATTTCAGCTATTTTTCCATTACGAACCAATTTTATTTGTAGGGTCCTCTGCCCACTAACAAAATTCCACTTCAAAAGGTATAGTATTTTAATTAATTTAATCAAATTTTATAAAATTAAAATTTCATTTTCACGAGCTAACCAGTCTGTAAGTTTCTGTCTCTCCACAAATTTATAGGGTTCAGTTTCCTGAGACAGCATATATATAGCATATATATATTATATATATATATTATATTATATATATTATTATGGCTGTCTCAGAAACTGAACCCCTATATATATATATGCTGTCTCAGGAAACTGAACCCTATAAATTTGTGGAGAGACAGAAACTTACAGAGACCGAACACAAACACTTCATCGTAGCGACAAAATTGCTGGCTTTAGCTTGCATGCGTAACGAGAATAGTAGCTATGGCGATTTGTCTCCTAAACCACGTTACCCTTCCATGCCAAAATATCCAAAAGGCGTTTCGGAGCAAGAAACTAACGTCCAGGGTTCCGAAGCTAAGGCGGTTTTTTCCGTTATCGGAATGACATGCGCTGCTTGCGCTGGATCCGTCGAGAAAGCAGTCAAACGGCTACCCGGTATACGTGAGGCCGCCGTCGATGTGTTGAATAGTCGGGCTCAAGTCTTATTCTATCCGAGTTTCGTTAACGTAAGTTGTCGATTACGGGTTTTCTTTATCTTCTTAATTATTTTATTATTCTTGTTTGGTTCGTTAGAGAATTGATTGTATTATGCTTCAAGGAAAAGAAAATAATTTGGTGCACTTTTTTTATTAAAAATAAATGCTTTATAGTTTTTTCTGTTGATAGTGGAATGGACGTGGAAGTAAATTTCGGTTGTCTATGTTTCTTTCTGCTTTTCTCTTTAAATGAGAAATTTTAAATTAGCAACTAATTAATGAGCAGATGGTTTTCATGGCAGCACTTGTCCAATGCAAGAAGAAGTGATCCATTTTTGGGTGGGTTAAAGTTTAAACCGGAAGAATTTGATTCCTTCACTTCTTATTTTTCTTTTAAAATAGTATAAAGTAGTATATAATTCTGTTTTGAAAGGCTGTAAAGTCTTGCAATGATATAAACAAACTTGCTCTTTTTTTCCTTGATTGAGATACATAAGCTGCCCATGGTATCACAGTGACATAGTCCATATCTTGTCTTCAAAGTTTCTTGACTATGCTATTCCATCCTGGGCTTCAGGAATTCTAAGGGTTCGGCATAAAAATCCAATCTTTGGGCCTAGCTGAGCCCAGATATTGCTTGTTCTGAGCAAACTATCAATTTTAACTTCTTGTGAGTTGGAATACTTTGTTCTATTATGGAAGATGCTCAACTTCTTTAAATTTTCGCAACTTCCTGGATTCTGAGGGGAAGGCAAAGACTGAATCTCAAGTAAGCCATATATTATTTGACCTAGAATTAATTAATCATCTATGAACACATTACGAATGCAGAAAGTAATTTCTAAGTTGAACACTATAGATATATATATATATATATATATATATATATATATATATATATGTGTGTGTGACATTTGGTTTCATTAGTCTGCAGTCCTATGCCAAGCTGACCTGTTGAAGTTTTTTGTACAAATTGTTGGAGGCAGTATATCAGCGAGAAATAATTCCATTTTTTATTTGCTTATTTATATTATGTGCAAATGGCTAACTGAAGAAGGATAACATGTATGTTTATGAACACAAGTGTCAAATGCTGAGTTTCTAGTTCCACCGGCTTTTCTTTTCTCATTTTATGAATTTGATTATTTAACATATGATAGGAAGAAACTATTCGTAAGACTATTGAAGAAGATGCAGGATTTGAGGCCACATTGATTCAAGATGAGAGCAGTGATAAATCCACTCAGGTATGCCGAATACGCATTAATGGAATGACTTGCACTTCTTGCTCCTCGACAGTTGAGCAAGCTCTGCAAGCAATTCACGGTGTGCAAAAAGCCCAGATGGCCTTAGCAACTGAAGAAGCAGAAGTTCACTATGATCCAAATATATTGAGCTACAACCAGCTCTTACAAGCCATTGAAGATACAGGATTTGAAGCCATACTTATCAGTACTGGTGAAGACATGGACAAGATACAGCTTAAAGTTGATGGTATAAGGACAGAAGATTCAATGAGAATGATTGAAAATTCTCTTCGAGCACTACCTGGTGTTCAAACCATAAACATAGACCCCGAACTCAGCAAATTTTCTCTTTCGTACAAACCAGAAATGACAGGTCCGAGAAATTTTATCAAAGTGATCGAATCAACTGGGACTGGTCGATTCAAGGCGATGATATTTCCTGAAAGTGCAGGACGAGGAGAAAGTCATAGAAAAGAGGAAATTCAGCAATATTACAGATGAGAAAGTCATAGAAAAGAGGAAATTCAGCAATATTACAGATCCTTTCTATGGAGTTTGGTTTTCACAGTTCCTGTATTTTTAATATCCATGGTTTTTATGTATATCCCTGGAACAAAGCATGGATTAGACACCAAAATAGTCAATATGCTGACTATTGGAGCAATTCTGAGGTGGGCTTTATCCACTCCTGTGCAGTTCATTATTGGCAGGCGATTCTATGCAGGGTCCTACAAAGCATTGAAGCATGGTTCTGCTAATATGGATGTGCTGATCGCCTTGGGAACAAATGCTGCCTACTTCTATTCAGTCTATTCTGTGTTAAGAGCTGCTAGCTCTCCAGTTTTTATGGGGACAGATTTCTTTGAAACTAGCTCCATGCTTATATCATTTATTCTTCTTGGCAAGTATCTAGAAGTTTTGGCTAAAGGAAAGACGTCTGAGGCTATTGCTAAGCTTACGGACTTAGCACCTGATACAGCAATATTACTGACTCTAGATGACGAGGGAAATGTGGTTAGTGAAGAAGAAATTGATAGCCGGTTGACACAAAAGAATGATGTGATTAAAATCATTCCTGGTGCAAAAGTAGCTTCAGCTAACCTTGTGTGCACTTTCTAATGCTTGACCACCTTTGATTAGGACACCCTGAGATGCACCAACGCCGGTACCAACCATGACAGCAGTTGGGGTGGCTAATCCAAGAGCACATGGACAGGCTATGACCATGACAGAGATTCCAAATTGGAGTGCAAGCTCAAAGCTGTCCATGGAACTCGGTATCCAAGATTCTGGGTAGCCATGGAACTTTGCAGCTAAAAACCAGGCAAGCCAAGTTGAGAATGATAGAATGATGACCTGCAAAAAGAATAGCTTACTATTGACAAAGGCCATTATCATATATTAATATAAGGGTGGCCATATTACGGTTTCGGGAACCGGAACCGTCGGATCGAACCGGTCCCGAACTGTAACCGGAACCGGTCCGAATCGGAGATTTTCAGTTCGGTTCCGATTCTAAATTTCTGGAACCGAAACCGGCAGTTCCACAAAACCGGTCGGAACCGGATTGGAACCGCCGGTTCTCCGGCCGGTTCGAAATTTTGGAAGACGATTTTCAAAATTTTAATAAATTTGTGAAAGTTATTTGTAAAAAAAATACACCTAAAAAAATTAAAAAAGATCTTCAATTAAATTTATTTTTTTAAAGACTTGAACATAATTATTTTTTTTTAAAAAAAAATTCCTTCATACTGAATTTATTGTTTTGTTTAAAAAAGTGAAACAAATTTTTTTAAAAAAAAGGGCTTTGAAACTTAATTTTTTTTAAAAAAAAAATTAAGTTGTCCTAATGTATCCTCTTGGAGTTTAGGAGGAATAAAGCCCACGTAGGTTCTTACTTACCTTATACTATTTTCACCCATTTTACCTTAATCGATATTTGCACCACCGGTTGATGTTCCCGTTGAGGACCCATCGTATAAATCATATAAATCTTCATTTTCTTTTAGATTTTCTTGTGCTCTTATTTTACATTAGTTCGGCCTTGCTCCAATCATCCACGCATAATTATGCTTCTAATGAATCGTGTGTCATACGAGATCGTGTTTCATCAAGTATGTTTCCTTTTTGACTAAAAGCGTTGACTAAAAGCGTGTTTCATCAAGTATGCTTCTAATGAATCGGAGCTGCTAAAACTTGTTTTGCAATTAAAGAAAGTATTGAAAAATTATTGGCGTGACGACTCCACCAATTTAAAAGTAGAAAACCAGTATCTGAATAATCATTACCAAACTCAAAAGAAGTGGTTAGATAATTATCAAATTCAGAAAAAGAACTGGATTCCCTTAGTCTTTTTTGTCTTTGTAGTAAAACTTGTTGTGAATACTAAGTCACTTCTAATTCATAATATGATTGTAAGATTTATATGTAGGTTAGGACGGTGCCTCCGGCACCGAATGCGGCATCCACCGTCGGGTCTTTCGGGATCGGGTGGTGGGTGTTACAATAATTGCATAATATTTTGTCTAACTTCATGCAATACTACATTTATATTAATATTATCTTCTATATCAAGATCTAATACTTCATAATAAATAGTCAAATATTCACATAAAACATCAATTTTACATCTAGGATCAAATACAATAGCAACAAGACAAAGGGGTGGTATATTTTTAAAATAAGATAACCATTTTTTTTCATTGAAAAAATACAATCTTTTAATATACAATCATTTTTCAAATTCTTGGAGTGCAATAACAATATTAATACACATTAATACACATAGGTAAATAATGAGAATGTAAGGATAATATGGTTCAACGACCCGTAATCCATGGAGCCGGACCGGCACTAGTGCCTCAGGTAAGCTTTAAGGCCCCGAGGCCGTCGTAGTAAGAGCCTGAAAACTAAAATTTTACTATCTCAATATAATTTTTTAAACATTCAGCCCAATACTGATGTGGCAAATAAAAACCGCTAAAGAATTCCTATTCAAACCTCGGCCCAAAATTTAAAAACATCTTAACATTTAACAAATTACCGCTGCTTTACAAAATACAATATTTATAATATAAATGCTCACTAGAATGATTGTCATCATAATAATATACGATTAAAAATATACAAATCCTATAACTGGCGGAGTTCACTAACTTCTTTGGTATAACATAGCTTTTTTATACACATAATTACATAGTGGAAATAATTATGGGATTAGGAAAATTTCTCTATTGCCCCTGCGCGCGAAGAAACATAGCCTAAAATCGGATTAAGAGAAAACTTACTTCGCTGAAAAAAAAAATCAAGCAAGACTTGTGAGTTTTCTAAGCAGAAATAATTATCACACAACACATTGCAGTCACAACAAATGTGGTAAATATAATCGATCTAGTCCATCCGACTAGCTATATGCTACACGCAGCCGGTCACACAAAATGGGCAAATCACCAGCATTCCACAATCATTAACATCTTCAATATAATCACATCAACGTGGAAATTAGTCAGTGGAGTCACCAGAACCCCCGATGAGCCGTCTCCCACATGGCTCATCCTCTTCAACATGTGCGCACCGGGCAGCCGATCCCCCCATACTGGCCGACCAGGTCTTAATCCCTCACTTCGACCAGCCTCCATTGTTTTTTCTATCCTCTTCTTTTCTTTTTCCATGAGCCAACAGGCAGGCAACCCGGTGGGTCTCCCATACCAATCCTAGATCATCCAAGCGCTCACAAGCAGGAATGGCACCCTGCGGGCTGCGATCAAAATCTAGACTGTCCGGTTGCGTCAATTCGGACGAGAAGCCAATTTTGTGGTTAACGTAACGGTAAACGGTAAACGGTAGGTGCACACGGAGGGCGCCGATCCTCCCCCAATTTACGCCGGCTAACGGTAATGGATCCATATAACGGTAGAAGTCCATGCTTTTTCGACCGTCCTCACAAACCCATGGTGACCCACTTCATCCCAATTCCACACAATCAAAGCACGGCAATATCACAACACAATTAATCAAACATTGCAGTCAAATGCAAACATATTGATCGATTAGACATTATAATGCAATGCGTGATTAAACATCCAAAATCAATGCGGATAGATAAATAAATAATAGTATTGACAATAAACAACAATAATAATAAAATAAATAACGATATGAATAATTAAATGAACAATCATGATAATAGTAAAATAATCATAACAAGTTATAGAATTAATCTAAATAAACTTATTGATTATGTTATTAATTAAATCTAGACTAGGTTCTAGCGAAATTTCGGCAGCACCTCCCCTTATAAGTTGGACTATCTACCGGCTCAAATATCCCAATATTATGATATATTTATCAATCAGTGCACACAGCCCATCCGTCGGGCAATCAATCAATTTAAAATCCCATCCTCCTTTCAAAACAACTATATCGACACTCAACCAAAAATTTATAAACGAATTTTAATAATATCCATCTAAAATCATTTATTAAGTCATTAGTTAACTAAATTAATAGCTTTACAGTAACTAATTTGTTAAGCAGCTAAAACATATTTAACAATAACTAATTATAACTACTACCTATTAAAATTCGGTTTTTATATCAATATAAAAAAATGGCTAGGCCTCCCAAATCTTAATTTATTAAAATCTCGTATTATCAATCATCCTTGCTTAAGGGTATAAACAACATCTTAAAAACATTTACTAAAATTCTAAAACTAGCTTACTAAGAACCAATGCTAAGAACCAATGCTTCAATTAAATTACAATTTCATAAATACTTCTACTAGGTAACCCAACTCACAACTTGAACATATAACTAAAGCTTCCTAAATTTCTTTCATCTTGCCACGAAAATACAATTTCTAGATTATAGTAAATTATGTTTACCATCGATCATTACCTAACAAGATTGAAACTATTGAGCATTAACCAATGGTATCCATCACAAAAATATTAACAATATATCCATTCCTTTGTTAGTTCATATAAAAATGGTAACGATTACCTGCAATAGCTACTCCCCACCAAATGCAATAGGTTCTCCTTAACTTAGACTTATACATATATGCACAAAAAAAATTTTCACTGCATTTCCCATCAAAACTTAGATTCTTAAACATCCTATAAATCCATATCAACATTAAATTTCATAAATTTTTCTTTAATTCCATAAACCTAATAATTGTTTCCTAAGCAATTTATTTATTACTAGAATTTAAATTAGTGAATTAAACCAAGTAATTTGATAATCCTTACATTTACTCAATACTCTCACAATACTAAATTAAATTAACTAAAATTAATTAACTACAAATAATAAAAAAATTAATTTAATTAACTAATATTACTAAAATTAAATTATACCCAATATATATTATTACCGGAATTTTGATTAACCGGAAATGAAGGCTGGTGGCCGGAGGTTGACTGACAGTGGCGGAGGGAGGCGGAGGCAGCGCGAAGGAGCTGGACAGGCTCATTTCTGGTGGTCGGAGGCACGTTGGAGCGATGGCTGGGCAGTGGCGACGGCGCGACGAGCTGGATGCGGCGCGATGCTTGCGCGATCGAAGGCAGAGGGAGGCCGGGTCTGCTCGTGCCGCGCGATCTGATCCAGGGAGCTGGTGGAGTCGCGTGGGTCGCTGGCGAAGTGGAGCGGCTGGATGTGGCGCGCCGGAGGAGTCTCGATTGAGCTGGAGGTGTCGCGCGGCCGCTGCTCAGCTGCTGTCTCGCAAGGACGCAGATGGCAGTGAAGGGAAAAGGAAAGAAAGAAATGAAGAAAGAATGAAGAAAAGAAAAGGAGAAGAAGAAGAAAGAAGAAAGAAGATAGAAGAGAGGAGAGGATGGCCGGTGGCACCTGGTGGTGCTACCAGGTGGTGGGCGTAGGAAAATTGGGTGAGGAAAGTGAGGCATACCATGGAAAAATAGAGGAAGAAGAGAAATTCTAACGATGGTCTGGGTCCAAACCGGTTCGATTTTTGATTCGGTTTCGGCCCATCTTTGTTTGTCAACTGGTTTACGCTTCTAATCGGTTTTCGGTTTGGTTTACTCACAGTGTTCGCACTAAAATACTAATATAAATTTTCTAGGCTTGTCGGTTCCATTAAATTTAATTGGGAAAATGTTTTTGATAAATAAAATTCGGGTTGTTTCAATAATAAACCCAAGTAATTTTAAAGGTATCCCCCGCCGCATCATTAAAAATTTTTTTTAAAAATATCTAAAAATTTTTTGCAACAAATAGTCCCCAATTTTTGTGGATATAAATTAATATCTTCAATAATTATTAAGTAACAAAAAAGCATAGTAATTTTTATAAGAAAAAGACTCTTTTAGTAATTCATATGTTGATCCAGACACGAGTTGGGACAAGTCAACTTGGAAAACGTTTTAAGTCTTTCTATATTTTCTTTACAAAATTTAGCCTAAATTTTTCATTACTGTGGGAATGTTCCCCATAATATAAAAATAGCTTTTTTAATTGGGAGAAATAAAAGATTCAAGAATTTTTAAAACCATCTTGTACCTATTTAAAACATTGGCATGGCACATCTTATATGAAAAAATTTTCCACCAATATTTGGTTCACAAATATTTTTAAGTTCAATAATTGATTTGTATGCAGAAGCATTATCAAATGAAAAATTTTTTTTGTCAACTTATATTCATCTAAAATTGAAACAATTATTCTATAAATATTATTTGTAATATGTTTATCTTCAAAAACACGAAATACAACAATTCTTTTTTGAATTTTCCAATCATCATCAATCCAATGACATGTAATGCTCATATAATTAAGAATGCATTTGTAAATAATCACTCCAAATATCACAACAAATTGAAACACGAATTTTCATTTGAGAAAATAAAACAATTCTCAAATGAATTCTTTTTGAAGTATGTTTATCTTCAAAAACACGAAATACAACAATTCTTTTTTGAATTTTTCAATCATCATCAATCCAATGACATGTAATGCTCATATAATTAAGAATGCATTTGCCAATGATCACTCCAAATATCACATCAAATTGAAACACGAATTTTCATTTGAGAAAATAAAAGCTCTAACTCTTTTTTTTTTAAACTTTTTTTTTTTCGCTTTATTTATAGGAAATAATAGTTCGTTTAAGTATTTCTTGACAAACTCTTTTTAGCAAAAGGATTTAAAGCTTTTTGAACAATAAATTATTAAAAACCTACTTTTTCAACCAACTAAAAGCTAAATGTTCCATAAAATCAATTTTTTGCTAAAATTTTCTTTTTGTATTTTTTTCAGATATTGAAATAAAGAAAAGGTTAGAAGATGCGTGTACGGCCGGAAATTTGTGTTTGAGACCGATGCACTCCTATTTTTGATGGATGTTTTTGTCTCCAATGCTTCCAAATAGATCCATATCCGCCCCATAGCCGCCCGCTTGTTTAAATTTATAAGATTTTCCATAATAATTGCAAATTACATCGTACATTTTCTCATCTTTGAATTTTTTCGTAAAATGAATGGCGAATATGTCGGAACTTTGTCTTGCTCTTCCAACAATTTGTGCTCGTTGCTCTTGCTTTTGCTCTTCCTCTTCTTGTAATTGCTCTTTAAATTTAGATTCTTGAGTTGAAATTTCTAAATTTTCATTTGGATATCCCTCAAAATTAAATTGGTTGGGAGTGAAATTATAGATGTCGTTTGTAGGAATAGATGAATATTGTGTTTCTTCTAATACTTTCCTTGCCCTTAACCGAATTTGAGTTTCCTCCACTTAGCCATTTATAAATTGATAATAAAAGATATGAATTTGAAAAATTGAATAAAAAAAATTAGAGAGAAAATAATAACTTAATAAAGGAGTTGGTAGGAGTTTAGAGTAGAGTGTAATAGAGTGGAAGTATATTGTAGAGAAGGAAGTAGAGATTTTTTTTGTTGTATAAATTTGATATGTGAGGTATTATATAATAAATTTCCAAAAAAATTATTTTTTTCCAAAAATAACCGTTGAAACTAGCCGTTTATGGCTTGTTGGGCAGGGGTAATTAAGAGATTTTCATTACAAAATTAAAAAAAAAAAAACACAACTGAACAATTTATACGGCTAGAAACTGGCGGTTCGAACCGTCGAACCGGCCGGAGAACCGGCGGTTCCAATCCGGTTCCGACCGGTTTTGTGGAACTGCCGGTTTCGGTTCCAGAAATTTAGAATCGGAACCGAACTGAAAATCTCCGATTCGGACCGGTTCCGGTTACAGTTCGGGACCGGTTCGATCCGACGGTTCCGGTTCCCGAAACCGTAATATGGCCACCCTTATATTAATATATGATAATGGCCTTTGTCAATAGTAAGCTATTCTTTTTGCAGGTCATCATTCTATCATTCTCAACTTGGCTTGCCTGGTTTTTAGCTGCAAAGTTCCATGGCTACCCAGAATCTTGGATACCGAGTTCCATGGACAGCTTTGAGCTTGCACTCCAATTTGGAATCAGTTCCATGGACAGCTTTGAGCTTGCACTCCAATTTGGAATCTCTGTCATGGTCATAGCCTGTCCATGTGCTCTTGGATTAGCCACCCCAACTGCTGTCATGGTTGGTACCGGCGTTGGTGCATCTCAGGGTGTCCTAATCAAAGGTGGTCAAGCATTAGAAAGTGCACACAAGGTTAGCCATAAGTTCATTCTTCCTGTACAAATTCATTTTGAGAATTTATGTGCATGAGCCTGTCAATACTAAATGTGCCTCTAATTGGTCTGGTTATTGATCTTGCAGGTGAACTGCATTGTGTTTGACAAGACAGGAACTCTAACAGTGGGAAAGCCAGTTGTTGTTAACACGAAACTCTTCAAAAATATGGTGCTTAGAGATTTTTATGAACTTGTTGCTGCAGCTGAGGTATGATTTTCTCCCCAAAAACTTGCTATTAAATGAACTTGTCATTATAGCCATACCTGAGTAAATCTTAGTATTCTTGCTAGACTTTGAGAAACAGAACTTCTAAAAATCTGTTGATTTTATGATGACTATTGACAGTTTATGCTACATATCCTTATTAGGTAAATAGTGGACATCCTTTAGCCAAAGCCATTGTAGAATACGCCAAGAAATTCAGAGAAAATGAAGAGAACCCAGTCTGGCCAGAGGCACAAGATTTTGTCTCTATCACTGGCCATGGAGTGAAAGTTATTGTTCGTGACAAGGAAATAATAGTAGGAAACAGAAGCTTGATGTTTGACCACAACATTGCCATTCCAGTTGATGCTGAAGAAATGCTAACAGAAACTGAAGGGATGGCTCAAACAGGGATTTTAATTGCAATAGATAGAGAAGTGACTGGAGTTCTAGCCATATCGGATCCTCTAAAACCAGGAGCACGTGAAGTCATTTCAATTCTCAAGTCTATGAAAGTTAGAAGCATTATGGCGACAGGTGACAATTGGGGAACAGCCAGTTCTGTTGCTGGAGACGTTGGGATCGTAACTGTTATTGCAGAAGCAAAGCCCGAGCAGAAAGCAGAGAAAGTAAAGGAACTACAGGTTTATTATCTGCACCTTAATCTGCACCTTTTTTTTTGCTATAGCTAATTAAAACTCACAAATTGGAGACAATCTTTTTGAACTATAATTCTCCTATATTTGCAGGCTACAGGTCATAATAGTGGCAATGGTGGGTGATGGCAATAAAATGATTCTGCCAGCACTTGTAGCATGCAGATGGTTGGAATGGCAATTGGGTGCATGGCACAGATATTGGCAATAGAAGCAGCTGATATAAGTTTTCTAATGAAGAGCCAACTTGGAAAGGATGTGATCACTGCTATAGACTTGTCAAGGAAGACCTTTTCGCGTATTCGGCTTAAACTGGCTTAACTACATTTGGGCTCTGGGTTATAACCTGCTTGGTATTCCAATAGCTGCTGGAGCACTTTTCCCTGGCACTGGATTCCGTTTGCCTCCCTGGATTGCTGGAGCCGCCATGGCAGCTTCTTCAGTTAGTGTGGTTGTGTGCTCCCTCCTGTTAAAAAATTACAAGAGACCAAAAATGCTTGAAAATCTTGAGATTCGTGGGATTAGGATTGAGTGAATTCATGATCTTGGTTATCAAAACAAGTATTTGTTTATATTTGTCAAGTCATAGGAAAAATCAAGTGTGAAAGCTTGTTGCTTGATGTTTTTTATTTTATTTTTTGTTATATACAAGCTGAAGCTGTTTTATGATCACCTGTATATATAATATATGGCTGTTTTATGATAAGCTGTTAGAAATTTAAAGTTATGTTTATTATGGAATAAACAATAATGTAATCTTTGTTTTGTTGATAATATGGATGTCTAAAATAAATATAATTAACAATATGTTTGGATTTGGGAGGAAAGAAAATAAGGAGGGACAAAAATTGTTCATTATCTTACATTGGTTATGTTCCTCTCTTTTACTTTGTTCTGATAGGCTGATAGCTATAAATTTACAATTGAATGGGAGGAAACATTTTGAAAGGGAAAAACTTTTCCTTTGAAGACGGCAACTTTTCTTGTGTTTCAAACATTGAAAACTTAGCAAATCAGCAGAAAAATTACAATGTTTTGCAGAGATGCATAATTTTTGCTAGTTCATTTTTGATAAATTTTCCTTATGTATGAAAGAATGCAATTTTTTTTTTCAGTGAGGCAAAAAGATTGTAGTAAAAAATTAATATTTGCCCAAATACATCAGTAAAAAGAGAAAGAAATGAATTATAAGCAAAGGATAAACGACATCTCTTTATTTGAGAAGAGGATATCTAAACCAGTCGTTTTACAGAGAATTACATTATTTTTTACATATTAGCTTTGAAATTTCAATGATCTTTGGCTCAGAGTCAGGCCTATACCCATACAGGATAAAGATAAACCCAGAAATGTTTATTCATTTATCAATGAATTGCTATATCTTAGAGTGCAATGTTATTTTCGAGCTTGATTCGGTCTCATTAATAGCTCTCTTTGATCGCTGTTTTTCCAGTTTTGCTTTAACTTTAAAGAGGATTTGGTGCACTTCATTAAAGTGAGGCCTTGTTGCATTTCTTGTATCCTCTATCCATTGTTGAACTTTCCTACGAGGACCGAGTATTCGATTTCTATCCTTCTCGTCCAAAACCTAAATCCAAAAGTAATTCAAATTAACTTTTAAGCAAAGAAACACATTAAGTCGATAAAAATGGTTATGCTGCTTTATAGAACCACCACTGCACAAGATTATAAAAAGAAGGTCAAGGGTTCTCACACATGCAGAGGCGGGGGAAGGTCCAAGCATCGCCAACAGAAACCCACTAATTGAAAAATCTAATTGAAACTCTCACATACGCATGCACACAGAGACTTTGTTCCTTGTTATCCTAGCAATACAAGTGATAACAAAAAAAGAAAAAACACTGGGTTTTTATCTGCGTACCTCCAGTTGCATTATTTCACAGACAAGGCTTAGATCTGCTATGGATGGTTGATTGCTGCCAACCAAAAATCGTCCACTCCCCTTGAGCCAAAAGGATTCTATCTTTGACAGCGATGACAAGAGAACTTCCTCAGCTTTGGCAGCAGCTCGTGGATTCAGGGGTAGGCCAAGTGCAGGCGCCAGTGCAGTATTCACAACATATTTACCTATTGAAGAACTTTCTGGGTTACTAGCATGTTATAAAACCCAAATAAACATTGTAATTATACGTATATAATAGATGTTCAAGATCAAATTAACTATGACGCACGTGCTCCCTCTCGTAAATTCGAGTGATGCCAATCCAACACCGATTGAATCTTAGCTCTCTTGGAAAGATCGGCCGGATACCTTAAAGCGTGATGCAGTAAAAATTGTTAAGAACTGATTTGCAGCATACAAACATGACCGATTGAATCTTAGCTCTCTTGGAAAGATCGGCCGGATACCTTAAAGCGTGATGCAGTAAAAATTGTTAAGAACTGATTTGCAGCATACAAACATGAAACAGAAAGCAAAGTACATATATCCTTTACATAAACTAGAGATCTTTTAATTGGAAGTATGTAAATGACAAAAATACTCAGGAATGGGTCAGACACTGCCTGCACAGAAACAAGCATGCAAGTAAAAGTGATATTGGCTTCATGTTGAGGTACCAGATTCATCAAATCCGTGGTTTTTAGATATAGAAGCACAGCTATACCATTGAATTTCTCCATCTTCTTAATTTATGCCCTAAAAGCAAAGTAAAGTTTGACAAAGTATGACCTGGAGTAGTAAAAGATAATAGATCAAGAACTTAGCCAGGAGATCTTCATGATCATAAGGAGCTTTCTGTGCCCTTATTCTGCTCATCTTTTGGTACTAACTATATCACATTAGTATCAATAACATTTCATCTTGTTTCCAGCTAAAGTACTTCATACAAGTTAACTATTCATGTCACATAAACACGCAATCAAGAGATTCAGTTAAACATAAGCAGCTGTACTTACCAATGGTCAGCAACTCCAGGAAATGCACAAGCCAGGTAGATAAGGATTGCGTGGCTGCAAAAAACAGTTAAGAAGTTCAATTGCAAAGAGGGGGGAAAAAGTGATTTAAGATTCTCAAAAAAAAGTAACCATAATTTATAATTTACGAAGCACATACAACTAAATAACAAAATAAAAATTGCTAGCATTGCCATTCAATTGGAGTTTCAGAACCTAGAGAGAGAGCTCACGACACCTTTCAAACAGCTTGAATCTTCCGTCAACTATGGCTGGCACTTTTCCCATAGGGTTTATCTCTAAAAAGGGTTTTATCTCTAAAATAAAAACAAGACAGAAAAGTAGAACCCAGCTGTACTGGTTTTTTTGTGTCGGTAAAACTCAATGCTTTGGTTAAAAATTAAAGCTTAACCAAAAAGAAACGAAAAATTAAATAACAAGAATAAGGAAGAAAGGAGATACCTTTGAATTCAGGAGAAACTGTTGAACGCATTGGATATGTTCAATTTTCACCTCTCCTCAAAGTCTATCCCGCTTACCCGCTGTATAAATTAAAACCCAAATCAAATACTATCAAGAAAAAAAAAAAAACCCAGCTTAAATATTGCAGAAAAAAACCATTAATTAATTTACCTTGCAGAAGATAAGAAACTGCCCAGATGGCTGGGACATTTTCGATCTGCGTTATTCTTCAAGCTTCATTTTTCTTGCTTCTCTCTCTTTCCAAACTGCGATCTATGTAGAGAGTTGATGTTTTTCTTCAAGACTGTTCGCCTGTTTTACCAGTTTTCGCGGTTTCGCGGCTTTTTAAATGCATCTTGGTTGTGGATGACTACCGGGAGATCAACTTTCACGCTTCTCAGGGGTGGTGCATTTTCCTACAGTTGTAAGGTTTGAAACTGGGCCAAGTAAAATGGAGTGGTAAAAGATGTTAAGTAGCGAGCGACAAGGCCCGCATACCAGAGTACTAATTAATTCCAGTTTTTGCCCATGCAAAATAACGGTTACAAGTCTGCTTTTCCAGTTAAAATTTTCAGGAAATGATTTTGTGAAACCTATATGAGATGCATATGAGATGCTAAAGAATATGCTGTTCCTTCTTTGTAATTTATTTGCATTCTTTGTAATTTATTTGCATTATGATACTGAAGAAGAATTGAAGAAAGTACCCAAATCATTGAAGGAAATAATGAGATTATAATTTCTTAAAAGTTGCTTGAATTGGGTTTTCACTCGCACTATAATAAACATAAAGATTCCTTCATTCCATAGGCCAGTACCTAAATATCCCGTCACAGAAAACACCAGATATAACATAAACATCTATTTATTCAACAAGGTTCTCATCATTTGGACAATATCAGGAAATATTATCCAAACGTTTTGATACATAGCAAGCAACATTAACACTGCCGGACAAGTCCTTAATCTCTGAAAATGTCGAACAATCTTATTGCAGATTTTTAAATACATCGAACAATCTTATTGCAGATTTTTAAATACAAGGCTACAACACTCTTCCTCAAATATTGCATTTGAGATTAAACCTCACTCTTCCCTCCTGCTTACTGCTGCTTGTTCAGCATTGCACCGAATTGAAAAACAGCACCGTGGAGTTCATCAAAATGAGGGTTCGTTGTAGTTTTTGTATCTTCAATCCACTGTTGAACTTTCTTGTATGGGCCCAGTAAACGATTGCGATCATTTTCTTCCAATAGCTGTATCCAACAAACAAGTTTACATATGAATGTCATGTCCACCTCAGGGAACTAACATGTGACTGTGTGTTTGTAATTCCAACCAAAAGTTTTTTAAAACAAAAAAAGAAAGCAAGGAAACAAAAAAGTATTAACATGAAGTTGCATTGATTCACAGACAAGGCTAAGATCCGCTAACCGCGCTGGAATGTTGATCGCTCCAAGCAAGATTTCCCACTGTCCTGAAGAACCAAAAATGGACTCTAATTGTTGGACAGACACAAAGTCAAAAATTTTCTCACCTTCAGCTGCTGCCTGTGGGTTAAAGGGTGCCAAATCACAGGTGCCCAGTTTAGCATTTATCACATAGCTTAACTGGAAAAGTAAAGGCAAAAAATCAGTCATCCCCATTGGGCAACTGGAACAATATTATCAACAAGCAAAGCTCCTGAGTTACTTCAAAATGCGTCAACAGCAAATATGAGAATAATTTGATAATGCTCTAGCTTTCTAGCATCCTGTACATAATCACAATTAATGACCAATGGTATATAGCTATTTTTAGCGATTTGCAGATATGCCCAGAATTACTAAGCATGGACAAAAAAAAAAGAGCCAATTATGAGACGAGACATCTTCAATTCTGATGTAATTAGGTTATTTAACGCATCTCTCTAGGACATGTTAGATAATGGCATGAGGATGTCCAAGGCATAAAGCAACAGTTCCACCATTAGGGCACCTAAAGGTCTAATCTATTTTATGCCAAAGTGAAACCCAATCCCCATCATACAGGTTGTTTTAAACCTATCAAACAGGTTACGAATTCCTCTTCATTGCTACTACAACGTGGTCTTCGAAGCTTGAAGGTTAGTCATATTTTAACATCAAAGAAAGAAGTAACAACGCTCTCGGTCACTACAAAGTATCACAGTTAGCAAGGTGTGTGTGTATGTATATATATATTTATTAGAGAGAGAGAGATAAAAATTAATATTTAATATTTCAGAAGGATATGAATTTTGATTTTTAAAAATTAAAGGCATGTCAGTGGATTCTGAACTTTCAAGTCCAACACTTTAGATATTTAGTTGTATGAAACTAATATAATAAAAATAAAATATAGAGACTCTTTTTCATAGGGAATTTACTGTTTGGTTATAGTTGGTAGAATGGTGCCAGTCTAACACAGATTGAACCTTGGCTCTCTTGCGAAGATCAGCAGGATACCTTTAGTGCACATGGAAAACTATTAAGAACTGAGTGCAAAATATGACATTTGGTTGAATAAAAGTAACTTGCTATTGGCAATCCAAAAACTTTCTTAGCACTCATATTTTATGCTTGTTTTATGCTTTTATATGCATCTAGACTATCTAGACATCAACTTATATGCATGTCTTGAAAATCAGCCTCAGTCATTATAATTCTGTTACATTTCCAATTCAAAACTTTGAACATTGACAAGACTCACGCAGAGCCTAATCAAAGAAATTGACTGCAAAATATGATGAACTCTGCTTACCAATGATCTGTAACTCCAGGAAACGCACAGGCAAGATAGGTAAGGACTGCATGGCTGCAGAGTGGAAAAAGAAGTTAGTTGACACATAAATTTCTGTGGCTGGAGGAGGAACTAACACAATTCAATACTTAAGAATACATCATAAAACCAAGTTATATGATAAAAGTTGCATCCACATGGCTTGTCTGGATATTTGAAAAGATAGACATGTATAATATTGTGATTAACTTGGGATATCTTCACCAAACTTATGCGTCTGTGATACTGTGAGTACACACAGGGTTGGTTTGGGGTAAGTGGTAACAGGATAGATTTAATCTAATATTTCAGCAACAACAATCTCCGCCGATGGCATGAAGAATGGTAAATGAACAGATAAAAAATAGTCCTTAAACAAACCACCCTCAATTTGTACAATTAAATAATCAAATTTCTGCCTGTGGACGAGAGAGAGAGAAGAGAGAGATGAGAGAGGGGGTGGTGGGGGCCGTCCTGGCGGTGTGGAAGAAGAGCCGCACCCCAAAAACAGGGTTACTATCATACCTCTCAAATAGCTTAAAATCATCATGAAACAATCAGCTGGCACTTGCCCTATGGGATTTATCTCTGAAAACATGTTCGTCCACAACAAAAAGGTTAGTGCTAATCATTCATCAATAAAGGGGGGGGGGGGGGGGCGCCGGCCGGTGTGGAAGAAGAGCGCACCAAAACAGGGTTATATCATACCTCTCAAATAGCTTAAAATCATCATGAACAATAGCTGGCACTTGCCCTATAGGATTTATCTCTGAAAAATGTCGTCAACAACAAAAAAGGTTAGTGCTAATCATATCAATAAACAAATTACTACTCATTATTAATATTTTGGAAGAAACCGATCACTAATGCGTTAAATACAACTGGATTTTGTTCAGTAAACTTGAAACAGCTGGGCATAATAAGTCGTCAAGAAAGCAAGATCAAACCTCCAACATCAAAAAAATCAAATCCTAATCATATACACTCTCAATAAACAAATATAATGGTTCCATTTTCAAGCAGTAAGGACCAACAAACAGTCCTGCTTACAAATTTATAAAGTCAATGACCATGATTATGTCAAAGAACTAATTGAATCTAAAAACAGATCTCATATATCTAAATCATTTACTAATTAATTAGTCATAAACAACAATAATTTATCTAAACATTTCATAAAATAAATAATACCTTTGAATTCAGGAGTCTTATGCTGATTCTTAGACAAGTCAATTGTGATCTCCTCAAACTCAATTCCATTAATCCTAGCGGATTTTATTAACAGTCATCAGCAGAAAAAAAAATGCAAAATACTGATCTGAAAGTTAAAAATATGATCATGAATAAGTGATCGAAATATGAAATTACTTGCAGAAGATCATAACAGCGCGTGTCGGTTGGGAACCACGATGTCCGTACACTTTCAACGCCATTGTCGCTGCCGATTCTCTCTCTGTAGATAGTATTGTTTGTGTGAGTATATGCTCTATTGACTTTCAACGCCATTGTCGCTGCCGATTCTCTCTCTGTAGATAGTATTGTTTGTGTGAGTATATGCTCTATTGCTCTGTGCTCTGGTGGATCCTTATCGCTTATATAATTGGAAAGAGTAAGGTTAAACGCGTTTTATGTATGGGATAACGCAGATGTGACAAGAATTATTTATGATAAGTTTCCATGATTGATGAAGATATGAATGCGACAAGCAAACACGTAAGGTATCCCGCCAGTTTCTCTGCCTTCAATTGCCATTAAATACTAGTTAAAGCATATTTTGATTTTTCCCATAACTGACATAATTGGGCGATACCAGGATTCGCTCTCGCGTTCACAAGAATCAAACCCAGCGCAAATTGCCAAATACGACGGCGCGTACATCTGCTGTGTATTTACATTTTCTATCACTGTCATAGTAGACTTTTTATCTCTTTGGCTAGATGACGGTGTCGAGACTCGAGAATTCATCTAGCTGAGTCAAACCTTGTTGGTGTTCTAAACACGTTAGAACTTAAGGCTCTACAAATTTTCTGAGTTTACATCGTTAGACTCAAGTTGAATTTCAACTAAATATTTTAAATTTTTTTCAAATCGAGCTTAAATAACTAATTAACGTGTCAACTCAATTCATTTACACTTATTCGAGCCACCTCAAACCTTAAAAGCACGGGCTATAGATATTTTCAAACTGAATCTATCAAATTACTACAAAATAGGAAAAATGACTATTTAAGGTAGGTTTTAAAGCTTCTATATTTTCCTCAAAAAAAACTATTTAAGGTAGATTTAGTTAACATTATAATCACCCTGTATATAAACACCCAAGTCAAAAATAATCAAGAAAAACAAAAACCCAGCTTTAAATTTGCAGTAAAAAACCATTAAATTAAATTACTTGCAGAAGATAAGAACTGCCCGTGATGGCTGGGACATTCGATCTGCATATATCTTCAGCTTCATTTTCTTGCTTCTCTCTATTTCTAAACTGTCGATCTATGAAGAGAGTATGATGTTTGTTTCTTCAAGACTGATGTTCACCAGTTTTTGGTTTCGGGCTTTTAAACAGCTAATCTTGTTGGATTGACTGCCGGAGTCCAACTTTCACGCTTCTCAGGTGCATTTCCTACAGCTTGTAAGGTTAGAAACTGGGCCAAGTAAAAATGGTGGGAAAGATGTTAGTTGCAACTACAAGCCCGCATATCAAGACTATTTAATTCCAGTTTTGCCCATGAAAAAAGAACCGTACAAGTCTGCTTTCCAGTTAAAATTTTCAGGAAATTGATTTGTGAAACCCATATGAGATGCTAAAGAATATGCTGTTCCTTCTTTGTAATTTATTTGCATTATGATACTGAAGAAGAATTGAAGAAAGTACCCAAATCATTGAAGCAAATAATGAGATTATAATTTCTTAAAATTTGCTTGAATTGGGTTTTCAGGCCTGAAAAGCAAATTAGCACTATAATAAACATAAAGATACCTTCATTCCATGGGCCAGTATCTAAATATCCCGTCAGAAAAAACACCAGATATAACATAAACATCTATTTATTCAACAAGGTTCTCATCATTTGGACAATATCAGGAAATATTATCCAAACGTTTTGATACATAGCAAGCAACATTAACACTGCCTGACAAGTCCTTAATCTCTGAAAATGTCGAACAATCTTATTGCAGATTTTTAAATAAAAGGCTACAACACTCTTCCTCAAATATTGCATTTGAGATAAACCTCACTCTTCCTTCCTGCTTACTGCTGCTTGTTCAGCATTGCACCGAATTGAAAAACAGCACCGTGGAGTTCATCAAAATGAGGGTTCGTTGCAGTTTTTGTATTTTCAATCCACTGTTGAACTTTCTTGTATGGGTCCAGTAAACGATTGCGATCATTTTCTTCCAATAGCTGTATCCAACAAACAAGTTTACATATGAATGTCATGTCCACCTCAGGGAGTATCCAACAAACAAGTTTACATATGAATGTCATGTCACCTAAGGAACTAACCTGTGACTGTGTGTTCTGTAATTCCAAAGTTAAAACAAAAAAAGAAAGCAAGGAAAAAAAAAAGTATTACAATGAAGTTGCATGATTTTCACAGACAAAGGCTAAGAATCCGCTAAACGATGGTTGATCTGCCTCCAAAAGCAACGAAATTCCCACTGTCCTGAAGCCAAATGGACTCCTATTGTTGACAGAGCACAAGTCAAAATTATTCGTCACCTTCAGCTGCCCTGTCCTGTGGGTTAAGGCTGGCCAAATACAGGTGCCAGTTTAGCATTTATACATAGGTAACTGGAAAGAAAAGGAAATAAATCAGTATCCACGGCGCAACTGAACATATTATCAACAATGCAAGCTCCTGAGTATTTCAAAAGCAACAGAGAATAATAAGAAATTGAATATGTAATGTTCAGGCATATACTAACAATTAAGAAAATGGAACTTTTTAGTTTGCGCAATACCAGTAACTAAGATGGACAAAAAAAAAAAAGGATGGAACGCGAAACATTTCAATTCTGACTTGTATCATTAGGTTATTGGTTAAACGCCGATGCTCTCTAAGGACATGTTAAGATAATTGCATGAGATGTCAAGCAAAGCACAGTCCACCATTAGGGCACCTTAAGGTCTATCTATTTTATGCCAATTACCCATCATACAGGTTTTGTTTAAACCTATCAATAAACAGTTACGAATTCCTCTTCATTGCTACTTACAATGTGGTCTTCGAAGCTTGAAGGGTTAGTATCATTTTAACATCAAAGAAAGAAGTAACAACACTCTCGGTCACCTCTCGGTCACTACAAAGTATCACAGTTAGCAAGGTGTGTGTGTATGTATATATATATATATATTTATTCGAGAGAGAGAGAGAGAGAGAGAGATAAGTGTTAGCAAGACACAAACACACACACACACACATAAACTACTTTCAATATCTTATGGAGTAGTGTATGAAGCACCTGAGCCACGGCGTAAGGTAGAATGGTGCCAGTCTAACACAGGGTAGAATGGTGCCAGTCTAACACAGATTGAACCTTGGCTCTCTTGCGAAGATCAGCAGGATACCTTTAGTGCACATGGAAAACTATTAAGAACTGAGTGCAAAATATGACATTTGGTTGAATAAAAGTAACTTGCTATTGGCAATCCAAAAACTTTCTTAGCACTCATATTTTATGCTTGTTTTATGCTTTTATATGCATCTAGACTATCTAGACATCAACTTATATGCATGTCTTGAAAATCAGCCTCAGTCATTATAATTCTGTTACATTTCCAATTCAAAACTTTGAACATTGACAAGACTCACGCAGAGCCTAATCAAAGAAATTGACTGCAAAATATGACGAACTCTGCTTACCAATGATCTGTAACTCCAGGAAACGCACAGGCAAGATAGGTAAGGACTGCATGGCTGCAGAGTGGAAAAAGAAGTTAGTTGACACATAAATTTCTGTGGCTGGAGGAGGAACTATCACAATTCAATACTTAAGAATACATCATAAAACCAAATTATATGATAAAAGTTGCATCCACATGGCCTGTCTGGATTTCCAGAATATTTGAAAAGATAGACATGTATAATATTGTGATTAACTTGGGATATCTTCACCAAACTTATGCGTCTGTGAGACTGACTGTGAGTACACACAGGGTTGGTTTGGGGTAAGTGGTAACAGGATAGATTTAATCTAATATTTCAGCAACAACAATCTCCGCCGATGCAGAATGGTAAATGAACAGATAAAAAATAGTCCTTAACAAACCAACCCTCAATTTGTACAATAAAATAACAAATTTCTGCGTGGGGGGGGAAAGAGCGCACCAAAACAGGGTTATATCATACCTCTCAAATAGCTTAAAATCATCATGAACAATAGCTGGCACTTGTCCCATAGGATTTATCTCTGAAAAATGTCGTCAACAACAAAAAAGGTTAGTGCTAATCATATCAATAAACAAATTACTACTCATTATTAATATTTTGGAAGAAACCGATCACTAGGGGAAAGAAAACCGATTCACTATGCGTAATACAACTGGATATTTTGTGTCAGTAACTATGAAACAGCTTGGTGCCATACATAGATAGCTCGTTCCAGAAGCAAGATTGCGAAACATCCAACAGTATCATTAAATCAAAATATTTAGTCATAAGAGTCAAGGACTGCTCTTGTTGGTCTCTTCAAGAACAAATATGTCCATTGGCTACCTATGTTCAACGCATTAAGGGAACCAAACATGAGCAGTACGCACCATTTAAAATATTTATGTAAAGTTCAATAGACTTGAGTAGAGAGTAATTGTTCAAATGAAGCTAATTGGAGACTAGAGAAATATAATATTATTTGATCTTATTTAATTGATTAGATGTGTTGAGAAACTGGGAAAATAGAGCATGATCTTCATTATTATGATACAGAGTACATTTACTAATTATAAGTACCAGCGTTGTCATATACACCAGCATATAATTTATAACTCTAAAGATAACAATAATTCATAAAATACAAATAATTACCTGTTATGATTCAGGATAGATCCGACTGATCTAGTGGATTTCGCTTTAGACCTTATTTCCACGTCAAAATATTTTGTGATCTTCTTCAGCTAAGTGTACTTAAGTTACACTTGTAATATATTTGACCTAGTTAATCTTTCAACTGAGCCAAGATTACTAATTCGCTATTAGATTTCAGTCAATGTCGAGTTGCAGATTAAAAAAAGATGGACAAAATCTGATACATTTTTTCAGAGATCATAAGAATCAAGCTTAAGAATAATCGGGACATAGTGCAGCTAATATTGTTACTATATGATTAGCTATATGATGAGGATATAGACTAATTACCCTGATAAGTGTATCGATAATAGTGAAAACTTATGGGCGCTTGCATGTACAGTATTTCTACACAGCGCGTGACGGTTTGGGAACCCACCAGCAGAATGTTCCTCGTACGAACTTTCAATTCGCCTATTACTGTTCATGCTAGCCGATATCTCTCTCTCTGGAGAGATCGGTAGGGTTTGGGTTTTTTTGTTGAGTAGAGGGTATATGGCTCTTTGAAACTTATTGTGCTTCCGTGTGGTATCCCTAATGCTTTAATATATAAATTATTAGCAATAGTAATGGTTATAACCGCGTTCATTTCCTTCTGTAATGCGGTTATACTACTCTGCAGCTAATTGGAACAACGGATCGATTTTGTAATGGATAGTTAGCGTTTATGAATATACTTTACCCAATGATTGATATGAAGATCTTGAATGTCGCACAAGCAATGAACAGCGTTGTAGAGTATCCCCGACTTCAGATTCTCCTCTCCTGCCTAATCACCATTGCCCAATCACACACACCTACTAATGTTGAAATGCTGTATTATTTCGTCACAGTCTCTTACAGTTACTGATAATGTTCCCTCTGGTAATCGCGTGAAACAGTATATTTGGCCGCAGGATGAACTTAACACAACTATTATAAATCCGGATTCTGTTGCTTGATGTTCGTACTTACGTAAATAACTAATACTCTGGAGCAGAATCCCAAGAAGTTCATGCGTTGGCATGCCCAAAACATATTTATATCGCCATATAAATTTGTGTTATGATGGGTATTGCCTCTTAAGTATTGATTGTGATGTTCCTCCTCAGCCACAGAAATTTATGTGTCAACTACTTCTTTTTCCACTGCGCAGCCATGCAGTCCTTACCTATCTTGCCTGTGCGTTTCCTGGAGTTCGATTCAATTGCGTTAAGCAGAGTTGTCCAACTACCATTTTTGCCGTCAAATTATATGATCAGAGCTCTGCATAGAACTTTGTATAGATTCAAGTTTTTTGAAATTGGTGTACAGATTATAATGTGAGGTGATTTTCAAGACAATGCATATAAGTTGTATGATTTAGAAGTACGCCATAGATCAGACACCATCAAACAGACAAATGATAGTAAATAGTGTAGTGATATAAGTTTTTAGTAGAAGCTATCACAATTATTAGGGTGTGCGTATCCTGCCGGGCTCAGTTTGCTCATCATCCATGTGATCACAATCACGCGTACGAGAGGTAAAGTTGGAAACGGCGAGAAGTACAGATGGAAAAGTAAATCCGGTGTAAACTGTGCAAAAATAATCTTAAGACAAGTTGAGTTTTGCTTAGCTGTTGAACCATGAAACAGTCTAAATGGCGCGTACATTACTATTTTAGCCATAAATGGATCTCGGTATGTCCGAGTCTCCCAGAAATCATCCCTTGCGGGTAGCAGAGTCTACCAAAAACATTCTAAAGTTTGTTAAAATGCGAGAGATATTGGATTAATGCTGTATTTCCTTAATATCTGTCTTTTGGAAGTACTACAGAGACTCTGACTTTTGTTAGTTATATAGTAGCCAAGCTTTATGCCGCCGATGGAGACTGCGTAAGATTTCTACTACTAGACACTTTTTCTTTTCCAGTTACTCATTGATATAAGTGAGCTCTAAACTTGGCACCTGATTTATGGCAGCCTGCGTTTAACCACATGAGCAGACAGTGAAGGCTTGAGCAAAATTTATGAACTATGTTTGACATCTTGTTCCAACACTAGAGTCCCATCGTTGCTTCAGGAACCAGTGGGAATATTCAACGCCATTGTCGCTGCCGATTCTCTCTCTCTGTAGATTGTATTGTTTGTGTGAGTATATGCTCTATTGCTTTGTGCTCCGGTGGATCCTTATCGCTTATATAATTAGCAAGAGTAAGGTTAAACGCGTTTTCTGTATGGGATAACGCATATGTGACAAGTCTTTAATGGAATTATTTATGATAACTTTCCATGATTGATGAAGATATGAATGCGACAAGCAAACACGTAAGGTATCCCGCCAGTTTCTCTGCCTTCAATTGCCATCAAATACTAATTAAAGCTTATTTTGATTTTTCCCGTAACTGACATATTTGGGCGGTACCAAAATTCGGTCTGGCGTTCACACGAATCAAACCCAGCGCAAATTGCCAAATACGACGGCGCATCATCTGCTGTGTATTTACCTTTTCTATCAGTCATAGTAGACTTTTTATCTCTTTTGCTAGATGACGGTGTCGAGTCTCCAGAATTCATCTAGCTGAGTCTAACCTTGTTGGTGTTCTAAACACGTTAGAACTTAAGGCTCCACAAATTTTCTGAGTTTACATCGTTAGACTCAAGTTGAATTCCGACTAAATATTTCAAATTTTTTTCAAATCGAGCTTAAATAACTAGTTAGTGTGTCAACTCAGTTCATTTACACTTATTCGAGTCACCTCAAATCTTACAGGTGCGGGCTATAGATATTTTCAAATTGAATCTATCAAATTAGTACAAAATAGGAAAAATGACTATTTAAGGTAGGTTTTAAAGCTTCTATATTTTCCTCAAAAAAACTATTTAAGGTAGATTTAGTTAACATTATAATCTTGTTCTTATCGTTAGATAAATATATATTATTAGTTTCTGAGATTTAGAATCATTAAATAATTTAGTTTTTTCTATTCAAAAAGTCTAATCTTAAAAGTTAAATACCTTATAAATATAATATTTAAAAATCTAGTCATTTATATTTAATATTGGATTATTATTTAGTTCATTATATTTAATATTGAAATATTATTTAATTATCCACTCAACATTAAAACTTACACTTTTAAATAAATGACTAAATAATTTAATAGAATTAAATTATAGAAATTAATCAATATATTTATCAAATAAGATGAGCAAAATTATAATTATGATGAAATCCGAAAGACTAAATAATTATTTATCTTGTAAAATAAATTAAATAACGTTTTAATTTTCTATACATCGTCATTGGATGTTTCAATAAAATAAAATATAAAATAAGAGTCAAAATGAAGCACATTTTTTTCTAATCTTTTTTTTTTTAATTTTATAATTGCAAGTGCATGCTATGCTATGGAATTTAGTTTCTTTTTTTTTTTTTTTTTGACATTAGGAATTTAGTTTCTAAGAACGAAGAACGAACATATTTCACAGAGCACTGAAAAAGAAAAGCGTCATTTACAGCATAAACGCAGCGCGTTTGTTTTGTTAAAAGAAGTAAAAACGATTAGTAGTTTATACTTTATTGATAGCAGAGAAAAAAGGACATGTCGTATGCTACTTTCGGGCTTGGTGTACGTTTTCAAAATGGTTGGCCCGTAATACTACAATGTGATGTTTTCGACTCATGTTTGTATTATAATTGGGCCTCAAGCTCGTAGTCCGTAGAGGAAAGCGGAGTTTATAAATTCAATTCATACTATCAAATGACAAGATTTTATTATTAAGCAATGAACCTTTGGAAAGAATCCATTCAACCAATCATACAAATTTATTAGATTTTTTATTAAAATCCTAACTATATAATCAATTTTATAAATTAATTAACATTTTATTAATTTTAGTGGCTTTTTAATTTTTCATTTTTCTTTATAAAAAACGACAACGTTTAGCCAATGCTACCGATAATCCAACCAAAAAGGGAGAGACAATTAGCCAACGACGACATTTCGGATTGCGTTTTATCGTTATGCTTGTAGTATTTTATTTTTATATATTATCCCCGTTATTGCTTCCAGAAGACCTCGATCGAATGAACAATGAGAAACTGCATATGGACCCACGTGAGTAAACCCGGCCCCAATTATATGCTGCTCTGATGATCACGTACGTAATTAATCAGATTCAGATGTACGGTACGATCTGTAGTGTTAGAAATCACGAGGGTGACCAGATCACCAGTAACCAGCTTTTAATGCATTCAGTTCTAGATGATCCCCACTCACGCCACATAAATGCTGCCTGCGGTTGGCAGACGGAAACATTAACTTTTGGCTTTTACTAGATTTCCCCATCATATGTAAAATTATAGCAATTCTTTTGATTTTGATTGGTTTAAAACTTGAGATCGCATTTCTAATAGCATTAGTCAAAATAGATTAGTAGATCAAGAAATTATTAATTGGAAATTTGTTGAGCGAAAATAAATAAAAATTATCCAATTATAATCAAGAAATTTATGTAACAAATTAAGTTAAAATAAATATTTGATAAATGTTATATTAAATGAGATTTTAACTTATGGTTACCTATATATAAAAATAAAAAATTAAAAGTTTACATTGCATAAAATTAGCACAAAATTAGAATTTTATCGTGCTGATTTGACATTATTTTTCTCTATTTTTTCTTTCTTTTAGTTTGAACATTAATATAGGTAAAATTAATATTTTTAATAATATTAATGGTATATTTTTCAGTTTTTTCAATAATTAATAAAATTATTAACACAATTAAATTATTTTTAACTAATAATAATTTTAGATGTGCAAAATATTGACAAAAGGATATCATCGGTAAAATAGAGGCAATAAGTAGAAATAAAACTTCATATTTTAAAAAATATATGGGCAATGTTATATATTATAACAACATATAGGGATGAAATTATAATTTTCCTACTTATTTTGGCTTGACATGTTTACCGGAACTACCATATGGCACGCAGAACTAAAAGTTGTTGCACTAGTTGGACACTTGGACCAGACCACCATTAGATAATTCTGAGCTCTGCCTCTGGTCAACATTCAGTTCTGATCTCTATCTTGATAGAAGGATAAGAGAAAAAAAGATGATGAAGGTGTAAAACGAAAGAGCTCACGCCGCCAAATATGTAACCCTCCTCACAGTATTCCTTCCTCTGTGAAACCGGGGAAATTGAAAAGAAAAAACAAAAAATAAAAAATGAACCTGGTTTTGCTCTCTGCACTGGAGACAGAAGCAGCACCAATGGCAAAACAATGTGATTATAAAATAGCCCCATCTCTCTCTCTCTCCTCGTCATTCGTGCTCGCCCTTCGCTGCCATAACATACACATGCTCTCACCTTCTTTGTCTTTCTCTAACAGACTTAAATGCACCGCTCTTTGAAGCATTACAAAGATTAGTTTTATTGTTTTAAAGCTCATGGTTTCTTGAAAAATGGCTGCAATCTGAAGATTTTTGCCGATAAAGAGGTAAACTTTTGTTGTTGTTGTTGTTTCTTGTTTTAGTTAAATTTCTCCATTGATCGGTCGAGATTCGGAGATTACCGATTTCGGTTTCGAGAGTTGATGATGAGAATGAGAACTATTTCTTTCCTTTATTAAGCAAAAGATTTGCAAGTTTGCTCTTTCTAGTTTTAAAGATTTTATTTCTGCTTTTGAAACTGAGAAAAAAAAAAGGAGTTCGTTTTTTATCTCTTAATACTGATATTGATTTCTAGATCAAAAGGATCCCATGTGTGCGACTATAGTTTTGTTACATTTTTGTGGCATTTACTGTTCAAACCTTATTTTCATTTTCTTTTCCAGATGACGATTTGGTCTCTGTTTGGACCTAGAGAAAATTGAGGGAAAAAAAAATGTCGAATCTGATGTTCAAAATTGTTCTGATTCCCATGCATTTTATTATTAATAATTATTTTTAGTTTTATTTTTCCCACCTTCGCTAGGGTCCAAAGTGAAACGGATGGTTAAGGTCAAAGTCTCACTGCTTTGCTTTTTGTAATTTTGTGACCTGTGGCCCTGAGCAGTCTGTGACTATAGAACCATCATCTGCATAAAGAAAAACTCATGTGTTCTGAGCGTACTTTTAGGATCTTATTATGTCTATGTGTTTTAGATCTCAGCATGTGTTTCCTTTTTTGCCAAATCTCAATCTCTTCCATTAAACATTGCTTTTATTAAAGGCTTCACTTTCAGAGTTTTAAGTTACTGGATAGAGTCTACTTTTTAATACAAGTTAGTGTTTACTGTGTACTAGTTTCTGTTTCTTATGGCACATTCTTCGTTTCTTGTCTTATTCAGATGCTAGACCTAGATATTGGTTCTGATTTTCTCCCTAAATATATTTAAAGGAACTTCCTTTCAAAGATATAAAATTAATTCTATGCAGAAAGTAGGTGGTTCTGCTTTTATAATCGAGATTTAGTTTGCGAAACAAACGTCATTGAATTAACTGTGGGCGGAAGCCTCACTCTATTTTAAGAGTTGAGAAGAAATAAATCAAAGAGGAAAATTTTCCTTTCACATTTTTGTCTTCTTGCTTCTTTTCTCGCCCTTTCCTTTCCTTCTTTTCTAACAAGACAGAAAAAGGACTCTCCCTTCTTTGTAATTAGTTGGGTTCCGTCTTAACCTTTCCCTTTCTCTTCCCTTCTCTTATATAATCTTTAGAAGATACAAATCGTTTTACATTACGGCTTTGCTTTATTTGTCAGCTGTCACTGATATTGCACACAGTGCGTTTCAAGGTGGGAAGATGATATAAATTATTATATGTAAAAAAAGTGGCATATTTTTACTTGGACAAACAAGAAATTCTGACTTTTCTCGGAATTCTAGTTATATAATGTTGAAAGAAAGTGGATCGATTATTTTCGATTAAGCCTTGAAAAAAAGAAAAAATTAAGAAGAAAAGGTTTAATAGAATATGCTTTCCTTCCCTTTCTCCTCCATTTATGATTTCGTGATGAAATTTCCTTTACAAATGTTTTCCCTCTTACATGTACCTTGTATCAAACGTCGTAAGTAACCTAAAATCTCTTCCTTTTCTTTCCACCTTGTCCCCTTGCTCCATTTTTCTTCGTAGTCCTTAAATTTTTCATGTTCGATGACTTTTTGTGACATTGGCAGAATAAATCAAACAAATTTGCTAAAACTTGCAATCATGCCTTCATGCACTCATGATTGATTACTAGTAGATGTTCATAAACATGTAAGAAGTATAGTTCAATGTCCTGTGTGGATTTCAATTGTAGATTTGTGAGCAGGTGTATTTATATTAGCTGGCTGTCCTCTAACTTCCATATAAACGTTTCACAGAGCTGTGAATTCAGATGCCGATATGGCCACCCACCAATAATCGCAACACATGAAGTCTTTCATCAGATTTGCATGGCTCTCGACTTCTAAGTTTCACTGTGCAATGATCCATTGAAGGGAATCATTAGTTTCTGATTCCAGCACTTTTAGATAAATCGTTTCTTGGCTGGTCATTTTCTTAATTTCTCTTCATCTAAAGTAGATGTTCGTTCAATTGTATAGTTAAGTATTTAGTAAAATTCGATTCATAATGAATCTGTGATTAATTATTCAGCATGCAAGCATCTCATGTGCATATAATATACTTACCACAGCCATTTTAAACTGAGGGACATTAACCAATTTCTTAGCGTCTGAAATCATATTTCTTCTCTTTGCTGCTGTCTGCCAATATTCTCTCCCCCAATCATCCATCCGTCAATATCGCAAAACCATCACCAGATTACATATTAACCTGTGTTTCTTTAATTGCATGTCCTATATTGCTTGTTCAATCAAGAGAGAATCTGATGCTTTATTCTTTTTATTGCTTTGTCCTGCTTCTAAAATATCTTTTGAGTCCATCAAGTACAGGTTACCAAAATAGTTAAAGTCTCTGTGCTGCAGGTACATATAGCTGTTTTCTGCTGCATTGGTAGTTCTTATTTTCCTAAAGAAGTGCACGTGCCTCGCTATCGACATGAACAACTTTAAGCTAGGGGTAGACGTGGTTAGTGCTCACAATCTTTTGCCAAAAGATGGACAAGGTTCATCCAGTGCCTTTGTGGAGCTCTATTTTGATGGCCAGAGGTTCCGTACCACCATTAAAGAAAACGACCTCAATCCTGTTTGGAATGAGAGTTTCTACTTCAACATATCTGACGCTACCAACCTCCACTATCTTACTCTTGATGCCTATGTCTACAATAATATCAGACCTACCAACTCCAGATCCTTCCTTGGAAAGGTTTCCCTCACAGGGACTTCATTTGTTCCATACTCTGATGCCGTTGTGTTGCACTACCCCTTGGAAAAGCGTGGAATTTTCTCACGCGTAAGAGGAGAGCTTGGCTTGAAAGTTTATATCACTGATGACCCATCCATAAGATCATCTACACCACTTCCTGCAGTTGAACCCTTGCCACCTAAGGATCCAGGTTTAACCCATGGCCAGGCTCAAATGGTGCATCCTGTCTCAAGCTCCATACCTCAGAATAGAGTAGATAGACACACCTTTCATCACCTCCCTAACCCAAATCACCAGCAACATCAGCATCATTCTTCAGCCCCTGTAGTCACCCATCATGTTCCGAAGTATGTAGCTGATGAGATGAAAGCTGATCCACAACCTCCAAAGTTGGTCCGTATGTACTCTGCATCATCATCACAGCCTGTTGATTATGCACTTAAAGAGACAAGCCCGCTTCTTGGTGGGGGAAGAGTTGTTGGTGGTCGTGTTATTCATGGTGACAAGACTGCAAGCACTTATGATCTTGTTGAACGGATGTTTTTTCTCTATGTAAGAGTAGTTAAGGCTCGTGACCTTCCTGCTATGGATGTTACTGGAAGTCTTGATCCATTTGTTGAGGTGAAAATTGGAAACTACAAGGGAATCACAAAGCATTTTGAGAAAAAGCAAAACCCTGAATGGAACCAAGTGTTTGCATTTTCAAGGGAACGCATGCAAGCTTCTGTATTAGAAGTAGTGATTAAGGATAAGGATCTTGTTAAAGATGATTTTGTAGGCATTATGAGGTTTGACATCAATGAGATTCCACTCCGAGTCCCACCTGATAGTCCTTTGGCTCCGGAGTGGTATAGGCTTGAGGATAAGAAGGGAGAAAAGATTAAGGGAGAGCTAATGCTTGCTGTCTGGATTGGCACCCAAGCAGATGAGGCTTTTTCTGATGCGTGGCATTCTGATGCAGCTATGCCTGTAGATAGTGCTCCAGCAGCCTCGACAATGATACGCTCAAAGGTGTATCATGCACCAAGGTTGTGGTATGTTCGCGTTAATGTTGTTGAGGCACAAGATTTGGTCCCATCAGAGAAGACCCGTTTCCCAGATGTGTATGTTAAGGTGCAGATTGGAAACCAGGTTTTCAAGACAAAGACATGTCAGGCTCGAACTTTTAATGCATTCTGGAATGAGGATCTTTTATTTGTTGCAGCTGAACCCTTTGAAGATCACCTTATCCTTTCAGTTGAGGATCGTGTAGCTCCTGGCAAAGATGAGATAATTGGCAGGGTCATCATACCATTGAACTCAGTGGAGAAGCGGGCTGATGACCGGATAATTCATTCTCGTTGGTTTAACCTTGAAAAACCTGTTGCTGTGGATGTGGACCAGTTAAAGAAAGAGAAATTCTCTAGCCGTATTCACCTTCGAGTCTGCTTAGATGGAGGGTACCATGTTCTTGATGAGTCCACTCACTACAGCAGTGATCTCCGCCCAACAGCCAAACAGCTTTGGAGGCCACCAATTGGGTTATTGGAACTTGGCATCTTAAATGCTGTGGGACTACATCCTATGAAAACACGAGATGGGAGGGGTACATCAGATACATATTGTGTGGCAAAGTACGGACACAAATGGGTTCGAACACGCACCCTTATTGACAACCTGCACCCTAAATACAATGAGCAGTACACCTGGGAGGTCTTTGATCCAGCTACAGTTTTGACTGTTGGTGTATTTGACAATAGCCAGCTTGGGGAAAAAGGTTCAAATGGTAAGGACCTGAAGATTGGGAAGGTTCGGATTCGCATCTCTACACTTGAAACTGGCCGTGTTTATACACACTCTTATCCTTTACTTGTTCTTCATCCTACTGGAGTTAAGAAAATGGGAGAATTGCATTTGGCAATAAGGTTTACATGCACATCTTTCGCCAACATGCTTTATCAATATACAAAACCACTTTTACCCAAGATGCACTATATAAGGCCCTTTACTGTAATGCAGCTGGACATGCTGCGTCACCAAGCTGTCAACATAGTAGCATTACGGTTAGGTCGGGCAGAACCTCCATTGAGAAAGGAGGTGGTAGAGTATATGTCAGATGTGGATTCACATCTATGGAGCATGCGCCGAAGCAAGGCCAATTTCTTTAGGCTAATGACAGTATTCTCAGGATTCTTTGCAGCTGGAAAGTGGTTTGCGGATATTTGCATGTGGAAGAATCCTATCACAACAGTACTTGTTCATGTGCTCTATCTTATGCTTGCTTGCTTCCCAGAACTCATTCTACCCACTGTTTTCCTTTACATGTTTCTAATAGGGATATGGAATTTTCGATATCGTCCAAGATACCCTCCTCATATGAACACAAAGATCTCCCAAGCTGAGACAGTGCATCCAGATGAGCTTGATGAGGAATTTGACACATTCCCTACAAGCAAGAGCCCAGAACTAGTTCGAATGAGGTACGACAGGCTACGAAGTGTGGCTGGTAGGATTCAGACGGTTGTTGGTGATATTGCAACTCAAGGGGAGCGGTTTCAGTCACTGTTAAGCTGGCGAGACCCTCGTGCTACTGCCATATTTATCTTATTTTGCCTTGTAGCTGCATTGGTTTTGTTTGTGACACCATTTCAAGTGATAGCAGCTTTGGCAGGTTTCTTCATTATGAGGCATCCAAGATTTCGCTACAGGACACCTTCTGCACCTATCAACTTCTTCCGTCGGCTGCCTGCTAGGACAGATAGTATGTTGTAAATTGAATATTTTGATGTTTTTTTATATGTTAAAATTTTGTAAGTGCTTCATCTGTGTTGTCTTTACTGTTATTTCCCTTCTTTACTATGTGTTGGCCATCAAACTTATGATTGCTAAGATAGATCCAAAATAATTTGTAGTAGCATATGTGGCCACACAGAAGTAGAATAAAGAGTTGTTAAATAGAATTATGCTTAGAAAATGCTTGTACAAGAACGGTCAAATTTTCACTTCATGGCAACTTAATTATGATTTAATTAATTTAATGGTTGTTAATGATGGTTCATGCATGATCCAACTACTAGGCTAATATATAATTAACCTAATTTGCCCAAAAAAATAGTGGTTGACAAAGTGGTACATGGGTTTCATGCATGGCATCTCTAAAATTTATATATAAATTGAATTATGAAGATGCAGAAACGTGCATACAAGTTTAACTGCAATACGTGCAGACAAGTATTTTGAAGATACACCCTCTTCCTACTAGAAAAACCTCAATCAAATTCAAGGACAAACAACCTCATTGCAAAACATGGCAATTTCAGTGTCCCAAAAGAAATCCAGAATATCCAGAAAGGAAGAAAGGAAAGAATTTTGTCTCGGTAATACAACATGTTTCAGAGTTGTATCTAAAATCCCAACCATGGCTCTTTTTTTTATACTTATCTTCCTATGGTCCTATTCTACCACCATCATATCAGGCAACATTGTTCACGTTTGTATTTCCTCGCGGAAGCTTAACAATCTTTATTGTCTCTCTGCTGGTACACAGCCTAACCTCGAAATCCCAATTTCAGTCAGTAACAGTTCTTCTACTACAAATGCTTATTTGGCTGTCACAGAAACAACCAGCAGGGACAGAAATGAGGAAACTGAAAATGCAAAGAAAGTTATTGAAGAGCAAATGCAATTACATCGATCATGGATTTCTGATACAAATCCTGCACTGTGTGATGGACGGGGGATTTATGTCTATGATCTGCCATCAAAGTTCAATAAGGACTTGCTTGGTCAGTGTGGAGATATGATTCCATGGATTGATCTGTGTAAATATTTCAATAATGAGGCTTTTGGCGAGCCTATAGCAAAGCTTGGTACAGGTTGGTATGATACTCACCAGTACTCACTAGAACCAATATTCCATGCCAGGATTCTGAAACATACATGCAGGGTTTACAATGAAAATGAAGCTAAGCTCTTTTATGTTCCTTACTATGGTGGATTAGACATTTTACGATGGCATTTCAAGAATGTTTCTAATGATGTTAAAGATATTTTGGCGTTGGAGCTCATCAAGTGGCTTCAGTCTAGAAAGACTTGGGTTCAAAATTCTGGTAAGGATCATGTGTTTGTTTTGGGAAAAGTTTCTTGGGATTTTAGGAGAAAGATTGATTCTTCATGGGGGACTAGATTTTTACACTTAGAGCAAATGCAAAACCCAATAAAGCTCTTGATAGAACGACAACCATGGGAATTGAACGACATTGGAATTCCACATCCTACATATTTTCACCCACGTTCAGATGATGATATTGTTGCCTGGCAGCTGAAGGTTATCCGAGCAATTAGAAAGAAGCTAGTGAGTTTTGCAGGAGCAGCGCGACCTGAACAACCTGAGAGCATAAGGTCAATTTTGATCAATCAGTGCACTACAACTGATGATAAATGCAAGTTTTTGAATTGCAGGTCAGGTGGTTGTGATCAACCAGAAACAATCACAGAACTGTTTGAAGAGTCAGAATTCTGCTTACAGCCTCCTGGTGACAGCCCGACAAGAAAATCTTTATTTGATTCGCTTGTTTCAGGTTGCATACCAGTGCTTTTTGACCCTTTCACAGCTTATTATCAGTATCCATGGCATTTACCTGAGGAACATGATAAATATTCAGTGTTCATAAACCAAGAAGAAGTAAGGCAAATGAAGGTGAATGTGGTGGAAAGGCTAATGAATGTTTCTGTGAAAGAAAGAGAGGATATAAGGAGGTACATAGTATATGAACTATTGCCTAGAATTGTGTATGGGGATTCTAATTCTCAGCTTGAGAAGTTTCAGGATGCATTTTCCATAACAGTGAACAATCTGCTTGAGAGGGTCAATAGATTGCAGTGACAACTTCTATTTTTCTTTTCTTTTTGTTCTGATGTGTATACAAAGCATTTTGTTCTTATTTTTAGCAGAGAGTTTGTTGGGCTAAGTTGAACCCAAATTACATGATACTATATTCATTCGATTTGCAGCCCCAATAAACACAAAGTGCGTAGTTTAGCAAGGAGTTTATTAAACGGAATGGAAAATACTATAGGCACAATTTTAGGGTCAATGAACATACTAGGCCCATAATAGAAAATTTTCAAGCTCAATTTTTATTTGCCTATTATGAAAAGCCTAGCTTGGCTCGATAAAATTTAACTTTATTCGAGCTCAGTTTAAAACTAGACGAGTCTGAAATTTTAACACTCGAATTCAATTTAAAAAAATTTAAACTTGAGTTGCTTAAAGGTTGAAAAATCTAAAATACATATTACACATGTAATGTATATAAAAATTCGATAAGACTTATAAATTTTTAATCTGAATATTATTAAATTCAAACTTAATCCAATTAACAAATAAGTGGGCTCGAGCTCCAACTCAAATTCGATTCCAATTCAATTTTTTCAAATTTTTTTATTTGAACTCGAACGGATTGCACGCCGTATAGGCTTATTTATACCCTAGGTCTGTGCCTAAAGCCGAGCCGAGGTTGATGGTCCCCTCTTGATAAGTCCCATATTGATAAATCTTCTAGAAACTAAAATGCATCGTACGTGTGAACATTTGAAGCTATTAAAAATTATTATACTACCTCATCTGTGACGCAAGCGCACGAATCCTGACCGTCCAATCACTTCTGTGTCAAGTCTGAAATAAGCTCACATGTCGGCCGCGTGTCCCTCAATTCATGCACCACGCGTTAATTTATCATCTTCAGAATCCCATGTACATACACACGATAGCTTCTGCTTTGTAAATATCGATAAAAATCCAAGCTTGACCAATTTCTGTCTATATATAATCGGGGCTTCTGTTCATCAAGTGTCAATGCTCTGTACTTCAATTCGCATTTGCCCTCTAAGAAGCGTACGCATAGCATCTTTATCTGCTTCTCTTTTAATTGCCAAGGAATCATCTTTCAATTCCAAGCAAACTCTTTTGCGATCTCTTCATAAGTCACCTCTTCCTTTGGTTCCTCGCTCGATCAGAACAGGGAATTCAAGGCCTGTGCTCTATTCTTTGAGATTCGATCATACAATGGCTACCCAATCTGAGCCTAAATCAGTCCATGACTTCACTGTTAAGGTATTTCTATTTTGTCTATGTCTTTTTGTATCCACTAAAGCACTGGTCTGAGTTTAATTTGAGTTATTGGCACCCGCAAGGTATATTGAATTGTGCTTTATTACAGTTAAATCTCTTTCGGGTCTTTGGAGAACCTAGATAGTTTTTAGGTTTTGATTGAGAAATTGAAGCCAAAATCATTTCCGTTTCAAGGTACTGAGGTGTTGATAATTATTATTCACTCTTCTCTGGTTAAAAGTTATCAAGAATTGCTTTTGTACGTTCAAAAAAGAATTGCTTTTGTTGAGTTGTAAAATGGGTACTCTTTATATATGGAAGTACTATGTTTATGCATGTTAGAGTTGTAGGCGGTTTCTCTGGTTCATGTTAGTAATCTTATAAGAGGCAGTGCATAGAATAATATTTGTTAAATTATGGAGCTCAGTATTCTTTTTGTTTAATTCTTCATTTTTTTTTCTATGAAGGATGCTAGGGGGAACGATGTTGATCTCAGCACATACAAGGGAAAGGTTCTCATTATTGTTAATGTTGCTTCACAATGGTATGCATTTTCTTCCTTTCATTTTTTGTGCCTTGTGTGAAGAGATTGATAGCTTTGTAATCATCCCCTCCTCCTCCTCCTCCTCCTTGTTTTGTGATTATAAAACTGATTGCTCATTATCTTTTTTATTAACTCAGTGGCTTGACCAATTCCAACTACACTGAACTGACTCAGTTATACCAGAAGTACAAGGATCAAGGTTTGTTTCTGCAGTTCTCTTCATTTAATGTTTATATGGGTGGACACTTTATTCTATGATCTAATGTTTGTCTTCGTACGTATATATATATACACCTCTACATACTGTATTATGTTAGCTGCACTTATACTATCCTTTTCAGTTGCTATGTCTTGTTTGGTATAAATAAATGCCACTAGATTTTGTGTAATTCATTTCAAGTTTCATGCTTTTGTATTTGGTATGAATGGAAATGTTCATTTCAGTAACATGATTCCATTTTATGGAATTCGATATGATTGAACCAAATTATATCATCTGGAAATAAATTATATTCATCAAATTTATCTATACCAAACAGGGGTTGATGTTTCTTTGTGAAATTCAATAGGGAAATATGGATTGGGAATTGCTTGACCATGGTCAGTCCTCCTTGAGAAATTGCCATTTTTTACTTGATTTGTTTTGCTGTGCAGGTTTGGAGATTCTGGCTTTTCCATGCAATCAATTTGGATCTCAGGAGCCAGGGACCAATGAACAGATTGTGGAGTTTGCCTGCACTCGCTTCAAGGCTGAGTATCCAATATTCGATAAGGTAGGAGCTATATTGAATTGCTCCACAAGTTTTACAAAATACAACAACAACTAAGCCTTACTCTCAAACTAGTTGGGGTAGGCTAAATGAATCCTTTGTGTGTTTCCGTTCCAATATGGACCGACAGATTTTGCAAAATAATGAATGATAATACTCTTTCCCTAATTTTCTTTCATTTCCATGTTCTTGTTGTTGTTATTGTTTTTCTTTAGTTTCTTGAACTTAAAGAGACATCCTTATAGAGTTTGATATAAATGTCAACTGTGTAGATATTTTGGTTAACCCTGCTTGTCCTCTTGGTAGATCGATGTCAATGGAAACAATGCTGCTGCTCTTTACAAGTTCTTGAAGTCCAGCAAAGGAGGAATTTTTGGGGATAGCATCAAGTGGAATTTCACCAAGTTTCTGGCTGATAAAGATGGCAATGTTGTGAACCGATATGCTCCCACTACTTCTCCTCTTAGCATCGAGGTACAGTCCATCCATATGCTTATTCCATTCCTGATCTCAGCTGCAGCATTTAGACTATAGATGTTGATTAATTTATACTGACTGCGGTTAATGTTCATATCATTTGCAGAAAGATGTGAAGAAACTGCTGGGGATTGCATGAATGCTAAGGCGGGCTATTGAATAAGTCAGGACATCAGTCTGTCTCTGTGATGAATAAGCAGCATGAAGAGATGTAACTATATTTGTATGGCGTATTTCCCTTGTAGAATGCTTAAGACACATGAATGTTGATGATAGTGTATTTTCTTGTTGTATGCTCCATGAGTTCTTTTCTAGCAGAAATCTCAGCACTTTGATGCTTATATTTAAAAGATTGAGCAGGCAGTCCATTTCATTTCCTACACTGAATGGAGGCCTTGAAAAATAAAATACTTTCTTGAAAAATAAAATGGCGATTAGCTACTTAGAAAGAAAGTTGTTGCCAGCAGCACTTTGTCGATAGTTGTTGCCGAACACTTGGTCAATTTCGGATTTTCTTGTACAAAAATGGACCATAAACATATTGCATAATTCTAATATGTGAAAACATAATTTTGCTTTTTCATCTTTATTACTAAGCTAATAATTAATTAATTAATAATTCAGCGTTATCCCGTGATCTTGAAGTGAAAAGTGTTCGCCTAAAAAATAATCAAAATACACTTACTGAGGACGAGACGAACTGATTTAATTTTCAATCCAACGGGCAGGGGACCTTTCCAGAATTCATCACAAAGCCGAGAGAAAAGAAAAAGGACACCAGACCATCATTTATCCACAGAGAGCCAGGGGCGTGGAAGTGTTACCGTTTCAAAAGTCAAATAAGCAAATTGGAGAGGATCTTTCTTTCTTTATTCTATTCTGTTCCCCTCCTTCAACTGTTTCACTTGTTTTGCTGTTTGACGAGTTAAGTCACTTCGTCTTTCTAAATCATTTGTTTGCTAATGGCATCCCAACCCCAAAAATACCCTGAATCCGTCTATGACTTCACTGTCAAGGTTAGTTTCTTGGCTTAAATTTAAAAAATTTCTAATCAGTAGATCCAAGTTTAGTGTTTTACTTCGAATTTTTGCTTGTGTAGTCTTTCATGCGAATCTTGTGATCTCATAATTAACCATCAAGAAAAGATGGCATTTTTTCTTTTCAATATTATTTAGAGAGTATATTGAAATGGGTTCCTTTGGTATTCCAAGATTGACTGCTTATATATTGAAGAAATCTTTAATTATGTGATGGTTGTAGCTAAATTAGCTTTTCCATGTAAAATAGTAATTTATTAGTGTCTGGCTTCCGCTTCCAAGTGAGGGATTCATGGCAGAGAACAAGAGCCAAGGGTGTAAACAAAATAAAATATATATTTAGCTTTACAAGAGAGAAATATATGAAGCTGGTCGCCTCATGTTTCAAGTAATTTGCAAATTAGAAATTTTCTTTTTACTATATCAATGCCATGATCCTTCATAAAATTATGTTTTTTATTTTCTTTTCAATTGCAGGATGCTGAGGGGAAGGACTTAGATCTCGGCATATTCAAAGGAAAAGTCTTATTAATTGTTAATGTTGCTTCAAAATGGTACTCCCATCATCTCACTTTCGTTTCCTTCTATGTTGTGGAATCCAAATCTTAACGTGCTTATTTTGACATTATGTGAATGGAACTGATGTACCTTAGACCGCATATATTATTTAAGGTGTATGTTAAGGTTCTCATTTTTATTTCTTTTTTTAATTCTCCTTGCATATTCAATGCCTTTTTTTTTCTTTTGAATGGATGATTTTACCTTTCTATGTTGCTAATTAATTAATTATTGATTGATTGCACAGTGGAATGACCAACTCTAATTACACAGAGCTCAATCAGTTATATGAGAAGTACAAAGACAAAGGTCAGAAATTTATACTTGCATCTTTTATTTGATGCCTCTAATATCAGCGAATTGAAAAGCTTAACCTTTTATTTGGATGATATGTTCAAGTTCAAATGCATCGTTTTATTTCTCATTAATTGCATATGGCAAATCTCTCATCTTGTTTTCACCAATAGTTTCAATATCGCATTCATCGTCATTCTTTACTATCTGTATACCTGAGATGGTTGTTCTGTAGCATATCCAAAGCATATGAATTTCCATAAGAAAAGTAAAATTGGGATAATATCTGTTGATCCTGTTCTATCTGATAAGTACCTCTCAACTTTGTATTTGTCTATGCAGGTCTTGAGATACTGGCATTTCCATGCAATCAATTTGGTGAGGAGGAACCTGGAAGTAACGATGAGATTGCAGAGTTCGTCTGCACTCGCTTTAAATCAGAATTTCCTGTCTTTGACAAGGTAGAAGTCAGATTTGTTAAATTTTACGCTCAAATGTGAATATTGTCTTGCTTTGTCTGGTTATTCTTAATTTTAGGACTTGACTTATTACATGTTTCACTCGTAAGGTTGAAGGTTCGTTGTGGCTTGACTGCTTAGCATTACATATTAATGAAACTCACACATCTACCAAATAAAAGAGAGCAAATTATTGAGGCCTTAAATAAATAGCCTCCAAATTTGCTTTTGGTTCATTGCCCGGTGAAATGCCAATCATCGTGTAGTTAGCCTCATGCTTACCTTATTTTTTCAGCTCAATCTTTCTAGTAATCTATGGTGATAATTGTTGGGGTTTCTAGGCAGTTGATTGGTAGAGGTAGACTTGTGTCCTGCCTTGCTTTTTGACAGCAAAATCACCTGAAACACTGTAATACGTTTTGGCATTAAAAACTGTAATATTTCGAGAAATTATTGACAGCTAGTTTTGGTTACAGTCCTTGACTGTTTAGAAAGAAGTTGAAAGTTTTATGTGATTATTTTAATTTTATTTGAAAGAGTGTATTCTAACAACCTAGTCTTGCCAGAAAAACAACCGTAATCTTTATTAATTTTGAAATATTACCAACGGCTGCTTTTGCGTAAATGGCTCTGGCTTTTATTTAGCATCTGAATTGAGTGTGATTATTTAAAATGTAAATTGTGCAAGATTGTATGCTAACCATATCCTTGCTAATTTTTCTGGTGTTAGATTGAAGTGAATGGTGAGAATGCTTCCTCTCTTTACAAATTCTTAAAGTCAGGTAAATGGGGAATTTTTAGTGATGATATTCAATGGAACTTTGCCAAATTCCTTGTCGATAAAAATGGACAAGTAGTTGATCGTTACTACCCCACAACATCTCCTCTGAGTCTTGAGGTAAATATAAAACTGGCTTTTGAAACATGTCTAGAGTTTTAAGTTAGTGTTATATTGGAATCTCAGTACAAATTCGGAAATGAAGGTTTTGTATATTATCGCAGCATGACATAAAGAAGCTGTTGGGGAACTAATGAAGTGCAGAGGCATAAAGGATTTATCAGAGCTCATGGAGATACCAAAGCATATGTTTAATCGCCTTCTCTGCTTTTCGGTGTGCTGTAGGAACTGTTGAAATTTGTAATTAGAAAATGACAGTTACAAGGAATATAAATTGTTGCTACTGCAGTTCTAAACTTCTTTTCCTTTTCTTTTCGGTTGAAACATCTTAAGATACATGGAGCTTGATTATAAAATCCTCAAAATGCAAACTCTGATTTAATTCAGAAGGCAGAGAATAATCATTCTCATTGTAATTTTCATTTGATGCATTACTTCATCTGTTTTTCACATGAATAATCTTATTGACACTGCCCCTTCATCCAGAAAAATCTGAACATTCATAAGACACATGACCTTGAAGAACCTTATTGAACCTTATTAAAGAACCTCATAAATGGAAATCGAGCATCTTCCCTGGTGACATTCATTCATCCCCATTCAGCATCACTTCTTTAACACCTAAAGCTTTCCAAACTGCTTTCGAGGCATCAACTATGTTATTTGGATATGGTGGTTGGTAACTATGCTCGCTATCGCATCCAATGGTAGAGTCACATTCATCCAACACCATAGCCTTGACAGTCTTTCCATTCGCATGAATTTTGATGTGATGGCCACACCTCTTCATTTTATTGAACCATCCAGTGGACAGTGCAACAACCGGCATATTATCATCATGGTACTTACCATCGCATTCTGATGGGGCACCGCCATTTCCGCCCTTCTTAAAGCTGTTGATGGTTAAAGTTGCCGGTGTATTCTTGGTCACCCGAGGCGAACATTTATAGATCGTGTAATGTTTCCCTCCTCGCAGCAATCAGCACCATTACTTTGGTCACATTCATCCTTTGGAGGTTTCTTTCCCTTCACTTTTCCACATGGCTTGCATTTTTTTGCTTCAACCATCATAGTATCTGTAGCAACAAGAATAAAGAAGACTAGGAGATAAGTAAAGCTAATACGAATTTGCTTCATTTTGTAAAGAACTTAGACTGCTTAATAGTGTTGATGATTAAGAGAATAAAAAAGATGCTTAAATTGTGAGTATAAATAGAAACGTTGGGGGCTAAAAGGGTAAATCTTGAGCCGATATTACAAGAACTGAACATTGTGTCTTGTTATCATTTTTGGTAATATATTCTATCGTGCAGAATCAATGTTAGAGATAAGACAAATTTTCAGTCATTACGAGGTATATGCTTTAGCGATGGCAGTCTTTGATTGGCTAGGCCATTATCATATTGGAGCCATTTTTTTCATAACATGACATGATTCCTAGAAAGGTTCGATTCGGCAAATTACTGAGATCTAGAGAAATACTCTTGAAAACACTGCAAGAAAGGTGACTGTAAATGGCAGTTAGCCAACAGAAAAGGACAACTGAAACATAGTAGAGACTAGAGAAAAATAATGAAATTCATTTCACATTAAACAATGCAATTTCGTCAATCTATCAATATTTTTTCATCCTTTCCAAACAAGGGAAAATCATCTCATTTCTCTTCGTATTTTTCTCTAATATTTTCTTTACTACAAAAAAAGGGTTAAGTCCTAGAATTGAAAATGACAGAATTTCTAACGTATTTCAAGCTCCTTCGTTAACTTCTCTGCATTAATAATGGTACGAGTACAAATCTCTCTTTCTCCATTTTCGATTTAAGTTCTTTGCACAACTTGTCTGCTCTTAATAAGCGTAGTGGGTCGCTATCATGTTTTTATGTGAAATTAGAGTTTTCCGTTGCTATCATGTTTTACGTGAAATTAGGGTTTTTGAAATGTTTGTGTACTGAGATAATAGGGGAATTAGGGTTTAGAATATTTTTGGATTAGAAATTGGGGATTCGCAGAAATGGTAAGCTGTTGTAAAATAGTCGCTCCGTCGTCGAACAACCACGTCGAAGATATAAACGACAACTGCGTTTTGCCGTTTCTATTAATAAAGTGAGGAAAATTTTTCCTTGTAGTTAAACAACAGGAAGATAAGAAAAAGTTTCCCTAAAAAAAAAATTGGTCGGTCGTTAAGAATTTACTATTGGATGTTCATCCAATCCTTAATTAAAGATTAATCTACATGCTTGTATTGTTCTTTACCTAGAGTGAAAAGGAATAGCAAGTAAAAATTAAAATTTGAGCTCTCATTTAGATTGAGTTAGAACATACATATTGATCAATCTTCCAAATTACAAATTGGGATTTATTTGAAATGTAATAACTTTTATTATATTTTCAATTTCGAAGCAGTTCAAAGCAACCTTATATTCACAGGCACAACAACAAAAGAAAGAGAAATCATCAATAATTAAGGATGATCAGTCCAAGTAATATCCATAAACCCCCATCTATCATCACTTTCCTTAACACCTAAAGCTTTCCAAACAGCTTTTGAGGCATCAACTATATTTTTCTTGCATGGAGGTTGATAACCATGATCACTATCACACCCCAATGTAGAATCACACTCATCAACCACCATAGCCTTTACACTCCTTCCATTTCCTTTAATGGTGATATAGTTATGTCATCTCTTCTTATTACTAAACCATCCAGTTGATAATGCCACCACCGGCTTTCATTACTATGGTACTTGCCGTCACATTCTGATGGCCCACCGCCATCGCCACCCTCTTCGAAGTCGTTGATAGTTAAAGTCGCCTTTGTTTGCTTAGAAACAGGCGGTGAACACTTATAGATAGTGTAATATTTGCCTGCCTTACAACAATCAGCACCATTATCTTGGTTGCATTCACCTTTTGGAGGTTTCTTTCCCTTAACCTTGCCACTTGGTTTGCACTTCTGTGCATCAACCGATAAAGTAGCTGCGGAAACATAAATAATTAAGAGTACCAGAAGTACAGTACAAAAACTGAAGTAGGATTGCTTCATTTTCACCTTTGTTGATTAGTGTTAGCTAATGGGTTATGGATAATAGATGAAGAGATGGGTATAAATAGAATGAAAGTGCAGTAAAGGACATAACTTTGAGATGAAATTACAAGAAGATTATGGCTTTTGTGGTAAAGGTAAATATTTTACAAAAGGGTTACGAAGCAATCAAGCATTGGAGTTTGAAGATATAATGTATGTCATTAGATAATTGTATTTGAGATGCTTCGTTTTGTTGGGACATATGAGATGCTTCTTACAGAGATCCTGTGATAGGGTCCCATGGTATCTTTAGAACTTGCACTAGCAAACAAAAGAGAAAAAGCTGGACCATTTTTTATTGCAGACCAGACCAATGTCTTTAGGCTCATAACTTAAATGAAGAGTGAAGACACATATGGCCTGGCCTCATCATACATATGTTGTTTTTCCCCCTTTTTGCATTTATTGGGTGGGATGATCCATAGGAAGATTCAATGAGGAAAGAAATGGATCCCATGGAATCTTTGAGAAAATAGCACTTCCTTGGGGCTTAGCTGGAGCCCAATTGCAGGACCTAAACCAAATTCATTATTAGGGACGTTCTCGAATAATTCATAGTGCCCCTTTGAAAATTCATGATCAAACTTATATTTTCATATTGAAATATAATAATTATCCGCTCTGTCAAAATGAATTATAAAAATATAGTCCTGATTGAACTCCTATCTTTCACTTTAGTGAGATAGATAATTATGAAATGTGAAAATATAATGTTATAATTGAATCCTTGCAAAATTCAGAAAATGACAAGGATAATTGGCAAAAATTCAAAATGAAATTAATGCATTTGGCCAAGGGATTTTCTTGCAGATTGAACAAATCCAAACCATTCTTCCCAGCAAATCAGTTGCCAAGCCGTTCGCAAATTACTGAAATGAGAAAATGGCTTAAAAATAAAACTTAAAAGAAAGATTCAAAGAATGACAGTATTCTGGCGCAGGGGCACTCTTCATGCTACATATCAATGTACTTTGGCCCCCAAATTACCAAAAAAAATTTCAACAAGTTTCCATTGCAACTATGACAGTCTTAAAATAATGACTTCTGTTACAGACTACGTTAGCACAAACACGAACATGGCCCCTTAGTAGGGAAACAAGGTGGAACCCAAAATGTCCATAATTATCACAGATTCAGTACATATACAACAACACATATGTACAAAAATTTGCCATGTGTCTGTTGCAGCAGTCATCCTCGCATCAAGTCAATATCACTGTGAGGGTTTCTCAGGTCAACTGATCGTGAAACAGGCCAAACATTCATTGAAGATGGAGTGAAATTTTGAGGAGGTAAATTTGTAGGGATTGTGGATTTTGGGGGAGCTAATCTCTCACCAGGCTGAGATGCAGAGTCCTTAATAATTTTTGGTCGACCAACCTGTTTATCCTTGTTCTTAGAAGCACCGTGTACAAAACTACATGCCACCACCTGCAGCAAACATGACTTATAGATCATTTTGTTTTAAGCACTAACCCACATGTGCAGAGCATGGTTAATAGATTGTACAGGAAAAAAGGTAATAATATGTGATAATTTCTTATTTATCCCATGAAATTGATAGAAAGTTTATCACCTATATGAATCTCAAACTTCAAGCTCAATTGAACAGAATAATTGACTTCAGTACATTCCAAGTCGTTCACAAAGTTTGAATACATAATAGCAAACCACATGATACACATGTAGAAATTAATGCATAGTTTTGCATCATAATTTTGCATGCCACTCAACCATACAATATCTGTTTTGATTCCCTTACAACTTGATGTTTGAGTTATTATAAAAAGATATTTAATACGACCAAATTTCAAGAATGGATTTCAGGAAGTATCATGTGTTTGGTGCTCTATTATAGCAGCAAGAGCTTTTTGTTCATTTCAGCACCACAAGATTTAATGCTATATGACTTTAATTTTTACTGATATCATCAAAATCATACTTATATGGAGCTTGAGTCATAAAATAACAATTACATTTGAGAATTATCCATGGGTAATACTATTACCATGTAAAATTATAATGATTTTGAGTATTAAAATGTGAAATCACATGGTGCTTTTATGAACATTTGCCTTTAATAAACAACAGAACATAATGAGATGTTGGAGCTCATGTTGATGAATGTTCAAGACCATATGATTGGATCAGTGGTGAATACATAAACAAAATCAAAATATTAGGATTCAAAATAGTACCTGAACTGGGCCTGCTGCAATAAGCATCCCAATTGCACCACCAATGACATGACCGTCTGGAGTGGAAAGAGAAGCACTAATACCACCAGTTCGATTGCGAGGGCCACCATCTTCAGAAACCAGGTAAGAACCAGACATGCATAATATCTCAAAACGCCCCTACACAAGCTAAATATACCAAATAAGATTTCTTTAAACTGCTTACTAAATTCTTATCAAAACAATAACATGTAGACTAAAGCACTGGCAGAAGTAATAATCCCACAATTGAGATCTTAAAGCATTGACGCTGGTTAAAGGGCATAGCAAAGTTAAGTTTGGCATTTCACTAGATGCAGTGTGTCACAATAGTCCTTGTCTGCTAATCATTTAATAAATAAAATTGGAAAAGAATGCAAAAAATGGAAGGAGATAAAAGCCTATAGTGTGGTAAAGCTGATTAGGTAAAACTTGGGATAAAATGTTTATGTATTTGCTGACCTTTAGTAGGCTTGTGGTAAAGGTGCTTAGTAGGCTTCCGATAGAAATTTTTAATGTTCCACATTGATGTCATATCACTCAACACTTCAGGAATCTCGTTTTCAAAATATCAAGAATATTCGGAGACACCAGCTGAAAATAGCTAAACAGATTATGTATGTTTAGCTTCAAAGATAAAACAACCATGTGTTTGAGCATACACATGAAGTATATGAATTTATACGGATTTTGTCTGTTGAACTATAGTAATATTTAAGATAGCACGATCAGTTCATTTCAATGCCACAGATTGGTGCACAGACTTCTTGCGTTGAACCATGGTAAGTTTGAGATAAAAACTTGTAAGTTCATTTTGATAACACAAATTGGTGTTTCCATACTTCAGGACAAGTATGGATATCAACATTGGGATCATTGTCCAGACCCATATCTGATCTATCTAGTCCAATGCTTGGCACCAAAATAAGACTCAGTTACCAAATTGTAAACAAACTCAAACACTCGAGCACCAAATATATCACATGCCCAACCACATTTAAAACATTTGAACTTTACATTCATTACAGCATTTAACTGCACCCTAATTTATTAGATTCCATCAAATTCATTTTTTTGAAAAAATTTGACACATCATCAGAAGTTGTGAATGACTAATTAAACCACAATACCATATTACAACTATTAACATTTATCAGATATGGGTCAAGCACCTCAATTATTTTAATAAGCGACTGCCTAATGATGTTATCTTATATATGCTAAACTTCAATAATATTTAACAGAGTAAGTAATCAAAGAACAACAAATACCAATTTTGGACATTCAAGTTTCCTTATTAATGACTGGACAAAAAAGGAGTAACATCTATATCATAATTTCAGAAAAATTCTAGTAAAACAAAGAAGATAAGTAATTAAATTGCAACAGCTGAAAGGAAAAGCATGAAAAGCTATTTGATTTCTTTAACCTCAAATGTGAGACTGGGCCCTGAAGATGCTGGCTGACGTAGTGTTACTGAAGAAACAGCACCAGTTCCAGACAAAACACAAACTGCCCTTGGCCTCTGTTGAGCAAATGACAGTATTCTTGAAACAATATCCTGCCGAACACAAGGCAAAAGTTTAAAATCAATTTGCTCTCAGAAATGATCCAACTGCAAAAGTGTACACAAGTGTTTGCATGTATGCATTTCCCCAAGTATCTCCTATTAGATATGCATTTTCCTATTTGAACCATCTATCCACATTTTTCTTTTTTGAGAAAAGCCATCTACACTTGAATAATCCATTGATATTTGATAGTAAGTGCAATAATTCACACAAGAAAAATACATCTAAAAATATTAAAAGGCTATAATTTTAGGACAGGCAAAACACAAGTCTAATTATCATTGTATCACTTTTTTCTCTCTAATGCTGAATAGGAGAAAACCTCGTGATTCTACTGCAAAATGTGAATGAAACTGCAAACTTTTGAGAAGCAAAACCGCAGCCCAAAATGTGTTTTCTGAAACAGAATAATTTGGGTTCACATTCTATCCAAGGAGGTAAAAGTCATATTGAATAAATGTCATAAATGTACTCAATCTAGCCCTCAAAATATCACACTATCATAATCAGATGTACAAGGATAAGAAATTGTGCAGGACTTAACGTACCTCTCCAGCTCCAATACCGATAACATGAGGTGAAAAGGCTATTCCAGCGGAAGAATTCATCCAGTCACCTAGCAAAATCAATTAAACGCACAAGAAAATTTTAAAATGCAAATATCTAAAATAAATAGATCTCATGCACATTTATGGGGGAAATGAGAAATCAAATGTCAACGTTACTACATTCAAAAAAAAAATGCAACTGAAATTTACAAAACTCCAGTGGCTTTTCCCCTGCATCTCCACATTAAACAATTCAGACAGACAGCAATATAATCAAGTTTACAAAGTGAATAACAACTCTTCAAACGAAATGTATTCACAAAATTTATATCCCATGAATACAAGGATTCATAAATGCAACATCGAACCAAGAGGAACTTGGCATGGAATAAATCTGGCGTTGAAAAAGAAGCAAATGAATAAATGGATAAAATTCTGAATGAATGAGGTCAATAAATCATGATACCAGTAGAAATGTATGATAATATGAAAGTCCATATAGCATAAACAATGACTTTAAAACACAGCATAGTACCACTTAAAGTGCAAATCCAGCTGCAAAAGATGCACAGTAACTGGTAACCATCAAAATAATATACATTTCCCAAAATTTACCTTAATCACAGCACAAATTTAAATATATCAAAGTCCAAGTAGAATACTCACCCAGAAGAGCTAATTGCTGCTTCCTGCCACTTCCAGGCGGGCGGCCTCTGCCCCTTTTAGGGGTCAATGGATCCTGCATCGATGAAGGCCTAAGCTTTACTGGCATGGGAGACAATCCAAGAGAAACTTGCCCATCCGGAGCATATTTCCGAGGTCTCCCCCGCTTCTTCTTCACTGGCTCACTCATTGGCACCCCAGGGGCCATAGCCATGTTGATGCCATGACCGAAATTCGCATTAGATGGCTCTATTGAAAATGCTGGCCCAGATGAACCTGGCCTGGCATTGGATTGAGGTGGTAAATTCGGGTTTGGCAAGTGTCTGAAGCCAGGTGGGTGATGCAATGAACCAGTTTGTGATCCAGACCCCGACCCAGACCCACCAACCCCACCAGCTCTATGAATGTAATATGGTGTTGACCCACTAGCTAATGCCATGGCTTCTCTTCCATCCATGCATTTACTAAAAGCAATAGTGCAAGATCACGATAACAAAAGATCACTCCTTTTTATTTCCTTTCTTCCTTGATGCTTATGTCTTGAGGCCACTTATACGCCAACTCTAAACTGAACCGAAGGTTACGACAATAAAACAAGTTATAGAACCAAATGAAAAGGGTTTTGCAAGGGTTTTTCTACAAATTGGGAAAATGCTATAGAACAAGAATTCAAAATCTTCAACTAAAAAAGATTGTAAGGAGATACGGAAATGAAAACCCTCTTTAGCCCTAAATCTTCAAAATATGAACACAGGGCAATTCAGAACAAGGGTTTTACAGAGGTTTTTGTTACTGGAGAGAGAATCAAACCAACCCAGTGAGAAATTGAACTAAAGCCACTAAGAAAATGATATTAAACAACAAGCACTTCTACCTTCACCATCCCACAGAAGATATTATATTGAGAATAAATGTGAAGAAGAATCAAAAAACAGCACAGCTACAGAGACCAACAAGCTTAACAACCAAAAACTATTCTACAAGACTTAACAAGAAAGAGAGAAAAAAAAAAAACCCTAGATTATCTTCAAATCTAGGGTTTTGAGAAGAAAATTGGAAGAGGAGCTGGTAAAGAAAAAGAAAAAGAAAAAGAAAGCATAGAAAAGACAAGGACGGAGAGAGAGAGAGGGGGGGGGAGGGGGAGAGAAAATGAATTGAAAATATGCATATATAAGCTTTTGAATAAAGGTTCCAAGTAAAGACCTTTCCTTTTGTTTCTTTATTGTTTAGTAGTCAGGAGGGTGTAAGTAGTGTGTAAGTGTACGTACGTGTTGCAAGTATTTTGACTACATAGTGTGAGTGAGTGACACTGTGACATTGTGGTGGCCTACCATGGTGGTACTAAAACCCTATGCTAGTAGATGTCCTTATCAGATTTTACCATGTCTTGGGGCAGTGAGCCCCTTTATTCTTATTTTTATTTTTATTTTGTTTTTCTTTAAATTGCAACTTGGGTTATTATTTGATGCTTTTGAGCTTTGGTTTGTTTTCCTATTACTACTTTGATGTAAACTGAGAAAAATGGCGGAGAAAGTAACAAAATAATGTTCTAACAGGGAAATGCCTAAAAATAATATAAAAAAATATGTTTTTGAATTAGGAAAAAAAAAAAAAAAGAGCAAGTGATGTTACTTTGGAAACCTTTGCCTAGAACATAGAAAGTGACAACTGATTATCTAATTGTCCGATGGCTCTGACAAGTGACGGTTCAAGGGCATGTTATTTGTTTTTGTTGATTTCAGAAAGGCCAAGATTTGAGGCCCAATTCTTTATTATTATTATTATTATTATGAGTTCATTTTCTTTAGAAAAATCATAATTGAAAAGACAAACCTAATTAAAGAATGTTTATTAATTAAAACATTCATTCCTTTAATGTCCCACTTAGATTCGGTATAAGAGAGTAATATTTTCCATGCCGTCCACTTTATTGTCTCAAGAATGGCCACAAAATTAAAAATCATGTCTTTTAGTTTAATCAAAATCAAAATTCAAGTTATTCTCAAAGAAAAAAAAAATCAAATTTCAAGTAGATTGTTCTTGTCGGTTGATATCTGTAGAACACTCGCAATATCCATCTGAAAAATAATGTATTCAAGAAATATTCTACTGTAGAATGTTGGCCGGTTGGTATACCAGTTCCTAACAGTTTGATTGCCAATCATTATGTGAAACAGAAAGACCTTTTTAATTGTTGAAGGACCCCAAATAAATCTAAGGTGTTTGCAATACTTCACTAAAAAGGAGTCTTTGAATCCATTTCGAAGTCCTCATTCTGTCTCTTCCATTTTCGTCTCCCTATTAACATAATCCAGGTATCCCTGCCATGAATCAGCATATTAGTAAATGCAATTTAAACTAGCAAGTTTCTAGGTCAATTTCAGAATTGATAATACTAAAAAGAAACAAGAAATTCCTACTCCATAGTATATCATTGGTATCTTCTAATCCAAGTGGAAACTCAATAAAAATTTAAATTGCAATATGCTATAAAATACTTGAACGTCCACAAAAGAAAATGCCATCGAATTTTTCTCCTTTCTTGCCCTATAATATAGTGAAGTAAAGGATTCATATAACTGACCCCAACTAGTTGAAACTAATGCTTTAATTGGATGGAGACAGAATGTAAAATAAAGGTGGATGTAAAATGAGAGAGTAAAATAGTACTATTCATTTTACCTCTTTATTTTACACTCTTTGTTTAATTTGGAGGAAAAATAGAAAGGTGAGAGTAAAATGAATTTATTTTACTTTAGTTGCACCTTCATTGTTTTATTTTCCTCCTATTTTGGAGAGTAAATTGGAAGATATTTTACATCAACTCACAATTTTACTTCTTTCCCCAACAAGGTATTTTGCAAACCCCAATAATTTTTCACTTGTTATTTTACACTCATCCTTATTTTACATCCAACCAAACTAGCTCTAAGGCTCAGCCAGCCTTGAATATGAACAAGGAACTGTGATTAACTAACTGATGTACTGTGGAAAAGGATAAACATTAATACTGTGTGCTTTAGACAGGTTGATAGACTGGAATAGTTTTCACAAACGCATCAATGATTCACTGCATCGAGACATGACAAGCACATTAGGTTTGCAAAGGACGGAGTACAAGAAAGATACCTGAAGTATCCCAACAGCAGCAAACTTGTCAATCATTGTTTTTGCTTGAGTTGGACACAAAGCTAAAGGTTTTATTAGTAATTCCACATTCTGCAAACACCATTAAAAATGAATTTCTGTGCTACTCATATCACAAACTCGTGGGAGAGCCAGGTTTATGAAATTCCATAGTATGAATATTAATAAGCGTCCAAACAAATGTCTAGAACTAGAATTTTTTTTTTTTTTTTTAAACAGCTCCCAAAAGAGATTAACCCCTCAATATGCTCATGTCAAAAATATAATAATCAACTGACTCCTTATATTCCAATCAGGTTAGCAATAAGCTATCACCTTTGATGTAAAGCACTCATCCCAGTATGTGTACTTTAAACCTTCAAGTTTCCCTGTTTTGCAGAGGTCGTCAATGAAAACCTTCACCTGCACAGCCTAATAAAAGAACAAAAACAGGATGAGCAAGAAGAAAGAGAGAGATAGAGAGAGATCGTAACCGCTGACAGATAAGATGAAATCACACATCAGGAGCACTTCGCAGTCTGTCGAAAGGGTAGCCAACAACAAAACCCGCCAGGGAAAGCTCAGATGTCTGCACACAGACAGGAGAAATAGGTGCATTTTTAAGCTCAGGACAAAAGACGGGTCATACTTAACAGACACACATCACATGGCCTAACCTAACCTATCAAATATAAGCATGCTTTAGCATCATGATAGTCTTTCCATAATTATGACAAACATGAAAATGGGCAGCCAGCAGTAAAGGCGTTGTAGAGCTAAAGGACGAAGCCAAATCAAAGTGGAAGTTGATCATACACGTATACAAGGTTGTATATGCTTATATAACGAGACTATTACCAGGAGTTTGAAAATTTATAAATTTTTTTAACCAATAATATACTCTTTCTAATGTAAGGCTCTTCGGGAGGGAGGGAGAAAAATGAAGTTAAAAACCAAGAATAGACAAAAGCAAATATTAGTGATAAAGGGCCAAATTGGGCCATCCCGAAAAAAAATAGCCATGAAAGCCGGACACAGAGTCAATAAAAACAGCTAGAAATGACAACTTAAAGAATCACCAAGTCATTAGTTCATACTCATAGGATGCTTTAATTTCTTTTGATGCCCAATAACAAAAATTGATACTTGTTTAATTTTCTTTAACACCACCAATCACAAAAGAAGAGGGTAGACAAAGAAAAAGAAATAAAGAGACATAAATGACAAACTCACCAGACTTTGAAAATCATCAGCCATCAAATCAATGTTTGATTTCTTCCTTAACAGAACACTGAAATAACCGACAACGTTTAAAATTATTAAAAAAATGCGAAGCTATTACTACCATGTAATAAACAAGAAATCAGATCATACCTTAGAGGTGATGCGATTTCATTACACTGGTCTGAGATGGCTAAGCCTACATACTTACCACCGACATCCAAGCCAAGCAACCGCCTTTCCCCTTGTGCTTTTGCCTTCATCAATTCATGGAACAAGGCCAGCGGCTTCACATACTTCATCTGTCAACCATACATCAACAATAATGCATCAGAAAGATTTCAATATGACATTTGCTCGAACACTTGGTGGACAAAATTTATGCTTGGAGAAAATGGAACCACAATTTCGAAAAGCATAAGTTGATCGTGATGCCACTGATGATAGCACCGTGATAGCTACGTTGAGGTTTTCTACTTGCAAAAAGCCTGAGGAAGCAACAGAAACGCACCGTGGAAGTTTTTTCAGAAAAGCCCTCTGAACTGGTTTCTCTCTCTCCGTTTCTCCACTGCGTACTCGCCCGATTCCAACGAGCCGTCGTTCTAAAATCTCCTTCAGTAACTATTTAATAAAAACAAATGTCTTGTAAAATTGTAACAAAATCTAAAGTAAACGACTTTCGTTTAGGCAGGCTGTGACAGGCTCTCCCCTCTCCTCTCCGATTATTTTTGGAGAAGAGACTTCTCACCGGCCAGTCGTTTAATAACCATAATTACGCAGACATCCATTTTTGAAAGTAAAAATTTTGGTGGACTCCAGAGGATGGGGATTGATTTAGAGGGTCATTAAGTGTTTGATAAAATTATTTAAAAATTACTTTTAAATCATTAAAATATTTAGTTAATACATAATTGAAATTGTCACATTAATCAAAAAGAGTACGTTCATAAAAGATTTATTAAAACAAGAATAATAATAGCATTTTTAAAAGATTATTCAAATAATATATTCTTTTAGTTGGTAATAAGTAATTTTACAGTAAATAAATAATCAAAATATATTCTTTTAGTTGATCACAAAGTAATTGTACAGTAAATAAATAATCAAAAAGACGCTTTGATACAAGCCAATTGGTAGGCAAAAAGTTAAGAGGAACATTGAAATTTGGATATTTACATCCAACCCCATTTCAGAATATGAAGCTCATCAACATTAACATTGAAGCCACTACTTTCATATAGATGGAGAGAAACTAACATCATCCTACTCCTGTATGATGCATGACAACTTTGATCTGGTTAGCTGCTGTACAAAGAAACTCGGGTCAGAAACTATCCTACCTATGCATAACAACCAACTGAAAGGGAAAAAGGAAAATTTGTTATTATTCAGCATTCTTTGTAGTTTCAATATTCTCTTCATTCTTGGGCTTGCCAAATGATTTCTGGGTTTCCAGAACAGGAATAGATGGTTCACAAGTCTTCTTGATGAGCTCAGCTACCTTCTCAGGTTCACGAGGACTGACCAGCTTCTTCTCAACCTCTTCGAATTTCGCAGTTGCCCAGGGTGCTGTGCCTACACTTCTGGCAGAGCTTGGCCCATCTATTGTCAGCATGGATGCTTCATCCCTGGAAGCATACCAGGAATTGCCACAGGCACCACACTCCAGCTGAAATCCAAAATCATAGTCATCCATGAGTCCGAATCAAACTAATTGACAAGTGAGCAATCTTTTAAAACCTCTTTAAATTGATTGTGCCAACCATTGAACGAAAACTGGGGCTATGGGCAATCAAATAAACATTAATAAGCATATTAAATTTCCCACTAACTTATTATCTTCGTATGTCATCAAATATCATAGGATTACATGGTTTGAGAAAGACAAACTTGTGTTATCAAGATTAGTAAAAATTTGTAGTTAATAGGAGGTATTTCCTACAGGGTTTTCTAAATCAATGCAGACCAGACAAAAGTTAACGAACATAAAAGTAGACATAAAAGACCACAGTTAAGATTATTAGTCTGCCACTTATTCTTGAAAATATGACCATGTATGGCTTTAATGTCTATACTTCAGAAAAAGAATACAGTGTGCAATTCCAGCTGATAATTTCAACTCATGAAAACTAACAAAATGTAGAGAATGTAAGAGAAAATAGGCAAGGACCTGATAGCGATCTCCATGTCCTGCATGGATGATGTCCCTCACACCGACTTTGAACTCGTTGCATCTTGAGCAACAAGCATCTGTCATCTGTACATGAGCAAAGGATCAAACAGTGAGCTGAGCACAGGCACAACCGTAACTGCAAAACTACCAAAAAAAAAAGAAAAAAGAAAGAAAGAAAGAAAAAACAGTTAAAAGCAAAAGGTGGCCAGTGACCTGCAGGGTTGCCAACTCCTCAGGCTCCTTAGGTGCTTTCTCCTCGGCTGTCATCCCCACCTGAAGGTAACCATTCAAACATTTTCCACAAGATCAAATCACAAGCATATCCTATTCAAGAAGACACTACGTAGGAGACTTATAAAATGCATACCTTCAATTCGTTAGGTGACATATTTAGTATTGTTGAAGGTTCCAACTCTCCATTAAGAAGACGTCGGGCTAGCAGTGCTGTAATCTGGCAAGAAGAGGAATGTTTTAGGGGCAAAACTGAAAAACCCAACATCCTAAGCAATATATAATGATCTTTACAGCTAGGAAAGCATCGGCTGTTCTACTGTTTGTTGTAATCAATCCTATTGCACTTTGTTCTTCCCTCCCTCCAATTTGAAATTAGAGGGGATGGAAGAAAATTTTCTAAAATTAGGGGGGCAAAATTTAAAGAAGAAAATAAAATTTTTTACAGAAATTTATAGGCCAAAATGAAAAAAAAAAAAAAAAAAAAAATTATGATTGTTAGGGGCAAAACTGAAAAAACCCCAACATCCTAAACAATATATAATGATCTTTACAGCTAGGGAAAAGCATCGGCTGTATCTACTGTTTGTTGTAATCAATTCTCCTTATGCACTGTGTTCTTCACCTCCTCCATTTGAAATTAGAGGGATGGAAGAAAATTTTTCTAAAATTAAGGGGGGGCAAAATTTAGAAGAAAGAAAATAAAATTTTATATTTACAGAGAATTTAAGGCCAAAATCTGAAAAAAAAAAAAAAAAAAAAAAAAAAAAAAATTGAGGTGCGGGGCCCCCTGCCACATCCTACCTCCGCCGCTGCCTCCCTTGACCCCAATCACATGCATGCAGATAGTAAGCAACAAATTCACCAAAGGAAGAAAACATAAAAACAGCAGCTCAAAACATACACATGCATCTAATAGAAAGTCCATCAAAACAAACTAGAATCAAAAGAATCTCAATCATCCACAAACTCCAAAATGGGCACGATATTATTTTGTAGAAGGAAACACCACGAAATGTTCTACCGTTGTTCTTGCACAGAAATCTTCACCACATACAAAGCACACCATCCTCCACCAATGAGATCGGTAGAATACACCACCTTAACGCTCTTACTTGAATGCTTTGTGTTTTCTTCACGAGTTCTTTCAGATTTAAACATGCAGTTTGTTTTTTTTTCTTTTTTGCCCAAACACCATGCCTCCTGACCGCACATCATTTCTAAGTATGTCCTCTCCCTCCCACCCACCACCCACCCCCCCCCCCCCCCCCCAAAAAAAAAAAAAAAAAACAGGAAAAAAAAAAAAAAAAAAGGAAAAAAAAAAAAAAAAGGAAGAAGAAAGGAAAAATCCAATCCACGCCACTAAAGCCTTATTTCAAGACGGGGCGTAAATGGAAGAAAAGAATTTTTCTACAAGACCAAACACAACTAGTTTCTTATTAAGTAAACAGATGGATAAACAAAAATATCTAGCGAGGAGAGAACGCAAAAACTATATGTGCACGATCAAATTGACCAACCTTCAGGTTGAAAGATATCTGACGCATCTTCTGGTTATATTTCTGAAAATCAGTGGAAAAAACTTCATGTGAGGCCTTCTCAACAGCAGTTACTGCAGGAACAGCATCATCCGGCCAGCAGAAAGTTTTTTTGCTCTGTAAATGCAACAAAGCATAACATTAGAAAATCACTTTCACGACACTAACATTTAACATCCATTCTTGCAATCATGATCTCATCACAAATCCAGAGTTCCAATAAGGTATGCCAAGAACAGGTACACAACTCTCTACATACTTTAGAACTCTTTTCTTGAGATCCATTTGCAGTGCCCTCGCACTTCTGCTCTTTTTCATGGTCAGCAGCATCAGAACTACATTTCCCTTTCTCATCATCACATATGCTATCAGGAGAACTGCACACGTATTGAACACATTGAAGGAGCCTCTCCAACCATTTATCACGATGGGTGTCTCCAGTTAGAGCATTAAACTTCTCTAAGATTGCATAGTACTCGGAGGTATTGCCGGGACAACTTCCTGGTGTTTCAGCTTTTAAATTCTCA